GTTAACCCATGGTTTTTGTCCAAAATGGCCATTTTTCCAACTTTTTTTTTTTTAGGGCAATATAGGCCAGGAAAATGTCTTTTACGATATTCTAGAACGAAAAATCGCCTATCTAGGCTATAAAAACAACAAGTTAAAAAAGTTGTAAAATTGACATTTTTCCAAAAGGGTTAACGCATGGTTTCGTTCAAAAATGGCCATTTTTCAAACTTTTTTTTTTTTAGGCAATATAGAACAGGAAAATGTCTTTTACGATATTCTAGAACGAAAAAACGCCTTTCTAGGCTATAAAAACAAGAAGTTCAAAAAGTCGAAAAATTGACATTTTTCCAAAGGGGTTAACCCATGGTTTTTGTCCAAAAATGGCCATTTTTCCAGCTTTTTTTTTTTAGGCAATATAGAACAGGACAATGTCTTTTACGATATTCTAGAACGAAAAAACGCCTTTCTAGGCTATAAAAACAAGAAGTTCAAAAAGTCGAAAAATTGACATTTTTCCAAAGGGGTTAACCCATGGTTTTGGTTTAAAAAATGGCAGTTTTTCCAACTTGTTTTTTTAGGCAATATAGAACAGGAAAATGTCTTTTACGATATTCTAGAACGAAAAAACGCATTTCTAGGCTATAAAAACAAGAAGTTCAAAAAGTCGAAAAATTGACATTTTTCCAAAGGGGTTAACCCATGGTTTTGGTCCAAAAATGGCCGTTTTTCCAACTTTTTTTTTTAGGCAATATAGAACAGGAAATTGTCTTTTACGATATTCTAGAACGAAAAAACGCCTTTCTAGGCTATAAAAAACAAGAAGTTCAAAAAGTCAAAAAATTGACATTTTTCCAAAGGGTTAACCCATGGTTTTGGTCCAAAAATGGCCATTTTTCCAACTTTTTTTTTTAGGCAATATAGAACAGGAAAATGTCTTTACGATATTCTAGAACGAAAAAACGCCTTTCTAGGCTATAAAAACAAGAAGTTCAAAAGTCGAAAAATTGACATTTTTCCAAAGGGGTTAACCCATGGTTTTTGTCCAAAATGGCCATTTTTCCAACTTTTTTTTTTTTAGGCAATATAGAACAGGAAAATGTCTTTTACGATATTCTAGAACGAAAAAAAACGCCTTTCTAGGCTATAAAAACAAGAAGTTCAAAAAGTCGAAAAATTGACATTTTTCCAAAGGGGTTAACCCATGGTTTTTGTCCAAAATGGCCATTTTTCCAACTTTTTTTTTTTAGGCAATATAGAACAGGAAAATGTCTTTACGATATTCTAGAACGAAAAAACGCCTTTCTAGGCTATAAAAACAAGAAGTTCAAAAAGTCGAAAAATTGACATTTTTCCAAAGGGGTTAACCCATGGTTTTTGTCCAAAATGGCCATTTTTCCAACTTTTTTTAGGCAATATAGAACAGGAAAATGTCTTTTACGATATTCTAGAACGAAAAAACGCCTTTCTAGGCTATAAAAACAAGAAGTTCAAAAAGTCGAAAAATTGACATTTTTCCAAAGGGGTTAACCCATGGTTTTGTCCAAAAATGGCCATTTTTCCAACTTTTTTTTTTAGCAATATAGAACAGGAAAATGTCTTTTACGATATTCTAGAACGAAAAAACGCCTTTCTAGGCTATAAAAAAAAAGAAGTTCAAAAAAGTCGAAAAAAACAAGAAGACATTTTTCCAAAGGGTTAACCCATGGTTTTTGTCCAAAATGGCCATTTTTTCAACTTTTTTTTTAAGGCAATATAGGCCAGGAAAATGTTTTTTACGATATTCTAGAACGAAAAAACGCCTTTTTGGGTTATAAAAACAAGAAGTTTAAAAAGTCCAAAAATTGACATTTTTGCAAAGGGGTTAACCCATGGTTTTAGTCGAAAAATCGCCGTTTTTCCAACTTTTTTTTTTAAAGCAATATAGGGCAGAAAAATGTCTTTTACGCTATTCTAGAAGGAAAAAACGCCTTTCTAGGGTATAAAAACAAGAAGTTTAAAAAGTCCAAAAACTAATATTTTTCCAAAGGGTTATGGTTTTGGTCCAAACGTGGCCATTTTTCCACTTTTTTTTAAGGCAATATAGGCCAGGAAAATGTCTTTTAAGATATTCTAGAACGAAAAAACGCCTTTTTGGGCTATAAGAGCAAGAAGATCAAAAACTCCAAAATTGGACATTTTTCCAAAGGGTTTAACCCATGGTTTTGGTGCAAAAATGGCCATTTTTTCAACTTTTTTTTTTAGGCAATATAGGCCAGGAAAATGTCTTTTACGATATTCTAGAACGAAAAAACGCCTTTCTAGGGTATAAAAACAAGAAGTTCAAAAAGTCGAAAAATTGACATTTTTCCAAAGGGGTTAACCCATGGTTTTTGTCCAAAAATGGCCATTTTTCCAACTTTTTTTTTAGGCAATATAGAACAGGAAAATGTCTTTTACGATATTCTAGAACGAAAAAACGCCTTTCTAGGCTATAAAAACAAGAAGTTCAAAAGTCGAAAATTGACATTTTTCCAAAGGGTTAACCCATGGTTTTTGTCCAAAATGGCCATTTTTCCAACTTTTTTTTTTAATATAGAACAGGAAAATGTCTTTTACGATATTCTAGAACGAAAAAACGCCTTTCTAGGCTATAAAAACAAGAAGTTCAAAAAGTCGAAAAATTGACATTTTTCCAAAGGGGTTAACCCATGGTTTTTGTCCAAAATGGCCATTTTTCCAACTTTTTTTTTTTTTGCAATATAGAACAGGAAAATGTCTTTTACGATATTCTAGAACGAAAAACGCCTTTCTAGGCTATAAAAACAAGAAGTTCAAAAAGTCGAAAAATTGACATTTTTCCAAAGGGGTTAACCCATGGTTTTTGTCCAAAAATGGCCATTTTTCCAACTTTTTTTTTTAGGCAATATAGAACAGGAAAATGTCTTTTACGATATTCTAGAACGAAAAAACGCCTTTCTAGGCTATAAAAACAAGAAGTTCAAAAAGTCGAAAAATTGACATTTTTCCAAAGGGGTTAACCCATGGTTTTTGTCCAAAAATGGCCATTTTTCCAACTTTTTTTTTTTGGCAATATAGGACAGGAAAATGTCTTTTACGATATTCTAGAACGAAAAAACGCCTTTCTAAGCTATAAAAACAAGAAGTTCAAAAAGTCGAAAAATTGACATTTTTCCAAAGGGGTTAACCCATGGTTTTGGTCCAAAAATGGCCATTTTTCCAACTTTTTTTTTAGGCAATGTAGGCAAGGAAAATGTCTTTTACGATATTCTAGAACGAAAAAACGCCTTTCTAAGCTTTTTTCGGATAATTAAGTAAGGTCGGTTGAAAGCAATGTTTAGATCCCTCAAAGTAAGCCTTGGGATTGTACCTTGTTTCGGATCAAACTATGAAATTTGCCACAGCTAATCTCAAACCTGAATAGCTGTTTATAGGCCAATGAGAAAGTACCCTGGAACCAGACTCTGTAGTGGGAGAAAAAGGTGAAAACAATTGGTGAACAAAGTGGGCTGAACTGTAGTGAGGGGAGGAGGGATTGTGGTGATTCCAACTTCCCAAGTCTATCGCTCACTACAGAACCTGGTATCAGGCTTATGAAAGAGGCACCCAATCATAGCCCGTTGTTCAACACCACACTAAACCTTACCCCACATCAGACCCAAATGGTTAAAATCTTCGTCAATCCCCAATTTCAGCCGAAAAAGTGTTGAAAACCTAATTATATGGCTTGTGCAAGGGAGTCACTCCCACCTATTTCTCCTATCATTACTTAATAAAATTTGAAAAAATACAAAGGAAAGACATTGCTATTTATTGACCTTTTTATCCAATGTTTGTACGTTTAGTCAAAAATGTCATTCTTTGAACTATCAACATTGGCCCATATCATGTTGGCTCTTAGAGGAATTATCAAGCCACTTCGTGAGAAATAGACACAATTACTTGAGACAATACAAGACAGTACAATACGCTGTACATTTACACTTATCACTAATTTACATATATCTCTGTATATTAAAACTATGGAGAAGCAGCAGATATCAATACCAATATTTACCAATTATTATTATACATTGTACCCACTATCTGTCTTCTTATTGGCTAAGAGCCTATAGCTAATTTTGAAAATCAGCACAACCTACAGATTAGTTAGTTATCTGCTAGCAGATAACTGACTTAGCTGTAGGTTGCGCACACAATGCATGATTTCTAATAACAATATCAATTCAGGTTCCTTGCGACGGTGTGTTTGTAATTATTTTCTTTTGGATGATGCAATTCTGGAGCACTATACCGTGCTCTCCAAATATGGTAACTGTATGTGTCTGCTCAAAACTAAAAACAAGCTGAAAAACGGTTGTCTTTCCAAATAAAGTCAGGAAGGATTCTCGACATTTTGTGGGCATTTTTAATAAAACAGTTGTTCCACTCGCGCTCGTTGAACATCAGATGATTATAGCCCACTTATATCCAACGCGCACTTGTGGAATAAATTAATTAATTAGCCAGGGGATTTGAGTCAATCAGAAAGGGATAATTTTTTTGAATGAATAATACTCTTTGTTAACTCTGTAGCATAGATCACGGCCAGTCTGTTTACATGTAAATCAGACTTCAGTGAAATCTTGAGCTGTCCAGAGCCAAGTCTACATGTTTAAAAATGAAAATCCTGTAAATAATTGAAGTGTATAATAATATTTCTTGTAAATAATAAGCTGAAGATCTCAAGTTTAAAACTGTCAGAGATAATACAATATTATCATGATTTCAATCAAAAATATTTTCAGGATAATTTATCTTGTAGTTAAACCTATTCTACCCAATGTAGAGACTAACCCTAATCCCAACCCTTCCACACCCCTATGAAATTCGTCCCAATTCACTTCTGTTAGAACTCCTCTACAGGCACTTAATGGCAGGCAAATGATAAATTTGAGACTGCAACCCTGTCAGACTGCAAGACTAAGACTGAGCATGACCAAGGTTAATGCAAGCACAAGACTCTAAAAGACCTCAAGACTCCACAAGTTATTGTCAACAAAAAGACTGATATACTATTAAGTATTTCATTAACCAGTTCAGGATGCAGCAGATAAGGTTTTTTTTTCTGATTTACTCTAATTATGACATTCTTGAGCAGTACTGTAGATGATTATATAATACTCTAAATCCTTCTACTCCACTTTCTGCAGTAATCAAAATCATAAATATGGTTCTACACTCAAGAATGAGTTTCATCAAAGATAACGATTGTTACTCGCTACGAGATCAGTTTGTAAAAGTAGCAGGAGAACAAATACGAGTATTGCAATAACAGCAGCCAAGTATGATCCATGAACGGGCATGAACATCAGTTTGGCCTTCAATAAAAAGAAAAATTATTATCTTCAAAAAAATCTAATGCCAATAACAAGGTTTGGGTTGTGGGGAGACATGGCGAGACAGGTTGTTTCTGTCCACCTGAGGGGAACAACAGCAGGCTCTGAATCTTTAAGTTCATGTACCCTTATTTAACTCCTTGGGAGATATACAAGGAACTAGAATTCCCTCCCACGCCCTTTACCTCACTTCTTGGGGAACACTGGGGTCTCCACATCCACACCCTCTACCTTGCCCCAGGGGGAGGGAGGTAGGGAGACTTTGATTAATGAACTGCTCATTTCAAATGCTTGTGCATTTTGTTTGGTTCCCAATGAACTGAATCTAAGCCAGACAACCAGCTCTAGCTGTCCATATTAGAGAGGTACTGTCTCTGTTACAGGTCAAATTTGTTTTCACCTTAAAATCATTTAACCTAGGTTTATTCTTAATTTCCTTTGCCTTCTGAAGGAAGGAGAAAAAGGAAATTGAAAATCAACCTAGGTTGAATCAAAATTAACCTGTAACATCTATCTTATAGAGAACTTGATTGTACTTAGCCATGTCCACTACTACGAGTGACTCCATTGACAGTGTTCACTTTTAAATGACACTTTTTGTACTGTTCATTCCTTACTCATCTTTGTTTTCTTACATGGCAGGGCATGGTCGCTAGTTTCTTGACATGCTTATTGTAACAGAAAAAAATTTGCCCAACTCCCAAAATTGTCCAAAACTCCTACCTTCATTTCAGCGCTGTGAGAAAATAATACAAAAGAGTCGAGGTCCAACTGAGATGCAGAGGGATAACCAAACACTCTGACCTGAAGACATGTCTGTTTAAACTTGCGTGCAGCTGCCGTCAAGCGTGAAGCCTGCAAAACAAACAAAAATATATGTAGGAAAGGAAATAAGTGGATCACAGACTGGTGAGACTCGATAAATAAGAGAATATAAGTTTTTCAGAAAGTGCAGGCAAAAAAATTCACAACTAGTGATGTCTTATGATGCACTCCTTTACGTTGCTGGTCAGTACATAGAGACTTAGACTAGACAGTGGTGCAACATTCATCTCTCAATTTTTTTTTTTATGAATGACCAGATAACAAAGTAAAATGTTACTGTGAAGTCAGATTCTAATCACCAGAAAGTTTAGCAAATTTTAATCAGATACTGTTTCTATCAATAGTCCAACATGGTTATTAAGCTATGACAACTTTGAACGCAACCCACTTAATAATAAAAATACAACATCCAACACAACTACCACAACAGACCGCTGAGGGAATTAAAACTTTCCTCCTCTAAAAATGCCAACAATGTTCTGGATTGAAACCAACCAACCATGAGCGAGGTTCATGATACACTAATCACTAACAACCACACAGTGGTACAAATAGTCCTACGCAGTAAATTGACACTATTGCCTGATGAAGACCTGCAGTATGTGGTTGAAATGCTGCAATCAATATCCAAGTGACAATTGTGAGAAGAACAATAAACAAATCCTTTATACACTATATCCACGATGAACAATATCTTTCATGACATCCAGCAACTTATACACAGGTCAAGTGAAATCAATGCCCTTGTCCTCCCAAACAATCCCATAAAAGCATGTACAACTCTTCTAGTTATTCCAGGCTATGGCTCTTTCCATAGTAAGCTATGAAGTCCAAAAATACACTTACTATGAAGACAGGAACTATAACCAGAACCAAAGCAATGATTGGCATAAACACTCTGTACACAAGCTGACTGTTGGACCTAATTTCTTGAAAATACATAGCCAAGTTCACAACACCTGTAAATAAATAAAAACAACTGACTGTAAAATTAATCACTGAGCTGATTACAAACTGGGGTGCAGAGAGAACTTCGTTAAAACTATTCTCCCTGACAAAAAGAGGACAGTGCAATGGGGACAAATGAAAATTCAAGTAGAATCTTAGGGTCAGGGTTGGTTTGAAGAAGTAAGTGTTAATGTTGGCTTAGGGTAGGGGTAGGAGGGCAGTTTCCCAGAAACCTCAATTGATCCACATTTTGTGCAAACACTTAGCCTCCATCACTACTGCGTCAGCAAACCTCCCACCATGGGTCAGAAAGGACTAGTCGGGGGGGGGGGAGCAGTAATAGTATGGACCGTACAGAGCGCCAAATACGCTTGTTGCAGATATCACAGCTTAACAAACAGTTTAAGAGAGGAAAGTGATAATATAACTCATAAATTATTACCTATCACAGCGACCTCAAAAGAGCTGAACATAATCAGAGTTGCTATCACAGAAATCAAGCCATTTATTCTTGTAAGATTTTTCTTTACTTCCAGAATATCCTGCAATATAAAGCGTATACATTACAAACATTTATTAATTGCCCTTCAAATGGAGTAACTGCACTACACATTCTGTAGTTATAGTGATCCTTTGCCATATATAGCCCTGTTTATAGCTTTCATACAGAAAAAAATTTAAAGTGTGATCATTCACAGGAAAGCTACTGAGCAGTACTTTCCTGTGGTACTGTTTATTATGCTTTACAAGGTAGTTCTAACTTTTGAGTCTGTGAATGAAATCCTAAAGTGTGACAACTCAAATGAAAGCTACTGAGCAGTACTTTCCTGTGGTACTGTTTATTATTCTGTACAAAGTAGTTCTAACTTTTGAGTCTGGATGAAATCCTAAAGTGTGATAATTCAAATGAAAGCTACTGAGCAGTACTATCCTGTGGTACTGTTTATTATTCTGTACAAGGTAGTTCTAACTTTTGAGTCTATGAATGAAATCCTAAAGTGTGATCGACCATTCAAATGAAAGCTACTGAGCAGTTCTTTCCTGTGGTGCTGTTTATTATACTGTACAAGGTAGTTCTAACTTTGACTACGTGAATGAAATCCTGAAGTGGGACCATTCATATACCATTCATAAAAGTTACTAAGCAATAGGTTCCTGCAGTGGATGTGCATCATGCTTTATAAGGGAGCTCCAACTTTTGAATCTTTAGACCAAAAACTAAAAAGGAAACCATGCTATACCTGCCAACTTTTTCTGAGATGTAGGCGTGAGATTTTTATCCTGGGAGTGCTGGGATTTTTGAAAACGACACGATCATTTCCGAAGATTCCCGAAGAAGTCCGAAGTCTGCCGAAGGCGAAGTTATCGAGAAAACAGCTATCCACAAAATCAGAGATCGCGAGGAAGGTATTGTCATTTATTCATTTTACACATGGTTTTCGTTCGTTACATGGGTCTGAGTTAACATATTTTTGGAAATTGTGTCCAGCAAGACGACAACAACTCACATTTTTCAATCAGGCGTGAGAAATTGGTCCGCAGGCGTGAGCGGGCGTGAGATCGAAGTTTTCAACCCGCAGGCGTGAGAGTTGGCAGGTATACCATGCACTCAAATGCAAGACAGTGGAGAGCTAACTCTCGGACCATAGTGCCACTTCTCTTCATCCAATTAACATTATTCTCCTCCACAAAATCTATGTTGTCTTTGCCCTATGTTTTTGAGAATGATAATGAACAGGCCAGGTATGTTTTCTCACAATACCTTCATTATAATGCTGAGATCCTTAGTTTTCTCCTCCATCCTGATGTTGATTTCTCGCAGGTAGAATATTAGCAGTTCACACTGAGCGCAGTAATTAACAATGGTGACAGCACTGATACAATACTCAACCACTTTACCCAGAACCATGAAGCACACCACTGACCACTGTGCACTAGCAGAAAACAAACAGTAGAACTAAACATTAAAACAACAGCCTTTATAAACTTGCAATAGGACACAATGTAAATATTATGAAACTTCCTGAGTTTGCAAGTCTTAATTTAAGGATGAAATTGTCTCAAAGAAAGTTTTCAGAAGGCTGTAATAAACAAGGGGATAAGTTGTAGTTATTCTAGAAGGCAGTTGAAGGGTAGTAACCATAGAGTGCTGTCTGCCTCGACTTACCTTGAGTTGCGCTTGAATCCAGTGACTGAGGGCAATTTAAAGGCATAACAAAACAAAATAAAATTGCAGACTCCAAAAACCACCATCAATATGCCACCAAACAAAAAAAACCTACAATGAATTGAAGGGGAAAACAAATCAAAAACAACAGATTAACAATAACAACGAAACTGTAAGAACTAAAAATTAATATTATGTACCTTAATGAGAACACTAGTTTGCATTTTGATTTTTGTTGAACTTCTCATATTTACAATCATCATCATTCCTGATACAATAAAACCTTGTATCATTTTCTTTTGCATTTAGCCGTTTAAGGAATGACATACAATAAAAAACTTCACACGAACACATTTATTTATTTAATCTCTACCACCATGTGGTGCAGAACATACAACAGTGCGATGAACCCACCCAGCCCAGGATAGGTTTGCTACTGCACCACTGGGGACCATGTCCCCTACTCTTTTTGAACAGCCGCGTGGATTATTTAACCCCCCACAAGAAACAGATGTGTGAAAGTCCTCTGAGATGGGACCCTACAGTTTTTCATCCTTATCCAAGACGACTACAAAGTCTAACTGTTTTCAGATGTCATTGCAAAGGCAGCACTTTCTCGTCAGTTATTTAAAGACCCTAAGTGTTGGTCCGGCCAGGGTGTTGGTCCGGCCAGGGTGTCGGTCTGGCCAGGGTGTTGGTCTGGCCAGGGTGTTGGTCCGGCCAGGGTGTTGGTCCGGCCAGGGTGTTGGTCCGGCCAGGGTGTTGGTCTGGCCAGGGTGTTGGTCTGGCCAGGGTGTTGGTCCGGCCAGGGTGTTGGTCTGGCCAGGGTGTTGGTCTGGCCAGGGTGTTGGTCTGGCCAGGGTGTTGGTCCGGCCAGTGTTTGTACCCGCGACCTCCCGCTCAGCAGACCAGCACTCTCCTAACTGAACTCATGTACAGCTGTTAAGTGGATATACAGTGTACCAAGATTCTTCCAGCCTCCTGTAAATACAAACCTTAGCCTTGAAACAATCTTTCTGGAAACAGAACTGAGCAGAAAAACCTGAAGAGACAGAAAAAAAAAATAACAAGATACTACATTAAGAACCCATATCTCATGAGACTCAAGTATCAAATAAAAAATAAGAAAATAAATAAATAAGAAAATAAGAATAAATGTTGACCTTTTCTATCAAGGCATTGAGTCCCTCACTTTCTTGTATCCTGAACAAGTAAAATCCAATGAAGAAGGCCAAGAAGTGTAATACATTGGGCACCACATATGTACTGAAGATATGTGAACACTCAGTTACAGCTGGCCTCCAAAACGCTGGTGTGGCAAATGTATAGAAAGGAAGCAATCCTGGACTTGTTGAGTTTCCATATATCAGAGGTCTACTAGTGAACTCCTGGAAATAACTTGAGGGCGTAGTAGTTGAATGGTTTGGGGCCGTCACATTTGTCCAATTTGTCGGATGCGGAGAGATGCTGCTTGGATGTGTGACTGTTTTTATGGGTGCTGTGGTTTTATGTAAATATCTTAACTAAACAAAAAGAAAATCAGAAGACAATGTAAGCACTTGGTGGCAGCTAGCAAGTCACTACTACCTTAACACCACAAGAAAATCCTACTTTTTGCAAAAAAAAATTGCTGGACACCCTGCAACCAATAGTATTAGAGCTTTCAAGCTCTAAATCATTTTCTTGGATTACCTCCTATGGGAATAAAATCTTTTGTGAAAAGAACACATATTGCTATTAACTGGCAATCAGTTGCTGAGGTCTTAATAATTGTAGCAAAGGCTGGAATGAGTGAAGGGCAACACAAGCGGAACATTAAAAAGCTACCTACCTACCTAACCCACTTCCCCGGTAGGGGGGGGGGGGGAGTTGAGGGTTACTCCATACACATAACAGCTGAAATATTCAAAACTCTAGAGTTAAGGTGGCTTGGCAAGATTTTCAGCGGGGTAGCAGATCTCACATTTCAGTAAAATCCATCTGGTGGTCTATTACCAGTGCTGTGGGCTTTTTGGTGGCAAAAAAGGATTAAAGTCTAGCTTTAACAGGCTAAAAGTTTTTTATTCTTTATATTTTTGACCAACCAGTTGGATTTTACTATTTTTAAAACTTCAGCCTCATGGGCTATTAACTCAGAGCCAATTCAGACTCGAGGAATAACTGTTAAATATTCATTATGTGTGTTGTGAAAGAATAATGCATTTTCAGTTCAAGTTACATTATGGCAAATTTCTTAGCATAATTTGCAGGTTGTGACAAGACAGTTAAAAATGAAAATTCTCGAAAATATACACACCTCATTTTTGATGGGCCGGGCTTGACAAGCCATAATACTAGATCCATAACTAAATATAATTAAGAGAAATATGAAAATGGTGTACATAATGTTGAGGATTTTCCGCAATGAGCAGCCTTGGTAACGGAATGACTGAATGTGAAATGGTCGCCATGCAACCTGAAAATAAGCATAACAGTGTTGTTTTAGAACACATCCATACCTCTGGAGAATTCTATGGCAGCTTACATCAGTAATTTTTGTAACGATAGTTTTGAAAGCATATGAATCACACACTGGGCAATTCATCTGTTTAGTAATTGACAGAAAGTACAAAGCAAATAAAAAGCAAATATGCAAAGGGTTGAGCAAGGTTTACACTAGCAACAAAAAATGCTATGAGAGTGGAGACAGTTACATTGCTAAACTTCTATGTTTATGTAATTAACAACTCTTTGTTTTGACTGAAAACAACAAAGCAAGAAAGAGGAACAAAATGAAGAGACTCTAGAAAATAATAAATAAAAATTCTGTCAAACCCCATTACTATGGATACTTAGGGGGCGATAGAAAGTGTCTGTATAAAATAACGGAGTGTCCATAGTAAGTAGGTCATTAGCATCATCAAATTAAACATTTCTAACCTCACAAGCCATTATTTCTTGGACTAAATCCATGGAAAAACTCAAAATTGTTCATTTATAGATTACTTAATCAAAACCATTCACTGCATAATTTATTTAATGCCAAAATAGTCTGAAAATGATATCTACAATTCACCCTATACAGTGAACTGTAGTACTGGAAACATCGAAAGACTGTGAACTGAAGGGTTTTTTTACCCCCAAGAGGGAAAGTTCTATCACAGCAGACAGTTGATAAAGAAGTGTTCGCATTAGCAAGGTTGACTTTCTATGAGAATCTGTTGATTGAGCAAGAAACAAGTGTCCATTGTCCTATTAACAGCTGTCCGTATTATTTAAGAGGGTTAAATTTAGACACAGTGTAAGGGCTTTCCCCAGGGACAAAGAAAAGTATTTGTTATAATGAGGTGTATGTATTAAGAGGTTGACTGTAAAGCGGGGTTCAACTGTATAAATACAACTTATTATGCTTTGTAAAAGCTGAAGAAACTGGCATGGTTATCCTAATACCTTGAAGGGGCCGGAGAGGGGACACTCCCACATAAAAGTGTCAAGGATGCTTGTCATCTTGCTTGGGGGGTAAAAATTGCAGAATTTAGTCTCACTCAGGGTGTTCAGGACCAAAAACTAACATTTTTATCCATAAATGTATCACTTTGTGTTGTGTGTGAAAATAACAAAATGCTGTCATCCTGTGTTCAGTGTTTTGAAGCAAGGTTTCCTGAACCATGTCCAGATTGGTCTCCTTATATCCTTTATGAGTTTCATTACGATGACAGACTTGCTTATCTCACCACGTACCAAGCCTTTCTGGAAAGAATCCTCATTCACAAACGAAATGTTACTCATTTTCAAACCAGATTAAACCCCCCACTCCCACCTAGGGCCCTGAAACACTTACCAAGGACAAAATGTAGAAATAGGGATAGATGACCTGGCTTTTGCAAGTTAGAAGGAGACTAGTTGTAGCATTAAAATCTCCCCTCTGTTGAGCTTCATCTCTGATCTAAACAAAAGACACAACAACTACATGAAACTGACATCAATTGCTTGGTAATTCAACCTTACAGTTAAAATTTAACTTAACTAGGATTAAGCGATGGAAAACTTTAAAAAGAAATGGGCGTCATTTTACTGATAATATGATTTTTATTTAAAAAAAGAATTTAAACACAGCTGGACATTACTCCCTGACCCTTATACCTGCTTATACACATGCACAAGAACGCGCAGCTCACCTTCGAACAATAGTCGGAAACGAATTACATGTTTACGATATTTCATGCAAAACATCAAGCCTTTCTTGCAAAACTACTCACCTCAATGCTTGTACTGTCCCATATATCCGCAAACGAAGACCTGCTACTAGCTGCATCGTCTAATTCATTCAAATGGCTGCCTAACGCATCTCCATCGACGTAAAAGTTCGCGTTATTTTGATTTCCCAACATTGTACCATAGTTAGAAGTACTAGGCAACAGTCTTCGTAATGCAGCTCTCTGGACGATTAAAAGAAAAGGCTTAATTCAGCATGGATTCTAGGCATATTTAGCGCAATGAAAGCCCACAATTACCAAAGTTCGAGCACTGTAAATTGCATCCCAATTCTGTTGTGGCTGGACATGTTCCCCAGAGGCAATGTATACTTGCTTTTCTTGCATGTTATTATGCACCGGAAGTAAGGTTCAACTTTTACGGGGACTTAGATTGGTGCAGTCAAAATGACCCTTGGCGATAAGAGACCCAGGGGCCCTTTTCTCGAATTTTCTCAGTTCTTCTAATCAAAATCTAGAGCAAATATGAGTGCGGGTCCTTGCAAACAAAACAAACCTTTTTGTTTTGTTCACCGATACTGTAATCATGTTATATCTATCTTCAATTTCTTTACAGGACTTTAGAAGAACGGCCCTAGAAGACCCTCCCAAAAGACCACGATTGAAGGGAGGCGCGGCGGGGGGCTTGGGTGTTAAGTTGAAATCCCTTCTGAACTGCGATCATGGAAAGAATATTGAGATAAGAGATAGTACACAAACAGCGGTGATAAACATATTAGACTTACTCATTTTATAAACTTGACGTTTCTTGGGAAAATGGGAAAACCCAAGCGTGAATGGGTGGTAGGAGTTGTTTTTCTCGAACAAATCCTTCTAATTTTCGGCGGGCCGTTGCAATTGCTACTTTTGAGATATACAGCTGAACATTTTCAGGTTACCTGAGTAATTTTAAAATGTTATTCAGTTTCAGCTCGTGCTAAAAAAATTTTTCAAAAGCGAACTGTTTTTGTGTTTACAAAAAGTTGATCACGTGATCAACTAATGCAAAAGGCCTATTCGCCATTTTCACATCTCCCATAATACACCTTCTTTGCCCCCCAAAAGTTTGCTCAAGTATTGTCTTTTATTTCTCTTGGGACGACTGTAATACCCGGGAGAAATAAAAACAAAGGTTATGCAAAGGTTTTTGTGGCAAACAAGGCGTATCATGGGACATGAACAAATGGCGAATTACTAGAAAATAGAGACATTAGGGGAGGTGGGATTTTGTGAGTTAAGTTTACTTGCTATAGGGCAGTCTGGTTTCGTCTACCAGTTGCAGGGTCCCGGCAGCACATCCCCAGCCAAAAATTTCTAAGGTCCAGTTCAGACGCCGAACTTTTCATGAGCCGAACCTAATTCGAATTAAGGCCGACCCAAACTATTAAGACTTCCTAAATTGATTCAGACGCCAGCTGAACTAAATTCAAAAGGAGAAAAATGCTCGTTTTGGTCAAACCGCTGGCAAAATATGCGTTGCTAATTGATTCAGACGCCGAACTTTTCGTGTATTTAATTCAATGTATTAGGTTCGGCTAATCGGAAAAGCTCGGCGGCGTCTGAACCGGGCCTAAAGTACAATCCCCATTTGATTCGGGATTAATGTTGTAAAAACGTTCGCCAACTTGGGCCATGATGGGATCTTACATCTTTTGTAAACAAGGCCAACTACGCTATGAAAATCAAAAGTCTATTTTGGTTGGTTTCCATGGTGAATAATAAGTTCCAAACGAACGGCGATCTTTGGAACCTAAGTTAAACGAATTACTGCAAGGAATCGAGCACATTGTAAAGCTGTTTTGTGTCATGCGCAGTTGAGTCTTGCTAAAAACCAGTGTCTGATTGACCAATGAAAAGTCTTATTTTGAATGGTTTTTATAGAGACAAATTGCATTGTTCTTTGGAGTGAAGCTGATTACTAATTACTAATTAATTTATCAAATGGTTTGTTATTTGGTTGGTATAAAATCTAATTACATTACTAACTGGTCAGGTGAACTTAACCAATTATATGTCCTGTTTTTGCCTTGTTTCCATAGCGAACAAAACATTACAATAAGCTGAATCCAGTGGCGAGGAAGATATTCCGTACTTTGCATGGAATTCAACCAATAAAATGCTATGTTTTGTTGAGTTTCTATAGAAAATAATTGCTTAAACAATAAATAGATTGCCTTTATTTTCTTACAGTCCTGGCCGATATATTTATCACTCTTACATTTCAATCAAACATCTCCTGACCGACAGAACTGAGAGCGCGATGGAGCAAAGTCAAGGTACTGCTGCTGTAGTTAAAAATGCTGACTTTTTTCAATTTCTTCTTATATTCCTCGCTTAACGCGTAAGTATATCCAAACGGAACAACACATTCCATCACTCTGAAATTTAAAGAAAATGTTATAATATATACGTTGGACGGCGATTTTGCGTCCCAGAAAAAATACCGAAGTTCAAATGTCATTTCAGATACATAATGTACCCTCCAGGAGTTCTTTTAATTTGGTTCAAATGGTGTACAGCACCATCCACTAAATAAATCATTATTGACTACACTACCGATTGACTGGATAACAACAGGGGCCAGGATAATAAAAAAATGAGAACAACCTGAAATGTTTTTGTTTGTACACTTTTGAAACTGTATAAAACGTACATTAATTCAAATTGATTAGACTCAGTAAAATATCAGTAAAAAGTTTCATTGAAAACTTTGTCGATCAGGCAACACAAAAAAATTACGTTTTTTTTTCAAGAAAATATCGAAGTTTTGTGCTTTAACAGAATAGTGAGATAACGTTTAAAAAATCAATGTTTGAACATCCAGTGAGACATTCGGCTTTCTCGTGTTTGACGTCTTGAAAAGCAGAACATGACTCAAAATTTTTTTAAAAGAGAGCTTTCCTGAACATTACTAGGTATCTCTCCAGTTTGTTTGAAAATAATGATTTTTTTGTGATTTAGTAACACTATCAGGGGACGCAATTTAAACCCTCCTCAAATCGCTTTCGTCGTCAGTATCTACTGTACCATCCTCCTTCAGAGTAGAAAATTACCTGGTTGTTTCTTTTTATCTTTTTATTTGAAATGTAGTCGGTAACTGTGGAGCTGTTTTATTGTTCTTCAGAAATTCGACAACAGCATCTGCTTCCTTCAAGATCCATGGCATGGCGGCTTCCCCAACCAGCGCTGTGCTATATTCCACAAGTACAATGGTAAAATTGTTTAATTGGTTAGAAATAATAGACAATTCTAGGTAGAAACAAAATTTAAAAGAGATATGTTCTCTTTTAGGACTTACAGCGTTCCATTTCGTCATGCAAATATACCTAGCAGTGGAAAACAAGTAACTTTGCCAGAGAAAGCTCGCCGCTTACGACCCCAATGCCACATCTGCTTCAAGACTTTCTCCAAATCTGGAGCATTGAAGGTACGTACTTTAAATAGTTGTGTCCTTGTTTTTAACATTTATATAAGTGACGTTACAACCAAGCACTAGGTTTTCTCAAGGACACCTAAGAATCCGCAGACAGGGAGTGTGAGGCAAGGGGGGGAGGGGAGGTGCTTTTGGACAGAGGGTAGTTTTTAGCCTCTTCTACTGAATGACGACAAACAGTAGGAGCGTATATTTTGCAAGTTGGAAGAAAGCCTCACTCCCTCGACTGCTATAAACCACCGACACCCGCCCCTCGGTGCATATCCAAGATGGCCGCCCGTACCGGTAGGCGATCGATCTTAACAATCGTACAAAAACATAGGGGACTGTGTCTACCCCAGTGATTTTATGGAGAGATTGCTGACTTTATACAAGTTACTGTTTTTTTTGTCTTTAGGTCAGAGTTTCGTACCCTCAGGGACCGCCTAACAAACTACAAAGATGTATTATGTATGTTTTTGTTTTCCAGGTGCACATGCGAGTTCACAGTGGTGAAAAGCCGTTTCAGTGTCGTTTCTGTCCTAAAGCTTTCGCTCAATCCGGGAACCTCATTGCGCATGAGCGGATCCACACAGGAGAAAAACCATATCAGTGTGAAAAGTGCGGGAAACGTTTCACCCAGTCCTCGGCGTACAAGAATCACTTGTACATACACATCAAACTACGTTTGAACGAGGTCAATGAGAAAGCCCCGTCCAATAATTCCAATCAATTTGCTTAATTTCACGCAGGAGAAATTGTGAAAGGCTTGCAAGCAATTCGTCCTCATTAGGTTAAGGATAAATATTTCAGGTATTTTACGCTTTCTGAAGTTGAGAGCTCTGAGAAATGAAGTATGATCAAATTTTAAGCTTTTTTGTTGTATTTACAGTTTCCCTGAAGTTGTGATCACTTGTTTCTCAACAACGCTAAAATAAAGGCATAGCTCACTGTGATATCAAACTTGTTTGAAAACATTGAATTTAGCTTTCCCTCCAATAGCTTCCCCAAGTGGCCTTATTTGTCTCGTTACGCAACGCTCGGAGAGGAGCCTTGTGTGACGAGATATAGCAGCAACATGGGAGACTAACCTTTCAATAATTCAAAGTCCACTTACGGAAATAGTGGCGGAGTTTTAAAAGTAAAGTTAGTTTTATGCGCAGTTAATCATCTCGTCAAGAAAACTACGCAATATATACTCTTAAATTATTAATTATTATGAGAGGCAATTACATGTACAATGAAAGAATGACTTTATTTCAAGTGAAATTGCGCGTACAAAAATATCCCTAGTTCTCATCACTACTAATAATTTGTAAATGGATAAGAAAATGAACACTAAGATACAAAAATATTGAAAATTTCGTCAACTATATAAAGATAATTCATGGACAATTAGTAGTGACAAATTTGAGTTCTGAGTGTCGACAAAATTATATTGCTTTAACACATCCCATAAATTAAGAAAATTGGGAGTATTTGTTAATTGACAAGAAAAGACAAAAAAAGAATAATTCACTTCGAAAGGCATTCACTTTCAACTATAAATACAATACAAGCAAGCCTAAATAAATATCCTGTAACTAAACTATCCTTCAGTTATTGTTTGAGTCAGTTAATCTACTACTATTTACATGAAATATTGTTTAAATCTACTACAATTAGCTTTGATCTTTAAAAATGTTCCATTCTACAAAAAATATTTCTTGGTGTTTAACCATTTAACTCGCTAAAGAACACCTTAATCTTCGTCGAAAGAGTGAACGTTTAAGCCAAGCGGTCTCTAATAGTTACTCACCCCAGTCCCTACTCATTTTAAGGCCTTTAACTCTTTGCTCTTCTTATTGATTTCTTCCTCGAGATAGTCTACTTTGTTCAACAGATTGTCTTTGCGCTGTTCAGCACTGTTGAGCTGTTGTCGCAAGACCTGTAACCTGTCGTCTGATATATTACTGTCATTTTCCATTTCGTTAATGGTGAAATTCAGGTCAGACTCAGTTTTCAACACTTGAGCCAACTCAGAATTAAGGGAGTCCACGCGTCCTTCTAGATCGTTGATTTGCCTCTCGAGAAGTTCCTTCGGTGATTTCATACCTGTTTTGACGCCCGCCGTACGAGACTTGGGTCTAGATTGGAAATGGCAATGACATCAGTTGTAGAATCTCGTATTGGTACAATCAAAGGAGCCCATAACAGAGAGCGAGCAACTCCCATACTTGGCCTACACCACGGCGTTTTCAACGACCGGTTTATTTTTAGATACATTTTAGAGCAGTTTTTTCCACCAAAATGGAGGCTCTGCTCCGTCTATGAGGGTAATCGAAGTATAAGATACCAAAACAAACGAAAACTAAACGTCATTTAAAGGTCAAAAATCACGTGCCACGGTTTTGCTGACTGCTCTGTGGGACTTAAAAGATATGCTAAAATCGTTCTTAAAAATAAAATAGTCGGTGACAACGCCGTGACACAAGTAAAAGGAAGTTGTTGGCTCCTGACAATCCAGAATTTTCTTACTCTACCTTTAGAGAACTCTTTATTAAGAGGTAGTTTTCGTATTAGCTATCGTACCTATTATTTTCCGGAAATCGATGAATAAACGGATGGAGACGACCAGAAAGGAGAATGAATAAACTAATGAACGAATGAATGAATGAGTGAGCGAGTAAAGGAAAAAGAACTAATGGGAAAAGCCTTCCTAACTTCGAATTAACTTTCAGTAAATGCCAGAAAATTCACTGAACGAAGCACGTCTGAAGGGCGAAGAAAAATTGCGCATCAAATGGTTCAAAACTCACCTCTTCTCCTCTCCAGTCTTCTCGCCTCTTAGCTCTTTGAGCCTCGTCATGGCGAATTCTTCTTTCCTCGAAGACGGCGCATGTGCAGATGAGAGGTACTCCTTCAGTTTGGCCCGGGTGAGGAATGCGTTCTTCCTAGCAAGACGTTCTGTGACTCCCTGAAGGATAATAGACAGAAAACTGATGAGCCTACATAATTGCGTACCACAAATATTATCCAAAATTAAGCTAAGAAATATTGATATTGATCATATGTCAAAGCTAACGTACTTGTATTGAAAAGTCAGCATCGACTGGACTGGACACCTTAATGTTCACCAGTTCTCCCACTACATTGACACGCTCGGTCATTGACCTCGCCGGCTTGAAAGCCGCCTCAAGCGGATTGGCGCTTGACACATTACCCACAAGTCCTTGGGCAGTGGGTGTGTTCCGGGAGCGCGCAAAGAACAAGTCTTGACAACAAATACGGAACGCCTGGAAAATCAGGAAAACAATATATCAATAAAGAAAGGCAGAAAAGCTAGGATCAAAGATAATACACTAAGACCGAGGAAAAGAAAACGTTGGACAATAGTTGTAAGGTAAAACAAAACGAGAAATCGGACTTTATTTAAAAATGTGCTACCCAGCTCAAAAGGGTTAAAGAAAGAACGTAATCAAACAATAGTAAGAAAAAGCCAACTACAAGGACACTAACTTCCATAGCGCTTTCAGGAACAGTTTATTCAAGGGACCACCTTTTTTGTACAGAAAACTAACTGTCGTCAGAGAATCAAAAACACCATTTTTAGCGTCTAATTTTGGCTCACCAATTTTCAGGGACTTCTTTGGTAGATGAAATTCGCGATAAAAACTACAGTTGACATCTCTCTCTAATGGCGGACATCTCTTTAGGACGGAGACCTCCGTAAAACGAACGCCTAGAGCTGGTCCCCGCCTTTCTTTATTCCCTTTATTTGACATCACCCTAAGACGGGACACTTACTGTGGCGGTCCCAAAGGTTTCCGAATTAGAAACAGCTGACTGTATCTAAAAAACAAAGTTCCCTGAAAACTCCGTGAGACGTAAATTAACATGGATAAAAAGTTACTACCTTATAGAATTCTCTCAGGAAAAGTGGGTTCTGATCGTCAACGAGATCATCAATCTTTATGTGCGATAAGGCATGCATAATCACTACCAAGAAGTCACCAACGGACTCCATTCTTTCTTGTCGCACAAACAACACCCTGCGTGCATGCTCGTAGAAAAATGAATTCCGGAAGGCGTTTCGTTCATAATTGTTTGGAGGCAAATTAGAAGCAAGGAGCAACGTCACTTCCGGTGTGTCCATGGCTTTTTGCAACATCTGAGTGATAAAAACTCCGAAGCGATAGACGACGAAGTTGGCCGGGCTCAGTTCATTGATGTCCACAGGTACCAAGTCTCCCCGGCAGTACCACTGAGCGTCTTTGATATCAATGTAGGGCCGCCCGCCTTTTGCCCCAGCTACTCCTCCCTCGCCAATGTTATTTTTCAACATGTTTTCAATCTCATTTACGCTGTCGAAGATTGGAGAACCAATCAGCATTGAGACCCAGTCTTGTTCTGATACGCCTGCAGGCAGTCCAGCAGTGATTACTGGTGTAGCGCCTGCGCTAACTTGGCTATCCGCTGAGGTAAGTAAGCTTTCTGTGATAGGGAGCTCGTCTAAAGGCAAGGTTAAAGATTGACAATTTAATCTTCTGAGAACTATTTAAAATTTAAAACAAAAATCAGCAGTACGACAGTAACTAAATGTTTCGAGGTCTTCATTTCATCATTATCAAAGGTAAGAAATTATCATGATTTGTAGACATATGTGCACAGAAAAGGAAAGTGTTAAGAAAGAGAAAAGTGTAAAGAAGTAAATTTAACTACATAGCATGGAACTGCACACTGTTTCTCTAATCATCAACTGATTATTGTGTATTGTTAGTGTTTATTACCTGTTGCCTTCTTTCGTGTGTCCGAGGGAGCCCTTGGAACAGCTGGCGTGCTTGCTTTTAGAAGCTCCGCTCCTTCTTTTTGTAATGCCGTCATTTCTTCTCTTTCTTTCTGTTCAGCAGCCTCCGTTTCAACCTTAGCTGTTGCCTTGATCTTCTTCATTTCGTCTTCTTTCTTTTTCTTTCTTCTTGCCTCAAGTTTCTCGCGGAGAGCAGCCTTTGTTCGGTCTTGTTCTTTCTTTAGGTTTGCTTCGAATTTAGCCATGTTTTCCTCGTGCTCCTTCATAAGTTTCTAAACATCACAGAAAGAACGAAAATTGTATTCAAGAGAGCTCCTAAAAAAATTTCCCTAGACCTCTTGTTTTCTTTGTTTGCATTTGTTCTGCACCTGTACAATAGTCCACTTAGCTTATTGCACTCTGTCTATTACTAAGCATTATAACGCATGAAAACGGATAAAAACGAATCATTACTGAAACATCTAGTCCTCCCTTAGTGCACCTCTTCTCTACCTTCCCCTTCTCCCGTGGTCCCCTACCAAGCATTTGGAGTCCCGACTTTCCCTCCTCTGACTCTTTTATTATTAAACCATACAGTTACATACCTATGACCCATACATTCATCTTTACAGTTACCCCAACCCGTCTCTTAAAGAGCCCTTCAATTGACTTTTCTCCTCCCCCGCCCATTCATTCAACTCTACTGTTCATCCCAGCACCACCCCTGAGTGGACCGTTTTACTGACCTCCTTTTCGTCTTCCGTCATTCCTCTCTGAGCCATTGCCAGTTGCTTAGCAGCGTCTGCTTCCTGTGCCGCCTTCACCCGTTTAGCAGCTCTCTCCGCCTCTCTGTCCGCAAGTCTCAGTTCCTCGCGCTCTCTTTCTTTCTCCAGCTCAGCCTCAAGGCGCCTGAAAGAGACATTTCACAACAAGGTTAGCTGAAGTTTATTTTCGTCGTCCCGTAGGATACGTAAAGCATTGTTGCTACTAATCATTAAACCAATCATTTGTTTTTAAAAGTAACACACTCAAACTGTTATTTCTTACTTGACTTCTTCGTCCATTTTCCTCTTTTGTTCCTCGCTCTGCTGTTGCCGTTCAGCTTTTATTCTGTTGATCTTCTCCGCCATTTCAAACATGGTTTGGTCGCGATATTCTTTGGCTGCTTGTGAGGCACGCTCGGCTTCCTCCGCGTAGTTTTTGATCAACTCCTACCGTACAACGGAAAAAACAAGAATGGCCTTATTATACATTGTGTTCCACGGGACTGTTAGAAGCAAGCGCAGAAACAGAATCAGTTTAAAGCGCCAGAGGATATGTAACTCGTGAAAAGAGTGATAAACTATGCAACCCTTGCTCATTGAAGCAAACGTGTAACACATACAAAGAGCGTGAAACATGCAACTCGCGATAAAGCGAAGGAAAAGGGCAAAAGTTTTAGTCAAGCAGGGGTCTGTGGTGTGTCATCACACAAATGAAGCAGACGAGACTTCCATTTTAACACGGAGTACATGGGCGTTGTTTTGGATTTCAATAAATGAAAGCAATGAAGACTGGAGGCATAACAGGCAGACAAAACAAAACACTTTTTTTAAAAGAAACATTCATACCTCTTCAGTTGAAAGTTCGCTCATGGTACCAGCGAGTTCCTGCAGCTGTCTTTCTCGAAGTTCGAGTCTGGCATGCGCGTGTTTGACCTCCAAAGAAGGTAAGGTATCCATTTCGGCTTGGGCCATTTTCTGTTGAGTTTCCGCGTCAAACTGGGCGAGTTGTTTCTGTTTGATGATTGAAGAAAATGACTTTGAATGACTTTGAAGAAAATAACTTTGAAATGAAACAAAACTGTAAACGAACAAAGTCTCAAAGCTTTTAAGGTACAATTTTCTGTAAACAAGTTTCGGCTTAAGAAAGTCTTATCAATAAAAGTCAAAAGATTACACTTTGGATTTGGTGAACATGGAAAAGAACTACAAACCGAAAGAGTACGTTAAATACCTTATGCTGTAACTTAAGTTCAGCCTTCTTCTGAGACAGTTCGGCGGTGCTCATCGAGTTGGACTTCGCAATCAGCTCCATGAATTCCTAAAGGCAAATGTTTAGTTTAATAGAACTAAGCGCTGTACAGCTTCTTGCATATCAAACGTATGATTATCTTTGAGTGAAACTTAAGTCGTCGATACACGACATATTTCTCACCTTTTCTTGTTGAGCTACCACTTCTTCTCTCTCCAGTTGGCGATTCTCGGCCATTTGAGCCCGCGCTTCGGCCTTGGCAGCGTCAATCTCCCGGTTAAACTGTTCCTCAAGCTTCACCCTCTCATGCATGTGCCTCTGTTGTAACACCTGGTAAATAGTATTCCCTGCCTGCTCACTGTCCAGGCTTTGAACCGCATTAATCAGGGCTGACTTCTGAGCTTCGCGAATCTATGATTGAACAAAGACAAGTTAAAACAGCCATATCGATGAATATTTTTGTCATCCCTGTCGTTTATTTTTTTTAGAGGGGTGGGGGAGACGGGTAGACGGGTCGAGGGGTGGGCGAAAGAAGAAGATGATTTAACCTTCGACGCAGACGTTACGCATTCTCGATCGTTATGCCGAAATTATACCAACGTCTGCGTGGTAGGCTAGATACAAGGTGAAATTTTCAATGACTTTTCCTTTCAATTTTGACAGTATTCACCTTGTCATCTTCGACTTTCTGTCTCTGGTCCTGTTGGTTCATCGTTTCCTTTGCCATCTCAGCTTTGTGTCTTTGTTGTAGTGCTGCTGCCTTGCGCTTCTTTCTCTCAGCGATCTTGTCACCCAGTGAAGCTAACTGTCGCTGCTTCTCAACTTCCATGCTGCGTGAAAGGAACTCCAATTCTTGTTTGTGCTGTTCAAGCAACATGTCGGCTTGTTCTTGTGACAAGTCGTCCCGCTTGCGAGACATCTCCTTTTGAAACGTCTCCTTCTTTGCTTCGATCAGCTACACAATAACAAATAAATTAGTTACGAAACTGATCTTCTAAAGTGTTGCAAGTTTTGCCAGGAGTAAATCGGGTTTAAATAAGGTTAAAAAGCAATAGGAAGAGTGTTACTTTGGGATATCCAGACACGAGGCATGGAAAAATGTAAATCGGACTGATTGCAGATTGATTTAACACTTTTCCCGTTGTCAAATCCAGCTTTTCAAACACTCTTGTTATTACTAAGGATATGGTATTCATGCCACCGTCACAACAATGATCTCTTACGTATCTGTGGTGAACGATTAAGCGGATTTCTCCTTACGCCAGTCGTTCAAGCTGTTAACCCACCTTGAGTTTTTGTTCCTCAATCTGATCAACAACTTGATGGCCGCCAGACATTTCTTCGTTCTTAAGCTCTTCCTCTAAGGCCATCATCTCCTCCGCCTGTTTTACTTCCAGAGCAGTTTGCTGCTCAATCTGTTGTTCAGCCAGACGCTCTAGTTCTTTGTTCACCTCTTCTGATACTTGTGCGTCTGCTGCTTCTAACACCTGAAGAGTGGCTTGATCACCGGATAACTCAGCCTGATGGACGAGAGAATACAGTCAACTCTATTCCCCTCTCCAGAACCTCAAGGGGAATGGGTACGAGCTTTCAGCTTAACGATTTCTAGCATCATTTTGGTAGACTAGCCTTACTTATGATTGGTCATTGGTTGCCTTGAATACCATCGACCAATCATAACCAACGCTTGTCCACCCAAACAATCCCAGAAATCACTGCACCAAAAGCTTGTACCCATTCGTCTTAGGGTTTCTGAAGTGGGGAATAGACAAATCATTACAGAAGTCGTTATCCACGTTTTGGATCATTATCAGACAAAAATACGAAGAACGGACCGCGCTGAGCGAAGTTGCGAGAACTAGCTAAACAATATCGCAGCTCAATGCATTCAATGCTAAAAGAAATATCCAAACTTTGTATTGTTCCTTTGATAATCTACCTGTTTCTTGGCCATCTCTTTGAGTTCCTTCTTCATAGCTTGTTCCTTTCTCATGTCCTCCTTCAGCCGTCTTCTAGCCGCAAGTTTGGCTGCCAGCACAGCTCTGCTGTGTTTCTGCATATCGTTATACCGTTCTTTCATTTCTTCTGCTTCTTCCAAGTATTTGGCAACGATCTGCTTTTGTTTTTCTTCAGTCATCTCAGTTTTCTTCAACAGATTTTGTACAACCTTGGAGAAAAGAGAGAAAGAAAAGCATCTTTACCAAATTCAAATTGCGTCTTGTACAATTATAATAGTAGAAACTGTGAGAGTAGCAGGTGGGTGGGACAAATGAAAAACTCAGAGCCAAATGGAAATGAAGCCTATCCGTACCAGACCAATCAGTACTGACTGACTGACAGACTGATCCATAGCCGTCTTTCATTTGTCTCGAACTTTTAAATATCAAAGAGACGGGCAGAGATGTGCAAGCAGTGAGAGAGGGTTTGGGGATAACTCTCTTCATCCTTCCTCTCGAGGAAAAAATAGCCAAATCAGTTTTATTTATACCTGCGACGTCCAAACGAAGCAAACGTAAGATTAAATTCACACCTGTTTTCGTTTCGTGTCTTCCTGTTCAGCCTCCACTTCAGCCAAAACAGCAAGCAATGCTGCCTGTTCTCTGTGCATGTCTGCATTCTCTCTCTGTTCCAGTGCCTCCAGAATCTCAGCTTCCTCAGGGGACCCGGGTTTCACGTGTTTTAGCTCCTCTTTCAGTTCCTCTTCAGTCTTTTTGGATCTCTTACGTTCCTTGCGTTCCTTCATCTTCTCCTTCATGTTGACTCTTCTGGAAGCTGCTCGTGAGTGAAGCTAAACAAAACAAAACAAAACAAAAAACTAAGCATGAAAACCCTCTTCCTGAAAGACAGTGTTGAACTACCGTGATGATTTGATTTAGCCAATAAGCGACAACGGAGAGCAAGACTGGGGAGAGACGTTCGCGCACTTCGCGCATGAGAGTCTTACGCTACGCTGGACCGATTTTAAGAAAAAAACCCGACTGTTTTGCAGTCTAAAATGAAAGCTACTGAACAATTATTTCCTGTGGTACTGTTTACTATGCCCTACAAAGGGGTTCTAATTTTAAGTCGATGGATGAAATCGCTGTGTGTGACCATACAAGAGAAAGGGCTTTAGCAGTCAGCTACAGTGGTACTCAAATGTCTGTGTACAATTCACGCAGAGTGAGCATGCCACTGAAAACAATTGAGCTGTTCTTTCCGAACTGTTTGTGTTTCCTCACCTCTCTGACCTCTTCAAATGCACCCTCGATCTCTTCTGGAGCCACTGACAAGTTCATGGCTCGAACACGAGCTTCCATCTCTTTATCAAACGCCTCCCGCCTTCCAGACTCCATCTCCTCTCTTTCCCGCTCACTCTCCTGCTCATACGCCAACGCCAATTCAGCCAATAGTTTCTCTTGTTGCTGAGCCAATAAAATCAGCTCTTTGTCAAGTTCGTCTTCATCCGGGAGATCGAGATCGACAACGTCACTGACTCCTGCTGCGCGGGCTTCCTCCTTGTGGCGGCTAAAACGGCGGGAAAAATCAGACACAGTTATAAAAGAATTACTTAGCTTGCAAATAGTTTTTCTTGTAAAACCTTAAAAGTAAGTAAAACACGACTAAAAGACATACTTGAAAAGCTCTTTCTTGCGCCTCTTTCTCTCTTCTTTCAAAAGTTTTCTGACATCTCGCAACTTCTTCTGTTTTTGTTGTTCAATATTGTCTTGAGCAGCCGCCATCTTGTCTGAGTATTCCTTTATCAGTGCTTCTTTCTCATCTTCGTTCTCGGCTTTTCGTAATCTCTCTTTCAGCTCCTCCTGAAATAGTTTAAAGTAAGGTATGCGTCATCCCCGGATCAGTTAAACAAATTTTGCTCTGTGTCTGCTCAGTTACAGATGTTTGTGAACATGCGGGATAAAACAAGACCCTGTTCCGAAGTATTTTTCTGTTATCAAGACAAACACAGACTTATGATTTAACACAATACCCTTAAAGCACCGTTAACAACGAGCTTTACCTGTAAATCAGCGACAGCTTTGCTCTTCCTCTCCTCATACGCCTGTATAACCTCAGATATCACCTTTATCTCATTCGTCCTGAGTTCATTCTCCAACTGTGCGCATTCAAGCGTATGCTTCTCCATGAGGTTCTTTGTAATCTCTTTTCGCTTCTCTTCTGTCAGCCCGCCCGATGCGGCGATTTCAGCGATGTTTACAGCCTCAGAGCTGAACTTTTCTCCCATCTGTCCAACCTCTACTTTAGAAAGGATTTCTGTGGCAGAGATGGTTGTACCCATCGGCGTGTGCTGTGGCGCTAACATCATAGCTGACGCCTGTTGAGTTCTTTCAGAGGTAACGCTTGTTGGGGACATCAACAATGTAGGTCCTAAATAACACAAAATACGACCAAATTAATCTTTTCACTGTAAAAGTTGGCCAAAATTTCTAAGTGACATCTTGCAAAATGCTTAAAACAAATAGTACCATGTGAAAGTTTTTAAGAGGTTTCATTTGAATGGTCACACCATCACAAGACAGTCTCTCTCTGGAAGTGAAAGGCTTGAGAGAATTCACCCTAACGCTAACCTTTGCTCCAAAGAATATGTTGTGTCATTCTGGACAGATAGCCAAAAACATATGTCACGTGTTTTTGATACTACAGACCGCAAAATACACTAGAGATAAGTCCAATGAGACACGATCTAACTAGACCTCAAAACAGTCATGTTTTCCTCGATGCTCGCTGGGCAATAATTTTAAAAAAACTGTTTGCAGTTTAGAATCCTACATACCAATAGCAGTGACTCTGTCAGTTCCACTGCCACCAGCGGCAGCTCCACCGGCGCTAATGACATCAAACTTAGCACCGCCGCCAAGCACAGCGTATCCACCTCCGACAACCTGTCCAGCGGAGTTCATCAATACTGGCATGCCCTCTTCCAACAAGCGGATAAGGCGCTGAAGAAGTGGCAACAGCTCTCTGTTGGACTCCGGCAAAGGAAGATCATCACCGTAAATACCAGGCAATATGACTTCATATTCACCGGCGATCACTGCGCCTCCTGTTAGGATAAGCTGGATACAAAAAAAGGAAATAAAAATTAGCAATAATTGCTGACCTTTCCGATCCTGGCCAACACGGTTACCAAAAAACTTCTTGTTTTCTTGAATTTTGGTATTAAAACCTGCGTCTAATGTTTGTAAAAAGGTTACCTCACCCCAACATTTAACACTGACCACTAAGCAATATATGCTACTGCTTTTTACAGGGAATATAACATGTCTACCTTAGCTTCCAAAGCGGAGATCTCAGCTTTGTTTCTGACGTATTCAAGATTCGCGTGCTCTTCATCCAACTGTTCCATGCGGCTCTGAAGCTGATCTTGCAATTCCCCACGTAACCTAGCCTTGGCTTGCTGGAAGCGCTCAGTAACCGCGGCTTCTGCCTCGGGATTCAGTGCTCCCTGGAGAAACCCAACGAGTTAAATAGGTTAGTAACTCCTTAAACCATCACACAAGCGGCTGACGGCTGTTGTCAATAAATGCTAAATGCTCATCATTGCCCAAAAGCTAAGGGCTCCTCCATACCAGGGGATCAATTTAGGTTCCTGGGAAACTGCCCTCCTACCCCTCCCCTAAGCCAACATTAACACTCACTTCTCACTTATGGCAAAATGATGGCTCGGGGGAGGGATAGGTGGGCAGTTTCCCAGAAACCTTTTTTCCGGAAAACTGAACACTTACTCCTCAAAAAGCCAAAATCCTACCTGTAGTTCCTCCATCCTGTTGTTATACTTGGTCTCCTCAGTCTGCAGTTTATCAAAGAAGCGGGTGATGGCATCAGCAAAGCGTTTGTGAGCAGTATTATGACTTTCTTCTTTCTGTCTCTCCAAGGCATCAAACATGGTCAGAACAGCTACAATATCAGGAGGCAAGCCGGCCGCGTGATCCACTGAGGCTTCTGTTCGCCGCTGGACTTCACGATGAGCAGCATCAGCCAGAGACACAGTTTCTATGAAAACAGTTTTATTTGAGTTAAATTCATTACAATAACAAGGAGGGAAGTGACAGAGTTTATAACAAATATCAGCCGCTTTGCAATGGAAAAGAGGGGGACGATCTTTATGCTTTGTACTAACATCATGCGCTAGTAACCTTGTTTGAGGGGCTAATGGGTAATGTCCACAAGCATAGATGCCAAGCTAGTTGAGGCGTATTAGTGGGAGTATGAATACGCTCCATACACCAGTTCTGGTAAGAAACAAGTCACTTACCCTCTTTTATGTTCTCGAGTTGTTCATGTACTTGATAAGCTGTCACGTGTTCATCCTCCATCAGCTGTCTGTATAAGTTAGCCTCCACTTCAGTCAGTTCATCTTCACGATGTCGCTGCCGACGCCAGAAACTACGGCGGCCTGCCAGTTCCTCCTCCAACAGGGCAACCTACAGTTCACAAGCAAAGGTATAATCAGGTTCAAGGAAGAAGACGCGAAACGCGGATATATGAGAGGTGAGGCACTACCCACATATTTAAGGTGGAAACTTCGAAAGCCAGCTAAAGGACATGCAGTATCTCCTTGTTTCTCTCTCTCTGCATTCAGAAGAGTTCCATACCTTTTTAACCGCCTCAATCTTCCCCTTCCGTTTTGATCTGACACCTTTCACTTCAACACCAAATTTTTAAAAATGCTTTTGGCAATTAATTAAGACTAATATTACTAAAATAAACTAAACACAACGACTAAAAAACGCTTCCTTGTTGTGTCTGAGGAGAGTTGAAACAGATTTTCATCAATTGATTGGTGTTTGGAAAGCCTAATTACCCAGCCTTGTATGCAGCTTCACGACAACCTCATTCCTTAGCTTCCTGACACCAATCAACGAAAGAGAGAACCTGGGTAAGAGACTTTTGCAATACTTACCGATCCTGGGGGTGGACGTCGCTTTCTCTGAGGACTAGATGAAAGCGTGACAGGCTCTGTCACGCCAAACTCCTGATTCATCTTCACGCCACAGATGGTAGCAAGCGCACCAGTCACGGGGTCCACAGCCTTCTCTCCAATCATAATAGGAACCAATCCATCACCACCTGGGTCCTCTAGGGAGCCTCCCAAGGGGATCACCGTGTCTGTCTCGTGATTCTTATCGATTCCCAGAATTGGCACATCAAGATCCGTACCTGAGGGGTCTCGCATTGTGGTGCCCACTAGTATGGGGAGCAACTGACCGGTGGCTGAGAACTCGTACATGCCTGGGCTCCCACCACTGTCAGCCAGCAGAGAGCAGCGCTCCTCGCGGCGCATGATGTCATGAACGTTTCGCAGGATGTAGGTCATCACCTTTGAGCGTCCACGCTGTAAATCTTTCTGCGCAGTCTCCAACATGCTGAGTTCCTGACGACCGTCCAAGTCATCTGGCCCAGTTACAGCTTCCTTAAGCGCCTCCAGGGCATCTAGAACGCGGTATTCATAGTACAGCTCACCAACATCTAAGACATATTGGTATCCACCTCCCATTGGTTCCAGTTCCCTCTCTTGTCCATCATCCACCAACCTGGCACTAGTTACTTTTAGAGGTCTCCCAGAAAGAGGCTCCGTGAAAGAATCACCGAGCAGGACTGGAATTTCGTCACCTCTATCTGAATCTCCTGGACTACCACCCAGAGGAATAACATTACCTGTCCTAGGGTCAATGGTGACTCCTACAATGGGTGCTGGGCGACCGGTGTTTGGATCAAGCATCATGGAACCGAGCTCTATAGCAACCGGAAGTCCAGTGACTGGGTCGGGATGGCAACCACCAATTGGATAAGCATTGCCTGATGTAACAGAAAAATAAATACACGATTGTTACAGTAGATATCTCTTTCAAAGCCCCAGTTCATTGAATATTTTATGTGACGAATTTTTAATTTTCACTCTTGGAAGTTATGACGAAGTTTGATAGTTGTTAAAGGGGGGGGCGGGGATAATCCTACTTACCGGTCTCGGGATGAATGGTCATTCCCAAAATCGGTGCAGGTAGACCAGTCCTTCCACAAATTATTCTTCCATTTAATCTCATATCTCCTCTCTTCTCCACTGGAGTCAGACTTGTCTTCACAGGCACACCAGTCTCGGGATTGTTCGGATACGGGATGTATGGGATAAGTGTCTCTGCTGACGAGGCAGCGTCTGCATTAGTGCTGTCAGCGGTAATTGTGAGACGTGATGCAAGTGGGTCATACGCGACATTTCCTTCAATGGGCATAACACGTCCATTGTTCTGATGAACAAAGAAGTTGGGCGGGACTGGTACGTTAGTGACGTTATCAGCCAACAACATGTTAGCAGTTTGAGGATTGGGTATGAGAAGTCCCGTATGTGTGTCCTGAGATACGATATCTGTGGCGCGAATCGTTCCATCGCCATTGAACAAGTAATCCAGACCCAGGATCTCTCCTTCAATAGTGCAGAGCCTTGCGCCTGTAACGTCACCTAGTAGTGCCCAGGTTCCGCGCCGCTGGCATTCGCTTTGGATTTCCACAGACAACCGCTGGATAATTGCATCGACGCGGCTTCCAACCCTACAAGAGTACACGGAAGATGAATTTAGGGGAAACTTATTATTGTTGTTGCTGTTTTGTTATCACAGTTCTTTTGTCTTAGTTATAACATCGAAATTTGGATGTCCTCAAGACTATTTTAAAACGGCTGGCTTAGACGCATAACGCACTGGTACAAATACGTATCAAGAAAAGAGGATCAAATTCGAAAAAAATAGGTACTGTTTTCTGTTGTAGAATTGGCCATTTTGGTCATTTTTGAAATGGCTTAAACAATAGCGTCTTCACACATGCAAAATTCCGATTCCGAGGCGGCAAGTTTTAAACTTCGGCGAGTGTGAATGAACAATATTCCTCGGGGGGAGGGTAAGAGTTACATTTGCCTAGAAGCGAAACTCAGTTAGGGGGAGAGGGTCAAAAATACTGATCGTCACCTTATCGGTGATGTGAAGATGGATATGGTACGGGTGAAAATTAGTGAGTGTAAATCTTAGCAAGGCATGTTTGCACCAGGACGACATTAAATTAGAAAAACTTCATGACCGTAAGTAAGGATGTGAATTGGCTAACCGTCATGGTTCAAAACCATGCCGGCCTTACCTGTGTTCTAACTGATCATTGAAGTCTCCAGCCATGTCGCCCTTGCCTTTGTTTTCACTGTAACTCTTCAGTGTACGGATGGCTTCTCGCAACGACGCCTCAAACGCCACAAGGTGTGCCTCGCGTGCTTCCTCATCCTCTTCCAGTATGGCTTTCTGGCGCTGTAGGATCTGCTGGAAGTTAAAGCCCAGCTCCTTTCTCCGCTCAAGTTCGGCTTCAAGCTATGAAAATCATAAGGACATGTAAAAACAATTCATCATTTATGTTTGGCTCTGACCTGTAATAGGCGGATTTAACATGATCTAGTACCTCTTAGATCAAACAATAACAGACTTCCACTTTACCTCTGATTTCTTGCCCTCAAAAGCTCTCAAGTCCTCCGGCGTTGCCATGGCAGTGCGACCTCGTAAGTTAAGTTTGGCGATCCATAATCCTTTGAGGGATTCGGTCTGTTGATTGATCTTCTGATAAAGTTGTTTGGCCTGATCTTTTTGTCTGGCTATTGCTCCAGTTATATCACGTGATTGCTTCGCTAAAATTCCATAGAAGCGACCAGATGTGAAACCTTCCAAATCAACTTGCTGGTCATAATCCCAGAATTCATCCCCTTTCACTTCAGCATCGACTGCAAAACAATAAATATTTATAGCAAGTATATTCTTCTATAATGAAGAGCTTTTAAAGATTTCTACCGAGAAAAAGAATACAAGCTAGAAGTGAGAAACAAAAGTACGATATTTTTTTTTTATAAAGGACACAGACCTGCAGGTCCCTGTTCTTGTAAGGGTCCTTCCAGTGCATATTGATTTTGTGCTTCAAGGTTCCTGTGGTACTTCTTTGCTGGGTGTACTGTGGATCCTTTTGAGGAGTAGTCATCAAAGTTGTACCGCTGCGCTAGCACTCGATAGCGTGGGAATTTGAATGTCACTTTCTTCCAGCCGTGTTTACGGAAGATAAGCTAGGTAGGAGGTAGAAAATAAAATGGAAATAGAGTCAACAGTGAGGAAACAGAGTCAATCATGTCCTGCGTGGCAGGCATTTAAAAGGAGAGCGAAAGTAAAATAAGCACTCGTGCGCCTTTATCCCCCCTAACACATCCCCCTTCATTCCTTCATCCCCCGCTCTCCCTTCCCTTCCCATTCAAACGACAGCCACACATGCACAGTTAACTATAAAACATGTTATTCAGTTCTATCTCTGGAGTCTATCCACAGACGTCTGACACTGTGGGTGACCATTAAAATGAAACCCCTTCAACCGTGCTTTCAAACAGTTGCATTTGTTTTTCACTATTTTACAAAACGGAATTTAAGATTTAAATGTTTTATTCCTCCCCGAAGAAGTAGTAGGAGGGTTGATCACTAAAACCTACCAAGCCAATCAGGAGAATGAGCATTAACAGACCAAAGCTTCCCAGCATGGCACCAATCAACACCCAGTCGGGCATAATAACAATATCCCTGGAGATAGCAATACCATTCTGAATAACAACACGTGGCGTGGTAGAGAAGAACGGACCATCCTCAGCGCACTGTGCTCCTTTAGCCATAACACGTACAAGCTGAAAGGGAGAAAAATCGCCCAGCAAGATTCAATATTTATGGTATAAATCCAGTCATGTGATGATCTTCCGGTAAGTGTCGTTCTGTGACTGTCGCTCCAAAAGCGTGTAGGGGAGTCAGCGTTGAGTCAAAGTGAGCTGTCTATAGTCAGTTGATAGTATTAAACTAGAGATAGTGACATGATTCACCAATTTGTGACGTTATTCTATTAACTATAAAGATCGTAATGATTTACAGCCTACACTGTGGTTACATGACAATAATCCACCTTGCAAAGCTAAAAAAGAGCGGAGATGGAAATTTAAGTGTAACGATACAACCATCTCCCAGCATAAGCAGGGTATTACACTCACCATTGCACTTTCTGGATTTTTGCTTGAAGTAAACACATAAACACCTTCCTGATCGAACTTGTAAGCAAATAACTCAAATTTCGTAGACTCAAGCTGATGTCTTTCCTCCAAAGCTCTGAATGGTCCATCGTCAAATGACGGATTGGTGTTATAAAGACTGTCTTTATCATACTTAGGATAATCCGAGTTTGACACCTTCCAGATCATGTGAGAACCATGTGTAAGACACGTGGTCGGATTGCTGACGCCTCTATATGATAGACTGGACACCGCTCGGCGACGCCTTGAGGAGGAGGAGTTACTGACGCCAGCTGAATTTTGCTCAACAGCATTATCGAAAACGTCCACCATGTCATTATAATCAGGATCGTAAGCACCAATGGTTAATCCGTCTGTAAATCAGTACTTAAGAATTAATGCTTATATTAAATAATTTTTTTAAATTGCTTTTCTCGCCCTTTTTACAGCATTTGACCGAAGGTTGATTAGCAAGCATACTGAATAAAGAGAGAGCTCAAGGAATTCCTCTCGGCTCTTTTATGGATGGTAAGTGTGAAAGACCATTTCAGACCAGCTTTCCTTGAGATGTTTAGATGAACCAAGTTGTAGTATACGACCGCATAAAACAACTGATAGCCAAAAAGCCAAAAACGAAGGGTTGTGCTGAAGTACGATTTTTCTTTCAAGCGCCCGCAACGCAGACAAATTAACAGAGCACCAGTTAGACTGTTCACATTTCCCTATATTTCGATAAGATTGTCGAGATCGAGCGCTTTGCGTTACAGGCGACCATTCTGGATGAGTGTCAAATCTATTTAGGAGGCGGGAACGGGGGCGGTGGACGGTTTGGGAGGAGGCGAAAAAATAGAGGTCTACCCTATCACGAAATTTTCACTTTTAAGATCATAAAACTATTTTCTTTACAAATTGAAAACAAGGTAATAATTATTGACCTTCCATGACGGTTATGCTGACAGCAAAGACGCTACCATCCTGACAGTCGAAAGCTTCTGCGAAGTTCGGAACATTTGAGAAGTCTGATAAGTTGTAAAACCTCTGTTTTAAAGAAAAAGGAGAGATAACAATTGAATAATCGTACGTGTATTAATGCAAAGCTTTAGAAAATAATAAAAAAAACTAACAAGGTTCATGTGTGAAGCCAGCTCACTCTCATTTCAAAGGTACATAAATGCTCTTAAAGCCACAGGCAGCCCACGCTCCTAATTAAGTCAGTAATAAACTGTTTTACACTAAGCATCATAAAGGTATCGAAGAAATAGCAAAGAGTCGTTAGTTTTGGGCTTCACTGACTGGATTGAGGCGACTTTGCCGAGTAACTCGGCGGGGGAGGGTTACTTGGCTTGGAAATTTCTCAACACCTGGAAAAGTTTTACCTCTACGTTATCTGGTGACGTGATTTTCAGCTTTGGTGGATCTGTACAAATGACAGATAAGCGATACTTCTGTTGATTTTTACACTCTCTGTCACAAATATCATCTGTGCTGGTGACCCGGCATTTGCATAAAGCAATCTGACTTCCGACAAATCCAACAGAACCGGAAGGGCATTTCGACTGCGAAAAGTAAAATGAAAACAGTAGATAACGTTTTTGAAGGTGCAATTTATAGGGCATGGAACATTCAATAAGCTGTACAAGGTGGTTCTAACTTTTAAGTCTGAGGATGAAATCCCAAAGCGTGACCATTCAAACGAAAGCTACTAATCAGTACTTTCCTGTGCTACTGTTCGTTATGCTGTACAAGGAGGTCCTAACTTTTGAGGCTGCGAATGAAATCCTAAAGTGTGACCATTCAAATGAGCAGTTTTAACCCCCGTTTGGGTTATTTATTTCAAACCCACTTGAGGGGGGCTTATTTGATTTAGAAAAGACGACGGTATCAGTTCTCCATAAAGAACTATGATAAAAAGTGGAAAAGCTGAAGTACAAGGAGTTGGGGTTCATGCAGCCGAGGATCAGAAAAAAATCCGAACTTGCAGTTGGTGAATAAACCACCCCGTATCATTCCCGATGACATCTTACAGTCGTTATAACTCGAAGGTAACTCGAAGCAAAATTTGTCATTTTACAAAGAAACATATACAAATAGCGCCATTTTGTATCGACCAGTCAAAGATTTTAGCCATTCTTTCATAGTTTTAACACCGTTTATTCTTGGTTTCAAAATAAAGCTTGTGTGACATTGGATCGATTTTTCTCACTGGCTTTGATGTATGTTGCTGTGTGGAGTAATCATTCGGGGATAAACTTTATGGGCAACTATTTTGAGACACACTTTTGTCAAGTTTTTATTTTTAAAAAATTCTCAAAAATAGAATATTTGGTTTTCTGTTACCGAATGCGGGCTAGCTTCAATTTACAGTCAAACCAGGTCAAGCGTTCCCGTCGCTAACAAACTAATGAATTCATTAATGAAAAAATGATTTCGTTTGTTGATTCAATAATCCATTCATAAAATGAATAATCCAACAGTCAAATTGGACCTCGATGCAATAATCAAATGTTGATTTGGTTTATGAAAAAAATCTACCTGTTCTTTATTCTTCTCTGTTGTGTTCAATCGTATTTGCTTCCTTTTTCCTGCCGTTTACGATTGCGTTTTTCATTGCCTTTAATCAAAATAACAGCTAGAATAGACAGACCGCAAATGCAAAGAAACTGACAAAGGCCGAGGATCGAAATCCACCAATCACCGCACATACACTGACCTCAGTTTGACCGTTGTGTTTTCTAAGAGGTCAGGCCTAGGTCTGTTGCACTGATTACTGGCAGCAAACTGGAGTACATGTAACAGTTTCTTTGGGTTTGAACTTCAGAACTCGCCAGCACTCGACTCTCAGAAAAAAAAGAGGAAAAAACAAAATTCTGAGGTCAACTTGTGGAAAGTGTAGTTTTTCAAAAAACAGTAATCGAATCAACATTCGATTATGGAATCGAGGCTAAATATGAATATTGGATTGTTCATTTTATGAACGGATTATTGAATCAACAAACGAAATCATTTTTCCGTGAATGAATTCATTAGTTCGTTAGCGACGGGAACGCTTGACCTGGTTTGACTGTAATGTATCCCGAAACAGTCTAGGTCAATTTTTGACATCATACTATCAAGATCGATGCCAAGAAATAAATTTTTTGTTGGTAGTATTTTTAGCGGCCTTTTCCTTCCCAGGAAATTGCGCACGCAAGGGTTAATGGAGTATTTACGGTATTTAAAAAGCTGAAGAACATCTTGATTCCATACACGCTACGGCATTTTAAAAAACTTACTGTACTACTGCAGTAATCCAACCATTGTGTTTCATTCCAGCAATTTCCTTTATCATTTCGCCATGTATCTTCACCGCATATGCCGTAAGTTTTTTGCTTACAATCTAAGCTGTTACTGATCTCTTCGTAGCCATCCTCGCATCCACACGATCCTTGTGATGGCTGAAAACAAAAAAAATTACGTTTTAAGTTCCTTTTACAGGTGAGAAATTCTGCCACTGCTTATCAAATATTTCAGACTAGTCTAATTCGTGTAAAAGAACTCGGAATTCTGTAAGGTCAGCTAGTTCAAAGTGATCACCACCTAAGTATGGCATATTTCGCTGACTGAATTCAAAGTTGTTCGACACAAAACATGACCTGTCATCACTGATTTTTCTCGTACCTTGAAAACACGGTTTAGTCCGGTGCAGCTACACGTGTCGCTACCTTTACCCTTCGCTTTAGCGTTACCGCAGAACTTGCATTTATCTCTACCGATCTCGTCATTAAAGTGATTTTCAGTACAAGGTTTACACTGTCCCTCGTGTTCAGCACCGAGGAGGTCATTGTAAGTTCCATTCTTGCAGGGTCTGGGTTGCAAGTCTCCTTTCTCGCAGTAGTGTCCCGTTGGACACAGGAAGCTGTTGGTGTTGTTAACTCCAAATGATGATTCATTTTTGCCAGGGAACTCTGAAGTTGCTCCTAACGAGGAAGAAAAGAATGTTGCTTCAGGTTAAAATGACGACAACAGAACCAGTTCAGTCTTAACAGTACCGCAGGATATGACTACTTAGTAGTTTTCCTATCCATGGAAACTCCTGGATTTCACCCAAAGATTCAAAACATACGATACTGAATCTTGCTCCGCATAGTAAACAGTACCAGTGGAAAGTACTGCTCAGTAGCTTTCATTTGAGTGTTCACACCAGAGGATTTAATCCACAGACTCAAAAGTTAGAAGCAGCTTGTACAGCATAATAAACAGCACCGTACACAGCTTCACGGTGAGGAAGATCGGGGGAGGTCTGTTGTTGAGTCAGTTTGGGTATTGATACCGTATGGTAACCGACAAACCACTTGCGCAACAAAGTTCCCATTTGTTGCAGAAGGGGATGTTACTTGACAAATTCTTAAGTAAACAAGGAGCATTTACAAACCTTCTAAACATATAACGCCAGCTCTGCATATTTCACAAACTGAACGATTTGCATGATTGCCAAAGGAACCAGGTCTGCAAATTTCGCACGTCTCATTGAAACTTAATCCCTTGGCGCCATCCTTATGTCTGTAACCTGTTAAGAAAGCGATTTAAAGGTTATCTCTTTTTTGTTTTACAACAAAATAGAGAGAAAAAAAATTGATGTCGACGGAAAAGTTTGTTCCATTTTCAAAGACGAGTACCGTGTGGACGGCTTCAAAAACCGTAAATAAAAATTTTAAATGTAAATGCCGAGATTGTAAAAAGCAAGGATAAAAAAAAATAAACGTACATGTGGAGGCATTTCCAAACGAAAGAGGTAAATGCAAATTGAGAATACATACCAAGAGGGCAAATCTTGGAGTAACAAGCACCCGCGTCTCTATGTATGGAATCGTTATAGCAGTTATACAATGGGTCGCAATAGTGTCCCTCTGGACAAGGAATGGGCGCGGGTGATGCCTTAGGACAATAATATCCTGCAGGGCAGGGTAGCTGAGTCTGGGCCTTGTCACAGAAATATCCTGCCAGGCACACAGTAGGAGCAGTTCTACCCGGTGGACAGAAAGTGCCATCTTTACATTCATAGCCCCAGAAACTGCTATTGGACAGTGGACAGAAGCGACCGGCAGGGCAGAGGTGACAATCGGAAATGTTTCGCCCTCTGGTAGTATTTCGGAAGGTTCCATTTGGACATGGGATTGGGCTGTCTGTGGCATTAGGGCAGTATTGACCCACTGGGCATGGAACTGTGGTGTAGTCTGAGATACCTGTTGAGAGAGACGGAAGTATGTAGATCAATTTTATAAACACTTGGTAATAAGGTCGTCACCTAAACAAATTTCTACTGAAAAAGATCAATGACCCCTTGTATCTCTTAGCCTTTGACTAATTAATGTCCTTGTAGGCCGCTCTAAGGGCGAAGAATCCTTCATGTATGTTTATGCGGTAGGAAGTCACGTGTAACACTCGTTATGGAAGAATAAATAAATAAATTAATTAATTAATAACTTTAACAGCAAAGAAGTCAAAGGCAACTTACATTACTCTTTGCAAGTGCTAATGGGTATAGGATCGAACATCAAGAAGTCTTACGCAGTTGCTATAGGTCGTCCCCACCCCTCCCGTGAAGTACTGTATGGCATTAAGGGCGGTTACGTCACACCCAAGCAACTACTTTGACCTCCATTATTTTAACACCCAGATGTTAGTTCAGGTGTGATTTGCATCCTCTTCCTGTGGCTTCAGAGTGTAACGCTTTACTAACTAATCTAAAAGGCGGCAGGCTTTGTTAAGGGATCAACCTCTTACCTTCATACCAGCAATAGTAACCAGCAGGACAAGGATGACAAAAACTGATATCGGTTGCACCAGACACGTTATTAAACGTGTACAACGGACAAGGCCTTCTTGTATCATTAAAGGGACAATAGTGTCCCTTGGTACAGTCCTCAGGGATGGAGCTTCCCGGGCTGCAGATCTTGCCAGCAGGGCAGGTTTGACACTCTGACTTTGAACGTGCTCTCTTGTATGGGATCACCAATCCTGGTTCACACTTTAGAGGTTCATGAGTTCCAGCTGGACAATAGTAACCAACTGGACATTCATCACCAATAGTCTTGTTGGAGCCATCTGGGGTAGGCGTTGGATTTCCAATGTAACATAAGTAACCTGCTGAGCAGTTATCAGCAATCACACCAAGCTGACAGTAATGTCCAACATCGCACGGCTTGCACTGATCCACATCACTGAGCTTGGAAGCATTTACATCTGTGAATGTTCCATTAGGACACACAACTGGTGTATGGGTACCGTTTGGACAGTAATGATGAGCTGGGCAAGGTATTGGACTGGAAGTGTTTGCTCGGCAGTAATAACCCTCTGGACAAACATCACATGATGACTGATGAATTCTTTCTTGATAGGTCCCTGGATTGCAGCCGTATGGGTTAGCTGTACCATTTGGACAGTAATGTCCTGTTGGGCATTGGAAGCGACTAGGATATGGTGTGCGAATGTCTTCTTCAGCTGGACAGTAGTATCCTGCAGCACAGTGACTTGTTGCAACAAGTAGACCTGGCTGAAAGCAATACTTTCCTCCAGTACAAGGTAAACAATCATTGCGAGACTTGGCACCAGGGTAGGGTCTGAGAGTTCCTTCTGGGCACATGGTGCCATTTGTTGTCCCTTCCTCGCAGTAATATCCAGGAGGACAGGGCCCGTTGTAAGCATCACTTGTGTCATTTGGAGCATCAAAACTTGCCCCACCCCTGCAAAGGTATCCTGCCCGACAAGGACCTGTGGCATTTGCTTGTCCAGGAAGTTCACAGTACTGGCCAGGAGGACAGGGAAGACACTCATTCAGATACTTTCGATACCTGTTGGGTTGATAGGTTCCGTGTGGACATGGATTACCATTAGGTAGTTTTATGCTGCCTGGGCAATAGTGACCAGGAGAACATGGTACGGGGTGTATTATAGTCGTATTTGGACAAGTGTAGCCAGCCAGACACTCATAGCATTCATCAAGGCCTTCAATTGGACCATAAGTACCTATCGGACAGGGCTTCTCAACTGCTGTTCCCTTGGGACAGAAATGTCCTTGGGGACACACCTTTCCTTCACTACCATCTGTTGGCCGTGGGGTAGTTGAACCTTGAAGGGAAAACAACAAAAATAAATAAACTCGCTCATTTAATTAAAAAAAATACAACAATCAAATATTACATTCTCATTTTTGTTTAAGGCGAAATGGCGTACTTGCTCTTTACCAAACACATTACCGTCGCTTTACCAAATTGATTTTTAGACTTTTCTCGAACATTTGTCACACTCCTCTTAGTACGTTGTATACTAACTTACCCAAGATACAAACAAAGCCGGGATCGCATTCTCTCTCCTGAACAATGGTGGCATTTGGATCACAGTAATATCCTGGGCTGCAAGGCTTGCAGTCTGAAACATTCTGATTCCTCTTCGAGTTGGCGAAGGAGCCTCGTGGACAGGGCGTGGGAATGTAGCTTCCCTCAGGACAGTAGTGTCCAATCGGGCATTCTGCATAAGCTGGGTTAGGAACTGTGGCATTGCCACTGCAATAGTATCCAGGAAGGCACAATCCTTGTGGTTTTGATAATCCTTCTGATTGACAATAATACCTACAAAAAACGTGTAAAAAAAAACCTTGTCACCATCTCATCTTTATCACATGTAAGGTTTGTTTCAATCTGCTTTAGGGAGCAAATTGTCTGGTGACGATGGCCCTTTAAGTATTGATAAAGAAAAGAGCCCCACGGGACTGCAGTTGTACTTATTCCTTACGGCATAGAACAAGTGGCTAAGCCTAACTGATGGGATGTTTAAAACAGACACCTAACTTGACATTTTAGATGAAGCAACTAACAATATTGCCACTGTGCCTTGTGTGACAATGTATATTTCATTCTAGTGTACTTAGTTCAGCGCGAAACCGAATCGAAATAAATAGATAATTAAGTTGGGCTTTGGTTCATTTGTTCCTTTTTACATGTGGGTGGATAAAAACAACGAGAGGAAAGGATTTAGAGAAACAAAAACACAACAGGAAACACAGAGATATTTCTAAGTTGCTATTCGTAATGCTCTATTTTGGTTTTCACATTTGAAATTCAACCTTGTCGTCATGAAATCATTCACATATACATGCATCAGGAATAGTTTTGTATGACACCACCGCTTTCGTCTATTTTACAGCTGATTTCTGTAGTTTGGCTAAGCTTTATGTTGGGCAGTCCCAAGAAGGAGTTCATCTTACCTGGGTGGACAGTCAGTGCACTGGTTAGCTCTTTCAAGTCGAGTCTTGTTACTCCACGTACCAGTAGGACACTTGTACTGAGTAGAAAAAGATGTCCCTGGGGGACAGAAGTGCCCTGTTGGACACTCATATCCTGTTAAATTGCTCACAGCAACATTAGTGTTATCACAGTAGTATCCTGGTAGGCACTCATCGCACACATGTGAATATTGGTCACTTTCATATGTGCCATTTGGACAGCGCTTAGGCAGTGGTGAGCCCTTGGTACAGAAGTGTCCTACAGTGCATGGGTGTGCATTTGGACTTGACACTTTCTGTCCAGGAGGACAGAAGTAACCTAAGTCACACAGTCCGTCGGGATAGCTAAGACCACTGCTATTGCAGTACATGCCAGCAATACATTCTACACACTGAGATGCATTCTCCTTCTTTTTGCCTCGCAAATAAAAGCCTGGTTGGCACGGTTGAGGCTCAGGTGATCCTAAAGGACAATAGTGCCCTTCTATGCATTCAATCTGGCGCCTAGAACTGGACCCCAGAGGACAATAATACCCTGGGTCACACTTTCCAGTGGGTGAATAAAGACCATCTGCATCACAGAAATATCCAGGTGTACATTTTGTCATATTGTAAGATCCTTGTGGGCAGTAGTGACCCTGCGTACAGCGCGTGGCACTTGGCGCAGCTTGCTCATTTCCTCCAGGGCAATAGAAACCAGCACTGCAACTGTTTGTAGGTTTGTCATTTCCATAGCCCAGGCAGTACTGACCTGGATCACATGGCAAACAATCCAATGACGAGTTTCCCCTTGTCTTGGGATTGTACGTGCCTGGCTTGCACGGTTTGTAGTATGGGTTGGGTGTCCCTTCAGGGCAGTAATGGCCAGTTGGGCAATCATTACCGATGTATGTTGTTGAGTTAGCATAGCAGTAGAAACCCGTTGGACATTTCGTACAGCTACCTTGGCCTTCCATATCTTGGTAAAAACCAGCTGGACAACCTGTCAACAAAAGTCAAATAAACACAGGCTTGGTCTGTCAATATAGACAAGAAAACGCAAAACAAAATTAAACTTCGCAGTTTTATCAAAATTGTTTTGTTGCAGAAGCTGGGAGTGGTAGGCCATGTGAGCCAGAGATTTCCAGGGGTATGTTTTTCTTCCAAAATGGGTTAAAAAACGACTTCGCGGAGCATATGGCATACTTCACGGTTAACCTCCGCATGAACAGGTTAATCGTGGCGTTGCTTGTTTGAGAATCTCTGCTCTTTTTAGCTGTGTTTAAAGTAAAGGGATAGTTTGTGAGAGAGATGGGAAAGGAATTGTCACCAGGGACCCTTACATTTATTGTCTAAATTGCATACCTTCAAAAATTACACTTCCGGACAAACAGAAATGGCCCCGAGGGCAAATATTTCCAATGGTGATGTGAACATAATGGGCGGGGCACTGCGTCAAGTTGGTCATGTATGGCGTTGGTGATGCTGCACCAGAAACACAATAATACCCAGCACTGCAGTTTCCAGTCGGTTTGGTCAAGTTGGTACCTCCACAGTATTTGCCACCAGGACACGGTCTGCAGTCTTGCTCACGCACTAGGTTCTTATGACCACTGTAAGTGCCAGCTGGACACTTTTTCCAGTCTCTGCCAGTGCCATTTGGACAGTAGAATCCTTCAGGACAGTCATGCTTGGCAGAACTAGAGACACCTATTGTAAATCGATAAGAATGTGGCGTCTTTTAAAAGGACTATGTTAAAACCACGTAAAGCTGTGTTCTCGAATACATAATCTGCGTTTTTGCTCCCAATTGATTTTGTAGATCATGCAGCTCCCTTCGAGTAAAAAGAAAACTTCATATAGCTGCAGTGAGAGGGTTAGGTGAACGTTACTTACCTGGGATAACAAGTTCTGGTACGCAGTAGAAGCCCTCAGGACATTCACTACACACAGACGATTGCGCGCTTTCAGCAAATCTCCCTGCAGGACAGTCTTGAGGTTCAGCACTTCCTCGAGGACAGTGCTTTCCAGCTAGGCAGCGGAATGGATTGCTGACGTTTTGACCCTTAGGGCAATAATATCCTTCATCACACTCATCCTTTGGTGCAGTCAGACCCCTATCATCACAGTAATACCCTGGTCGGCAATCGGTACAGTCTTCAGCCTTTGTCAGTTTGGTTCCATTGGAATATGTTCCAGATGGACAAGGGGAAGGATGGAAGGTGCCTACTTCACAATAATGGCCTTGAGTGCAAGGGAGTTCTTCACTGCTTGTTGAACGCTCTGGGCAATAGTACCCTAATTTGCAAGGACCTGCCGTTTTCGTCATGCTAGTTTCATTACAGAATTCCCCGCCAGTGCAATTTAAGCACTGATGTTCTGCATGGAGGCCTTTTGAAGGACTGAATGAACCAGCTGGACAAGCTATAGGATGATCGACACCTAAATGAGAAACAAACAACAAAAACAGAAAAAAACGTTAAACAAAAACAGCAAACACAAGCGGAACATCAAAATGCTTAGGCAGGAGTGCAGGTTCACTTCCTGAACAGCAGCTGGTAGTCAAGCCTATATGCTCCACAACTATCTGGTTCTTTGCTACAAAGCATTCAGTTCTTACAATGCATCCAAACACGTTGCAGTGACCTTAGTGTAGTGTTCGTTTGAAACAGCAGTGACAATTGCTCTAGCATTTCATAACTGCATATTTTTACAAGCTACTGTGCCACTTTCTTAAGTAATAAAAAATAAAAACCAAACCTAATTGTGTTTTGCTAGCACACGCTTTCCGACACTTGGCTCTAGCAACATGCTCCTACCTCAAGTGACCAGATTAATGGCTACAGTAATTCCTATTAATTTGGTTTTACTGCAATCACCTGATAACTTTTTACGGTTTGTCATACCTTCTGGACAGTAGTAACCCTCTGGGCAGATATTTGCCTTGTCTCCAAGATTAGGAGTCGTACTATTGGCACCTTCACGGCAGTAATATCCAGCACCACACAGCCTGTTTGGTCTGACAAGTCCCCACTCGTCACAGACATATCGGCCAGTGCATGGCAGACAATCCGCCTGTTCGTCCATCCCTGTTCTGTTGTTAAACGTACCAGGGGGGCACTTAAACTCTTCAGCATACCTGGTTCCGTTAGGACAGTAGTGACCTTCAATACAAATGTACTGCCCATACGAGATGACTGGGCCATTGGTGTCATTGCAGTAAAACCCACGGGGGCATATCCTACAGGTTGACTGCCCTGTCTCATTTTGGTAATATCCAGCTTCGCAGGGTTCAGGGTTTGCACTGCCCAAAGGACACTTGTATCCACGAGGACACTCATGTTGGTGGTCATTTTCAGCCCTTCCAGTGCAATAGTATCCAGGTGCACATTCTGCTGTTGGCACATGGAGCCCACTGCCACCACAGTACCACCCAGGAGTACAATCTTGACAATCAGTGATGTTCCTATAGAAAAGGGGGGTACAAACACGAATAATGACCACACTAAACATCACTGAACACTAGTTGGACGGCTGCACTATTTCCCTGTGCAAACTGCGACTGTAACCAGTTATGCATCTTGTTAACTCCCTACGTTTGCAATAACTGTATGTATTCATTAGAATTTAAAACTGGTAAGTCGATTTAAGAGACATTAACTGAAGACCTGAGTTTGCGAATGAAAAGGCACAGTGAACATTTGATATGAATTCCCTTCAGCAGTCTTTCATCATATCGCTATGTTGTGAAATGTTTAACATTAGCTAAGGAGTGATGAAAAATTTTTATTTTCTCTGTGAGAGAACCAATGTTTGTTAAGTATGGTCTGTAGAACATACATATTTCCTGTGCTGTTCAAGAATGTTCCTATTGGACAGTTTTTGGGTGCAGCACTTCCCAATGGGCAGTAAGTGCCATTTGGACATATGTCTCCTGTGTCCCCATCTGTAGGTCTTGCTTGACTAGCACCAGATGTACAGTAGTAACCAGCAGCACAGTAATATTCTGGCTCGGATAGTTCTTCACGTTGACAATACTTCCCTGGGTCACAACTTATGGGCAACGCTGATCCATTAGGACAGTAATGACCCACAGGGCAACGGGCTGAATGCAAATGAGAGACAATTAGCTCATTAGTAAACTTAATAAATACTCCTGTTCGTTTCCATCACGTAACAAAATCAGTACATCGAACCTTTGGATTCAGATGCTTACCTCCATCAGGAGTTGGCTTTGTCGAGCCATTCACGCAGTACCATCCTCCATAGCAGTCTGCAGTTGGTTTACTTAGTCCGGATCCCTGACAGTACTTTCCAGCAGTACACAGAACGCAGTTAGACTCCTCCGTTTGCCCAGTTAGATTATTAAACGTGCCCTCTTGACAGAGAATTGGAACACTGGTATTCACGGGGCAGTACCTTCCAGATGGACAGATGGTGTCATTGTAGGTAGAGGCTTTGGCACGACAGAAATATCCAGCTGGACACAGCTTGCAGTTAGTTTGACCTTCTTTATCTTGGTAACTTCCTGCAGGACACTCTATTGGTAGTGTAGAACCCTTAGGACAGTAATGACCTGTTGGGCAACGGCCTCCAAAGCCTACAGGAAAATGCATGAAAGGGTCAGGCCTTACTTTAACACCCCATCAAAGCAAGTTCGTTTTTAGAAACCCTACAGTGTGACCAATAAATTAAACCTTCTTTCCTGTGGTACTGTTTATTATAATATAGAAGATGGTTCTAACGTTTGAAACCATTTTTCAACCATTCGTATGAAATCTCTACAGCATGGCTATGCCATTATTTTGTTTCTTAGCATTTTACGATATAACACGTGAGGTTTCCTTTTAAATAATCTGCATCTAAAATCTCACCAAAGGGGCAAATGCCTTCTGAGCATAATTTACCTGTATGTAGTCCCAGAATGGAGCAGTTTCCAAGCAAAGAGGTCCCGTTCTCTGAGTTAACAGGATCAGGTTTGTCGACCCCAGATGTACAGTAGTATCCTCCGTAGCAGTCATCTGTTGGTTGTATGGCATGAAGGTCTCCACAGTACTTCCCTCCTGGGCAGTCCTCACACTGGGTCACCAAGCTAAGGTGTGTTCGGTTACTGTAAGTACCAAGTGGACAAGGGTTCCAGTCTAGCCCAGTCCTGGCCGGACAATAGTACCCTCTTGGACAGGCATGGTAGCCTGATTGTGGGTCCCCTGAAGTGACATTTTCTGGGATGCAGTAATATCCCGCAGGGCAGTCCTGGCAGGATGACTGTGCTGTAGCATTGGTGAATGATTTAGCAGGGCAGTCTTTTGGAGTGTCGCTTCCTGTATGGTAATGGCATCAAAGTTTAACGGGAAATTTAGTCACTGAACATGCAAAACCTCTAGTTAATAAACATGGATATTAGCCAGGATTGAACCCTACACTGGGGGTTAAAAAACAATTAGAGACGTAAAGGTGCACGTGCTCCCGTTTTAATGAATCTCTACCATCTGACAGTTGTCTCACTTGCGAGCACAACTATGGAGATTTAGAAAACGATTTCTACTCCTCTTTCATAATTCACCACATATTTCAGTAAACTAATTCAATACGTACCCTCAGGACAATGCAAACCAATTGGACATGGTACAGCATTATCCACACGGGATCCAGTAGGGCAGTAATATCCAGCCCTGCAAGGTCCTGTGGGGTACGTCCTCCCTGGTTCAAAGCAGTATGAGCCAGCTGTACAGTTTCTGCATTGCTCTGCCTTCCAGAGGCCAGTTGCATTAGAATAGGTTCCCACGGGGCAATCTTTGGGTGTATGAGTGCCCACAGGACAATATTTCCCAGCTGGACAGACCTCCTGCTGCTTGCTGGTTGAACCTTTGATGCAGAAGTAGCCTTGTTGACACTGTCCTGTTTCATTTGTCCATCCTGCAAACTGACAGTAGTATCCTTCTGTGCATGGTGTGCATTCACTTGAGTTGTGCAGGCCTATAATGAAAAGAAATTCATAAAATCATTAGAATATGCCTGGGCAAATGAATAAACAGGTTATCTCTACATTGCTTCCATCGAATGAGACGTTATTCACATCTTAGTAGAACTCTTTGTTATCTGGACTGAGTCAGCTTACCCAGTGCGTTACTGAATGTTCCAGGTGGACAAAGTTCTGGTTCATCTGTTCCTTCAGGACAGTATCGTCCCTGTGGGCATACATTTGCATCACTTCCTTGGTTGGGCGTAGCAGAAGTTGCACCTGAACAAATAATAACAAACAAGTTTTATATTCCAGTGATGAGCAAGAGGCATTTACCAGACGGATGACTACTTCACTGTATTGAGAAACACCAGAATCCTAAGCGTTAGTGTAAGAGTTTGTCGAAAGTGAAGTCTTTTGTCTTGGCCTTGTATGGCAAACTATGTGATTGGCTAGAATGCTTCATAACATTTTCTCGACCAATTACCAGAAGACCAATATCAATTTTGGCGTTTTCCTGGGCTTAAGGCTGCTTCAAGTTGTGACTGGTTTGCTATGATTGTCTGCAAGTGGTTTTGTGACAATCAATTCAAAATCACCTTTTGGAACAAAGACAAATCATTTACCTTTCTTGCAGAAGAAACCGGAACTGCAAAGAGTGCGTGGATAAGTCAGACCAGATTCACCACAATAATAACGTGGAAGACATGGTGTACATTCAGTCTGACTGGCACGGCCTGTTAAGTTGTTAAAGGTCCCAATGCTGCATGGAAATTCTTCGGCAAATCGAGTACCATTTGGGCAATAGTATCCTTCAGGGCACAGGTATAAGTTGTAGTTCTCTACTCCGCCATACGTCGCATTGCAATAGTATCTTTCAGGGCATTCCTTGCAGCTGTCTTGCTTAAGTTCGTCTTGGTATTTGCCAGATTCACATTTTGCAGGACTACCGACTCCTGCAATACACTTATGACCCAGTGGACAAACATATAAAGATGGAGTGCCAACTGACTGCCCAGGTGGACAATAGTATCCAGCCGAACATTGTCCATCAGGGGCAGCAAGACCAGATGTATTGCAGAATGAGCCATCAGTGCACGGTACACATGCACTTGAGTTAGTTGCACCATCTCCACCATAGTAGGTTCCTGGATCACATGGGAAGGGGTCTGTTGAACCCTCAGGGCAGTAATTCCCAGGTGGACATTTACCACCAGTCTCATCGGTAGGTGTTGAGCTGCTTGCCTTAAGCTTACAATAATAACCTGCACTGCAATTTCCTTTGGGTTCACTGAGCCCTGCCACATCACAAAACTTTCCTCCGTCACACTCCTTTGGATATGCTGACCCTTCAGGACAGTAATAGCCTGGTTGGCATCGGCCACCATGTGTGGTGGTCATGTTGGATGTTGCACTTCCGTTGCACCACCATCCTGCACTACAGAGGCCTGTAGGCCATGAATTGCCATCACCTTCACAGTAACTACCTGGAACACAAGGAACGCATGATGCACTTGTTGTTTGTCCAGTCAAGTTGTTGTATGTTCCAGGCTGGCACGGGAACTCATAAGGCCGTGTGGTGTTGACTTGACAGTAATGACCACCGGGACAGGTAAAATTAAGGTAAGTGACTGTGCGTCCTACACAATAATACCCAGCTGGGCAAGCTTTGCACTCCTTCTGGCCACTCTCGTCATTGTAGGTACCTGCAGCACAGTCTCTGGGTACATTGGAACCCCCCGTACAGAATGTTCCTGGAGGACAGATGTTGCCAATACCAGTGTATTGCCCCAAGAAGGTTGGATTGGGACACGAACTGTTACTCACATTGTACCCATCAATGTAAGGCTTCCGCACAGATACACCTACAAACAAATAAAAACAACAATTTGGCATATAATTAACGTTCAATTTATAATAAATCACTGTAACATAAAATATCAGTATCAATATGCAATCAGTTCCTCGAATTTCACTTCCAGAGTTGATTTTGGGAGTAGTACAGACCACCTCTATTTTTGGGTCTGTAAATAAAAACCTCCTCAAGGACACTTTTCTTCGTTTATCTATGTGGTGCAAAATGAGTTGAAGGCTCATGCAACTACAGTGAAACCTGCATTAGGTGGACCCTCGTGGCACCTTCGCTGGTGTCTGCTTAATAAAGGTGTCTGCTAAATACAGGCTCGTATTACTTAAAATATGAGAAGGAACATTTGAAACATACTGAGCCATTCATCTGCTTAATGCATTGCGCCTGCTTGATGTGGGGTCCACTAAAAATACGTTTCACTGTATGATAGTAATGGCATTCGTAAAGAAGATAACCAAGTCAACAACTAAAATATTTCTGAACATAAATCGCTTACCTATGGTGCAATAATAACCAGGTGCGCAGAAGTCTGTTGGAGATGTAAGATTCCGTCCATCACAGTATTTACCAGGATCACAGTCCATGCATTGCTTTTCCATGTACAACCCAAACCTGTCGCTGTATGTCCCGGCTGGGCAAGAACGCCAATCAAGACCTGTTCCCTCTGGACAGTAGTAACCTCTTGGACAGATGCGGTATCCAATAGATTCATTTCCCGCCAGTTCAAGTGGGAAGCAATAGAATCCCTCGGGACATGGATCACACTTATCTCTTCCCGATGAGTTTGCAAATGATCCTGCGGGACACGGCTTAGGTAAGGAACTTCCTAGGGGACAGTGGAAACCAATTCGGCATTCAAAAGGGTCTTGTACTGATGAACCTGTTGGGCAGAAGGAGCCATTCTTGCAGGGACCGGATACATCATGTCGTCCTGGTGTGGCACAGTAAAAACCTGCAATAATAAATTAAGCAAATCACTAAGGTCCATGAGAGCATTCAGTAAAAACGTCTGAGCAGTAATTCCATGTACCGGTAATAGTATCATTCTATAGAAGGTGGCTGGAATCTTAGCTACTGTTGAAAGAGACGTTTTACAAATCTAACCTGCTGTACAGTTGATACAGTCAATTCTACTTGTTCTGGTGCTGTTGGGCTGGTATGTTCCAATGGGACACAACTCTGGTTCTTTGTTGTTTCCAATGCAGTAGGTACCAGGGTAGCAGGGAACCTCCCTTGGACTAGACGAGCCAGTTGGGCAGTAATATCCAGCATCACAGGGTCCAACAGGTGCATCCCGCCCAGACTGAGAACAATGGAAGCCAGCTGTACAGTTCCAGCATTCACTGACGTCTTTGTAACCTGAATTGGTAGATAAATATTTCACTTTGAATGCCTTAAAACGTTGCGGGGAGTTTTTGAACGACTAATTTTTGCAAGGAACTTAAAAGCGAACTAGTGCATTGAGAGCTTTTGCAATCCAGCTTTAATAAAACTTATTTGTCACCTAAAGGTAGCACAACCATTGTTTCTGATTTCTCCTTGGTATCACGTTTGATCCAAGGGCAATTGGAAAAAATGCTTAAGCAAAATCCTGGGGGGAAAGTGTATTATGGGCAGTGCAAAAGTGTTGAGCAGCAATTTTTTATTATGGGATGGACTGGCCAGTGTAAAAAGCTGTTGCTGTTAGTTACCTCTGACACATTGAAATATAATGGGGTTGAGCTAATAAATAACATTCATAACAGTGCAATGCGACCTAATTCCAGGCAATCTTTCACCAGCGAGTCAAAATTATCTCAACATAACCCAAAATAATCTTTAATCATGAGACGTACAGTCACTGTTTCTACAAATTAAAGTACAAATACTGAGAGAAATTGAAGGAAAACAAAGTACAAATTCTGAATGAAATTTAAGGAATACAAGTTACCCGTGTCATTTCCAAATGTGCCTAGAGGACAGTTGTTTGGTTCACCAGTTCCTTGGGGACAGTAATGTCCAACAGGACAGATGTTGGCATCTTCTCGTTGATCAGGAGTGGAGGTAGTTGCGTTACGTCGACAGAAGTATCCAGCAGCGCAGGTATTAATGGGATTTGGCATTCCTGTTAACAAACAGTAAAATAAGTAAATAGAACAGTAAGTAGAAAGAAATCAGGTAAGGTGTCATGCTTGCTCTTTCACCGTTGGGGTTTATAGTTTAAGAAAAATTAATGGTGGGACTAACTTTTGAGTAAAATGACTAGATCCTAACGTGTAACTAAATGACACTTTGTCAGTTCTTTAGCATGGTAGCATTTGCCTTTTTAGAATCTTCCAGCAGTTAAGTGTTAGGAGTGGAAAGCTTAAGAGATGGACTTTCTCCCCACAGCTGCGACACAACTAAACTGTTCAATGTCTTGGATTTTCACGTTTTGGACTCTCACACCGAAGGACATTTGACAGAATAAGACATCGTATTATCAGCATGCTTGTCGTCTTTAAACCATGATACTGCTACAGCACTTAAAATGTTGGCAAACATACCTTCAACAGGGCAGTAGAATCCAGGGCTACAACTGACACAATCATCTATCCTTGTCCGTCGTGTTCTGTTGTTGTATGTTCCTGGTGGACAAGGGAATTGGTATGGCTGGGAAGTGCCATTAGGACAGAAATACCCTTGTGGACATGGGCGGGACTCATATTCAGAGTTATTTCCAGGGCAGTAGTAACCCTCCACACAGGTCAGCCCCTCGCTGAGCTTAGGAACAGGGCAGTACTTTCCTGCAGGACATAGTAATGGTGCTTTTGAGCCTCGAGGACAGTAGTGACCAATTGGACAAATACCTCCATAGCCTGTTTCTCTACCATCATAATGTGGGCATGAGTCATTTCCACTTGATGCATTATACACTGTTATGTTATCTCCAATGGGATCAGGTCTGTCAACGCCATAAGCGCACCAGTGGCCTGGATCACATTCATCAGTGTAGTTAGTAGCATGCTCATATGCACAATATTTGCCTGGGTCACAAGACTTGCATTGGGAGACTCTTTCTAAGGTTTCCTGAGCTCCATATGTTCCTTTTGGACAGGGTTTCAAGTCAATGCCTGTACCATAGGGGCAATAATAACCTCTTGTGCAATTCTTAGGAACACCAGCAATCTTACAGAAAAATCCAGCTGGGCATAGAGAACATTCTTTTGCATGAGTGGCTTTGGCGAAGCTGTTATTTTGGCAAGGGATGGGTTCTGATGTCCCTCCTGGACAGAAATGACCAATTGTACAGAAGAACTGATGAGGGTCTCTTACACTGTTGCCTCCTGGGCAGTAATACCTACAAATAGAAATTACAATTACTAATAACCACTGTAGCTTATACTTCTTGACAACAACCAAAGAACAATAGAGACAGGAATGCAGGGAGGCAAAAGTATGGTTTATCGAGGTACATCTCTCTCTAAGTATCTATGTATCTGTATACAGAAGGCTGTGATTATTAATATTCATACATTTTCCCCAGGGGGATTACTCTAAATTTCAAGTGACGGGGATGATTGGAGGACTTTTTTTTGGTTTGAAATTTTTGATTCGGGGATTTTTTTGGGTAGGAAAATTAGGCAAGTATTTTTTTGGGTGGCTTGATTTAAATAGGGATTGTTTGGGTATTCAAAACAATCTGAGGATTCGAGGCCAAAATAGAGACCTTGACAAACATGATTTCTTCATGCAAACATAGCACAGCTGCATATCAGTTTCTGGTCCTCTTTAGTCCTATGGACCTCTTTGACCATACACCAACAGAAGTCCAGTTTTACATTTTGACTTAAACTTCTAGTATTTCTCCTATGGAATAAAGTCTGACATTGTCCAAACAACAACTGAAACCCTTAAAACTCTGGAAAGGCCTTTGACCCTAAAAAATGCTAGAAAAGAATAAAAATTTGGAACCAAAATCATATACAGAGAGAGACAGAGGAAATGTTTTTGTTTTTTGTGTTATATCATTGAATGCTTCCTGGAAATGTTTAAAGCTAGGAAATTTTTTTCAGGTTAGTGTTTGGACCAGGATAATTTTGCCCTCCTTCGATCATCCCCATTGCTTGAAATCTGAAGAATGCCACTGGGACATTTCGTCACATATTTCATTTTCATGCATATTCAATTCTAAACGAACAGAAAAACTTGCCTGTTGCAGAGTAATGTAAGTGAAAAGAAAGGATAAATATATAGTCTTAAACAGGCATCCATTTTCCAAGCAATATCTTTCTGCATAAGGTCAAGGCACATTTTAATCCCACCAAAGTGACAAAAGTATCCCTTGGTGGTAAATAACAGGAAAACAAAGATCTTATTGCAAAATACCTTTCTGCACAAGGGCCAGTTACATTTGTCAGCCCAAAACCTTGGCAGTAATATCCAGGTGTACAGTTGAAGCAATCGCTAACAGATATTCCCTTAGTGATGTCTCTGTAAGTTCCATTGGGGCACAGCTCAGGCTCGAAATTTCCTTCAGGGCAATATCTTCCAGCAGGGCACTCGATCTGGTCAGCCCGAGATGAACCTGTGGGACAGTAGTACCCTTCTCGACAGGGTGCTGTTGGCTTGACCAAGTTGAAGGTCCCACAGTACTTTCCTGCAGTACAGTTCTCACACTGTTCAATGGAGAAGAGTTTAATTTTGTTGCTGAATGTCCCTGGTGGGCATTTTTCTGGTTCTGCAGTGCCAAGAGGACAGTAAAAGCCAGCAGGACATGGCCCAGCATCTGTGTAGTTAAATGTCCCAGGAGGGCACAATAACGTAGTTGTATTATCTATTAGTTGCACTGTGATGTTGTATTCAGGTGTTGCCACAGTTGAACCGCTCCTGCAGAAATATCCTATAAGAATGATAACAATATCAATAGGAGCTGTGTTCAAGTGAAGGAAGCCAGTAACCACTTAGCTACAGTGATAAGCTGGATTAAAACAGAGCTGGTGTGAGTGTCAACCAACATTCATACATTTACATCCAGATATAGCAGACTGACCCTATATAACAAAAACCCTTGTATAAAAAATGGCATTCTTTACCCCAGTGAAAGATAAACAAATGAAAATAGACCCTGACATACATTTTGCGACATAACAAATGGTTTTGCCAGTTCCTTGGCGATTTTTCTATTGGAGTTCTACTGAAATGAAGTTGAGTACAGAGAGGGTTTCATTGAGATATACATGCAAATCTGTCAATAATGCAGTGAAACAGACACACAGAGCAAAGCCTAATGAAAAGGCAGAGTCACAAGCAGCTGGTGATATGGGAAGCTTTGATAAAGAGGAATTAAAAGTGGTTTGAACTCAAAGAAGCTACAAGGAGGCATTGAGCTGGTACGTTTGCATCATCCTTTGGGATTTCATTGAATTTTTTATTGGTATTAATTCTTTTACGGAGATATGTACCAACCTTGATCGCATTTCTTGGTGAAGGTTGTCTGCCCCAGTTCATCACAGTAATAACCACCAGGGCATGGAGTACACTGAGTGACATGAGATAGACCAGAGACATTGCTGAATGACCCCAGAGGACATGGGAACTCAAATGCATATGTAGTGCCATTTGGGCAATAGAAACCTGGGGGACAGGTGCTATTCTGGTAGAGCACCACAGGTGCATAGCGATTATCACAGTAGAATCCCTCTGGGCATACCTAAGGTGCAAGACGAAATTATCAGTCATCAAGGCTCTCACAAACCATCCAAACATCAAATAATCTTTTGCTGTTGGACATTTTGTCTAAACTTACTGAGCCCAAAAATGTCCTGACAATGGTAATGATGGTGACAATCATGTTCATGTACAAGATTAAGACATAAACTTTCCCTGTACAAGATAACCACATACCTTACAAGACACTTGATTAATTGTATCCTGGTAAGTTCCACTGTCACATCGGATTGGTTCTTTAGAACCAGCAGGACAGAAATGCCCAAGAGTACACTCCAAACCATTGGGATTCCGAACCTTTTGACCAGGAGGACAGTAAAACCCTGCTTCACACTTGTTTGTTTCTTTTTTGTTTCCATACCCTTCACAGTAATACCCACTGGTGCAGTTAGCACAGTCCTCTACCTTTTCATTCCTGGTGGTATTAGAATATGTCCCAGGAGGGCATGGTGTGGGCGTGAAACTTCCAGAAGGACAGTATGACCCAGCTGGACACTCATCTCCAGTAATGCCATCTGTTGGTCTGTCTGTTTTGGATCCATTACGACAGAAAAACCCTGCTGCACAATCTGCTGATGGTGCTGAGAGTGCTTCACTTCCGCAGTACTTTCTTTCAGGACATGTCAGAGGTTGAGAGCTTCCCTTGGGACAGTAGGTCCCATTGAGGCACTTTCCTCCCTTGGTGACTGGTCTGGCAGCAGTTGTACCCCCACTACAGTAGTACCCAGGATCACACATATCAGTGACATTGGATTGACCTTTAATAAAAAGTAAGTAAAAAACAATTAACGTTGTGTAGTTTTCTTGCATGCACACTGATTAGTCCATCAACAAAGTACTTAAAACATGAGAATTCTATTCTATAGCAAGATATATAAAAATATCTTAGAGAAAATCACAGTCCCTTGTATTATTTTGATACTAGGAATAACAATGCTATCTACTGTATTTTGTTACCTTTTTGCAGCATAAAAAAGAGCACATTGCACCTTGTATTACCCCTAGGCTAACAGAATCTTGGTCATCACAACTTCAACCTCCCAAAAACTTCCAGGGGTAACAAATATCACACTACGACAAAACTCTCAAATTGTAATTTACAAGGCATAGCCAATCAAGGGGATTTTCCCTTCAGACTCAAAAGCTAGACACAGAGAAGCATATAAGTCTTTAATGACTCCATTTTGTGAATGAAAGAGTTAATTTTCCGGAAAATCAAACTTAGAAAAATGCTCTGTTTAACAAAGACTTGTTATTACCGTTAAGGGACTATGTTGCAGTGCATATTTCAAGCTGCTTCCATGAAAAATATCTTACCTTGAGTATCACAATAATATCCAGCAGTGCAGTCGACACAGTCACCTGGAGCAGATCTACCTGTCAAGCTGTTAAAGGTTCCCTCAGGGCATGCATTATCATTTGCATACTTTGTGTTCTGTGGGCAGTAATATCCAGAAGGACACTCTACGGGGGTGGTAGTATTTCCACTGCAGTAAAAACCTGCTGGGCAGTCCAAACATGTTGCTTGACCACTTGCATTGTTGTATGTTCCTGGCAGACATGGCTTTGGCAAGGGTGAACCAGATGGGCAGTGGAAACCAGGAGGACAGATACCCCCATAGGTGGAGTTAGGTCTTTTTGTTGGGGACCCTTCAAGACAGAAGTAACCAGCATCACACTCGCCTGTTACTGCATCTTGGTGCCCAAGTGCACAGTAATGGCCAGCAGTGCACAAAGTACATTCTGACTGTGAGGTTAACCTGCCAACAATACCAGGTGCAAATGATCCTTGTGGACAAGGTTTTTCAGCTGAAACACCTTCCTCACAGTAATAACCACCTTCTGGACATTCACCAAACCAAGGAGGATTGCGACTGTCATCTTGTGGTGTTGGTTTTGACGCTCCTTTCAGGCAGAAGTAACCAGCATTACATTGTGCGGTAACGCCTGTCAATGCTGGTGTTTCACAGTAATGGCCTGCTAAACAGTAAGTGCATTCACTTTCTGCTTTGAGTCCAGTTCTATTGCCAAATGTTCCAGCAGGGCAAGCTTGCTTTGCCCCATTATTTACTGAGCCAATTAAGCAGTAGTAGCCTTGTGGACAAGGTGGTGGGTCAACTGTTCCAGACAGACATTCTGTACCAGCAGGGCATTCATCACATGTTTCCTTTCCTTCAATAGCAGCATGAGAACCTAGAGGAAAATATTACAGGTTTGTTAATGTTGGTTATAGAGTTCATTTGTTTAGTTCTTCCAACCCCCGCCTTGAATGTTACATTTTCCATGAGACCATGTCACCTACACTACCTTATTCATGTTGCTTGAATTGTGCATGAAATCCTAGACTGTACTACAAATCCTGTCAAATGAAAGCTACTAATCCTTAAGTGTGACCATTCAAATGAAAGCTACTTAGTAGTACTTTCCTGTGTTGTCATCATTATCATTATCATTATTATATTTACGCCATCAGAAAAATCTCACCTCTCAGCTTTCCTTTTCTCTTCTTTGTTTGACTGTCGCTTTTGACAAATTACTATCTATTGCAATATTAATTATATTAAATGATATTTTGGAAGTGAGCCCTCTTGATGAGATTTTTGTTTCTCTTATGGCAAACTTCACCGGTGAAATATGTTTAAATAGACCAGTGACAAATACTCAGGTACCTGGTGCACATTTCTCTGGTTGCCCTCCTGCAGCACAGAAGTGCCCTCTTGGGCAGATGCCTCCTGTGGAGTCATTGTTTGGTTTTGGTATTTTAGCACCACGTAGACAATGATACCCAGGTGCACAGACACCAGTAACATCAGTCTTGCCTGTGCCATTGCAGTAATGACCAAGGTCACACAGTTGACAGTCACTCTGAGCTCCTCCACCAGTTACTTTGCTACAGAGACACAGTGAGGGAGTAAATTTATTTAGTACCAACAGACGAAAGTTTAAGAATAGAAAATCTTTTAAGACAGACATTAATGGTGACAGACATTTCAATTTGGCTCTGATCAGTATAAATCAGACTCTCTTGGATATACATCTGACTAGATACCGACAAATCATCTCACCGTGGTCTGTAAACTTACCGATATGTCCCCTCAGGGCAAGGTATTTCATAAGTAGTCCCAGCTGGACAGTAATGGCCCGCAGAACATAGTCGACCCCATTCCAGAACACCTTCTTCAAACGTTGGTGTTGGTCTTGTTGCATTGTAAAAGCAGATATAGCCAGCATCACAGTCACCTGGTCATCAGAATATGAAAAAGTGTGATAATTCATCTTAAACACCCTACAAACAAACTACTGCATGGTCTAACAAGCCTCACAGTAAACAAAGTATTGGAAGAACAAAGCCTTAAAAGTTAGACTTAGTGTACCTGTAGGAACAGCTTGTGCTGTTGGATTACAGAACTTTCCAGGAGGGCATCCCAGGCAGCTTGAGTTATACACCTGTCCTGTATGATTGTTAAATGTTCCTGCAGGGCATGCAAATTGTCTGTCTGAACCAGGAGGGCAGTAGAATCCTTGTTCACACTCAATGTCACTGGTCATGTTCTTTGTTGGACAATAGAATCCTGGCCGGCAAGTAAGACAGCTACTTTGCCTGTCATGAGGCTGATAAGTCCCTGGCAAACAAGGCTGCGGCTCTGATGATCCAAGCCGTGTGAAATGACCTGCAGGTGTGGCTGTGAGATTTGGAGCAATGGATGCTTCTGGGCAGTAATAACCAGGGTAACATGGCCCCTCTGGTGCTGTTAACTGTTTCTTAGAGCAGTAATAACCAGGGTCACAAAGCTGACAGTCCTGATCACTTGTTCCTCCTGTACTCTTACTGTATGTTCCAGGAGAGCAGGAATCAAACTCAAACGACCCTGTTACACAAAATGTGCCTTCAGGACATGGTTGCCCTGTGACACCATCATTGGGTGTTCCTGTGTATGCTCCACCATAACAGACATAACCAGGATCACATTGTGCTCTAGGAATGGACAGACCTTGTGCATCACAGTACCTTTAAACAATAGGAACAATGACATTTGAAGTTTAATAGATTAAAATAAAAGCTGTACATGTAAACAATTAATAGCAGTGCATTTAATGCCACCCCAGTGGTTTTGAAAAATGCCTGACACTTCTAAAAATGTCACATAAAAAATAGGAACTGCAAAACTGCTGAATTAAACACACAATGGCAGAATGCTGAAGGAAGGAGTGTAACCTCAGAGAATCTTACTGCAATTACGTACGGCTTCAAAATCCCTTTCATTTGATGCCCAGATGCAAATAAGAAGTCTTTGTTTAAATAATTACAACAATATTATCACTAAACCTTATGGCACTTCAATGGTAGCTGATGATGTCAGGTGAGTTTCCTTGGCTGTTGACAACTTTCTTTCTGAGACAGCCTCTACTTACCATCCTGGTGTACAAGCTGTACAGTTTTCCAAATAATATGCTCCACTGTGGTTATTGAATGTCCCAATAGGACATGGCACAGGGTCACCAGACCCAGGTGGACAGTAGTGACCTGTTATACAAATTGTGGGTGTCTCAGATCCAGTTGGACAGTAATTCCCAATAACACATTCACGGCAGTCTGCCTCAAACCTCCCTCCTGTTTCATTAAGGTACGTTCCCTTGGGGCAGCAAACTTGTTTTGGACCATAAGAACCAATGCGCAAGCTGGAGACACCATCAGTGATGTTGGTGGGACAGTAATGTCCAGGGCTGCAGTCACCTGTCTCATGAATGGACTTCTCCAGACAGTATTTCCCAGCAGTACACATGGTACAGTCATAAACACTTTCACCATTGAAATTTGGGTTAAACGTTCCAACAGGACAAGGGATTTCTCTTGGAGTACCTATAAGTGAGATATGATGACAATCATGGCCTTTCAGTGTATGCTCTTAAGAACAGGTCACCATGAACTTATGGAGGGGATTAAAAAATTAATACCAGGATATGTGATATGGGGACTAGGCTGTATTGAGGGAAAGAGCTGTAGTTGACGGCCTCTTTATGTGTTACCTTCTAAAAGCAGGTAAAGGATACATGAAAGGTGTTTGTAAAGAATAGCAAAATATGCACAAAACGGATCCAACCAAAATAACCTACTGAAAAGAAAACCATCCCCACCACCTGTCCCACTAACTCCCTCATTTTCCCCACAGCTTCTCCATAACAAATTAAAACTCTCAAGAACATGCTTAAGTTACATACCTTCTGGACAGTAGTGAGCCTTGCTACAGTTTGTAGCCTCACTGACATCTTTTAATCCAACAGTACAGTATTGTCCTGCTGGACACAACTTGGTGGTATTCATTGCTGTCTCTGTGGTTGTTTCACTGTCACAGTAACGGCCTGCTAAACATTGCTGACAAACTGATTGTCCAGGATTAGTATACTTTCCTTTACCACAAGGATAGGGTAACACAGTACCATTTAAACAAAAGTGTCCTGCCTCACAAACAAGGCAAGCTCCTTTGAATCCAGCTGGGCTTCCCTCAACTTGGTCACTAGTTGAGTTGTAACCATATGGCATGTATGTTCCTACACAAAAAAGATGCAAGAAAGGACTTAGTTTCTCTGTGAGAGGAAAAGCATCCCACCTACAAATCAAACTTTTATTTTCCTTAATAGGTAATTGATGGCCCAATGACATTTTGAAAGATGAAAAGAGCAACAATAATGGCCCTTGACTTTAGGGCTTCTTTGTGCCAATTAATCCATGCAAAAAACTTGGCCCTTCAATAATATTTTTATACTGCATTATTACCCATTACATTACTAAATGTAGAAACAACTTTAAATAAAACATTTTTAAACATGTAGAAGGGCCAGTGCTTCATTGAAATATTGCCAGTGGTTTAAAGTTCTTTAGACGTTAAAATTAATGGTTAAAAGACATGATTTCAAGTCAATATTTTCTTCTGGGGCCTCTCATGTCCTGTGATGTTTTCCATCAGTTGTTACATACTGTAAAACAGCACATTTCTCTTTTAAAGGATAATAAACATATTATATACAAAGAAATACACGTACCAATTGGACACGGAACTGGCTGTACAGTTCCTTTCTCACAAAAATGTCCTTGAGTGCAGTTCAGACATTGATCTACACTAGACTTTCCAAACTCTGGATTATAAGTTCCATTTGGGCATGGAAACTGTTCAGCCACTCGTGTTCCAGCAGGGCAGTAATGGCCAGGAGGGCATGAACCTCTAGGTGTGGCTTCTCCACCTGGACAGTACTTTCCTGGGTCACATATGTCACACTGTGATGCATTAAATAAGTCTGTTCTACTTGAGTATGTTCCAGGAAGACAAGGAAACTTGGTTGCTGAGCCTGTTCCTGTAAAAATGGGAAAAACAGTAGGAAGAATTAAAATGTTGATATTATATAATAATAAATAAAGTGTTTCAGGTTTCTTCAGAGCTAGTTATTACAATTTATTCTGTTTTAATACTTGTTGACGTGGTTGAAGTTAAGGAAGTCAAATGAAGGGAGCAGGTATAAAAAAAATTCCACTGAGGCATTCTCTTGAAGGGGTCATGCAATAAGCAGGGCCTCATTTGACTGATGATCTAATAATGAATTCTCTTTTTGATTCACAAGCAAATGCACAACAAATTGGAAGGGTAAAATAGCAGTTTCTCAAAGGGTCACTTGGGGTTTTTCTTCTACATGTAGCCACCCATCATTTACACACAACTCACCTAGAGGACAATAGTGACCAGGACGGCAATCTGTCCAGGTATTGTTGTTGTTTATACCAGTGCCCCAGCCACAGATTTTCCCCTGTGGGCAGATTAAACATTCATCTGGCAGAGTAAGGCCAGCTCTGTCGCCATATGTTCCAGGTGGACAGGGAAACTGATGCCCAGCAATGGTGCCATTTGGACAATAGTATCCCTCATAACAATAATCTGTTGCATTAACCTGCCCCGCCTGTGGGCAGAAGTACCCTGCAGTGCATGGAATGCAGTTCAACAAGAAACCAACATTCCAGTTGGGGTTGTACGTCCCTGCAGGACATGGAATGGGTGTGACTGTAGGTTCAGTTAGAGAGCCATCTGGACAGTATGATCCAGGGGGACATGCTTTACATTCTGTGTAATTCTTTAGCCCAAAGACATCATTGTATGTTCCAGCGTGGCAAGCAAACTGTGTCCTTGCACCAGTGCCAGCTGGACAGTAGTAACCCGGAGGACAAAGAGTTGGTTGAATTGAACCAGCAACACAGTAATTACCAGTAGTACAAGGCAAACAAGCCAGGGATCGTGAAGTCTGGTTGACATTTGGATTGTATGTGCCTGCGGGACAAGGGAACTGATTGGGGAATTTTGTTCCCAAGGGACAGTAATGCCCTTGTGGACAAACAAATGGTCTGTAGTCAACTGTGCCGCTGTTCTGACAATAATAACCCAATGGACATGGCAAACAGGCTTTGTCAGACTGGGATCCATTGTGTGGATTGTAAGTTCCTGGTGGACAAGGGAACAGGGTGCGACCATCACACCATCCTCCCTCAGGACACACATCTACAAAAAGAAAGAGCAATGACACAGTAAGTTCATTTTAATAGCATTGTAGAGTTTGTATATGGTGGATAATCTAAAGTATACATGATGCAAAGAAAATCAGTTTTACAGATTGCCATTCGGGCAAGCTAGGGCTAGTATGTACTAGAAGAGTCACTTTAATTGACCCCACAAAATTTTTGAATAGTAGGATTGATTACAGTTCTTCTTCAAATTTGAATTTCTCCCAAAACTTCACTTGCACGCTAGGGCAAGTTAAGAACAGAATTCACTAGCTAGCCCAATAGCAAAATCTACTCGCCCCAGCCTATTGGACACCACTTTCTTCGCACACTGAGTATGCCGATCAGTTTTCACAAAGCTAATTGGTACACTTACCAAGTTTTGTTTCAAGATGGTTATCATTGATCGTTTATTTTAAATGAAACTTCTTTGGTAATATTTTCACAAGATACAACTTGTTGTTCATTTTTTAACATTATAATTAAGGATTTTTCTTAAGGATAGTCGTATTGACTCTCTAAGGAGTAAAAGTTTTGAATGGTTTCGTTACCTTCAGGTGGACTATTTGTGGTTGATCCTTCTTTACATCTGTATCCATGCTTGCAAGGTAAACAATGAATCCAGCCAACACTAGAGTAATATCCTGGTGGACAGGGTGTAGGAGCTAAAGTAGAAAAACAGAAGTGCAACAGTTTAAGAGGACAAACATTTTTACCTTGACCAAGGATCTTTATTTGGTTAGGGAATTTCTGGTCTGCAGACCAAGACTCCATTTTTTTCAAGCTGCCCTAGGTTTGGGGCTTTTATCTACTGTAGTAAATTATCATTTTTTAGAACTGAAAACAAGGAAACACATGACAATGCTGGCTTGTGAAAAAAACACACCTGACATTTCACAAAGTTTAATAAATGGAGAAAAAAAAAGAAACTCACAAGCTGGATCAGCACACTGCTTGCCAGCCTCACAAAGCTTGCATTCAGCAGCATTTGTTTCACTGAAATATCCAGGAGGACAAATAGTGGGTCCTTCAGTTATTGAAGGGCACTTGCTACCAGGGAGACAAATGGTGCACTTGATTTGAGCCCCTAGAGAATAGGTTCCATTCGGGCAGAGGTTCCTACAAATGAAATAAAAAATGTTTGAGAAATAAAAAGATGCACAATTAATAGCATATGGAAACAAAATAATGTTACCATCTCCAAGGGAAAAATTTTTCTCATTGACTTGGATTAACTTAAAAGTAAACAAAGTAATTGGTCAGCTTTGTGTTCATTAAATAAAGTTTTTCTGACTTGTTCAGCAATGTTAAGAGACTGTATGCCAAAGCCTACAGCCATTTTCCAGATCTCCTCACAGATTATAGGGCCAGCCACCATCAGACAACAAGGGTGTAAAAGAGTTTATTTTTACTACTTGTAATAACAAAAGGTTACAGAGTGCTGGGAACAATGATCGAAGGTCAAAACCCTTTTACTCTATTGCTGTGCTTTGCATAAGTTTCATGTGACAGATGGTCAAAACACGTGTGATCAGATTACGAGTGATAGAAGGTCTAAACACCCAAGACCAAATTGCGTTCTGTGCATTCCATTCAATCTTAGTGGTAGTCCAAAACAATGCTGGCTACATACATGCGATGCATGCATAATGACAACCTGGAGATTAGGATTGTGGGCTCCTCTTCTCACCCGCAATTAGTCCCTCATACCTTACAGCCTGATCCTGGAAAGGGCATTCATAGCCTGGTGGACATATCTCACATGATGATGCATTGCCAGTAGAATAATAACCCAACTCACAAGGAAGTTCTTCCTTTTTATCAGTGTAAGGACAATAGCTGGAAGAAAAATGTGCATGGTGTATTACAAAGCAATAATTGATATTTGATATAGCTGGAAGGGAATCTAACAAAAAAGCATCATGACTGAGCCATGCAGGAGAAGACAAAAAAATTGCTGTGCTAATGTTAATGCAAGAAACGTCCCATTCTTTTTTTTTTTTTTCAACAGTCAAATAGTAGTTTATTCATGTAGGCAATGAAAATGGATGACATGAAATCAAATTAAAGCCAATCCACAGCACTGCAGAGGTAAATTCACATACATGTGAATATCTCAAGTTAATCCTTAAAACTTACAATCCAGCTCTGCATGCCGTGCACTCTGTCTTCCCTCTAGTGGCATAATATCCTGCCTCGCACTTAATCATGTAATCAGTTGTGCTGTTAGGACAGGCAAATCCCTTGGGACAAATTGTACACGTTGTTGCACCTCCAATTGCATATTCACCATCTTGACATGGTTGATTGCTGCTGCCATCAGCACTGGGGCACTTATATCCTGGAGGACATGGATCGCAGGAGTCTTTACTGCCAGTTGAGAAGTAGCCAGGTTCACAGGGCAATTCAATATCTTTACTGTTTTTAAAAGACAAATAACGATAATAAACTTAAATTATTACAAACTGTTGGACAGTTAAATTGCATCATGAATAATTATCCTTTCCATTTATGGGGCTTTTCAGAAACGACACATAACAAAAATAATGGCTGAGAATCCTAAATGGCAGAAAGCAAACCAGATGGCTCTTTATTTACGAGTGTAGCCGAGGATTTGAACTTTGGACTACTGAGAACAAATCCAGCTAGCACTCAGGGTGGGCCTCCAGTCCGGCACTTTAACCACTTAGCCATGCTGTCCCCACATCATGGATCTGAGACAACCAAATAGGTAAAGTTTTTGTTCAAAACTAGAGAAAAGGGGACCCTCTCTCTCCCAAAGACAATAGGCACCCATGTAAGAAAAGTGATATAAAAGAAACTTTGTGAGTTCAATATTTAATAAAATTTTATGGTGCAAGCATTCTTCTGAGATCACTTTGGCATCAATTCCCCTGGTACTTCATGCGTACATATATTATACATAACTTTATTTTATTTCAAATTGTAGAGACTTGCACATAGTGCTAGTATCTGTTTTGCAGTATCTTGCTAACCAAGGCTTAATACATTTTTAACTTACTCAGTGTGAGGACAGAATCTTCCTGGTGCACATGTTGAACACTGTGTAGCTTCAGCAACAGAGTATGTACCAGGTGTGCACGTTATAATTTTGGTGGAGTCTGATGTGTTGGGACAGGCAGAACCAGGAGGGCAAGGTGTACATGTTGTGGCACCAGCGTTACTGTATGTACCTAGAGAAAAATACAGTTTATTCCAGGCATCAGAAATGTTTTCATATCTCACTAGAGATGAAGTAATAATAATACAAAAACTAACCTAACTCAAACCTTAATACAAGACTCTCCATTCCCCACTGCCTCCACAACAAAATTATTTTTCAAACACTTCAGAAATATATAGAAATTTTTACATGTAAAACAAAGGTGTTTATGAAGACATTAATTTATTTTAACAACTACATGTATCACAAGTATCAACAATGTCCATACCTGCTGTACATGCTATGGGATTACTGGTGGTCGTAGGACACTTGGATCCAGGTGGGCACTGACTGCAGCTCACAGAATTAATTACTGCGGCATACTCTCCCACTGGACAAGCCTGAGGAAGAGAGCCACTGTTTGCACAGGCATAACCAACTGGACAGTTGTAACATTCTGTAGCCCCACCAAGTGAATACTCTCCTGCCCGGGTACAGGGGACCTCTCCCTCTTGTGGGGTGCTGCAGAAATAACCTGGTCTGCATCTGATGCAGACAGTTCCATTGTTGCTAGGGATTTCTCCTGGATTGCAACTGACTGGCAGTTTGTATCGTGATTCACAGATTTGACCAGTGCTTGCATTGGGACACTGTGCACAGGACACCACTGAAAAAACAAACAATAAATTAAGTCAAATGTAATTTAGGCTAAGTTAAACACAAAACAATACTGGCTAGCAGTTTTCCCTAAGGGTTGGTATGTGAGGTGACCAGGGATTGCTTGCAGGGGCTCACCTGTTTATAGCTCGGCTTTAGATGTCAAGTCATTCCTTGTTTGTTTCTCTCTACTTTGCAGTTTTCAGTGATTTTGCCCCCACCATGCCCATCCAAAGATGTCACTAAGATTTCAAGTTGCAGGGTAAATACAAAAGGTAGGGGGGAGGGGGTTAAAACAGCTAGAGATTTCGTTTGGTTATATTTTTCTTCTGTTTCCCCTGAACGTAGCTGGGGGCCACATTTAAAGAAGCTGAGAAAACCCCAGCCCCGCCTCTTAATGATGGTCCTGTCCATCACTCTTGGCATGATAAGTATGTGATAAGTATTTTAGTTTTCACTGATTTTCAGCATGATGGTGCCTACTGGTTGCCACTCACAGAGTTGTCATGGATACCCTACATGTTTGGCTGTGCTGCTTGTCTTGTGGCTCCACCTTCTTCAGGCACCATTCCCCATGCTCATCTATTGTTGACGGGTTTCAATTTGGTGTAAAAAAATGAAATTTTCCCTATTATCACAATCTGGCACTGGCCCACAAGTTAAGTACACTGTACATTGTAAATATTTTTACTGAATCCTTTTTGTGCATGATGGTGCCATGAGTGGCTGTTGCTTATGGGGTTGCCATGAACACCTTGTGAGTGAAGTTCATCTGATGTAACATTTCTATAGGTCAGCCAGGTAAGGGTGATTTGGCCACAGGCAGAAGCCAGTGAGTTCCACAAGTACTGCAAGCAGCATGAATAGAGTAATGCAGATGCTGGGTGTTACAATAGAATATTTATTTAATGTTGACTCACTTGAGTCTGTGCTGTAGAAATAGCCAAGTGCACCATCAAAGGGACATATTTGGGTCCTTTTATTCTCTGGGCAACTGTAGCCAGCTGGGCAAGTCTTACATGATGTTGATAATGCCTCGGCATAAGTAGCTGAAAAATATGAAAGTAAACTGTCAGGAATTGAACTTAAATCTTCTGATGAATAATGGTGGCACTCACCCTTGAGAGCAGCACACGCAGCACTTGGAAATGCAACACAGATGCCTGCTACTCAACAATATCATTGGTTTCTATGTGCACTGATGGTGTATTTTGTGCTTCGTATTTGAATCAGTTTATTGACAAACTATTATTGCCATTATTGCCAAGGCCCAGTTCAAATGTCAGACTTAACATGTGCCGAACCTAATTAGAGGTGAAAAGAAATATCATCCTTACTGCTTAAAATAGGGAAATAAAATGGAAAAAAAGTAAAATTCACCAAGCCTGGAAATTCTTGTTTTAATTTTAGTGTGATTTGTGTTATGGCAAGGAGACAGCTGAGGAGATCACGATCGTGATATTTCGACAAAATAAAGTAATGCCAAAATTTTTAAAATACATTACGATTTGTTTATGGATGTAAAGAAAAGCAACTTCTTAGAAGACCATTTTAAGCTGTCCAATTTCAGTCTAAAAATCTACAATGTGAATGCTGCTAACCATTAGGCTTCTGTCAGTTCTGTCTGCATAGGCGCTAAAACCCACTAAATAGCCAATCAGAAGAGCGGGCCTAAGACATGACAATGTATGTCTTGATTGACATAAAAATTTCTTACCTCCTGTACAAGCTACAGGAGCACCAGCAGGATCAGGACAGGCACTTCCAGCTGGGCATGCTGTGCAGTTGTCAAATTTTCCTCCTAAAGAATACATTCCAGCAGGGCATGGAACTGGTGGGTTACTGTAAATCAAACAAGTCATATGCTGTGAGTCTTGTTTAAATATATGTCAAGTAAATAAAAGTGTGACTGTCTGCCGACTGGCTGCTTCGCTATTGGTCTCACAGCAGTCTGTTTGACTGACTATCCAACTCACTATTTTGCTGTATTCCACAATAGATTTCCTGTGAATGACTGTTTCACTGTCTGATTCACTGATTGGCTGTCTGATGGTCTGACTGAATATATTAATTGACTGTTTAACTGTCTGACTGAAAGGGTTATCCAGACAAAAACACCACATAATATTCAAAACATAGTTCTCCAGGTTCACCGCATCAGCAAATAATGGCTATCGCTGCAGCTCTCATTAATAATGCTATTATTGGATTCCAGTTAGTGAGACAAGAATCATAAATATTTATTTGTATACATGTATCAAAGCAAACCTTGCATCAGGACAGTAGAATCCCGCTGCACATGGTGTACAAGATGTACGGCTTGGTGTACTTTGGTAACCTGTAATATGACAACAGTGATAAACAATCAACTTAATTACTCTCCAACAGTCTGAAGCGCAAACCAGGAAATAAAAATACCATTCATCAACCCTGAAGGATTATCAAGTCATTTACATATATTGATTAGCTAAGCTCACCTTGTGGACATGGCTTACAAACACTTTCTCCTTGACCAGAAAAAGTACCATAAGTACAATTGACTGGTTCCAGTGCAGGGCCGAGACACTGCTTTCCTGCAGGACATGGAAGACAGTCTGTTGACCCAGCAGTGCTATATTCCCCTGATTGGCATGACGTACAGTTGGACTGTCCGTATTTACTGAAATAACCCGCTGGACATGACAAAGAACGGTCACCATTTGGACACTCCCTACCAGCTTCACAAGTGTTACACCCTGTCTGTAATGTTTGGTTTGTGTACTGTCCATCTGGGCAGCTTTCTGGTGCAGACATTCCCTGCCTAGGGCATCGATGACCAGCAGGACATGCCTTACAAGACGTAGAGCCAATGGATGCAAATTGTCCAGTTGGACAAACCGCTGGAGATGTACCATTTGGACACTGGTAACCCCCAGGGCATATTGTACAAGTTGTGTTTCCCTCAGCACTGTAGAACCCCTCAGCACATGGAGTGGGTTTTGAAGCAAGATTCTCACAACGGAAACCTTCTGGGCAGATGAGACATTTTATTTGTCCTGTGCTGTTGCTATAGAAACCAACATCACAAGGTTTTGGTGATTGGCCTTTATCAGGGCAATAAAACCCAGCAGGACATTCCTATCAATCAGAACAAAAAATATTCAGTCAAAACCTTTCAGTTTATAGACTGAACAATATTTAATATTGTTCAGTCTATAAACTGAACCAAAAATGTGTCTGAAATGTGTCTGGGAATGCACCAGTCAGCTGTTGGCCAATATTTTCTCTGTCCCTAGTAACAGCCTCAAAAGTCTTCCCATATCCAAATTTTTTTCCCAAAGTGGTGAATAGGAAAGCAAAGATACTAGTGTTACCTGGCAGGCTCCTACATCAGATTGGCCAGCCCTGTCATTATAATAACCTTCTGGACAAGCTTTTGAGCTATTCTTTCCTCCAGGACAACTGTATAATAAAGCATATCAATCACGTTACTAATGGCCACCACACAACAATTCAAAAAATGATGTCTCATTCACAAGACCATACATGTAACAGAGGCCTCTCTATGGGGTGGGGTGGGGGTACCCTTGTTCCTAGTCTAAATTTCAAAACCCTTTGTTTCATTGTACTGAGGAATAAGTTATGTCCATGACAAGACTTTATTCTTTTTCTGTATTTGTACTTTTCTATGTCACTATCACAGTTTCAATCCACCTTGGTGTCATTTTCCCATCTTATCTGTTAGAGTGTCTGTGTTTCAAGACCATGCCTCTAATCAGAATTTAACCCAACAAGACAGCTTACATTGTAAACTGATATTTTGGCAACAACAGCAATGACCAACTGTACGTTATAACAGCCAACAATGCAGTTTTTTTTTCTTTGTCCTTTAGTGTTTATGACATGAATGTGATCATAAACCCTTTGCTCACCCAATACTAGTGTAGTGTAACAATTTTGTATGGAAAAATTTAGAATCCACTTTCACCAAAACAAATTTACTGAAACCCACTATTTACGGTTTGAAAGCACTACAATATACATTCAATATTGTATTATGAAGCCCTAGAAGGATAAAATTCCGACAAGTGACATCGGGCCTTGAAAGAGCGTCACAGGACAGCAGCAGAAATGGCGAAAAACGACACAAAGATGGGTTGAACTGCAACAGTGACAGAGAAAAGCACAAATACAGTAGTAAAATACCAATGGTGACATAGCTTCCTCCTCAATATACGTGACGACAGGTTTCGAATTCAGACTAAGGACATACGTAACTCCCATAAGAGGACCTCCACTGAAAACCAAGAGATCACATTTTCCTAATAAACATCCATCCAGTTTCAAATTCTAAGATTTTTACTGGGCTATTATTGCTTAAATTTAGAGTGTTTTGTTTTCAAATTAAAATCTGTAACTTGCTGACGGAGCTTTCAACTAAGATCCTTATCTTTATTTTCATTGTTTGCCTTTGAACTGATCAGCTGCCCATAGAAACAGTGGGATGTAATGTTAACTTATAATAAATTACAACTGTATCATGTAAATGTAAAACCTTAAAACTTGATACGTATTCTTCACCTTTATTATTCGAGATAATTGAGGGGTATTTTTCTCCAAAACGCGATGATTAAAAGAGAAGAATATCATTTTGTTTCTGCAAAACAAATATCTTGAAAGGTTCTACTAATATTTTAACCTTATGCAATACACAGTGCCATAAATATAACCACTGTGTTTTACGTCGTTGGATAATGCACTCTCTGGCTTGTATCGTAAGCTCCAGAGAGGCCATTATCAGACTTAAAGGGTACTCTTAAACAATACAAGATCTAAGTACTCCACTCTCAAGATATAAAAACGAGGAAATCGTGGTGAACATAGTACTTACTAATGGCCAGTCGGACAATCGAAACATCCAAACTCGCTCCCATTTACTACGAGAAATTGTCCGGGATTGCAGTTGATACTGCCGCTACAAGACGACCCACAAACAGAGCAATCGCATGGAGCTAGACGAGAAAAAGGTTTTTAGTATTCACATAGTGATTCTTTAATTGGAAATAAGCACCTTTTCAGCAGACTTCATTGTGTATACGGTACTTACTGCTGGCGAATATAAGGCAAGGGAAGCAGAGAGATATGAGCGCCAAAACCTCAAACCACGATTTCAAATGTAGATTCTTGCCGGCCATAGGTTTCATGCAATTAACAGCTTTTCTAGTAATTGTTCTAAATGCAAGATGTTGAGGTATTCATGCAAAACTCCGCGAAATTACAACGTGATAAAGTCTTCCTTCGGATGTCAAAGTCTTGGGCTCAGCTCGAAGCCGGCGGCCGACGTAAATCTCGTTCCAGAACGTGCTTGTGAATCATTTGTCATCTGAATAAGATCATTCTTCTTTTGTTTTACTTTCCTGGCTTTCAACTATCTGTGAATCTTTAAGAGCATAAAAGGCGAACGCTGGAAACCAATAAAAAGTAAATTCGAAGTTCATAAAGTTAATTATGCAAAGTTATGCACCAGGTAAATCTGCTCCGCATGAAATTAGAGGAGTGCGTCAGGGATACCATGGAAACGAATTTGTTTGGACCGTAAATCACATTCCAAACTTTCTCAAAACAAACTTGATCGGCTTTCGATCGTTTCATTTTCAACAAACAAACAGGGTACTACACTTTTTAGAAGAGCTTATATCTTCCACAACTTAAAGGATTACGAATGCTGTGGCTTTTTGGGATTCCAATGTGAAAAATTTTGGATGGACCGGACCAAAGTGGTTTCTCCATTCCACGGTAACCAACAAATCTTTGAGACACAAGAACAAAACAAATTTTCCACTCCATTTAATCTGTTCTTTGCAGACGCAATGTTTGCATTATGTCGCATGAGAATTGAAAATTCCTTTCTTGTTAAAGAAGTAGAGAAACCGGACAACGTCGACAACGAAATGATTCGGACAAGAAATCAGTTTTGCGCAATCATTAGTTGGAAATATTCTTAGAAACAATTTTCGCGGTTCAAATATCGGTAATGACAGGAACTAAGGAAAAGAAAAATATAAAAAAGAGAAAGAAAAATAATACATAAAGAGCCCAAGAAACTGTGACTCGACTAATACAATCCGCAAATTGAAACATGAACATTTACCCACTTTCAGAAAAAAAAGTGTGTGATGAAGCTATGTTTTCGCAGTAATCGACAGAGCATTCATTTACAAAACAATTATTATCTAAACTTCCTTTGTAGACGATATTTAATTCAGTATATAGTGTAAGCATAAGCAGTTTATGTATATTGCAGTGTCATGGTCAGAAAAAAAAAAACTGAATCACATGCCGGATTGTAACCAATAAGAAACTATAAAGACAAGAGTGGAAGAACATTTTTACACGCCACTTCTACCCTCCTTGTCTCTTCAAGTACAATTTCTTAAACTCCTCAAAGTTACAGGAGCGCGCTTCTCTTGCTTTTTTCCCCTCGCTGCGGAAGGGGACAAGCAGGTCCAAACCGTCCCCTCCCGTCCTTGCATTCCCGGTTCTCGCCCCTTTATCTCTTGGCTTCCTTCGTTGAACCTTTTCGATTGCGAAATAGTAAGCATTGTTGCGTAATTATCCCCTATTTCTTTCCCTTTGAAGAACCCCTACTTCTGCCCTTTCCTCCTATGACTCATATACCCCTCCCGCCCTCCATTCTCACGGACTTCCCCCCCCCCGTCCTCTCTCACAGCCTCAGACTTGCATGCAAATGTATATTTAAAGGAATGTAGATGAATTTTATAAACGCGCGTACAAAATACACTTTCAGGAACCGATGTGCGCTCTGTAACATTAACTCGGAAGGAAGTCTTCAGTAGTTCCTAAAAAGAACCAAAACAACTTGGAGGGTTTCTCCTATCAACATAGCGGGTTGTGTCACGGAGGTTGCCCGAGCCAAATGAACTACTGCGCGACATGGGTGAAAAAAAAATTAAGGTAATCTCCTATATGAATGCGAGGCTGGGCGTCTCTATCCTTGTGAAAAACGACAAAGCGCTAGTTTACACCAAAAAATAAGAAGCGATCGAAAAATAATGGCCAAATCGCGGAGGAATTTTTAAGTCTCTCAAGTTCCAACCTCTCAGCGCAATCTCAGTTCTGAGAACTGAGTTGTTGCCAAGGTAACCCATAAAAGATATAGTTTCTGAGAGGAGCTTAACAGGAGATATGGACCAAAAGACCGCCACTGTATTTATATCTTAGAACCGAACATCGAAAAGCGACTCAAAGAGAAATTTAAAATATGTTTCTTTTATTCATTTCAGTTTACACAGTAAAACTCGGTTATGCCTTTATGAATGAAAAATGTTGAATTTTACTACAATGTAATTGTAAGAAAATCGTGACAATCATTGTTTCACTGTTAACATTGCTACACACACCAGATTTTAAACCGTTCTCATAAAAATTTACAAAATTACCCCTTATATCATCAATTCCCATCTGCAACCATTTCTTCAGGTTACTCTTAAGGCCCTAGTATCAGCATGGATATTCTCCTAACTTCCTACGGTGGTGATACCTCAGTTTTAATGCTAATATCTGTATTCTCATGTCCTTTATATTTAACCAAGCAGTGGTAATTAAGGAGAAATTGCTGATAATGCTGATAATTGTTAGGGCTTAAAGGGCTAACTGCTATGCGGATCAGTCATATTAAGTATGAAAATGATTCGTTAGAAAATAAAGACAATGCTTATAGTTTAAAAAGCTCATATGAGTACGATAATTTGCGCTTATAAAACTAGCGAATATTTCTTTGTTATAATATCATCTTTACAAATATTTACAAGAGATAACTAATTTAAGGCTGTTTTTCATGTAACTCTTAACAAGTTTAAAAACAATTAATAATTATGCAAAATATTCGATTATTCAATATTGCTTACGTTCAGACGAGACAAAAACTCTTCTGTTGACATACTATCCACACTAAAAATTAATGAAATTCCCCTGGAACTTCTGAACTTAAGGCTAAACTAAACTCAAACAAAAAAACAGTTCTTACAAAACGTCTGTTAAAATAAACAAGAGACCACAGTTAAAACGAAGCCTGTAGCACAACCAAAAGAGATATTTAGCAAATTCTATAATCATTGGCCGAGCCCGGGGTAAAAAGATCATACAGTTCTTCAGGCAGAGTAATAAAAGGCATCAAATAAAAGATTCAATGTGACAGAATTGCCAAAAATAGCAAGACTCCGAGTAAAAGAACCGTCAAAATGGCGCGATCCTTCTATAACAAGCCTCTTATATCAAAAAGATTTGTTAAGTAAGATTGCAAGAAAACGCTTACCAACGTAAAACAACATCACACTGTTAGTTAGACCTGATGAATATAAATTAAATCTTCATTGATTTACTTAAATATCAAACGAATTTACTTGCTAAAGCAAATATTAAATATCTACTACAATATAAATGTCTAATAAAAGACTTGTTTTCTAATCTCTTTTAAACCGGAACGAGAAAAATTAACTCTGAAATAAGGAAATGCAATAATATTTCTCTAACTCGTATGTGTCTAACCACTCAAGAAAGGAGCTTCGGCCATATTCAAACTTTTTGCTAGTGGCCTAACCAAAGCATATTGAAGGTGCTGTAATAAGCTTCAATGATGAGAAATACAAGCGCAAAACGAGGCCGAGTGCATGACACGTTCCATCTTGGATACACGATGGCAGCACCGTTTGCACAACCTTCAAAACGCACTGAAAAAATTTGTTCTGACACTTTTCTCGCCTTTTTCACAAGACGCTAGAATCTTACAGAGCAACCACGACAGCGACAAGGGGAAAATGTACCTTGGAAAAATAGTTCAGGATATTTATAAGTTATTTGACATCTTCCACCAAAAGAATTGTCTCGGATATGAACTCGTAGCGACGACTTCCGATGGAAAAAACGCCTTGCGGAGACGTTGATCATTTTCTTTCATTAATCCGCGCGCTTAACGCATTAACAGCACGCGCATGGTATAACAGTGAGGCAGTGAAGCATTGTGGAAGCATTGTTAACGCTATCACCATCGTAGTTGCTTTAACTACCCGTTCCGGAGTAACTACGAGTATCCATGGTGTGCCAGAAGGCCACTACGCTTTTAGTTACCCCTGAGATGCGTGGAGGAAGAGTTATGAGCTCTTAATTGGTGAATGTGAACACCTGGAAGTCCAAGCGAGACCAATTTTTTATTATCTACGATATAACAACGTTTGTTATATATTTCCTTCAAAGATCCCATGACCGATAGATTTGGCTTGATCCTTGGCCTTTCACATCCTGCAGTCTTTTATTTGTCTTGTATTCTTTTATTAACTTGGAACAGCGCTGATCTTTTTCTGCGTCGCTATATGAATCCACTTTGTATTTCGTGGGTGACACATCAGGAGAATATTTTAAAAGTTCTGAGTTTGAGAGTTTCTCCACTTCTTTTAAGCTCTCTCTACTGGAATCACTTCCGTCTAAGTTCACTCCCATCTCCTGCTGTAACGCCATTATTTCATCGTAGACTTTGGGATTGTACGAAGTACCCTCCGTTTCATAATCGTCCATTTCACTTGACGAAGGGTCAAATTCATAGGGATCATCGCACCGAGTCCCTCGGCCACTCAACCGCATCCGCGCATGAACCTTGGAAAAATCCTCCGGTCGTAGTCTGTCGGGATTTTCGTAACTATCCCGAGAAGAGGCGTAACCACTCGAAGCGCGGCCGCTGGAAGTCCGATTACTAGAGACTGATGATCGTTTTGAGTGATCACCCGGCCGCAGGTGGTCGGGACTGTAGCTATCCCGAGAGGAAGCATATCCACTCGAAGGTCGGCTGCTGGATGTTCGATAGCTCATTCGTGCCTGCGAATCCCGAGGTGAATCAATACTGTTTGTCTCGCTGGATGAAACCTGAACTGAACCAATCCCGCTGGATGCATTTGACGAGGATCTCGATACGCGACGTCTCTCTTGAAAGAAGGGATCGCAAAGTTTAAGCTGATCCATCGAGTCTGCTCGTTCCATAGAAGATAAATTCAAATTTGTCACTGATGCAGGCTTCTTCTCTTTATACGAAGGCGGCAAAGGTCTTTCAAACTGATCCGTACGTTCATCCGAAGAGGACTCGGAATCGAGTGACTTTAACTTCGTGACTGCTCGAGGAAGGGTGACACCAGCGGTGCTGTTGATTATCGCATTCGGGTTACAATCATAAAGTTTTCTTGCAATCTCTCGGTCACTCTCTGTTTCCGAAAGCGACACTAAAGAAATTGCCGGAGAAACACTATTCTCCGAGTCCGTATCGATTGGAGGATTTTTATCCTTGTGTGGGTGTGAATCGTAAGGACTTCCAGAATTGGGAACATTCCAACCTTTTAGTTGATCAGTGAAGGAAAGTCTTTGAGATTCTGATCTTTCGAGATGAAGGTAGGAGGATTGCGTGTCAGGAAATTTTCTTGGCAGCGAATTCGAACTTTGAACCGTTGGTGGTGAATACTTCAAACAATCATCCGACTCCTCTTCATCGCACATGCAGCGCAGCTTCGGATCCGAATCCTGTTCCGAGATGGGCCGAAGTTTACCTTCGTAGAGTGAATGGGGGCGATGCCGACTGCCTCTCCTTCCTCGTTTCCGAGAGTCCACCGAGTCTGTATCGGAACCTTTTTCATCGCTGTTGTTATTTGTATCCTCCATTCGCTTTGTGAACACCGCCGGCGTCGACCAATGATGAGGCTGTTTTCGTCCAAGCGTCCCATTGCCTCGCGGGACATCCCGGTCTCGTGGACTCTCCTCTTTTATGGGCTGAAATCGAGGATTTCGAGAGAAGGCACTACTCCTTCCTTCTGGCAGACTCATATTAGAGCCGAACTTTGGGACAACCTTGGGTCCCAAGTGTTCATATGAAGCCTTTCGCGCAGTAATTCCTATCGGGGACTGCATAGAGTCCCGTGACCCGACATCAGGCTGCCTACAGAACTGATCGTATGAATCCCGTATCTCGCGGGACGCAGGTTTTGCGAGAGTGCAGTCGTACCACGCTGACATCCCGTCCCGAGTTTCCATATCTCCAAAGAAACGAACTTTATCACTCAGAACAGTGTCTTGCGAGGAAATCTCTGGCGAGTGTGAAGGTGATGAGCTAACCAGAGCAGCGTATCGCAACATATCACCACCATAGCGACCGTCATGGCCAGTTAAGATAAAGTCTTCTTCTAGCTTCGTCTTCGGGTATTTATCGTACTTGTCTTCGCCGTGGACATTATCATCGGGAATAAATCGGACAGCTTCTGGTCGAAGCTTGATTTCGGCGTCAAGGAAATCTTCATCAGATTCTTCGGGTTCGTACGCCTCCTTTGAGCTGAGCAAAGAAAAGAAAAAATAATTAGTATCTCTTGTAATACGAATTGGCCATTTCAAGCTTGTTGGACAAAAGTTATTTTCACCTGACAAAAGTTCTACGATCTTTTCTATTTTTTCTTTATATGAGAGGGGAAGAGATAGCTTAAAGGAGATCAATTTTTGCGAACGAAGTGAACAGAAGCGACTGCCTTCGTCACGTTTGTGCAGCTCATCACAATAGCCTTGAGGAGCCGCAGTTTTCCGGTCTCAAATAGATCCGGAATGCCAAACAGCCTTTTAATTAAGCAAATATGTCATCGGAATATTGTGAACGTCCCATTAATTTGCAATGAGTTCCTCGGTCTCCTTATTATGTTCTTTGCTATGTTTCATCTAGTAATTCTCGCTTCCTAAAAACTGTTGTTGATTCTAGCAGAACCTTCACACTGAAATCAGAATAAGCAACCGCTTATTTGTAATAAATAACAGTACAAATTCAATTACTTTTCAAAATTTAAACAGCGTCATTCCTCGGTTTGGAATATCGACTGTTTAGAAAATATTCACTTCTTGAAACTGAAAATGCGTGGTCTATGAATCATTTAATAACGAAATATAAATACATTTCGGTACGCAAAATATGTATGAAAAAAAAAACTGTGCCAATGAAAAGGCCAGAGCCGTTTTATAATGGCCTTTATCTGAGTTGGTCACGATTTCCATTGATTCTCCGTATAACCGCGCACAAATAGGTTCCAGCTGTTTAGGTTTCTTATCGATCTGTTAAAGTTCTAACACAGCAATTGTAAAATTAAAGATTTTAAAAGATTTAGTAGAGCTTGTACTTCAATACTGAGAATGGTTCAACTAATTTTGATCAGGGAAGGCAAAGATAGAATCTCAATCATTGTGAAAGACTCGGAGTGAGAAATACGATTCAGAATCAGGTCATTAAAAAATAGTGCAGCTTCTTGTTCAAAACCAAAGATAATATGATGTCCAGGAGAGGAAGAAAAGGTGGTTATACAGATAAAACGTTTGCCAAATTTACAAGACATTATCGTTGTATCAGCGAGCGGTCTAAAGACAAAATAAATGATGAAATATCTTCCTCCATGCAAATACCTCAATAATGAACCCATTCAAATCTCCTCGAGGATGAAAATAAAAATGCACCACTGTGATTTGAAGAAACTCTACTCGAAAACCAAGCTGAAACTTTGCCACATATCCATAATATTTCACTTTTTGACAGCTATACTTGATGAATGACGACCACTGAAATAACTGCAAGTTTGTTTTTTAGGTTTAAAAAACTCACTTCACGTTCCTAAAAACGACTCTAAATTTTCCGGCAACATTTACGGAACTTTTTCGGTACGAACCCGACGAAGTTACTTAAATTTTGGTTTTTGGTAATCCACCAGAAAAGTGTCTTCTAATGTTAATGGAACGAGGCACCTGCCGTTTTTTGGAAGACAAGCCAACAGACTTGAATGACTTTCTAATCATGAACATAAATTATACATTGTCAAAAGATACACAGAGTCGTAGAGTGTGGTGTGAATTAAAACATGGGATCTCTTTACCGACTCTAATTACTCCATACACAAACAAATCCTCAGCAGAATTCTTCCGTGACTTTGGACAAATTCATTACAATCAATTAAGTCGCAAATTTAAACCCAGTCTATCTTATTTTTGATAATACGGGCGTTCAGACCAAGAAAATGACAAATTAAATCAACCTGAGAGTTGTACCGAAAATTTTGCAGCGCTTATTGATGAAACATTTATCATTGCCGCCAGCGTACGTCTCATCTTCCATATGATACCTGCAGCGATCTCAGCATGCTAAAAACAAGCTATACAATGCTTTCTTTCGCTTTATACCGTCAAATATCCGTTAAATCTATCTGGACAAGTTAAACTAACTCTCGCAGCGAGTTAACTGTTATAATTGATGTGTCCGCGTGCGCGCCAGTGCGATCTGTAGTTATTGTGAGATATGGAAAACATGAAGCTCGACTATAGGACTCGAAGTCCGTTAAGAGAAACAGCTAAACTGTATAAAAATGTCAGTAAAGGACATAGACGTAAATTTCTTTCCGACAGTTCTTTTGTTCTATAAGTTAGTGTTCAGGCTAAGAAATATTCCTTTTCTGACGTGGGTAAGCAAGCTCCATCGTGCTGGAGTCGAAGGAAGAAACTTCCCTATTTTTAAATCGGAAGGCCGTCCTTTGATTCCATACCCAGAAGATCCTGGGCAGTGTCTTAGTGACGCAATCACAGGGCAACACTGAAACTCAGTTAGTACTGAGGAACTTTCGATAAATGGGTGCCTCAGTCAGGTATTTCAAAATCATCAGAGCCTCGAAAATCGCAGGAAACCCACGTAAAAGCGTTCAAATTTCTAACTAACCTTGGGAGAATAAATTGAACTTTCTTGTTTCCAGACTGGACATCAAATTCTGTGATAAAAACGTAGAATAGTTAGTCAGAAGATTAAAACAACAATGAATGAGCGAATGTTGCCAAGGTGGTGATTGCTTAAATCGCCTTAGTGACTTGTTATTATTCAAAGGGTGGGGAGGGCTAGTGCAAAAAAGGAAGTCATTGGTTTTAATACAGGAAAAAAAGGTAAGTGTACATATAATTATTCAGGCATAACATGATTCTTCGCGGTGCAAATGTCAGTTTCTAACTAGTGCTGATAGTACAGGGGGTGGGGAGGGTTATTCCCAAGCCTTCTTGGTCAATGCATTTCGGTGACGTATCGGAGACGAAAACATCGCTCGGACAACGTTACGTGAAACGCATAGACCGCGCGGAATGAAGAGGCCTAAGGACTAGGCAAGGCAAAAGGCACCATATTGCCATTTCAGTGGGTGATAGGTGTGGGATGAGATGAGGATCAGGATAAAACGAGCACCTGACTGTAGCAGAGGAAGGGAGGGGGGGGGGGGGGGGATAGTGAGTATTTGAACAATGCCGCAACTTACTGTCTCTTTTCCTTTTACGAACAAAGCAGAAGTAAAGCAGGCCAAGCAAGAAGACACCAAATATGGCTCCCAGGACTCCTGCAATGATTGGAACTACGTCGCTGCTATTGGAATCCGCACCAAAATCTGGGGTGGCTGAAAACAAGACAACGGTAAAACGTAAGAAAAATTGCGCTAAGTCGAAAATATTTTAAAAATTCTCAACCAAATAAGATGAAAACTCACCAATGTTATATGTCTTTGAAACATACGCAGCCTCGCTGAACTCGTTCGCTCCAAAAGCCATGACGCGAAAATCATAGCTCTTTTCTGCCTCTGCCATTTCCGTTGTAAACAAGTAGACCCTACGATTCGCTGATACAGCGGAATCTGCAACATGCCAGGTAGACGAATCTTTCCCTTCCTTGTACTCCACGACAAATTTCTCCACAGGGGGTCGGCCGGGAACAGCTGCGTGAGTCCAGCTGATGTAGTAGCCATCCTTGGTGATGTTGACAATAACATTCTCCGGTGCTAAAGGTTTATCTGTTGGAAGCACCAAAAATATTTGAGAAGGATATTTAGAACGGTGAAATGTTTCGTCGTGGTATTGGACAGAACAATACACACCACGAGGAACCAAAACAGTTAAGCATCACAATCAAGCAAAGTGACCACTCTTTTTTGCACCCCTTTTGCTCTCGTGCAACCTATTTTCAAAAAAATCTCGTGTAACAACATTAAGGTTGTAACCTAATTTACGAATAATAAGACAACATGTCGTATGAAAACTTCAAGACAATTCAGTGGCAAACAAAACTTTAACCCTTCCGCAATGCCGACACCTTACAGTCACTCAATATTAATAAGAACATTGAAATTGTCTCTTAAAATCGAGAAAACAAGACTGCTAGGTCGAACGTTTTTCCTATATACCTGGAATCCACCTCACCTAAGCAAATGATTTTCGCAGCCGCTTAACTTACCCGAATTTTTAGGGTTATGATTAATAACCAGCGGTAACCCTTTTGCTTCCACGATATCACTGAAGTGCCCAGCTCCCTCTCGGTTGATACCTCTGACGCTAAACAGATACATTTGATCCAGCTGGAGGTTTGGGATCTGGTGTGACGTCACGCTAGGTGGGAGGTAAGATGAACTGCGCCACTCGTAGTCATTGGCTGAAGACAGTCGATACCAGACTTCCATCTGCTGTGGATAACCTCCATCGTACCCAGGCTGCCATTTAATCACGACCGTTGAACCATTGAAGTCCACATATCGTATCGTAGGTTTGCTGGGAGTCGCTGTAAGATAACGTGATAAACATTATCAGCCAGAACTAAGTTTATAGTTTATTAAACCTTCCCGAAAAGGTTTAACGAGTGGGAGGCAAAAAAAAGGCGACAAACAAGGACCATCAGAATCGGATTAAGACAGCTTACTTACATATAACAGCTAAGGTTGTTGAATGCCTGGCCTGTGCATCGTCTGAGGTCGCAATGCAAGTATAAACACCATAGTCTTCCTTCTGTATACCCGTGATGACCAACTTTCCGCCCTTGCTGACCGTGCGGCCTTGTGGGAAGGGAGCACCCTCGCGTTCCCATGTCACCGTGGGAGGTGACTCTGAAGTGGCTTCACAGTCAAGTGTGACGTCGTCATCCACTTTAAGTGTCATGATGCTTGGTGGAGCAACGATAAATTTTGGAACAACTGTGGGTAGATATGCAGTAGTTTAGCAGTTAATCCTGTATTGGCTTTTAATTCTTTTTTTTAAATGTTATACCCATTATAAGCTTCGAATGATCACCTACCTTTCAAAACAAGCCTTGTTGTCTTACTCATCCCGTAGCCTACTTTGTTATATGGAGTACAAGAGTACTCCCCAGCGTCAGTGCGACGGACGTCTTGAATCAGCAGAGCGCCTTTCTCCAACACGGCGAACCTTGGATTTGAACGAACACTTTCACCTTGTCGTGTCCAGTTTGTAAAGTCTGTGGTCGGATTTCCCGCGGAAACACATGGTAACCGGGCGTCAGCTCCCTCCGGAACTGCTACGCTCTTTGGCATGTCAATAATCGTAGGGGGAACTGAAGTAACAACAGGAGAAAAAAAACAGATCACATTATACAAGAAGATGTCTTGATTACATTTGATTATGTTATAATCCATCAAATCCTAGGCTCTAAGAAAGTTCCTGGGCCTTCAGGGACAAGAAAAGGCAGAGAACCTCTCCCACCCCACCCGTGTCATTTCACTTTGGCAGGCGTGAATGAGACTGACAGACTCACATTGTACGTCCAATAATGTTTTTGCTCCTGGATAGGTAACCAAGCCGCTGGAGTCGAACGTTTTGGCGGTGCACTGGTAAACACCAGAGTCTGCACGGAGGGTGGACTTGATGAACAAAGCTCCGGATGCAATGACTGTTGCTCGAGGATCAGTTGTGGCGTCACTTCCGTCTTTCGTCCAACTGTAAATAACATTTTCACTCGGCAGATTTGTGTCCGTCAGGCATTCTAGAACGGTAGGGTATTTCTCTACTACTGCTTTACGACGAGACGGTAAGCCAGCTTTTCCTGGAGAAAAAATCCACTACGAAAGTAAGAATGACGTAACGGCGAATTAAAATAGCCTAAGCACAGGATACTCAGCAGTCTATATGAGAATGGGTCACCTGTGTTACGACAATTAACTGAGCGTGTTGTGAAAACATGAATGCTATTTCTCCTTATAGAGAGAAAATAAAAAGAAAATTCAAAAACCTTTATACAGTTTTGGAAAAAAGGACCGATTGCGAGAATTTCTCCAAACTATAGATAGTGCAAGTAATCGAGAAGACAGCGGAAACGAATCTTTGGTGATCTAAAGTGCTTATTAAAAAACATTGTACAGTATACCAGGGAAGAAATAAAACTCTTCCAACAGCTAAAAGCAAAAGCAAAAACGACAAATAACCACAGAATTATGCACAAAATCCGCAAGTACAGAGATAAAACAAGAAAAAATGAATTTATTACTGCCACAAATTTCTCTCTGGCTTTCAGTTTTAAAATGAAACAGAACAAGCTTACTTTAAGTTGAGGATTTCTGGAGACTAGATTAATTTTCCTTAAACAAACAAACCAAGAATGGCTTTAAATAAACATAGCAGCCTTGTAGAAAGTTTTCAACCTCGATTCAAAGGCCGAAAGTACAATATACACGCTATTTTCTACATTATTAACTGTATTGCGTAGAATTAAACACACTGTCTATGCTCCGTAACTGTTTAGTACACATGTAGGAAAATTATATGTCTCATGTGATTTAAAAATCTTAACGCTTAAAAATTCTACTTTAAAATGCGAGAAAAACGAAAAAAATCACTGAAAGGCTTGCTTCGAATGAGCTATATCAAAATAAGTCAACACAATAAAAGAACGTCTTTTGGTACCTTGAGATAATCTTCCCACACTAATGCTCAAGACCATCATGAAAAACTTAAATATCCAACGTTTCTGTCTCGTTTCCACAACAGATTCCCACATTTCTAACACGTTGTTGAATCTCTTTAGACCATAATACTTTTAAAAAGCGAGGAAATTATCACGATCTTCCGTGCGGAACTCCGTCCTAAGTCGAAGACGGAATATGAGTACACTCTTCAAAACGCTTTTGGCCTCTCGGAATTATTAATGTCAAAAAAATTCTGTCAAATCTGTTTTTGAACTTTTCTGACAAGCCAATGACAATCGCTCATTAAGGATATTTATAAAGGCACCAGACTTGTTAAAGCATATAAGGCTCCAAAGACTATATTCGTAATATCACTTTCAAGTTTCTTTCTTGTGACAGAAGAACGCTAATTTCTGTAGTTTGGCGCCACTTAAGTAGATTAAATAGTTATATCAGAAAACTGGACAGCAAAAGGAGCTTTTCTGGTGATCATTACAGACGACTTATTAGAGTGCCCCGAAAACTTATGCGGATGAAAAATGTGTTGAATTGGGTAATAAGGAAGTGAAACAAGGGTTCGCTTTGAAACAATAATTCCTTCACCCTTTCAGACATGTGTTATAATCCGTACTTTATAAGTCCATAAGCGGAATTCTACGATATATCCTTTCATATGAAACCTCTTCAGCAGTGTACGCATGACACTATATATTTCCCAGGATTTTTTTTAAAAATAGGTTTCGAATGTTTTTACAATGTGGGTATTCTCATGGTGTTAATGAAAAACTGACGGTTCATCTGGGTATAAAGAGTAAAAGGATTTCCCGATCCGGCGCTTGCTTTTCGCTGAGAAAGGAAGTCTGATGTTGCAGATTATCCTATCACCCGCAACCTTGGCAGATTTAATTTTATAGTGACAATGTGCCTAAAGAAAAACCATCAAGCATATTGAAAAGGAACCAAACGGGGCCCTGAAATACACTGAATATCAACAACATGTAAACTTGGTTAGGTTGTCGCCATGAATAAGATTATGCTAGAACAGCTAAGAAAGAGGGTTAAACGTCGAGAAAAACAGCCTTCAAAATTAATCGGCGTTTGGAGGAGTCTGAAGGACCTAACAAAAAATTTCCTAGATGAAACTGCTGACTGTTGTTTAAGTAAAACTTGTATAGCCTAACACACAAAACATTGCAGGAAAAAAATGCTATGAATTGAAACACCTCATATTAGGATTTCATCTACATTCTCTAGTGTAGCATAGCTGGAACCGGATTGAGCATGCACAACATATAATTATCAGCACTTTGCAAGATCTACGTCAACCGGAAATCTGGGACATTTCTTACATTTTGAATAAACCTCCACTGCAGGTCAAAATCGGGCCTTTGAAGTAATAATTTCCGATCACTGCAGTCGGCGATCGCGGTGAAAAGTAATCGCCGGATTCTCTCGGTCTAGATACTTCGATCCTTTCAGCTAACGTAAAGTTCTCTCGTAAAACTGTCCAGTGAAGTACGTTATTCTAAAAACGTGCCTCAGGAATAAATCCTTCTCCATAAAAAAGGAAGTACTATTGCTATTTCTATGATGCCCGCCTTTGATCTGGAAAGGGCTCCTACATGTTCTTCCGCTACATATCAAGTGGGGCCGGAATTATAGCCGTGCTCCTAACCTAGTCTCTATTGTGCGGCTTTTAATCCCAAACAATTCCTCTTGCACTGGCCAAAAGCCAATTAAAATGATAAGAATAGAAACAATATAACAAAGAAAAACATTTTCAAAGTATCACAAAGTTGGAATGAATAATGAACAATATTGGAGAAAGGAAAAACTAATTACTAAAGGGTAAAAAAGGACATCGCGCGCCCATACATAGGTGCGATCAAGTACCAAGGAAGGACAGCTATTCAATGTAATGGTGAACAGTAATTAATTATATGATTTTTAATCTAGAGGTTAAATGCACCGAAAATGAACAGTGCTGATGCCAGAGACTTCTCATTGCTCAAATAATGAAGATTTTCAAGTATACGGCCTATAAAACGAACTCACTCTGATATTTACGTGGGAGAATCTTTTCAGCTGTTAGCACCCAATATAATGGATATCTATCTCTTACGGCGAGACAATGTTTTCACATCAATAGAATACAACCAACTTGGTTTTTATCCAAACCAAACATCAGATAAATTTATTAATTTGACCTCCTATGAAAAACTGGAACACAATCGTGCGAGCTTGTGTATAATATATTAAGTGTGTCATTGCAGATTATCCTCATATTAACAATTGAGTACAAAACAAAACAGGATCACATAACTAAAGATAACTAGCAGTCGCTGAGGTTAAGGTGAAATTCTGCATTAAAAAAACAGTAATGTAGTGTAAATTTCTGCACAACCTCTTTATTCTTAGATATCAACGCAAGGTCAAGTTTGCAAAAAAGCTAATTTTCAAGGTGCAAAAGTGGACGAAGGAAAACACGTAGATAATTTGCATATGTGTAAAATTATCACCCAGACTTTTTCAACTCTTCATATTTGACAGAAATCAATGACGCTGAAGGGAGCATCGTGTAGAACAAAAGGCAGTCCTAATTTAGACCCTTGAAGTCCCCGGGCTTGAAGCTCAATCTTGGTTATATTTGCCTGTCTTAGTAATCAATAATCATTCAGTTATTCAATGATTGTTAGAAATGTAATATAAACATTGCGTTTTTATAAACTAGAGTTTTATTCGAACTGAAAAAGAGTTATTCTAAGGGCTGCTTAGGAAAGGTTTGGAGGAAAAGGCTTTTGTTTCTCTGGGTTGTTTGCTACTTTTAGTAGTCTTAAATTTGTTTTTTTGCTCAAGCCTTTTCCAATCATTCAAACTGGGCGCAACCAAGGGAAAATAAAGTTTCGAACAAAAAGAAACTAAGTCAGTGCTGAGAGCTGAAAAATGGTAAGGTAAAGAGGTTACTTTTCTTCCCTAGCAAAAAAAACGGATCAAGCTCTTTCCTTCAAAGAAAAATCACGAAGAGTTGAAAATAACTGAAGGTGGTCTGAATACGAACGTGATAATTGTATAGTGCATTGACGAATTTGCATTTTAGAAAATTTTTTCTTACGTACGCTGGACAGTAACTTCAAACACATGATGGAGGTGCCCAACGGAATTAAACGAGGAGCACTGGTACCGACCGCTGTCACCAGGTACAAGGGCTGTTATTGAAAGCACGTGACTCCCAGTTGAGACAGAAGCCCGCTCAAAAGGTATTTGTGCCCCGTGTTTGAACCATTCCACTTCCGGTTCCGGTGTACCCCCAATCAGGCATGGCAGAGACAAAGAATCGCTTTCGTTAGCGGTTATTTTATCCAGCGGTTTCTTTAGGAAGAAGGGAGGGACTAGAACTGGTCGAGGGGCTGATACAGCGAGAGAAAGAAAGAAGTTAAAAGGTTAAAAGTTATTATAAGATTAAGAAAGAACCCCCTTCGCTTTTTGTGCCAATCATTCCTGAAAATATCACAAATAATACAAGCGGCGTTTACAGTAGCAAGTCTTTCTGGTAGAACAAATGGATTAAAAATGGCAAATTTCTCTTGTCAAGAAAAAAACAACACTGCAGTTATACCAGTCTTATGTGTAAAAACTCCACAAGGTTATGAAGGAATTCAAACGACATGAAGGAAGTTCGCATTTGAAAGCGGATTGTCTGACAATTCATCTTTTCATTCGTAAAGGACGCTTAGACTGTTCGAGGCTAACAGCCGGTAGGGATGTTGCGATAATAAAATAAGCCAAGGGGGAAAATAACACGCGCACGATCTGAGGAAGGCGGGCGGGAAGGGCGGTAGCGGGAAAAAATAGGTCCTCTCTCTCCTCAGCCCCCGCGCGTATTTCGTATCCCTTTTTTACTTCACGACTACAGTATGATCTTGGAGCCTTGAACAGGCTTAGACCGCGAGCGGTCGTTTTTCTTTCCTCAGAGCCACGCGCGAAGAGTTAAAAAGTAAAATCAAAAAAGGAGGAGAGAGAGACAAAATCCGTTGTGACTATTCAAAAAAAACCTGTTTGACAGTTCTTTCAAATGTTACTATTTCTTTTTCAAAATTTTACTCAAGGAAATTTGAAATTTTTGCCGAATTTTTTACTTCGAACACTTTTATTCTCGGTTTCCAAACAGGTGGAAAGCAGGCTTCAAAGCAAAAAGAGGACAACACCAGAATTAAAGATGCCAATGTCTTAAAAGAATGTGCAGGGACCCATGAGCAGCGCGTGCAGCTCGTGTTGATCATTCATGATATTTTCAGGAAATGCCTTTTATTTCAGTTCATCAGTCTAAACTGACGCGGAAAAAAAGCACGCGAAAGGGCTTACGATTATTAGCTGAGAGAAAGATTAGTTACAGGAATTTGCAAGCAGAAAATAATATGTATGATCAAGTCAATCAATAAAGGAACCGATGAAGTCAGTCAAAGACCAAAACATACACCACTGAGAAAAATGAAATGGAGAAATACTGGGAATTATTTTAATCAATGAATTTGATTTAAGCTAAGGAAGTTTAAATAAAAATAGGCTGCAAGGAATAATAGTGAAATCTAATGATTAAATTAGTTTTTGGTACGCAACAAATAGATCCGCTTTAATAATTCACCCCCTTTTTTCTGTTTACAGTTCTCTTTCGTACTTAAAGAGTTTTCCATGTAAATTCGACCTAACGTTGATCCACAGGACACCCAGTAAAGATCGGAACGGAAAGAAGGAGATAGTGAATATTTTTCCTCTCTAGTCAGACTCTGACGGGCTACCCTTGTTTTGAGAACTCAATACTCTGATCTGAAGCGCTAACTGTTGAGTTTTATCAATTCGAATAATATCTCTACCTCGTTTGAACATGAATGAAGATAAGAAAACGCGGTAATAATCTAACATTTTTTTCGGACTTGACTAGAGTAGGCTGAGGAATCAGGAGATCAGACCCCTTGTATTCGTTAAACTCTAAACAAGAATTAAGCAAAAACAACAATCTAAGGTTCTTTTCTGTAATTGTTTTGACACTCCTAGTTTATAGAAGTGTGGGAAAAATCTGCTGGCGCAAAAAGGTGTTTGCTTTTTCGCTGTAAAGTAATCAGGAGTTACACTATAGAATTTACCTTGGCGCGGGATCTGTTTATTTAGAGAAATATTTTCATAAAGAGAACAGCAAAAAGAGAAAGAATTTAAAATAGAGTGGTCAAAAGCAGATAATTGACATGGGAAGTTGAAGCGTGGGTTAAAAATGTAATTGACCGAGATTTAAATATTCACTGTTACTGGAAAGTTTGAAAGTCACCGTTATTTACTGTCTGTTAAATCTTGAAAGTTTTAGATGTTTGTTCCTGAATAAGGATTATCGTTAATCACGAGGTTCGTGGTAATTGCAGTAATTTGCTTCTGCTAGGATGTGTACGACGAAAAAAATCACTCCACCACATCTCGAACTTAAACTCTGTACTTCTAGTTTCCGTGATCATTTATTGACAAAATTATTTATAAACCGTCGCCTCTTTAAAAATTCTTCAAGTGGATTTATTTTCCGGGCTTAAGGTCAAGTCATCTGACAAAACTGAACCTCCCAGGAGTAGTATTATTGTTCGATTATTCAAAATTAGTTTCTCAAAGTTGACAGGTCTTTCTGCTCTGATCACACAGACAAGCTATGTTGCCATGGTAACCTCACTTTCGTGTACTTTCTTTATGAAACAAAATGTCGCTCGGTTTGTTTTTTGTTTGAACAAACACAAACGTTATTGCATCTTGAAAGTGAATTTTGTGATTTCCTGAGGTTTGTAGTTATTAACCGCTGTTGTTGAAACTAGATTGTGCGGTACAGTTTTTAAGGTTAAGTTTTGTATATCGGCGTTATGTCGAACAAAAGAACAGTCAAGAAAAGAAAAACTAGTTGGGTAAAAATGAATTTCAAAAGCGCTTCGTAGCTTGGAGTTGTAAGAGAAACGAAAACATCGGTGACACAAAGACAAACTGTCAAAACAGCGGGGCTTTAGCAAACATGAAGTAAAACCTTTTTAAACAGAGGATATTAAATCAGGAACGTGTTTGCTCGCAGCGGAAAACTTTTACTGGACGCCGAGCTGTAAAATAACTTGCGGGTTGTTTTATGTGGTTAACTGCAATTTTTCACGACAAATGTCAGAGGCTCAAACGGAATCCTTGTTCACCGATTTCGCTTTTTTGAGTTGTTAACTAGATTAGCATCAGGCCAAATAAAGGATTCAAAGCGGTCTTGTTATTCAGTACCCAAAGTACAGTTTTGACAAAAACGGCCACCACGCTTGTTTGCTGTTTTATTGTTGTAACTTTTTTCAAATACTTTCGAATAAAACAGCTTAAGGGTTTTGAGCATTAAAAGCCAGTCTTGATATGCACAATGCACATGCCCGGTGAACTTCAAAATCGTATCACAAAGAACTTTTTAAGAGGAAAGTGTCGTCTTCGAAGGACGGTCGAAAAACGGCTCAATGCTCGACTTCGTTATCCAGTTTGTGCATTCTTGTTCAACACAAAGAAGGTGTGAAAACTGGAACAAAAGAAAGCCAATAATGCTTTTTCGTATTCCTAAGATAATGTACGAGAAAAAACCACGAGAGACTCGCTCAAAAAGGTAAAAGCACCAAGCTCGAATTCAACTTACTTAAAGAAATTTTTCGACACTTTGGGAAACCAGCATAGACTTAAGTCAGAGCTTAGGTTTGATACCACTCTTTGTCGGAATAATAGTAATTAAGCCCTTAATATATTGCAGTGACTTGGGGCTTCCACACCACAATGCATATTTCAATTACAAGGGATTAAGATAGCGGTTTGCGCATACAAAATGCAAAGTCGCAAAGCTCGGAAGAGGTTTTGCCGCCCGTAAACGAAGATAACTTCCAACTGACCTCGTAATAAAGAGTTTTGAATTGTTGTTAAAATTTTGATGTTACATGACATAAAAAGATATTTTGGAAGCTTGCTGTCCGACATATCATTGGTTTCCGTTCATTCCACGGGTTTTCCGTGCTGAAAGTATGGAGATCATAACCACATCACATGGGTACACTAAAATATAGTTTTTTGCATGACGAAGACGATGCAAACCGGAAAAATATACCCTGTCCTACTTCTGACACAAACACTCAGCCCCTTTGAGTAGAATGAGGCAGGAAACCTTAGGAACATTATAGTTTAACAGTTTGTTAAATGCATATGTTTAGTGGTAAAGTGACCGTCTTTCATAAAGGGGACTGAAGGAGATCAAATGACTGATAAATATATGACAGGTTTTGTAACCTATAACAGGTGAAGCAGATTTGTTTAATAATTTTTGCTTAATCGAATAAACATTGATGCAATGTTTTTTTCGTGGGGGAGGACTGTATTTTTCTTTCCCGAAAACGCGTTTTTTAATTCGCTCAGGAATTTAAACCGCATTTTAATATATTCACAATATAGACTACATGAATAAACACGAGACACTGGGTGTATCAAATGCTATGATTCGGTTGAGGAGGAGGAGAAGCGGTTTGAAAATTTTCAAATTATTACCTTGATTATTTTTAGTTTTTCTACTGAGAAGAAAGATATCAGATTGATTTTGGAATCTATTTAAATGCAGAGACCCCATCGTGCAAGTGATATGACGTTACCGCCAGAAATATACAGTGAAACTAATGTCATATAATGGCCAATAAGATGATACACAAAGGGTATAAATATTTCTCTTGTCCGGCCTACACACTATCACAGCAGGTCAAAACCATCGATACGTGACTTGCATAAACGCTTCTTAGAGTCGAACGAACGAACGATCATCTCGCTACATTTTATTAGCTTTTCGATCGAGACGTGTCTATCCATTAGCTTCTGTTTTTAAATAGGCTAGATTTGGAAAAATAGGGAATTTTACCCCCGGAAAAATTTGATAAATTCTTATTTTCAGGTACTATTAATTACAGTTAGGTCAGCCCCATAATTCACTCGTAATAAATCGACAAAACCACTCCATTAATTGGTAAACTAACTTCTTAAAAAAAAAAACGATTTTTCGCTCTCGACAAGTGTATATATCGGACTACGTACTCTCTACTCGGTTTACAATTATACAAAAACAGCAAATAATTAAAACTTACCAATAACTTTTAAAACAATCCATCTTCCTTGATTCATAATCGTGCTATCGCCACCCGACTGCATTGTTCGGCAGCGATAGATTCCTGCATCACTTTTCTTCGCGCTAGAAAGCAAAATAGCCGAATTGTTGATCATATGCAAGCGTCGGGAATAACGCGAGTCGATGTGAGGTTTGAAGTTCATAAACTTGATGAAGATTGGGCTTTTCGAGCCGTTCTTTCGCCATTCTAGAAGCTGAGACACTTGGTCATCCTTTACAGCATCACATAGTAAAATCACATCTGATCCTAGCTTCACGTTGACTTCCAAAGGTGGGTTTTTTCCACCACCTGGATCGGGATTCGTTGAAGATCCCTGTGCCAAACCTGAAATAAACACGGGCGGAAATAGGCGAATTTATATAGTGTTCGAGTTCTAGGGACGAATTTTAACAATCGATTGGAAGAAGTTCTAAGCTTAATCGAATGAATTGCCCTAGGCAATATATAATTATTGCTCTATTGCTTAACCGATACGATCGTAAGCTGAAGAATTTTGAAGCTCTCTAGCTCTCACGTGTTGAAATACACATCTTCTGTCCATGCTTTAGTTACTCAGCTGTACCGTGCAGTGTAGTGGAAGGTCGAGTCATAAATTATGACGCCATAATCCTCAGCAGGCAAAATCACCCACCAAACATTCAAATTTGCGCTAGCGCTTTCAAAGAAGCGAGCATTTATAGCGCTATAATAAACCCAGCCAAATCCATCAGGAGAATTATGATCGACGATAACTCGACCTAAGATTCGATCCCGCGATAAACGAACGCGTCGATCTCCAATGCCTGGAGAAGACTTACATTGATCTGAGAAATCTGTGGATGAAGGACAGTTCCATTCGACTGCAGTAAAATCCACAAATGAGCTTGTTATAATTGTGAACAAAACTAAGTACATTATTTTAGATTAAGTGATATTGTAGCACAAAACTTAGGGTAGTGGTTGGTTTCATCCAGCGATGATGAATTAATATGGAACGGTCCATGTATATTGCGACTAGAAATCGCACCGGTTTAATGTATTTGGGGAATTTAAAAACACAAAAGCTTGCTGATTTTAAGCCGCGATCTTTCGGCAGTCGCGTGATAATTACGGAAGAAAACGCTGAAAACTTACCTCGTTGAAACAGAGTGAAAAAGCAGCACAACCACACGATGAACATGACACCGTAGAACCTATTAATAAGAAGACCACATTAAAGACGATAGATCCAAGTGAAATTTCCTTCTTATACGATAGTGGTCTCTAGTAAGGATCCACGGACCTTTTACACATGTTTGTGAAAACAACACGCGAGACAAAGAAGACTGTAATCGGACGTTTACAACCGAAATGGACATACGCTAAAGTGACCAGAAAGGAAACTCCTGAAAAAACAATTGCCCAACAACAGGGTCATACATTAGCCAATCAAATTGCGAGTTGCGTTTTTGAGTTGACAAGTAAATTGATGACCTTACACCATATCAATCGAGCGTTCGCGCGTACGCGTGGTTTCTATGCGAGATTTTACTTAATATGCGTTCTCTCGCGTGGTAAACAAACACGACGCTAGAAAACAAATCTTTTTTCCAAGCGCCTCTAAACGATTTCACGGCAGAAATAATGGCATCTGCAGAAGTGCAAATTCTTGTGTTGAAAAACACCGGAAACGCCAAAAGCAATTGAATCTGACAAGATCCATTGTTTCGGTCTGAAGAACAATTATCATAAAAATCACACCAAATTTTTAATAGCCCCTCTGGAAAGCACATGGAAAACGTTCTTGAAAAATCTTAACTTTAAATTTCAAAATATGAACAACAAAATATCACCATTTCAAGGGCTACGGAAGAGGTCTTGTTTGAATGGTTACAGGATTTCGTCCGTAGAATCAAAAATTAGAAAGTCTCAAACTTTGTTTAATTTAACTTTCAAGCAGAAGGAGCCATCAAGAGTTGTCACTTGATCACTTGATGCATAACTGCCCAAACCTTATCGTTCTCGGAGACGATTGTCGCTATTTTAGGAAAGCGGGTCTTCAAATATCGACCTAAGGGCATTTTCTCTTTAGGCGCTATAAATGATGAAGCGAGTTTTTGTCATCGTGTCACAACACAACAGAGACTGCATGTGTTCACAGTAAATATTTTTCATCAGCAAATACAGTCTCGTCTAAAAACTCCTGGCTCCTATTTTTGAGCTTTTTACGTCAGAACTGAAGAGGTCACTGGAGAAATAAAGATAACCTTAACTTAAGTCAAGAAGTCAAAATTAGTCTAAAAAACTTTCAAAATCTTAGATAAACGCGGTTGACCTGACGTTTCCTGAGAAAACTTTGCCCGTAAAACTATCAGCAATAAGAACTAAACTATACTAATGTCATCAAAACGAATTGTCCTAGGTTTTTGGCCCAAGCTCCCCGAAGCAAGGAATGGGAAAACGACAAAAAGGAAAATTTTCAGTCGGTTTTTTAAGCCCAATATCCACATACAAATTCTCCAAACTGATTAAATTTTGAAACAATGGGACAGCTTTTCTCTTAGGTGACAAGAAAGGAAAAAATCTCTTGACAATCAATGGATATGGTTAGGAGAAAATTGATGTTGGACACCATTGGGACTTAAAGGGTTAAACCACTGTTTTAAAAACGTTGCCAGTTATCAGTTGCTGTTCTGATGTTGTTGGTAAACATTCTTTGAGCTTCTATTTTACCGTTTAATGTTTTTTGCTTTAGCCTTGGAATACACCTCCCTCTTATAATTATCTCCACTCGAACGTTTCACGGGACTAAAAGTTTCTTCTGTTCCCAGGTTGGTCGTGTAAGAGATTATAATCGTTTGGAAGAACGAATTTTTTGCAAGAGAATATGTATATCTGCGTAATAACGAGCTTTCCGTTCCTTCCGAAGCGTGTGAATCGCGTGTAAGCATGGCGTTTGAAAGCGAATCTGTTTTGTTCTTGCTTGTTTCGGCGTTGTTTTTGTTTTAAGCTCTTTCTCATCGGCGCCCCACGCTTTCTCGTGCCTCATGCGCGCGCGTTGGGAACGAACGACTGTTACAACAAATTGACATCGTTCGGTGGAAATAAATCTTGTTAGGTCTATCTTTACAGTTTTCTATATCTTGAAGCTTTATAAGGAAGATAAATCTTTTACTGAAGAGGTCAGGATGAGAGAGAACAGTCCAATTATGTTTGCAAACCGCACAGAACAGTAACAAAAAGTTATTAAATCCCGGCAGAGGTCAATTTCTTTTTAAACCTCCAGGAGACCACACCGTGCACCACGCCCGGCCTCCGGATGTGGGCGGGTTCTTCAAGTTATTAGAAAAACTTGCTTTATTCTTTAAATTCCTGTGGTTTTGATTTCTGACCTTGTCTTCAGTCGCACGCTGGTAAGATATAACCGTGAACTTACTTGAACTTAACTTATGACTAGATGATGATCTTAGGGACGCCAAACATAGAGCTTGGAAGTTGTCAGGTTGCTTGAGGACGTCTTGAGGGATCCTCTAGCAGAAAATCAGGCTATACAAAATTTAAGCCGGGTCGAAAATATAAAGGCACGAAAACTACATAGACTACGAGTAGTCCCCCATTTTTCCTCAGGGATAGTAGAGCGAGCGAAACGCGAGCGCGGGTGAAGATCACCCCACGCAAGAAAAGGCGACAATTTTCACGCCCGCTCGCGTTTCGCTCGCTCTACTATCCCTGAGGAAAAATGGGGGACTACTCGTAGCCTAAAAACTACATCGCTCTTAAGTTCACGGGCGGCCATTTTAGAGATTTTATCCTAGACCATATGAAGTACATGTGAAGAAGGCTTTGATAGCTGTCAAACCTTGCACCTAGAAATGTGACCAACAGTCACGTTCACCTTTTCCCTATATGCAGCCGAACAATGTAAGGGCAGCCCGGCCCTACCAACATAACATGATAACCCTCACTTGACAATATACGTTGTAGTGGTTCCAAATTAACGCCGACTAAAGTGCAGAGGATAATGAAAAAGCAGAACTATATTTGACATATTGAATTATATTCTTGTACATAAATAAAATCTTAACATTTTAAAGTTCAATGTATGTGGATTACATCGAGTGAATTAGGTTCAAGTAACAGGAAAATTGTTTTTGGAACACAAATGAAAAGGTTGTTGGTTTACATGCAATTGTAACAGAGAAGGCTACAATTTCAAAAATCAATTCACTGGATTAAATGTAACGTAATGAAGTTCTAACTTTTGAATCTGTGAAGATGTAATCGTGTAAAACGAGACCAGACTTGTGAAACCTCTTCGTGAATGAAAGGGTCATTCGTTATGCGCTGGTGGTCCTTTGTACCGTCATGTCATATGATTGGCCACCTTATACTCGTCACATAATCTTTCTCTCCCATATCCCGTTTGCCCACCGGCGTAGCCCGTTCCAAGCTTATTCTCTCTCGCTCTCAGATAGTGGAAAGTTTCCTCCTTGTACTCTGATCTCGGAGCTAACACCGACGTAATGTCACATTTTCAGCATTTCATCTTTACTGAGATATTTTCGTTCTGTAACGAACTAATTTTTTGGTCGGTCGTGACAGAAAAGAAAAGTACCGTGTGGCACGAAATTTTTGCGGGAGTTTATTTTGCGGATTGGCGAATTTTGTGTCAAGTTTGCGGGAACTAAGTTTTGCCATTAGGACAGACTGAATTTTCTTGCTGGGAATTAACTTTTGCGATTTTCAGAAAGTACCAAGTACCCAGCATTGATTATATTTTCGTTTTTGTTATAAAGTGGGTGCAATATAGAAATACATATTTTCAAACAATACTACGGTATGCGTACCCTAAGTATGATTAAACCAGTAGTTCATTGTATACTGTTGTGTTTCTTAATGAAAGACGCACGCGTTGTAATTGAACAAACACGATGTTTTAGTATTGTATTTTGTGCAGCGAATTTAATATTTACTCTGGAGTAAATATTTGCGGAAAAAATGTTTGCGATAGTTTTTATTTGCGGGAACTTATTTTTGCGGATCGCTGGAAAAATCTCAAAAATTAGAACCCGCAAAAATTTCGTGCCACACGGTAAGTACATGATTCATGTGTTTCTTGAACATACAACAGTTTTACTCCATGCCCAGGTCGAGTTTTCTCGTCGGTCATAGTCTACGTGCAGACGTCGTAGCAGTCATACATTAATGCTGGAACAATCCATAATATCGATATGTTTATGTCTGAAGAAAGATCCTTTCATACATAATATGAGCAAAGGTGACTGGTTTTGAAGATTCCTTTGAAATGTCAATCAGATAACATATAACTTAAAAATTTCACATTTTTCTTTTTATAATTTTTTCTTTAGGGACTTTAAAGAAAAAGGTGCGTGGCCTCATGAATCACGGAGGGTTTACTTTTGCTGTTTTAGAAAAAATCGATCAGATAAAAATATTGGTTTGTCTGCCAAAAATGAATGATTTAACGTTTCTCAGTAAATAGACACTTTCAGTCAAAGTTTGCATTGGCGGATCCAAACTTTCGGATGGGGCAGGGGGCGGTCTCAAAAAATTTTTTTTCGTCCCTTCCAGGGGGGGGGGGGGCGAAGGAACCGGACCTCTCCCCTGGATCGGCCACCGGTTTGAAAGTATTTAAGTCATATACAGTCTCTTCCCAGCTATTTCTCGAAAGGACAAACCCAATAAAATAAAATCAGTTTTTTTGTTCCTGATTTCGGTTTGGCGTCATTTTCTCAAATTTGCTATTTTAGAGAAATGCCTTGTATTCTTTTTATGAGCGAGAGAACAGATCCATCTGAAGGTTCGAACCTATCACCTCTGTTATCCTATTGTTTCATATACCTAATCAAATTTGTATAAAGTATCCGAAATCATCTACCTGAAGGCATAGAGATTATCCCGATATGGGGTAAAATAAACGCTTTAAGGCAGGAAGCTAAACCCAAAACACTTATACTTTACTTAATATTTTCCGCCTGGAGACGTTAAGGTTAAGTCATGGCGTGTAATGTTTTCACTGGTGCCAGTGTTTGCTACGCGAATTTTCTAATGCGTAAATGAAAATCTTCCTGTCATTTCCCAATAAATGTCAGGCGGAATTAAAATCTTTGCTATCCGATATCATAGAAGATTGGAAAATATAGAACACCGCCGTGGGAAACATAAGGCTATTTAATATTTGTCTGTACTCATCAGATATACTTAATCGCTGATCAACTGCGAATTCTGCGCAGTTTTTTCTATACTGTTACAGTCTGGATCCAAAAACCTGCAGGTCAACTTCAAAACAGGATTAATTTAAAAGCTATGCAACCTCGTTCAAGGATAATTCAAAATGAATGTAAAATGATTTTCAGATCACAAACAGTTTATACGAGATCAGTGCTTGGAACATGGCAATGTTTCAAAGGAAAATGAATACACAGAGAAACTTTTCTTAGTAAAGCTCCACCATCGAGTTAACCGCGGTCTCAACACTTGAACTGATTTGTATGTTATGGAGGGGAGATTCTATACACCGAAAACACTTTATGAAACGAAAGAACACGCAGTTTCTTACCTCGATGTCTTGAATTTTGATGTTAGACGTCAAAATCTGTTGGAAAAATGAATCAACAATGAGTTTGAAGATTAAGATTTCAAGTCCAAAATGGCGAGTGTGTATTAATGGGAAGCGCATGCATACAACTCCTGGTAAGAACCGATCTTTCTGACTGTCTGCTAAGAAATCATTCAGTTTTTGAATGAAATAATTTTATTTTGATATTACCTGTTTAACATCTACGAAGCTTGTGCTAGACGAAGAGAGGTTTAAACTTGACTCGAAAAATTAAAGCAAACTGACTATCAGGGCGATCTCTTGACAAAACGAGAACAAAGATAAGAAATTAAGAATTGAATATATTAACCAGCGACTGCCTCGAGCCTCGCAGGAAAAATCCACTCAGCGTGGTGCGATTTCGCCCAACCGAGACAAAATAAAGATCATAAGCATTAACCAAAAGATTTAGTAAATAAATATCCGAATATATCCAAGGATACAAAAAGAGTTTTTAAACCATCAAACCTCCCGAAGACTGATGAAAACCTAAGCGAGAGTATCTCACGAAAACAAGCTAAATTTAATAGTTTAAATTACTTTGACTCCAATCCGCAAAAAAAGTTATAAATATTTGATTTCATTGGCTTTCACAGGCTTACAATCAAAATTTGCTATTCATACATATTTTTCTATTTTGGTCTTGTTTTTCGGTTAATATTAGTTTTTGTTTACTCGGAAGAACGAATGGCGCGATCAGTTTTTTGTTACATAAGCTGATATGAAAGTTAAAAAATTAAAATCATTCAGTACAATGACATCTATAGCCAGTTTGACTATTGTCGTGAAAAGAAACTGGAAAATTCGATTGTTTGCTTGAAAAATATCAATATTTTACTGGTAAACTGATAATTTTATTTTCCGCACATTTTCTGGCACTGCTTAAAAAGTAATTTAATCATTATTTCATAACATGATATAACAGCATAAACAATAACAGAATTCATAAACATAAAAAGTAGAATTCACAGTATTAATTATAGAATTAAGATATTTAACTTTTTGGGTATTATTAAAATAACTGATAAAATTTCAGGCCTTTGAAAATGGTATCGCGGTTTGGACTTTTCTGGTTCATTTGATCAAGCTTTTCCACTGGTAAAAAGCAGAGAAAGTTCTCTAAACTTTCGAATTTTTATTTCAGTATAATTTTCGTTGATTCGACCCGAACGGAAAGATTGAGTGAATATATCAGTGATACTCAAGTCGCAATATGACAGTGAAAATTTACTTTTATTTTATTCAATGACATTATGAATTTAATTTTTCTGCTCATGCTATTTAAAATCGCTAATGTTACGTCGTTTTTCATGTTTAATTGAATTAAAACTTCGGCGTCTGAATCAATTAGCCATAACTATTCTTTTCGACTCCATTTTTTGGAATTTGTTTCAGACGCCGAACTTTTCATGTCACCGAACCAAATGCAGAAATTAAAACCGAAATGCACATTTTTCGCAGAATTTAGTTCGTTAATTAAGATCGGCGTCTGAATCAAGCCACTAAATAATTTGGGTCGGCCTTAATTCGAATTAGGTTCGGCTTTCGTTGATGCCTCAGTTGATGCCTCATTATGTGTCATTTCAGTTCATGTATAGGCACGACTCCTGAATGTCCTGACGAACAACTGATTAACCCTAAATCGTTGGTGGATTTCAGAGCAGCTAGAATTCCAGTACTTCTGCTTACAAAAACCATGTGGTTCTCGTTAATCAAGTGGTTCTCGTTCAGGTTTTAGGGGTGAGGTTCTGAACGAGGTGCTTAAAATATACTGATTTGTTTAACTCACAATCCGGTGTCTTTACTAAATTTTATAACTTATACTCCAGAAGATTTTGAGTCAGATAAAAAAAGCTCTTTGTAAGGTTTTTTTCCTCCAAATTTACTATGATGCCGTGGTATTTTTTGTAGGTTAAATGGAAAACTCAGCCCTACGAGAGCCAGGCGAAGAGCCAAACTCGCGCCTTCATAGACACAAGACATCAGAATACTGAAAATTGGATTGAAACAAAAAATATAATGATTAATCGGTTCAGTAAAGGCAACCGACTTTTATTTCTTGATAGCCATTGGTATGTTCCACGAGAGAATATGTTCTTATTCATTACTCAGACTGAATTCAATTGTTAGAGTACTCTATCAGAATGCAGGAAAAAACTTACCGTTAATAGTCCGAGCCCAACCACGGCGTTACGCGTGCTTTGGGTCCAAACCGACATACAAGAAACTTATCAACACCGAGATTAGGCAAAACAAATTGAAAAGTAGACCCGCGAGTAGGCTCCAGGTTAAACTAAGAGTTGAATAAAGGCCTAAACCGAGACAGTACAAAATTTGGATAGGTTCCCACGCTCCGGCTGAGCTGAAGGACAAGCTTGAGTGATCGATCGGAAAGACTCTTTGATTGCTCGTTTAGCTCAGTGATTGAATGACCGTTTGATATGCGTCGTTGAGTTTATAGCTTTCAGAATCTAAGCCACAACAATGAAAGCAAGGTCAACGTGTGTCAAATAGAATCATGACTTTATATTTTGAATTAGAAGTGAGTTAAGGGCTCCCTTTCGGTCGGTAGAGAGAGAAAAAGAATTGCCTGCGTCTTATTCTTTAAACCAGCTATGAACTTCAAACAAACTTGTCCCTAAAACGGTTGAAAACTGATTTAACTTCTCACTCATAATGAGCTTGAAGAACACCACCGGAGCACCATTAAATACACAAAGACGAGTCACTCCTTTCGACCTGCCAGCCACCCCTGCGTGAATGCAATTATTTAGACAAATTGTCAGTCTCCACAGGGTTTATATTGAAAAGTAAACAAGAGTAATTAGAAAAAGCGAACAAAAGTTCTTGGTTAATTTCAAAAACGATTAATTACCATTCGTTAATTCTTTTTCTCTCTTCCATTAGAGTCTGCTAGTCAATGACTCCAGTTTGATAGCACTGGTTATCTTAAAATCGACAATTTTATTCCATTTTTATTTTATTTATTTGAATTTTTTTTTTTTTTTTTTTTTTTTGCAAAATGAGGTTATTGATCCGAAAAATTCTTTACAAGGGCAGGAGCCGATTACCAGTCGCCGGTATAAACTGGCATTAGTAAGAAGGGTAAATATTCTTGGATCTTGTGTACATTGCACATTTTCCCGCTTTTTTTGCTTTTCTCTTTTGGTAGAATTTTTTATTTCATATCACGGGCCAAAAAGATGGCTGGACGTTAGTTGTGATGTATGTATATATCATATCTTCGTCACCAAATTTAGCAGGTGTTTAACGATCTAAACAAACGAAACGAAAAAAGAGTTTTCACGCGGTTTTCATCCTTTATGGAAATTATCATGATTTGCATGAAGTCATGTGATCACAATCTGACTATGAGACTGAGATATTCTTAAAGTTTCTTGGTCTTTAATCGACACACTCAACAAACTCATTGTTTGTCAGTGTAGACTGCATACTAGCGAGGACTATTCGTTGCACTGCAGCGAACTTTTTCCTCCATCATTTTCCCGTTTTTTTGTCTTAATTCATGGCGCTCGCAGTTCTTTTTACGTCGTTCGACAACAGTTGTATTGAAGAAACAGCCTACTCACAATTGAACATTCAGAATGGTTTAGGAATAAGATCTAAAACGCACACCTGAGAATAGAAAAAAAAAACATTTTGCACAGGTTCATCTGTAACATGAAACTAGCACAGGCTGCCTTACTTAATGGCGGAATTGTCTGTCAGTCTGGCTGCTACACGCAGTCGCTTTGTGAGCTAAAGCTACAGTAAAAAGGGCAAACGAACATGGTACAACTTGTTTTGCAAAATTGCTGCAAAGGGAGCCGGTTGAAAAGCTTTGTTTCTCATTTTACCACACAAAATAACATGATTTGTTCTCTCTTGTTCCGACACAGTTGTAATTGGTGGGTACTTAAAATTCAACTTGTCACTTTTGCAGCGATCAGTTTAGTGTTGCAAAACAATTTGCACGTTTTTGTTTCCCGCTTTACTCTACCTTAACCTTTTAGCAAAACTTTTTTTTACCGTTTTAAGTATAAGTTTTAACATTGCAGTTTTTTTATTTATCGCTGGTACAAACGGTTCAGCATATTGTGCCCCGGCCTTAATACCGTTTGCAGCTGTTATGAAATTTATTACTAAAATCTAGTGAACAGTCAAAGCCGATGTGATTAATCTTTTTATAAACTATAGATGTAATATTAAAGCAGGGGAAAGTTTTGGAAATTTTATTCCACAAACTGCGGACTATAACAAAATTGTCCTTTCCCGAAAGCCAGGCCAACATTCTTTGTAACTAAAAATATTATTTATCAATTTCTATCTGAAATCAGAGTTACAGTAATTTCTTTGTGTTATGACACAAAGTTCAAGTTCAGACGTTGACACTACTATCTCCGTATATTTGCGGTCTAAACTTAATCCAGACGCACTTAATAAATGGCTCATATTTAAAAAAAAAATGCGTTGGAGACCTCCGCAAAGATGTTCCTCTGTTCCTTTTCCGCAAGTCGCAGACAAGTAGTGACGCATATTTACAGAAAATATTTACTCCGAAGTAACATGCTTTAAAAAAAAAATGCTATAAGACAATTAAGATCCATGATGGCATCAATGATCTTAGTTTGTTTTTGAGTTGTGTAAAATTATTAATACAAAACTTAACTTGCGATTTTTCTCAATGGTTTTCAAACCAAAAACTAAACTGAATATATTAAAACAAGTAGACAAACAAAAGACGCGCGCGGTATCAGTTTCACATTGTATATTCAGGAAATGGCGAAAAACACCTCACAAAAGGATTTGAATTTTTTAAAATTTTATAATATGTTCAAAATATTCGAAAAATTAATGCAGCAATGGGAATTCTAATTTACTTTTAGGGACAGTTTTACGAGAACTACTTTTTATGAGATGAACATTAATCGAACGTCAATCCAGTTCATGACTAAAGGATTGACTATCGTTAAACGTTAGCCGCAATATTATTATCATGCTACTTACTTTCTATGCCAGCGACTAATTCTTGTGTTTTCAACGCTATTTTAGGGAAACAAACCACATCCACCTCCAGTCTGGCATTAAAAAATGCGCTTTGAAAATACAATAAAATTTAGGGTTTCGAACCCTTTACAACTTCAATTCGACCGACAAAAATTCACAAGCCGTGAGGGGTTTACGTGTCTTGCGAACGCCGCGTTCATTCATCGTTTGTTAATTAGCTCACTGCTAATTTTGGTAGTATTGTGATGATCCAACCAGTGGGCGAAGGGCTAGCATTTATTATTAGTCTTCCGCTAGTACTTACAGATCCGCCGAAATTAAAGGGCGAATATAGTCGACGTCCACTACCACCAAATTTTTTCGAATATTAATACACATACATACATACATCTGGCCAGATTTTTGAAAACGTTATTGCCAAATAGACCTCTTCCGCCCAACAGTTTATTTTCGGCCAAAAACGATCTCCAAAGTAGCCATTATAAAAACCAAGAGTGCAACCATTGTTTTTTTCTCTTCTCCTCCTTTCTTTCTCCTGGCTCTTTCTTTTTTTCCTTTCCTTTGCCTTCGTTGGTGTGATTTTGGAGCTTATCGGGCTTTAAAAACCTGCCTTTTGAAGGCTTTTCACTCAAATGGCTGCAGATTTCGTTCGGTTGGTTTTCAAAAAATCGGCTACACATACATACATACATATGTAAAGCTAGGAGTAAAAAGTAAAAGCCATCTCCACCGCTAAAAATGAGTATTATATCGCTAGCTCCGCAAGCGGAGTGAATACTGTGCTGTGATTGGGTGGCAAAGACAGGTCTATCTTGCCCGCTAACGCTCGGGATCGCCCGCTTTGTCCCGCAAAAAAACATTTTGTTTATCCATAATATATGCTGACGTTGTCTGTGTCCATAAAAAGCGCATAAATAAATCAGAAAAATGGGAAATATCAAGCCATCGTGACCGACCAAGCCTGGTCAATAGCGCATATTGATTGGGGAGGAGCGTCGCGTGACGACCGTGACAAATAACGGCTTCGGTGGGGCAGACTACTCTCGTCACGAGTTGTTACGAGTTCTTACAAGTAAAAATGTCGAAGAAGACAACTAGTTGGTCTTAGCATTAACTTTAATTATCCTCTAGAATGTAACGGTGACTTTCACGACACAAAATAAATTAAGCCCAGAAATATCAAGCTGACCATTATGGAACCCTCGTTGGTATTACAGAAAATATGGGAAGAAAATTTTTAAGACCGGCTACTTTACAGGAGCAATTATGTGCTTGACGTCTTTTGTACGAAGTGCTGACATCATTGACGTTCCATAAAGAGAACCAATCAAATATTTAAGGCGCCTTACAGATAGAGTTATAAATAAAACAAATAAATAAATTATGATTTGGAGGTAGCACATCCACAAAGTGGTTCTCGTCTACCTGATTCCTGGTCGAATTGGGATTTGGAAATGCTGGTTTTTGAGGAGAAGGGAAGACCTGAGTACTCTCGGGGTAATGGACAGAACCAATAACAAACTCAACCCACATTTGGCGTAGACGCTAGCGTAGACGCCGGGATTTGAAACTAGGCCAAATTGCTCTTACCACTTCGCCACCTTTGCTCTCCCAAGGGACTTATTGTAACATCTGGGAGTTTGATTGGCTTTTGCATCATATGGTAGCCTGGAACCAGCTCCAAAAGGCAAAAGCCGCCCTTTCCCCTCATCGGACTCTGCTCCCGATCGGTTCGCTTCGCTCGAGGATCTTTTTTTTTCGCATTTCCTCCCACTGGTTACGTACGGAGCATGGTCCTACGCTAAATATGTGGAATCCAGCTAAGTTGTCGAAACTTCTCTAATAAAACAACTCAAAAAGATTTCAAAAACCTTAATTACTGGCGGCAGCGTTATCGTCACTAGGAAGCACAAGCAAAGACGTTTTTGGGTTGGGCACGTCAACCGGAAGTGACAATTCATATTTTGCAACGTTATGACACGAAATGATTTCACTTCCGGTTCAGGTGTGTCGCTAGAAAACGCCTCTGCTTAATTAAGTTCCCTATTATTGGTCTTACTACTTTAAACGATTAGGGTTACCCTTTGTAACAGTTGTTGTTCTGGTAATTATAAAACGCTTTTACGAGACCATCATTTCCTGCCACACCACACTTGAACCCCGCCAATCTGCAGGCAAAGATTAACGCGTCTTTAACTGAGGATTCTTTTATGAGGCTGTATATAGCGCCAGCAACGAATGTATCGCCGGCTCCAAGAGTGTCAATGACTTTCTCAGGGGGGTAGGCATCGCTGTGTTTGACATCACCATCGGCACCAGCACCATCTGCACCTTTTTCTCCCCAAGCACAAATCATGGTGGCACCAGGTTTGATTTTATTACGCAGGGATTTAACAGCTTCGGAGGCTGAAGAATAACCACAGAATCGAGCAAAATCTTTGCTTATGAACACAACGTCAGCTTTATCTAGCAATGGTAGAAGAGTTTTTCGCGGCTTCTCTAACTCCACAGAAACTATAATCTTGCTTTCGTGCGTGAGCGCCGAATTCCATTTTTCTACCATATCAATCATCTTCACAATTTCTTCCTCATTTCTTCTACCTTCGAAATGAACCCAGTCGTAGTTTGACAGGTCGATTTTCTCAATGGCGGATACTGAAAGCTCTGGAAGGTTATTCCTTGCGTGCACCACCGTTCGGCTTCCGGTCTCGAGACTGAGCGTCACACACGAAGTTGGAGTACCACAGTCGGGATGTCGAACACAGCTACTGTAACGCACACCACGGTCACGTAGGTGATGGCAGACAAATTCAGCTTCAACTCCGCATGACAAGGAACCAAGGAACTCACACTGCATCCCTAACTGAGTCAGCACCGTGGCATTGGTGCAAGCATTTCCTCCGGTCTGCCATTTTTGGGATATGGCTCGGATATCTTCGTCTTCATCCGGAAAACGTTGACAGGTGCTGACGATATCAAGGGCAATGAGACCAACGCACAGAACACGGTGACGGGGCATGATAAATGGCTTTTTTCTTTACCTTTGAACTCTAAATAGAAACAAAAGTAAAGAAGGTGATATATTACAAGGTCTGTATCATTAAAGGGACGAGGTCATTGTACTTTCCTCGATTTTGCTTATTTTCTTTCAACCAAAAAATGGAAAAACGACGTTTTTTTATGGGCAGAACACAGCCACGTATCAGTCAAGAACAAACAAGGACGATTTATGATGCAAATTAGGACCCATTTGATCCCATAAATTAATACAACTTTCCATTTTTTTTTAACAGGTTGTTATTTTTAATAGTTGGAAGAACAAGCCACTCAGATAGGAAAGGATTACAAATAATAACCTACTGCTCCATTTCAGACATTGTTAGTCGCAAGAGCTCTGAAATTTGGCCCAGAGAAAATCTATTTAGTCCGTAATATGAAGAAAGACAGTTTAACTTTTTTGCCTTTGTTTCCATGGCGAAATTAATATTTTTGCGGAGCTCCTATGTTGCCCAAGTAGCCGGACAGCTGGCTCAGTATCCGGACACAACAATAACAAGGGTGAAGGGTTTTGTATTGGACGGTCACTTAAGCATCAGCCTCACAACGGATGTACAATGTTATAGGGCGCTCACTGACTTGATGTGAAAGTAATACGTTGTGTTTATAATAACAACTACAGTTTATGCGCATACAAAAACCATTATTATGAAACTCCCCGAAAATTAGTGAATATATGTCTTTTAACTAGTAAATCCGATTTTTCGTCAGTGTTTCAGAGGCATTATCCCAGAAGCAGTTGTGAGGAAAGATTCGGAATTGATCTCTAAGGACACTTTTTTCCCACGACCAAGCTGTAATCCGTTTCTAGCCTGAGAAATCTGCCTACATTTGGTCGACTTTTATAATTGTGATGGTGTCATATCACGTGAGAAATTCATTCTCTTGTACGATGAAACCTAGTTGAGCGCTTTGTGGCTCAGAAGTGAATGTTCGTCGCTCCACTGAGCCTATTTGCGATCTACGTATTGCCAAATTTTCGCACGCTTCACAGTTCTTACGGCTGGTAATCAAGCCTACAAGGTTCTGGGCTTGAAGCGGTAGGGCTCACTTACTAGAACTTCTTTAGCAAGCTGAATATCGTGACCTTCAGTTCACTCCATCTTCATTAAAATAAGAACAAATTATTGCTGCCGAAAATCAGCCGGCAGCAGACCTTCTTGAGCGATTTGATGATTTTTGGTTCTTGGTTCGATGGTTCCATCGTTCAATCAGCAAGTGCTTAGTTGCCGCGCCTGTTTTTCTCTTCAGAGCAACCCGCCATTTTGTTTTGTTCTCATGCGAGTTTAAGATCTGTGCAGAAGTTGTAGTACATCGGATGTTTGCTGTCTTTTTAAACAGCCTAAGCGCAGTTCAAGAACTACTGTACGGGACATTTTTTTTCGGTTTTTTATGCTAGGTTTCAAGATTAGTTATAGCGAGTATTTTTGTCACACAGATTGTTATCTCGGGAATCAGGATTGTAAGTTGTGATCGACGTGTACTCTTCGTCTACCTGACCTGTGAATAAACAAGTTTTGGCCGTTACGTTATGTGTTCGCAACTCTTCTCGTCATGTACACGATGATTGTTCGATGAAGAAACAGTCTATCAGCACTGCTGTTGTTAAAATGAATTACAAAATCATGTTGAAACTTTGGCGAGTCAGTATCTGAAAGTAAGCATATTTGTCAGTGTGATCGGTTCATTTTTTGTATTTTACTCTGAGTACATCATAATTCTATGTTACTGACATTAAGAAAATAATTCATATGTTCAACTGTTCTACATACGATCTTTGTCCTATTCGCATCGCAACTCACGGCAGCACTTCCCTTCTCAATGAGACCTTCTAGCTAAATAGGATTGCCACGTTGCGCGCAAAAATAAACAAGTTCCTCCTTGTAAGGGCTTTACTTTGTCGAATAAATGTTAACCAGTTGACACGTAATTTCATTTTGGCCTACAACTTAAGCAGAAAAAATGAACTACAAAACTTCGTGAATGAAAAAACGGGTAAAAGTCGATGTTCAGATGGTGAGAGAATACTTAAATGTGATAACTAGTTTTATCGCTGGGAATTCTAATCCTGCAGTTGTAACACTTGCTGCTGTCATATTCAATTATAAAATAGTGTTTAAGTAAGTAACTGAGAAAGATTTAACATTTGAAGTAAACTAGACACTCCAGAAACAGATTAAAGCGGTATTCTGTTAAAATAAAGACGTTTTGAAGACGAAAACACGAAGAAAAAACTCACGTTCTCGAGACACTGCCGCACTCTGCTTTCTCACCGGGGTTACAATTTTCCACGGGCGTAAAGGACGCGTGAGTTTTAGCTAGTTTTCGTTACTCAATTAACTTGTCAGCGGTGTCCTTCAACGCTATTGTAGGTACTTGATGTATGGGAATATATATTGTATTGATTCTAAGTGACGGGGATGATTGAATGGGGCCGGAAAAGAAATAACAGTAACAGTGGTTTGTAGATTCTATTTTGATATTGAAGTTTATTAGAATCATTGTATTTGTCACGCATTCTCTTGTAATAAAAAATATCCGATACGACAGAGCATCATTTTTTTAGACCCACCCCTCGAGTCCTGCAATTGAAGCATAGTGCAAACCAGGTCAACCAATCGGCGCTTTGGTTTCGACATTGTCGAATCAGGGGGAAGGGAGGCGGGGCTAATTCGAAATTAGGAGCACTTTTAAATGTTTTAGTTCTTGGAAAGGCTTGCTTCTGCTAGAGAGTGCTTGCAATAAGAAATCATATCAAAGAACATCAAAGACGAAATCCTATCAGTGTTTTAGTCTTGGCTGATGTCAAAATGTTGTTAGCTTTGTTGTTGTTCTTTGATGAGACTGGGAAATAAGGCAAATTCTGGAGCACCAGATATTGGTTGGTGTGATGTCTTAGCGATTTTTACGGACTTAATATAGGTAGAAGTAGATGTAGATGATGTAGATAATAATTTGAATCGATGGAAAATCATGTCTGTTTTACCTTTGGTTTCTACTTTAAAATCAGTAACAATCAATTCATCAAATTGCTAAACAAAACACCACAAACTTTGTTTTTCCAACACCCTCGGCCACTCTAAAGATCCGGAGACTTTCATGTTTAACTGTCAATCATGAGCAATATGAGCGAACTTAACTTTCTGTGCGATTTTACGCTCTTCACTTAGGGGAAACCATTTAACTCTTGAGGGGGAGAGGGGGCGGGGCGGTGATTTCTGGTCATCAAGAATATTTTTTTATTAGCAATCTGGTGGGCAGGATATTTTTTCCCCTTTTTTTCCCATAAGCTTCTTTCAATTACATTTGTGCTGCATGCAATTTTTTCTTCTGACAAGCGCTTGCAGGAAATATTTTTTCAAAATCACCTCCCCCCCCTCAATAGTTAAATGGTCGGCCCCTTACATAAAAATGAGAAAAAATAAATAATCCTGACCAACTTCCAAAAATGCTGATAAACAAAATATAATAGAAACTGACGGGTTTAATTTACTATTACCTTCAACGATGCATGAAAGCAATGTCTGAATTCAGATCTTTCTACTGTAAAGGGGACTCCAAAGAAAGTAATGGGGATATTTCCTCTGTTGTGTTCAAAAATGGGCTGAGCTGTATGTGCAAATTAAGAGACAATCAAGGAGCCACTGGCACTTCAAGCAAATAACCACAATAATTTGGTATGGAGACAGCTTACGAAGGATATGAAAACATGAAGATAATTATCTTTACGTCGAATTCAAAGAATATCTGTCGATCAAATCAGTTAGACTTTCTGCGTCTCCTTTATGGACTGCAAAACAGTAATTCTCCGAAAAGCGAACATTATCAAAATTTCCTTGAAGAAATGCAATCCCTTTTTCCCTTACTTCGTCCACGGAAGACTTCATAATTGTCGCTTGAAAACCTTGATCTCGCCCGTCTGGTTCAGGGGCACCCAACGACAATTTTCGGGGAAATATCTGTTCGGAAGACGATTTGAGATCTAGAATTTTCGGAACATTTGTTGTAAAATTTCTTGCTTGCATGCCTCTCCTAGGTTTTTCGAACAAATAAAAAATGTTATACTTGCCCATTTTTAACTAATTTTTACCCTAAAAAGTTCACCTAGAATTTTCGGGAGCCTATTTTCTGGCTAAAATTTTCGAAAAGGTACGTTTTGATCCCTACAATTTTCGGATCACTAGACTTTCAGCTAGGAAATCCGAACAGATGAAAAATTTTTAGGGGATAAAAATATGCCTATATCTACGGTTTAAATACTAAAATACATTTGATAATGCTATGTTTAAGTGGTTTTGAACTATATTCTCGTTGGGTGCCCCTGTCTGGTTTTCCGCCAGATTGCGAAAAAGGGCCATAAATAAGGTCAAAAAGTCGACCGGAAGCGTCCCTAGAGGAAGCTCGATCATTTAACCGGAAGTCCCTCTTCATTTTGCTAAACTACCGCTGACTAATTAATTGAGTAACGAAAACTCACCCTCCCTCTACGCCCGTGGAAAATTGTCACCCTTCTCACCGTCGCGACGTGCAGACGACTTAGGTTGGACGGCTGAGATATATGCTAATTAGCCCAAAATCGGGCAACTTTGATTTCCGGTTGCCGTCCTCCACCTGGAAAGGCGTCTCTGCTGGTAGGGGAGACTGTTAAAAATTCTCGTGTCCTCGTCGGTATTATAAAATACCAAAGAGCGTTGCATCGAAATACACTAAGAGCTTGTATTTTAATTTGCAATGCTGTGAAAATTACACAAGCACTTGGTGTTTGGTCAAAATAACCTGGGTCAGCGTCGAGTTGCAGAAAACTTCGTAAGAATAAGGGAACTCGTAATTATTATTTCAAAACAATAGGTTATTATTCCAGAAAAAAAGTTAAGAGCCCTCTTATTCTAAGAAGGTCTTATGCAACCTGGCCCTGGAGAGGAAAATGATTCAGTTAATATTCAAAGCCAGGAACACCACTTAGCGTTTGAAGCGTTTGACTGCGTGATTTAAATGAACTAATCGGAACTAATTAACACAAAAAATTTTAAGATATCAAGACGTTTCCCGCAGCAGGATTTATGAGGTTCAGGTCAGTCGCAAGAGCGCTTGATTGCAGAGCAGGCACGTCCACAGGTTCGATTCCCGGGACCGGATAAATACTCAGAGTGAAAATGAAGAAATGATCCTCGCAGTGAACGCAATTTATGCCATTGCGTAAAGAAGCATGAAAGAAATTCAGGACTTCAACGGGGTTTGAACCCGTGACCTCGCGATACGGGTGCGATGCTCTACCAACTGAGCTATGAAGCCACTGACGTTGGGAGCAGGTCAACTGTGGGTTCATATGTTCCCCTGAAAGAAATGAGTGTTAATGACATATGAAATAAATCATATATGAACTGCGGAAATGAAATTAAAATGAAGAAATGATCGTCGCAGTGAACGCAGTGATAGTCAGTGATCGTCGCAGTGAAGTCCTGAATTTTTTTCAGGCTTCTTTACGCAATTGCATAAATTGCTAGGAATGGTTTTGAAAGTTGTGCACCGCCAGGTCCACAAAAACATGTAACAAAGGAGTCTGACGGGTTTCATAACCAGTCCAATCTATTATCTATGGTTGGATGATGCTGCAACCGTTTGACCAGGCCTTCAAGTTTCCAATAAAACACTTGTTGATGCTAAATGTGTGTTACAACAGGCATTGAGACGAATTGACCTACAGCTGCAACTTTAAAAAAAGGACTGCAACATCGTCGTCTTAATTAAATCTATAAAAAATCCGGATATTTGCTGCAAGATGGCTAAAAGGCTGAAGGTTGAAGGTTTGTATAGTAGTGGTAAGTACACTTAGCTTATCCAGGTGGTTAACAGACACCAGGAGTCGATTACAGGCACTCCACTCATATTATTAACAGTTCTTCCACGAGTTCGCATTGGATATGAGTTGGCTATGATCTGAAACAGTTTGCCAAACCATCTCTTCACGGACGAAATTAACGTTAACAAATTTTAAAAAGGCTTGAGGTATTAGATCTGCTATAAACTCTTCCAGTTGAAAAATTTATTTCTTAAATGATTAAGAATTTTGCAAAATAAAAATTACACAGACCTATCAAGCGAGAGCTGAGCTTTCGGAAAATTGATATCCGAGGTATCAATTTTCACACCTAAGGTGTTATTTCCGATTTATATCGCAGGCTCAAAAATTAAAAATTGGAACTGACTTATAATTAGTTTGTTCATATACCTTTAAAATTCCCGTCAGTAGCCAGTAAATTTTTCCTGAGATATGCGGGTGGAATTTTTTGTAATGCCCTGTAACTTCAGGCCGCCGCAAAAATTCCAAAATATTCCGGGAATAGAGTACTAAAGTGATGACGTCATGAAAACTAAATTTGTCAAATTATGGGATTCGTCAGGATATTCTGAAAGAAAAACATCCAAGTGGCCTACTTGCCAAAAACTAGCACTGTGGGGCAAATTGTCTCTGACATACTAGCCCAGTTATGCTCTGATGACTCCATACAAATCCTTCTAAATTTGACTTGGCTCTAAATGTTATGACTTCGTCGCAAAACGGATCGCTACGATAATTGAACGATTGATTCCAATCAATCCGTTTTTCCACGATCCTACCGATCGTATCAATGATACCGAAACCAGGCCTTACATGTACATGCACCAGTAACAACATGAACCTTAAGGTGTCCCTCGATGATGGTATCGATCATTGAAATTGTTCTTTATACTAAATCTACAGCCGAACTATACTTTTCTTACCCGCCTCAAATTTGTTGTTGATGCCAACTTATTCTTTCTTACTTTCAGTACCTTGATTAATTCTGAAATGCTCAAGTTATCTGATTGGTTCAAAGCCGACAAGCTATCTCTAAATATACAAAAGTAAAAAAAACCATATTGATTATTGTCAAGATATCGAATCAAGCGATTATACAAAGCTTTTTCCGGCTAGAAACTTTGAAAAGACTGGTAAGACTAATAGAGGTCTATAATTAGAAAGCACACTTTTATCGCCAGACTTATATAGAGGAACCACACCAGCCAATTTCATTTGAGCAGTGGCAATACCTGAGTTATTGATAGATTAAAAACGGATGTCAAAGTCTCCGAAATATGATAACAGACTCTATAGGGATCTTATCATGGCCAGCCACAGTCAAGGTATTATTGTATTGTCTTTCAGTAAAACTGTGACGTGTTTTGATAAACGTTTGTTGTGTTTAGATAATACCATGTTGTGTTTGGAAAAGTGTTTGTTGTGTTCCAGGAATATCATGTTGTGTTTCAAGAACTGCTTGTTGTGTTTGCAGATATGGGCCACCGTACCCTTGAGTGCTCAATAGGGAGCTTAAGCATCAACGTTTTTGAGCGACGCACGTCAACCGGAAGTGGCCTTTTTTCATTTTTTGACGGTGGTTTCGCGCAAATTTTCAGTCAAATCGCCTCTATAATAGTAAAGAAGCTAAGGAATACAAATTTTATATCATCAAGGCATGTTAAGAGGGAAAATACCTCACTTCCGGTTGACGTGCGTCCCTCAAAAACGTCGCTGCTTAAGCTCCCTACTATCTCGACATACGCACGCGACAGATCGTCACACGGATAACAAAGAAGTGCGGGAGTTTTCAATAATGGTGCATAAATGTCAGGTTCATGCTTTGTATAGTAACAAATTCTGCACTACGTAATAAGAGAATTAAGTCTTTTTTTGTGCTGCGCAAATATTGTGTTGTGTTTTTGGAAAATTGTGTTGTGTTTCAATAAAACTGTGTTGCGTTTCGGTAAACTTTTGTTGTGTTTAGATAATACCGTGTTGTGTTTGGAAAAGTGTTTGTTGTGTTCCAGGAGTATCTTGTTGTGTTTCAAGAACTGTTTGTTGTGTTTGCAGATATGGGCCACCGTACTCTTAAGTGCTCTCCAAACTTTCCGCCTGCTCAATATCTCGACATACGCACGCGGACGCTGAACTATTTTTTTTATGACATTATCAAAAGCTCACAAGAACTCGAGGTATAGTTTATTGACGTCATCAGCGCGCTCAATGGGAATATAAAGCACGCTCGCTCTATTGAATTTGATTGGGCGGATATTCTAGCTAATGTTACAAGACTCTGTTGGCCGTAGATCTGGCAAATGATCGCTCCATAAGAATGGAATTGAAAAAGGCGGGTAAGAAAAGTATAGTTCTTGGGGTAGAATGTTCTCAATAGTTTTTTTGAAGGGTTTGACGGGGGTGAGACTAATCTGTGGAACTGCAGACCGCGGAACCGCGGAACCTGTGGAACTGGCGGAACCTACAGAGCCTAAAAGGAATGACTGTTTTATTACAACTGCCCGTTAGTTAAAGAGATGAAATAATTAGTTACGATCAGTTATAACATTGATAGACTGTTCACAGTCCTCTTTTTTTTCCGTAAGATCGTCGAGATCGATCGCTCACCTTCACTGGCAGCGATTTTGTAGTTGGATTCAAATGTACCGTGAGAGCGGGCCTTTGGGTTCCCAAACCTTCCCCCGCCTTTTAAGCATAGTTCAAGCTAGAACCGGTCAAAATGGCCGGCTGTAGCGCTCTTTCTCGACGATCTTGCGGAAAAATGGAGGACTTTGAATGGTGTATAACGCCATAACATTTATTTAATCGAGAGCTCTGGTTCCGAACGGGAAGTCCACTTAACGAATATCCGGCTTGTTAGTACGTAGGAAGGTAAGGAGAAGTATATATTTAAACAAAATGGCACCAAGTGGGGAGGATGAGAGAATGTAAATGTGCTTGTGAAAAATAGATGGTATTGACCAAATGGCTAGGTGATATCTGACAACTAGGTCAACTAGAGGGATACGCCTGGGGGAGTCGCTTGTGTGAGTATGTGTGATAGTATGAACACGTTGTATCCCCTGGTTGAGGAGACCGAGATTGTACGTCTCGTTGGAGGAAAATATACATCGCATTCTCAGGGCAAGGCTGAATGTAAAAGCTCGTTTAGTGTGTTAGGGGTGACATGATTAGCGTAAAAGATACTGATGTTCGATCGGCTGTAGGCAATGATCGATAACATCATTGAGGGACACCTTAATGTAGAGAAAGGAGAAAAATTTGAATGAGCAGATTGACCAGTATAAATTTAAGAGTGGGATGAAGGGTATTTAGATAAGAGATGGAATAATACGTTTATAGTGAAAATGAAAAGGAGGAGATCGCAAAGATTCTGTGTATGGTGGATGTACAGCGGTCACTATAGAAGTGACAGCGTGCGCCAATAATACCCTCATCGTTCTCTCATGCCACTGTACTGTGTTTAAATCTATACCGCTCGTTTCCTTCCGACGTTTACTAACAAGCCGGAAGTCGATCCGCGATTCCAGGACTTTCTATTTCGGAAGCAGAGCTCTCTATCAGTGATACTAAACCGAAATCGACAACAGCTTTCAATCGTTTTTGCTGTTATCGACTATCAGCGAGCGAGAAATCGCTCAGTCATTGTAAAAAATTAATCGTAACTATTGTAATTATTTTATCACGTTAGCCAAAGGTAGTTGTAATAAAACAGTCATTTCTTTAGGTCCGTACGGTTTCGCAGGTTCCGCAGGATCCGCGGTCTGCAGATTAGTCTTACCCTTTTGACGGTTTTTAAAAGTCAATCGGCGAACAAGTTAATCAGGCAGCACTGAATATCGAGTAAACGTGGCGTTCATTTAGTAAGATTAAAACACGAATAACAATACGTAAATTAACAAGTTTCGTTCCTCCTCAAATTTTCTTCACAAGATTTTCTGTTTACCGAGGCTCATGTTGGTACTGGTGCATGTACATGTAAGGCCTGGTTTCAGTATTATTGATACGATCGGTAGGATCGGTGAAAAAAGGATTGATTGGAAGGAACCGTTCAATTATTGGAGCGATCCCTTTGCGACAATGGTCGCTAAGATAGAATACAGTTTATGGTCAGTAGCTTAATCCGAGTTCCTGCTTCTTTTGCTCAACAGCGCTTTTTATGCTTGTTTCGACTCGTGATTTTAGAGCGTCCAAATATCAAATGGCAGGGAAAAAGAATACATATGAATCTGCTTTGTAATCGTTCACAATTGAAGTCAAATTTCGCTCTAATCCTGCTTTAAACAACCGCGTCCTGGTCAGCTAAGAATATTTCAATCTCGAAACTTCGTTTCGTGAACCTTTTTCGGAGTTTCGCAACGAAATTTCGGTTCAAGCCGCAAACTTTCGTTTCGGTTCATCACCTAGCTTCCGAAATTTCGCAGGAAATAGCAAAAGACTGACAGATGCGTCGAAATTTCGCCGAATCTTCGTCTGAAACGAAAGTTCGCAATTTGTTCGCTGAAATTCGCGAATTTCGCCGATTTCTTGAAAAACTCCTGGTACAGAGAAACACAAAGATAAATAAAAATGTAATGGCGTTATCACGTTGCCATGGCGACTTCGATTACAATGAAATCCAGATCATAAGAAATTTTCATCATAAAGTTGTTGTAACCATTTGTCGTTGATTCTATGACCTATTTTCCGGTATATATCTACCGGGACACCTTTACTAATAGCAGAGAGCACATTCTGAAGAGATTTAAGACCAGAAACTTTGAAAAGGCCTTCAGGGAGTTTTACAATGGCTTTATCTCTCCAGTCAGCGTTATACTCAGTTATGCGTGGTACTTTGAGCGAGACCGCTACGACTGGAATCTCGAGATCTGTGATGACCTCTCAAAATATAACAAACGGTTTCCAAATGGCCATACCATTGGATCAAAACATGTAGTGACTATTTTGTCCGAGCCTCAAACAGCTTTTCATGGACATCCTGGAAATGATATCCTAACGCCAAAAATTCTAGCAAGTTATTGCTTGTCACATAAAGCCCCGGGAAATAAGTTAAGCATATGCTCCAATGTTTCCGTGTCACTGAGCACTAACTTGGTCTTCCTTAAGCATGATCTACAGGATCTCGGAAATCGGGGTCTATATAAAAAAACCATGTATTGGCAACAATTTAAATAAATGTTTGCAAGTTCTGGAACGTCATTACAACCAAGTTGGGTTTGAGATCAAGCAAGGCCGACGCAAGCTTGAATGGCACAATGTGGAAACTGCCGAAATGCTTGCTAGTGAGTTTGATATGCAATGTCCGTCAATAAGGCAGAAACCTCTTAAAACCAATGAGCTAAAAATCGGCGTTAAGAAAGCCAAGACAGGTGTTAAGGTAACGCGGAGCAGATCTATCCGTGGGAGGCGGCGTGGCTTTTAAACAATTTGCCATCTCCACGGGCCCTATATAATACTGTGATTCCTATAATATATTCAGTTATACTACTACATGAGAAATTTCTGCAATTTGATTGGCTTAGAGCAGTGGTATTTCAGCTTAATTTGAAATACCTACATGTGAAAATTACAACCTTTTGCAGGTAGTAGTATAAACAAATAATAGCATGATTTGTACGTGATATTTAGCATAAATACCACTCGTAATATTTTAAAATTGTCTCAAATTTCAGTCGCCTGACGGTTCGTGAAATTACGTTTAACAATTTTGAAATATCGCTCGTGGTATTTATGCCAAATATCACTACTAATCATGCTATTACCTATACTAACATCTGTAAACCTAAAAAAGGCTGATATGGCCAGCCGAAATATTGTTATGTTAGGGTCAGGGTTAGGGTTAACAATTTTGTCAAATGGAAAGGGACATTTCCGTCTGACCTACCGAAATGACCAGACCGGTCAAAATGGACCACCTTCAAATCTGGTCCCGAATATTCCGGTAGGACCAAACCGAAATGGTCCGTCCCATTTGATGTACCAACCAAAATTTCTAAAATCTTACGTGGACAAGCTCTCCATTTGTGGGAGTCACGAGAAGTCACGCGAGACAAGCACGCGAGAGGAGACGCGCGTGTGTCGCGGCTCGCCCTACATTGAGAGCTTGGGGCTACCCAGATCACAAGCGGCTGTACGCAAGAACCAGGCCATGTCATCCTTACAGAAAGAACGACTTGTATTTCGAAGGAAAAATTTGATTACATTTGCCAGTTGCTTGGGTCTGATCTTACAACGCAAAACCCTCGCTTCGTCCCTAGTGTTGTCATGCAACGCTAGGAGTGTACGCTAGGAGCGCGATGACACTAAAAACGGCTGTGTAGCAGACTATTGGTACCTGGACTATTTCAGTGATTTTTACATAAGGGAGTTGTTGTGGCATTATTTTCGAGTCGATTTTAGCGGCAGATTGCATTTACATTTAAAACGTTTCCAAATTATACCTTGCAAAAGCTATTATAGACATAGTAACAGGCCCCTCAACTAATAAACTGCCGCCGTTGCTAACGCAACAGATTGAACGGGAGTTTAAATGTATCTATCTATCTGCCATTAATTTGCCTCCATCAAGTTGATGATTCTTACATGGTTTTGTCCATGTCTCTAAGGTTGGTTTTGGCCATTTTACATTTTCTTTGCGAGACATCAACGCGACGCTGTTGTAGGTAGAAAACAAGCAGTCGCCATTAAGCCTTAGCCGTGTTATTTCTTATGAATGAACTCAGACATCTTCGCTTTTTTTTTTCATTTCACCGATAAATAAATCAATATAAACACAACCCAACACATATTAACCCATTGGGTACTCAGTTTTAGAAACTTAACGTCAAAAAAAGTGAAAATCAGGGACAATAAGTATGCATAGACTCTTACCGTTTTCACCGTTGTCTTCACGACGTTTATCTATCTGAAAGAACACAACTCAGAACCAGTTGACCACTCCAGAAAATACCATAACATACCATAATGCTCTTTGCTTGTCACCCCGATATTTTGCATAAGCATTGTCTTCAGTTTCTCTTAGGAGTTAAAATGGCCTCAATTGAAACTGAAGACAATGCTTATGCAAAATCATGAGCTTTCCAATGCATTTAATGATCACTTTTCAACAATTGGAACCAAACTTGCTAATGAGGTGCCCCTTGAGCGCTTACCGTTTGTATGGAAATTTCGGTAAACATTTTCCGTCAAATGGAACTGGTATTTTTTTGGTACCGAAAACAGGAGCCGGATTGACTTGTACCATTTACAAAATGTCGGTAAATTTTTCGCTCTCTCTCTACATGATGTCTGGCAATAGTAATCCAAACAAATGGTACCGAAAATTTCGGTCGCTTCGGTAAAAACGGGAAAAAGGTAATTTCCACTGGTATGAACCGTTCCATTTGAATTCTCCACGGGATTTCCGGGTTTTCCATACAAATAGTAAGCGCTCCTTGTTACTGATGGTTCAAGTTGTGCCGATTACATTGTTAGCAGCAACAACAAGTTCACTTTCAGTCCAGTTAGTGTTAGCAGTTTTTTTTCTCTCCTAAATAAATTATCTAAAACCAAAGCAACAGCTCTCGATAATATTTCTGCCAAACTGATTCGGGAATGTGCGGATCTTGACCCCTTTACGTAACATTTTCAACAAGTCTTTAAGTTCTGGTATATTTCCAGATGACTGGAAATGCGCTAGAGTGACTCCATTGTTTAACCAAGGTGAGCGAACTGATGTGAATTTAATAATAATTATCGGCCACTCTCAGCTGTTATCTCAGTAATAGATAAGGTGTTCAAGAGAATAGTGTAACATATAGATTTAGCCAGGGCTAAAAGCGAAGCTCTTATTAATATTTACGAGTTTCCTCAAAGAAAATACAAAATCGAGTAATACTAAAGACAAGGTGAAGACAACGAGAGGAACGGTAAAAAACAACAACAATGGAGCTAATTAGCAAAAAAAACAACTTTGCACGTGCAGCACACTTTTTTGTACAATTTGCACGACTAAAACGTGAAACTTCTTTTAACTTCCTAGTTACACGTTTTATGGATGAAACTTGTGTTCCTGTTCACTCTGTTTTTTCACTGCCGCCCATTTACACCTTGGTAGCCTCTAGTGTTTCTCATTTTATCACCGCCGCCATATAATTTTCATGTTTTTCTTCCAACGAAATTGGTCTCCGCTGTTATTTATTTATCGCTCTAGCTCTTTCCCTGTTATCCAAGTTAATGTAGACATTAATTTAGTGGAAAGAAAGACTCATTTATTGTTTTGTTCTCTCCAAAAGTCCGGATGGCTATGTGATTTACCGCCGAAACGAACGGGGTGCTTCAAATACAAAATCTCACCTCAGCTATAACATACTCCTCCCCCGACGGGCTGACTCCCGACTCTTCCCCTTCCCAGAGTCGACGGGCTTCGGTCGTACGCTGACACTATACTCTTCCCCTGCGGGTTGAAAACCCCACGCCGGCTCAGTACGGGCCAATTTCTCACGCCTGGTCTGCGTTCGGTCGTACGACACACACCAAAAATATGTTGAACCCATAAATTTTCTCAAAACTTTCCGATTTTAGGATAGATTGTTATCAACAAACGTTTTGTGGATAAGCTTTTCTCGATAACTTCGCTTTCGGGACTTCGGACGTCTTCGGACTTCTTCGGGAATCTTCGGAAATGATCAAAAAAATGTATAGTTTTCTCAGGCTGGCAATGAGATGGATAGATTACCAAATTTTCTTAACCAACAATTGTATAGTTTTTTGGCTAATGAGGAGATTACCAACAACCAACAATCAAGTTGCACTCGACTGTCACTGCTCTCTTAGAAGCGACTGACAGCTGGGCTTTCGATACAGATCGTGGTAATGTAAATGCAGTGGTTTTCCTGGACTTGAAAAAAGCATTTTGATACCGTTGATCACGATGTCCCTTTAGCTAACCTTAGTCTGTACGGAATACAGGAGTCTGCTAACAACTGGTTTAAGTCGTATTAAGTAACCTTACCCAGAAATGTGTCGTCAATGGTTCGCTTTTTAAAGTCTGTTCTTTGGGCTGTGGGGTCCCTCAGGGAACTATCCTAGGTCCTCATCTATTCTTGATCTATATCAATGATTTGTCAAACTGTTTATCGTTCTGCCAACCTAGGATGTATGCAGACGACACCCACATAACATATGCTAGCGCAGACTTACACTCAGTGCAGTCTAGTCTGAATCTAGCCTCCCAGCAGACGTTCTATGGGGTTCGTTGTTCACGTATTCATTTCTCCCCCCGCGTTGGGGAGAAATGAATGCGTGACGGAAGAACCCCAAAGGACGTCTGCCTATGGTCTCAACAAGAACCAACCACCTAAAAAAGAAGCATCTTTTTAGCATCTTTTTAGTAAGACTTTCCATTTTTAGTTAGGTTTACTTAATAGTCTTAATACCTATACACAACTATGCAATGCTTATTTATTTTTTAGCAAAACTTTTAAAGACGTACCTTTTAGTAAGGCTTTTATTCTTAGTTAAATTTTTTGATATTATACACAAGATATGGTGTAATTCTTATTTATCAGTTAGTTATTTTTATTCTATGTATTGTTGTAATGCCCAGTTGATCATCTCATCATGGAAACTACGAAAAATAAATTCTTCATTATTACTATTATTGATTATTACCCCCGCGAACACATATCCCAGAAAGTCACGACTGTTTTGCGTGACCAGGGGGAGTGACATCTATCGACCGGTGACCAACATCAACAACAACAACAAAACTTAATTATTGTAAGGTAGTAAATGCTAATCTAGGCGCGACAGACAAACATCTGAGGGTTAACTGTTTTAAATAAATATTCAAAAGTAAGGTTGAGTTTGATCATCCGGGTGAATGTAGTCCTGAATAGGACTGTTGTTGTTGACAGTGACTGACGTTTCGACAACCTGTGCGGTAGTCATCTTGCCACAAAACTCAAGAAAGAAGAAGCAAGATAGAAGTCACTAAACAGGAAACCCATACACCCACAAAATAATGATAATAATAATAATAATAAAGAAGCACAAGACAGTGGAGTAGCTCAGGCAGGTTTCTAAGACAGTCTGCACAGTTTTTATTGTTATTTTTGATTGCATAACAGTGAAAACCAGCATCGATGTTGTAAAAATAAATAAGAACCGTGTTTTGATAAGGATAAAGAAATCTAGTTTGTCTAGTTTTACAATGGGCAGTTATTGCCTTAGCCCACGAGCAAGCTCTCCGGGGTAATGTGGTGGCAGGGCGGGGAAACGAAGGAGAGCTTGCAACTATGTCTGTAGAATTTGAATATCTGCATTGAAAAAGTCAATGCGAAATGCTTTTGGGCGGAGATGATTTTGGTAATGACATCGTAACCCTGGCTTCCCGTCGACAGAGCTGACAGATTTTCCTCAATCAGTGCAAATGTGAACAGACATTGACAAACATGTGCAAGGGTAATAATGTCATTACTAATATCATCTCTGCCAATCAGCATTTCGTTGACTTTTTTTGATGCAGATATTCAAATTTCACAGGGATAGCTGCAAGGTCTCCTTCCTTCTTCCACCCTGCCGCCAGAGTGCCCTGGAGAGCTTGCTCACAGGTTACTATTGCATTATTCATCGTCGTCTTCTTGCCAAGTCCAAATATCTGGATTGTCTGTTGTTCATCACAAGTGGGGGAAATTGAGGACTAGGTGAATGACCTGATCCTGGGCTAATCCTTCCTTGAAAATTTTGTCCTTGTTGCCATGGTGATGAAGTATCCCATGGACCCATTGGGGAGGGATGTGCACGATGAAAGTTGCCATGGAGACCATTTCTTAAAAATGGTGGTGGAGTCCCAGACATAGGCTGTGGGCTAAACTGTCCATCAAAGAGAGGTCGTCTGAGCTGTGCATCATCAGGGAAGTTATAGCCATAACTTGATGGGCTTTGATTACCTGGTGAATTTGAATTTGAGTTCTGTGATGCATGATTTACTTTTATTGCTTTGCCATACAATGGGATACCATCCATGAGACTGATTGCATAAGGCACAGAGACTTCATCTGAAAAGCTCACAAAACCATAGGCTTTCTGTCGACCTGTTTCTTTGTCTTTTGGAATGTGAACAGCTTCCAGAGGGCCAGCCTAGAAGAAGATAAAACATGCATCTACACCCTAACAACTACATGAAGGTTCTTAGCAACTTTATGATTTAAGTCCTCATAACAGATAACTGGTCAGGCGCTGCAACCACACCTAGGGTTATCCTACTAGCAGAGTCGCTTTGATCCTTCCTTGATAATTTGGGAAAGAGGAAGTGACTCTGCCAAGAACTTTGATTTGTTGATTATCCTGTGATTTGGATGAGTCAGACAAGTTTCAAACTGGATAAACCAGTTTTACCAGTACACACAAACATATTCTGGAGTTTTGCTGTCTTTTTCTGCACCCACCATACTCCATAAAAAGACAAATGGAATTTTAGGGATTTTTGGCTTAGTATTTAGCACTCCTTGACCTTGGGTTAGGCATCTTTTGTACATATTCTCAGGACCGAAGTTAGGCTACAAAAAGAGTGGGGGGTGACAGGATTGACCCTATGTACATGCTGCAAAACAGATGGCACACCATTTGAAATATTTGGGAAAAAAGCAAATTGTTTCTGTAATCTACAAGTATGACATAGACAGGTTTACAGCTGAGCTGGCATGCGTTACCGAGCAGTGTCTGCTCATGTGTGAATTATTTCCTCATAAAATTTCCATTGAGTATAAATGGAAGGCATGTGAGCCCTTCTCCTGTGAGATCTTGACATGCGATGGCCACCACAAGTCTGAGTAACTTGGGCTATCTTGAACCGTTTGGGTAGCGCAGAGGTCAAATAAAGCCAAACAGGAAAATTTGCAGAGATTAGCCGATCTTTAATTTGTTCTCTGTGCAAATGCCACTTGAAAAATGACCATGAACGAAAAGCATAACTATCTTCTGTAATCTACGTGGAATGCCAGTGATCATATGTTGGATTTGGGTGATCTGTGGTTGCAACCCTCTATCGTATTATGCATAAGCGTGGGATAAAGAGAAATCTCAGGAAAGAGTTATATCTTTGTAGTTATCATTATTTTTATAGGTACTAAGGAACAGATAACACTGGTAGAGAAGAGCCTTAAGTTTAAGGTACCAGTATGAAAAGAAAGTAGTGTCCGATAGCCCTGGCCTAACGGATTTTGCTATTGGGCTAGTAAATTCTGCTCTTTATACTACTACATGAGAAATTACTGCAGTTTGATTGGCTTAGAGCAGTGGTATTTCAGCTTAATTTGAAATACCTACATGTGAAAATTACAAACCTTTTGTGGGTAGTAGTATAAACAAATAATAGCATAGCCCATGGCCTAACGGATTTTGCTATCGGCTCGTGAAATTACGTATAACAATTTTGAAATATCACTGCTTACTTAACTTGTCCGACGGGATGGTGAAATTTTTGGAGGAATTCAAATTACAACTCGTGAAATCAATTCTGCTCATCAAAATGGTTTTGGGGCTGGTTGAAATGACGTTTGGGCTAGTATATGCTAGCTTCAGCTAGCCCGAATGGCAAGCTTTAAAAGTGACTTTCTTTGCACCCTGGCCGTATCTTAGGTTTGAGAAGCAAGTTTACCGGAACTACAGACATACCTGTAAAAAGAGTTCCCATAAGATTTCCTCTGTTACGTGGGCATCGATGTTTCCCACAAATATACAGCGCTCGTCACGTTCGATGAAAGAAGCCATAAATGAAAACACAGTCAACACTTAAAACCAAATAAAAACACGAAGCTCGAAGAAGACATTCCTAAGTGTTGGCAGCCATATTGAAATCTCAACTCTTCCCCAGGACACTATCGCAGGGGCAGGCTGTCGTGGTCTCTATGTATGCCACATAAGATGTCCCACAGGTCATCTCCATTCCATTGGGTTGTAATTTGCGAATCTTCAGATATAATTCAGTTATTCTTAGAATGCCGCACAAAATAATCGTCATGGAGTCCCTAGACTACTAAATTCAAGTACTACACATTTTTCTTAAAACTGTTTGACTGGTAGCGACAACAGAAAAGGAAAAGAGGGAGGGGACAGGGGGGGGGGGTACTTTAGGAATTTCTGGGTGGGGATGTGCCGCTGGGACCCTGGAACCCTTAACCTATACCAGAGCTAGTTCAGCTGAATTTTGCTACCCTATACTAGAGTAAACTCCCCAAATCCCCCCTATCTTAGAGTAGCTGTTTTCCAGAAACTACCAAGGTCACTAAAAATCTTCAACCAACTGATCAGTTTCCCGAAAAATGATACCCTATTTTAGACCTAAACGCTCTGATTTGTATACCCTATCCTAGAGTAAACTGTTTGAAAACCATACCCTTTACAGTGGCACATACCCATATAGCCCATATATGGCAGTACCGCACCCCCCTCCCGGGGGAAGGGGAACAAGAAAATATAGTTGACTGTAGAAAAATCTTGTATGACAGATAATCAAATCACACATTTTAAAAGATTGTTAAGTACAATTTTTACACATGTATTTACTTTATTGACATAACTCAGACTGTTTAATTTCTATCTTAACTGTGCTTAACAGGCTACTCTACAAACTTGATCTGAATTCCGCCGCTGAACAATTTTGTGTTTTCCTATATACAATAGAAATTTTATGGTTACTTTCAACAGTTAATCTTATGCAAAGTTCTTCAAAGTCAGTCCTAAGTTGAGTCACATGATAACCTGCTAAGTTTAACAAAAAACGTTCATGAAGATTCTTTATAAAATTATCTGAAAGCCAATTTACTATTTACCAAACTTAAAGATGCATAAACCAACCGGAAGATTTGACTTATTTGATACCATTCTAGCCTGGGACCAGGCTCGGCAGTGGGGGAAAAGGCAAAAAACAGGTTGAAATAGGATTTTTTTTCCTTTTTCCCCAATGCGGAGCCTGGTCCAAACAGCTGTTTTTTGTGTCATCACAAGACAGAAGCATTGCATGACAACACAAAGAACAGCTGTGAAGCAGACTAAGACCATTCATGTCTCAGGATTATTTAATTTTGACCTGTAACATAAACACAACATACAAGACATTCTCTCCTTTGCAGATTGTTCTTTTTGCATTGTCATGCATTCTTCCACAATGTTTAGGACGATCATTACGTGACAGGCTGAAAGGGCATCAACCCAGGAGTGAGACTAGCCTGCAAACACAGACGTATTTCCAGTCATTGCTTCTCTCTTCGCAAGCTAGAGTGAGACTGTAGCGACAAAGTTGTACAGTCAACTTGCTCTGAGAAGGTGACTTTTGGGGCCTGGGACCAGCACTAAGTACCGGGATCTGAGAGATGTCTCCGCACAACTATGTCCACTTTACAAACAGTCACAGAAAATGACTAAAAAATGGTAGGGACCAACACTAGCAAGTTGTATGTTACTGGTGAAATTCACAAATAACATGGATATTTCTAATAAGAACTGTTCTGAAAAGTCTATTAGAATAATCAGGTTGGCCAGAGAGTTCGAGTGAACCTTAGCATCTAGAACAAAACAGACTGGTCAAGCTGATGACTAACGATTACCAAATAGCCAGAAACCTTTTTTCATTTTATCGTTTCCCACCCAGAAAAGGTCAAAGTGTGGTTCAAATGTTGAAGTTTACTCAAGAGTCTTATCAAAAGTTTTTTTCTGTCTTCTGTACACAACAACATGTAAAACAAAATAAGGCTTATTTACAAAGTCCACTGATCTTAAGAATAAAGAGAGAAATTTAATTTTAACATCTCACAAAGTCTGTGCCTGCAAGTGGAAAATTTAATGACCTTCATTAACAGAATATAACAAAAACCTAATTTCACCAACATATATTTTCAAAACATACTTTCAAATATCTAAACCCAAATGCTTATAAATACTATTTAAGACTTTTCTGTATAAGGTTACTGTTACTTACACCCAGCAGAAACTTCTTTTACAAGGGGTGTAGGATACCCAGGTATCGTGGTAAGTTTAATGTTATTAGGCATACATTTATGATGGACTACATTGAACTCTGTTTCCCAATTCGCCATCTTCATCGTCATCATCATCTGTAATGTCGTCACTATCACTGTCTCGCTCGTCATTTTCTTCTCTTGACTAAAGGGAAGTTTAAGAACAAGTGGGTTACTTCTAACAGCTTACAAATGAGGATGGGCAAGTAATAACACAGGAAAGTACTGCTCAGTAGCTTTCATTTGAATGGTCACACTTTAGGATTTTATCCATAGACTCAAGGGAGGAGGGGGAGGGAGTGGGGAGGGGAAAGCAAGTGGATTTAGCCGGTATGATAGTGATACCTGTCTTCTTCTAATGTGATGCATCATAAGCCACAGGAGGTGTTCACTGATCGGGTCATGAGGACGAAGCCGTTCGTCTTCTCGATCACGATCATTCTCTTTAATCACCTGCAATGACAAACCAGCCATTTGAAGAGAGATCTCTGCGAAAATCGTTATGTGAGAGAAATCAGCCAGTTATTTGCTCTGACATCAAGATAATAACCCCAGAAAAACAACAACATTACCAGACCCAGTTGTCAATGAATTTTCTAACCCTGGACCAGAGGGCATTTAAGTAACTGGACAGGGTAGTGTAGGTAAACGGACTTAGACCTCCAGTGTCATACCTTGACTAGCCTACAAATGCAGATGTATTTCGCGTCATGGCCTCTCTCCATGAGAAAAGTAACTGTTTTGATGGAGAGAGGCGAAGAATGGAAATAAGTCTGCTTTTGCAGGCTATACCTCCACCAAAATACATAAAATATATGTATAATACAAATACTATTTAAGAGGTTTGCATGTGCTGATAAAAGCTACTGCACTCACATTTTTGAGTCCATCTAAAGATGTTGGCTCTTTTGCAGTTGGAACCCAAAGCTTGATGTCATGATCAAGACCACTTGTAGCCAGGATGGGTGCATTTGGGTGGGGCTCTAAGCAGTTCACCTAGGAAAAAAAACAATTTTTTACAGTTATCCAAGAGGCCTAGATTTATGGAAAACAGCAATCTGTACCTCATGACAAAGTTTTCTCTTTACTTTTCATTTACTATTTATTATCTCTACACAAAAATAAATTGTTTCATATCAGGTTCATATTATTTGGCACAGTTTTTACCAGCCCATTTTCTAATTTGAGTAATATTGTTAACCTGAATTTGGCAATTGCTGTTAATGTGATCTATCAATGTATAAAGGGTGCAAGGGCATTATAGTGCAGAGGCAACAGCACTCGCCTCCCACCAAAGTGGCACAAGTTTAAATCCCAGTGTCAATGCCTCACCCCACCCCCCTTTCCAACTGTGAGGTTTTTTTCTGGGTTCTCTGGTTTTTACCCCCTCCTTAAAGACCAACATTTCTAAATTCTAATTCAATCTTGAACACACAGAGATTAGAGGGTGAACAACTTTTTTGCAGTGTAACCTGATGTTTATCCCCAGCTTCATGGTAGGATACTTACCACCCCTGTGGAGTCTCCTTCGAGAAACTGTACAACGTCTTGAGTCTGTTTGTCCCAAAGGAAGATATGGCCACAGTCACTTCCACTGACTATAAACTCACTTTGAGGACCATAAAAGTTGACACCCTTGACTGGAAATGACAACAGCTTATTACTAAAACAACTTGAACATCTAATAATCCAATTATTTACCTCTCTAGTTGGAAGATAAAATTAATATTGCCAGCATGCTAGTTTAAACCCATATAACCCTATAAATTGATTGTTCCTTTAGTAACAGGCAGGCACGAATAACTATTTTGACTTAAAATTTTTATTTAGGGATTTAGGGATAAAAAATTTGGCCAAACTGTGGGATTTTTCTTGGCGGAAAGATTTTGGTATAAAAACTTTCTAGGGGAGAGGAGGGGAGTAGCCTGTGCGATAGAAAATCACTTTACAGGAGAGCTATGGTCTATGGGGGAATTTTCTGGGTTTTACAGTTTACAAAGAACAGTTTTACAGGTAAAAATAAATCACAAAGGTATACCTGTGGCATTGTTCCTGTGACCTTTGTAAGTTTTAATGAACTCTGCTTCCGAGCTAGTAAAGAGAAAAGTCAAAAGAAACATTTGTCTTAATTTAGATAGATTTCAAGACATGATGGATGACAGAACTCTATTTACCAGACAAGTGTTTAACACTCAGAAAAACTTTTGTCCTAGTTATCGTTAAAATAATATGAGACTCGACAGTACAAAATGGAGACTGCAGACTGACTGCAGACCATTGTTTTCAGGGTTAGAAAGCAATGGGACCATTGTTGTCTTGTTCTCATTTCCATGGTGAAAACAATGGTCTGCAAGAGTCTGCAGTCTGCATTTTGTACTGATGGAATACACCTGACACCTGACCCAGGGTGAAGATGTATAGAGGATAAACCAAGGCAGATATCATATTTGAGGAGTCTGGCATCTTTGAAACATGTATTTTCTGAGACTGTTTGTAAAATAATGAGTGAGTATATTCAAAGACTGAGGCATTTATAAAAAAGAGTGTTAACTATACTTAAGCTTAATCAATTCAAGAAAAAAATATTTAATGATATCTAGGAATGCATGTGTGATCTCCAATGGTATATCACATTGACATTTAACAATATTTCTCCCCAAAGTTTGAGTGCTTTAAATTAATATTTGCATCAAAGAAACAAGAATCTACTAGGTGACATAGGGTTACCTACCTTGAGTATGAATCAAACAAATAGATGTTTTCATCATTATAGCTGACCAGGAGCTCTGTCAAGAAATGAGTACTTGTAAAATTTTGTGACCTGTTGATTTGTATCTCTCCAACATCAGCGACATATTAAAACTCTTTTAAAGTAATATTTTAACAGCTTAAACTCATCAAAGGCGCCTTTGTTGGCAGCTTTCACAAAAATGTAGGTGCTAAAGGTTAAAATTGAATTCAGGTTAAAGTTTTTTTAACCTATAAGTTAATTCTCAACTTGCTTTGTCTCGCAGCCCTAATTATTCATGAGTTAGGGCTAGGAGATAAAGGAAATTGAGAATCAACCAAGGTTAAATCAAAATTAACCTGAAATCAAACTTGACCTGTAACATAGGCAATATTATTGAACATTAAGTTACCTGTCCCATCGTAAGAATAAACTAAGCAAGTGATGTTTGCAAAGATGTCATTGCTCTCCATCTAAACAAAAATGTTTAAAATTGAATGAAAAATATAATAAAGAATATTTATCAAGAGAAAAGTCCACAAGCCACAAGTGCACCAGAAGAGAAAACTACCCCAAAAAGGGGAGAATTATACCCATCAAATGCATAGGACAGGGGGTGGGTGGGGAGTGGGAAGAGGGAGGAGGGGGGAAGGGGGACACAACTCCCTTCCCAAACAGGTGGTTAATAGAATGAGTTAAACTGGGCTAACAGCATAAAAAATATGGACAACAAGCAACAGTGAAATGCACACTGAAACAGAAAGAGACAAAATTATTTCTTTTATAAAACACATACCAAGTGATGAGGACAGTACTTTTTCACTGGTGAAACATCAGCCTTGTTGTCCTGTTACAAACAACATCGATGCATTCAGTGTAAACAATTTAAATTCTTAAAAAAGCCTAAGAAGCCTACATGTTAGAACTGCATTATCTTTCTCCAGACAATCTAATCTGACAATAAAAGACTGAAATAGAGTTAAATTGGAGGGGTATATGAATAAGAGCCAAAGGTGACTCACAACAAACTAGAGACAAATCCCATTAATATGGACAGTGAAGGGGCCATAGATAAGACAGTGTCTGTATTAACCCTTTAAGTGCCAATGGTGACCAACATCAATTTTCTCCTAACGATATCTATAATTTGTCAAGAGACTAGGTTATGAGAATGGGTTATTCCAGAAAAAATCCACACCCCCCCGACGGATGGGGTCCTTTTTTAACCCCCCCTCTCACCTGGATTTCCCGAAGCACAAGACTCCCCCTCCCAACTGGATTTCCAAGGTGGAAGATCCCCCCTCCCGCCTGGATTTCCGGGAAAAAAATAAAAGGCTTAAATTTAATTTATTTTTAATGGAAAATACACGCAAACACGTCTAAATGTTTTTGTTTTAATTTCTAAAGCTTCTGCTTATATTAAGAGACTGATTTTTATAGTAACACTATTTTATACATGTTTGTTGCACCATATATTTGCAAATAAACTCGTTCTTGTCGTTAAATGTTCACTTTTTTTCTGGTAAAGGTAAATATGAAATAAATTGTGGCTGTAAGTAATAAGCATCTGTTAAAGCAGAAGCTAGTACGGCAGCAGAGGTCTCGGAGGGGTCAAATACACAAACCTGAGGGAAATTATTTAGCCAGAAAAACAAGCCTTGCAACAAAGACACTGGAATTTGACGTTTTTCTTTCAAGGACTTTTTAAATATTTGAAAAAGAGGCAAACTAGGCTGATAATTTAAAAAGTAAACCTTAAAAAATACAAAGTGCGAATGCGTGAACGTGAATCAGTTGTTTTTTTTATTTTTATTTACACCAAACAACCGAGATTTCAAAGTTATACACTGTGGCGCGCAGGCTCTGGGTACGAGTAGAAATGTGTCAGGCGTTTCACGCTCTTCGCGCGCGGGCTCTGGGTACGAGTAGAAATGTGTCAGGCGTTTGACGCTCTTCGTGACAACAACGTTGCGACGAGTTCCTTCAGGCCCGTTCTTTAGTATCTTGTTCGCGTTTTCTGCTATAAAAGGACCTGTAAAGCAACTTAGATTATCATTTATGTCAGGTGAGAAATATATGAACAAAACATTTTGACTATTTTCAGGGTCTGAAAGCGCTTAAGTGTCATCGAACTAAACGTTTGATTTGTATCAACTATCGGTCGAAATGACCCCTGCAGAAGACTTTTTTAAGGTCAACCCCCCCTCCCGCCTGGATTTCCGGAGTCTTCGACCCCCCCTCTCGCGAGAATTTCCAGAATCCCATCCGTCGGGGGGGTGTGGATTTTTTCTGGAACAACCCAATAGATAAGTGATTTTTGAGTTTTTCATGCATTTAGTCCACCAAATGATGGCTTTGTGAAGGTTAGAGGTATTTAATTTGACAATGGTTATGTCCTCTTTTATTTCTTTAGATTTTTTGTTCTAATTAAAGGTGATTTTTGGCTTTAATCACATGACCCACTTAACCCTTTAAGCCCCAATATCCACATACAAATTCTCCAAACTGATCTCTATACATTTCCATAAAGAATGTGTTGAGAGAATTTGATAAAAGATCAACAGATGTTCTCATTGTTGATCATTTTATTAATTGGGTTGTTCCAGAAAAAATCCACACCCCCCCGACGGATGGGATTCTGGAAATTCTCGCGGGAGGGGGGGTCGAAGACTCCGGAAATCCAGGCGGGAGGGGGGGTTGACCTTAAAAAAGTCTTCTGCAGGGGTCATTTCGACCGATAGTTGATACAAATCAAACGTTTAGTTCGATGACACTTAAGCGCTTTCAGACCCTGAAAATAGTCAAAATGTTTTGTTCATATATTTCTCACCTGACATAAATGATAATCTAAGTTGCTTTACAGGTCCTTTTATAGCAGAAAACGCGAACAAGATACTAAAGAACGGGCCTGAAGGAACTCGTCGCAACGTTGTTGTCACGAAGAGCGTCAAACGTCTGACACATTTCTACTCATACCCAGAGCCCGCGCGCGAAGAGCGTGAAACGCCTGACACATTTCTACTCGTACCCAGAGCCTGCGCGCCACAGTGTATAACTTTGAAATCTCGGTTGTTTGGTGTAAATAAAAATAAAAAAAACAACTGATTCATGTTCACGCATTCGCACTTTGTATTTTTTAAGGTTTACTTTTTAAATTATCAGCCTAGTTTGCCTCTTTTTCAAATATTTAAAAAGTCCTTGAAAGAAAAACGTCAAATTCCAGTGTCTTTGTTGCAAGGTTTGTTTTTCTGGCTAAATAATTTCCCTCAGGTTTGTGTATTTGACCCCTCCGAGACCTCTGCTGCCGTACTAGCTTCTGCTTTAACAGATGCTTATTACTTACAGCCACAATTTATTTCATATTTACCTTTACCAGAAAAAAAGTGAACATTTAACGACAAGAACGAGTTTATTTGCAAATATATGGTGCAACAAACATGTATAAAATAGTGTTACTATAAAAATCAGTCTCTTAATATAAGCAGAAGCTTTAGAAATTAAAACAAAAACATTTCGACGTGTTTGCGTGTATTTTCCATTAAAAATAAATTAAATTTAAGCCTTTTATTTTTTCCCGGAAATCCAGGCGGGAGCGGGGGTCTTCCACCTTGGAAATCCAGTTGGGAGGGGGGGTCTTGTGCTTCAGGAAATCCAGGTGAGAGGGGGGGTTAAAAAAGGACCCCATCCGTCGGGGGGGTGTGGATTTTTTCTGGAATAACCCATTCATAACTTAATCAAAACTGTGTCTTCTCTACATAGCTGGTTTGATGCCAAAATATTTGGAAATTGACATCTACAAATCATCCTATCTGGCTTAGTGTAGCGCTGGGAACAATGAGATGCTGTCAACTGAAGGTTTTTTGTTTACTTTCAAAAAGGAAAGGTCTATTTCAGCAAACAGTTGACGGGTGTCCGCATTACTGATGTTGACTTTCTAGGAGATTCTGTTGATTGGGCAAGAAACAAGTGTCTGTTGTCTGCATTAATGGGTGTCCATATTAAGTGAGTTAAATTTACAGAAAATGTAAGGGTTTTCCCCAGGGACAAAGACAACTGCCCATAGTGACAAGGTGTCCATATTGAAGTGGGTGCCCGTAATGCAGGGTTAGACTGTATAATCATTTTGATGAAGATTCTCTTTCAGAATTGTTCCACATTTGCCTGTGAAACAAAGAGGGAATTTCAAATTTATATCAAGCATTAACCCTTTAACTCCCAATAGTGCTCAAGATCAATTTTCTCCTAACGATTTCCATAGACTATCATGAGCAAAGTCTATGAGAATTAACAAAATGATCACAAAGAGAAAAATATTTAATCTTTTACCAAATTCTCTCACATAATTCTTCAAGGAAATGTATGGAGACCAGTTTGGAGAATTTGTATGTGGATATTGGGACTTAAAGGGTGAACAAAAATTTATTATTTGCGTCTTATGCCATGCATACACTAAACTTAGTGGATAAACCAAGTGTAACAAATATTCTCATACCTCTGGGAGTTTTCTTCTGTCATATATTCTGCAAACAGTTATTAAAGAAAAAATATTGGAAAATTAATTTGTGCCCACAAATTTATTTACCCGTATATGCATTACTTCTTCAGAATTGAGCTAAGAGTAAGACAAGTTCCTTCAACAGCATAGGAATATAACTTGTCAATACATTTTTTATTCACGATTCCCTTGAGCTTTATAATGATGGATTGCTCTTGTTACCATGGAGGAGTCACACAGTACAATACTATGGTTAATAACGCATTTCCTTCTTAGATGTATGTGCTGTAGATTTAACCCTCATGAAGTTTTAGCCACAACAAAAAAAAATTAAGAAAATACAGTACAATATTATTGCTGAGAAAGATTAAAACTTAGGTAATATTTCATCACCTTGCAAACTGGTCTCTTCCACCTACTGCAAACTCATAGATATTTAGAGGATTGATAAAGATTGTATACAGCGGTACTCTTCTGTGTTCCTCAACTCGACAGCAAAAAAGCCTATGAGGCAAAAGGTCAAAATAGATAAACTAACTTTTATGATCAGAGAGTGATTTACATGAGTGAGAGACATAGCAGAGTGCTGGTGCACGTAGTATGGTTTACTCCAAGATAGGCACATTTTTACTGCCTAAACACAACAGTCTGTGACTGGAAAAAAAATGCCAAAACTTCATTAAGACAAGCATATAACATGTAAGCCTCATGTGGTATATAGAGTTATAAAAGTCTATCTTACAATGAAATCTACAGGTCATGGTTTTGCTCAAAATATGGCTTAATCATACCATGGCTTTATATTTCTTGCAAAAAAAGGACTCAAAGAAATTCGGGAGCATATAAAACCATAATTAATATAAATTATTTGATCTTACTTCCGTGCTTTTTCCTCCCTCAGATCAGCATGAAAAACCACACCATCTTCTCCACATGTCAGAAATTCACAATGTGAACCTGGCTCGATACATAGCTGCATTAAAAATAATAATAATATAGAAAATTGTTTTCAATTGCATGTGAAGCACCCCCTTAAAAACAAAGCCCTAACAACGTCTGTGTGATGTATTTATCAGTGCATATTGACCAGAACTCACCTTATGGGCGGCACCTTTATGTTGAGCTAGACATCTTGTGTTTTTACAACCTTCACTTGATGAGGGATGGAGAAAACCAACTCTAACCTTTAAAAAAGGTGATTGATGTTGAAAATGGGCAAATTTTAATCTTTATGAGAACCTGGACAATAATCATCTTTCAAACAACATATAAATATATCGCTTATATAAAGAAAGCATACGCTAACTAAGATAACTGCCACATCGACACCTTAAGTGCTTAGTTCCAGCAGATACTTTATTGATCCTTTACAAGAGCTTTGTATTGTCGCATTTTGAATATTGTAATTCGTTACTTATCGGATAACAAAACAAGACACTCAAAAAGAAATTATGAGATGCTATTCATTTACGAGTTATGAACAATAATGAACATGGGGAAAAATTCTGATTACGAGTCTCTTCTTAAGATCGTGGATGTGAATTCACTTGAACGTAGACGTATAGAACAATCTTTGATAATATTTTAAAAATGTTTTAAGGAAAATGGACACTGTTGTATATGTTACAGGTCAAATTTTTCTCAGGTTAAAAATTTTTAACGTTGGTTGATATTCTTGATTTCCTTTGTCTGCTATGGCTAGAGGAAAAAGGAAACTGAGAAATCAACCTGAGATCAAATTTGACCTGTAACATATACAGTAGGTAATCTAGTTAACCCTCTGAGTCACAGTAGTGATCAACAGCAATTTTCTCCTAATGATATCCATACACTGTCAAGAGATACAGTCATGAGAATTTATAAAATGATCACCAAAGGAAAAATTTCTAGATCTTTTATCAAGTTCTCTCAACTTATACTTTAAGGAAATGAACAGAGACCAGTTTGGAGAATTTGTATGTGGATACTGGGGCTTAAAGGGTTAAACACCGCGCCACACCTTACAGTCTTAGAACTAGTAAGTTGGTTAAGTTTAGAACAAAGCCTTTATAATGGTAAATGTTCATTCATGTTCATTTACTTATGTTATCTCTCATATCTGAAACTGACTGCTAGGTTTTCCATACACATCCTGGAAAATTTCGAAATTTTCAAACTATCATGAAATATTTCCATAAGCATTACGGGGCTCAAATCTTCTTTTAATTCATAACAGGCAATTTGAGCCCTTAAATGTGTAAGGAAAAGATTTAACAACAGTTTAAAAATTTCAGCATTTACAAGGATTTGTATGGAAAACCATTCAAGCAGGGGCAGATCTAGGGGGAGGGAGCAGGGGGTGCACACCCCCCCTCCCCGAGATGACCTGCGGTTTTCTAAGACAACTGGTATTCTGCAAAAAAAAAAAAAACTATGTGGTTTATTGGTGTTGAAGTAGAGCAAGAGACGAGTGCAGCCCCTCCTTAAAAACATCCTGGATCCGCCCTTGTCAAGCATGACTGAGTGGCAAGAGTTGTTTATCTCATACAAAACCTTTTAATTTTAGGCGGCCGTTGCAATTGCTACTTTTGAGATATACGGTTGAAAATGTACAGGTTACCTAATTTTAATGCGCTCTTTCAGCTTGTGCTAGCAAAATTTTTCAAAAGCGAACTGTTTTCGTGTTCACCGAAAGTTGATCACATGATTAACAAATGCAAAAGGCCTATTATACGAATCTCCACTTTTTCGGTTCATTTATTTTCAAAATCTCTAGATTTTCTCTTCCTGTGGGTGGGAAGGTCTGTCAGAGATCGCTTAAGTTGAACCTTAAAAAATAATATTATTGTTATAATAAAATTTAATTGTAATTTTCAGGTGGAAGCTGAAGCTGGTTTGTGAGGCAGGAAGGATTCTGCTACACGATAAACATTTCATCTTTCTCACCCGTAATAAAATATCTCATGATGTTGTGTAACATCAAACACATAAACAAATGAATCCATTCAAGAGCATGCAAATTAAAGTAGCAAGGCAAACTGTGTTTGATGCTCAGTATATAGATTTTTTGGGCCCATGAGGAGACATACTTGTTAGTTTTAACTATTTTTGTTTCCTCATTCCAAGCTTACATTGTTTAATGAGGCCAACAGTAAACAAATTAACATTCTTCCAATGGAGAGTGCGAGATAAACTAGAACGATGAATGCTTTTGATCAGCTGATTGACTGGGTTACATGATAAACAAGTATTAAACAGAACTAATAAATAAACTAATTTTCTGATACCTTTCCATCTCTAGCACAACTCACTATTGTATTATCACCAGTATATGGCATAAACTTTGCCTGCAAAAAATAGTAAGAAAATCAAATAACAAACATCTTTTTGAGTGATAACCTTGTTCAGGACAGTCATAGACGTGTTAATGTTAAATGACTGTATTCATTGATCTTATCCTTTGCATATTATGTTTCCTTTATGAGTTCTTTTTATTACCTGAAAAACATTGCTCGAGTGGCCACTTTCATAGGCAAGTTTTTTCTTTCCTTTCGCCCAGTCCCATATAACAATATCTAGATCATCACTTCCAGAAGCGAGAAGCTCTCCCGTCGTGTTGAAATGAAGAGTATTCACACATCCGTCATGGTGTTCCAGTTTATTGTGTAAAGTCATTCGTTTTACAAGTCCGCAAGAACCAGAAGTATTTCTTGTGAAATTCCTCGACGAAAGGATTCCCAGTTCACGGGATTGCAGACTGGGCACAAAGCAGTGATGCGCATTTATAGCCATTTTGGAAAAATGTGCCTGCAAGAAAATGCGTCCAAACAACTTTGCTCACGGTGGCAATACCGAAGACATCAAGGCAAGTCTCGTTGAAAAGCTTGCCCCTCTTCAACCTCAGCCATTTGTAGTTAAAGAGTGAACTTAACTTATTCAACAAACATAAACACGTAACTTCAGTTTCTTCGAATGCTACGAACAGAGAACCAAAACATCACTGAAGAGACTGACCTTCGGTGTCCTCGAGTGATCTACGAAACCTTCCGACAGTGGCGAATGATTAACGATTGCCTCCATAGGGTCGATTAATATTCGTATGATCCAGTTTCTTCTAAAATGGAGGAAACGACTGGAAAAGAGGAAGAGCTCCAAAAATTTCTCGGAAAAGTTGATGAAATTGGTAAGAAAAGTCTTTTTCGAAGGTTGTGATTGCATCTACAGAAATAGAAAACGTCAGGGCGCTAACTGAGGGCCCTGAATTCGAAACCTCACAAGAACTGAAATCAACAGCTTGGGTCTCGATCTGTTTCAGGCCTAAGCTATTAAGGTTAATCTGTTACTTGTATAGAATTTGTACGTTGTATCTCTAAATTATCAGCAGATTAGTGAACATTAGTAACCTATCTTCTAAGTAAATTTGCTGCTCTTTTAAAAAGACGAATCATAGCCACAAGTTTCTAAGAAAACCTGTATCATAATCACCTCCATCTAAAAGTTTGTGTACACTGCTTCATGTCCAGTAACATTTTAGCTACGTAGTTACGTGTAGTAGAGGCTGGAGTGGTTTCAAAAGCTGATTATAAGCTTAATTGGATGGTAAAGTAAAGTTGTATCTGTGATCATATTTTTTGTGCCAGGTTTAAGGTTAGTATTGTGGGTTAGATCTATATGTACAGTTTTTGACTCATCCATATTTTGGATGTAAACATTTATTGTCAAGGGCATGTATGCAAGAAAAAAATGTTGAATGTAAAATTTCCATAGCTAAGCCATACTATGGATCACTTTTTTTTAGAAAATATATCAACAGAATAGGACACTTCAAAAAGAATACTCAAGCCAATATGCAACCCTCTTGCCTGATTGCTTATAGAGTCAATTGCAAATTAACCAAAAAATACCTATCATTACAGACTCTATCATGAAAGACCTGACATGTGGCGACCTTGAAAGACAAAATAAGGCTCTCACAGCTGCAGATGAATTTTTAAAGCGACATAAAGCAGAAAATGGTGAAGATTCTGAAGAAGAATGCAGGAAAGTTAAAACCAAGTCAGACAGAACAGTTATTTCTAAGAGCAAAGAAAAAAGGAGGCTGGATCCTTCTACTGCTTTAAATCAGATGGTGAGATTCTGTTTCCATAAATAAAGAAGTGCTTGGAAAAATCTTCGGTTAATTTGTGATCAACTGGTAGTTTCTCATTTCAATTTTTACGTTAACCTAATTAACCCTGTTAAAGCCATATCTATCACTTTCCGTCACACAATACCTACAAAAATAATGTTAATTGCATTAACGATAGTTTTTCTTTTCTTTTTTATAATAAACATTAGCGAGATGCAGGTGAAGTTTGTGCTGGTAAGATGTAATTTTTTTTAGTTTTATTTTTTTTTGCTCCTGCAAAGAACTTTCATAAGACTGTAGTGCTATTATAATTTTGGTATCAACTCTTTTACTTTGGGAGATGGCCAAAGCTGAATGGTCATGCTTTAGGACTTTGTCCACAGACTAAATGAACTGAACCACAGGAAATTAATGCTTAAGAGCTTTCATTTGAAATGGTCTCACTTAGGGAAAGTTCATTTAATATGACAAGGGGGATGAAGATATTGAGGGGACTCTCACTAGAAAAATTTGTTGCGCTTAGGACTTGAAAATTTGTATTTCAAAACCAACACATGACATCATCATACAGATCGGATGGTTTTCAACTCAACAATTTAATGACCTGTGCAGCTCAGCTATATCACGTGGTTTACAGATATAACAAATGTAGTCTCAGTAATTATTATACTCTTGTTCATCCTAAAAATGCTTTAGAAAATTGTATCACAACGGTATCTCAAGTTTGTCATAGTATAAACCATTGAAGACAATAACGGTAAATATATTTAATACAGTCTAGAGATCTTTTTTCAGGGGAGCAAAGGAATTGAAGGAGGAGGGGGGGGCTCTGAAATTTTTTCGACTACCAAGGAGGGGGCTCCTAAAAAATTGAACCGCTGGCGAGGGGGGCTGCTAAAATTTCAAGCTTCGAGTTTCAATATCTTCATCCCCCCCCCGTTGTCATATTAAATGAACTTTCCTTAAAAATTTTATGCAAGGACTTGAACTTTAGAAATACAGTCGACTCTCTCAATGGACACCTCTATAAGATGGACACCTCTGTAAAACAGACACTTAGAGTTGGTCCCTGCCTTTCTTTACTCCTTTTATTTGACTCTCTATAAGACGGACACCTCTCTAAGACAGACACTTAGTGCCGGTCCTAAAGGTGTCCATCTTAGAGAGAGTTGACTGTAGAAATGTTTCCGTAATACCATGTTGACATAAGTTTTTTGTTTTGATGTCATCAATGAATCACCTAGGTTGGCTATCAACCTGTTGAAGTCTGAGTTGGAATAAAAGAGCTTTTTTGTTTTGATATATTAAAACAGAGCAGTTTATGAAAGCAGTTGAAGAAGATGCCAAAGAAAGAGCGAAGATCAGAAAGAGAAATGAATCTGAAGCTGAAAAATTAAAGGCAAAGGGAAATGAAGCTTTCAAGGAGGGAAAATTTACAGAAGCCATCAGCAATTACACCATGGCAATCAATAAATTTAGTTCAAATCCTGTTCTTTATACCAACAGGGCACAGGTAATTTTATTATTCCAAAAATTCCAACCATCGGAACAATGTATTATTATTAAAAAAGAAAACTCAATTAACTTTATTTAGCGAAGGTAACACTCTAAGCTGAGGGGCCTCTAAGTGTCCCCAACTAAAGGAAGTCATTTTTCCAGATTGAACTTGAAGGAATTTGGACATGTTAGTTTTTGAGGAGGGGGTAGACACAAAGTATGTGCAGAATTTTAACCTAAAAAAGTTCATGCAGAAATATATTCTTTAGTATCAGACTGCAGTTGCATTTTCTTTCTGTGCGTAATCTTCAACATACAAGTCTTGGTTACCGTTAATCTATTTTATTACTTATACTGTGCCAGGATTAGCTCAGTCAGTAGAGTGCTTGACTGCAGAGCAGTAGGTCATGAACCCGGGGCCAGAACAATACTCAAAGTCTTAAAACAACTGAGAAATGAAGGTACTCTCTTTGCCCTGCAAACAGCGAGACCTTCGCGTGGCTTGGATGACCACATAAAATGGCCATCCTGTCTCCACAAGGGGAAGCAAAAATAGTGTCCTCCAATTAGTACTTTTGTGCTAAAATACATTGACACTCAAATAAAGTGCATTTTTTTTAACGCCTTAGGCATACATCAAACTTGAAGACTTTGACTCGGCTATAGAAGATTGCAATCTTGCTTTAAAGGCAAGTGCTCTTACATGTTAAGAAATATTCTTATCTGTCACATTGTTAACTTAGTATTAGTCATCACTTTAAAATCAAGTAATTCTCTTATTTAAACTTGATGTGAATCTGATATTACAGTTTTATTTACACTTATTAGATTGATGAAAAATGCGTAAAGGCTTTTGTTCATAAGGCAAGAGCATTGCAAGCGCAAGGAAAATTTGATGAGGTATGGTTGCCTTTATATCCTGTTTACACTTTTTTTATACCATGCACAAAATAGGATTGCCATTTCTTGTAATGAAAGTTTCCATAGTTTCCATGACCAATTTTGGCATGGCTTAACTTAATTTTTGATCCCGAAAAGAGATCATTTTAACATTAGATGATGAACCTGTAAGCACTGTCATGAATGATCCGTATACGTAATAATAAACCACCTTCACATTATAGCAGTTTTTTGTACTATTTCTTGTACACTGCCCTAGGCATTACATATCTGCATGGAAAAAAAATGACATTCCAAACTGAACACCTTTTCTGGTACCAAAATCGGCAAATTTTTCTGCAAGAGTGACCCGGTTCTCTGGAAACTACTGAATCAGTGAATGAGGTTCTGTGGTTGTTTTTCTCCAGGCAGTGACAGTGTTGAAGGGTGCTATTCAAGTTGCTCCAAAGCAAGAAAAGGTTCTTAAAGGTACCCTAGTATTGTAGGTGTTCTTGTATTTAAAAAAATGGGGAAGAGGGAATACCAGTATTTTGACAATTAAGGCTAGCGTCAGTGTTGGTCTTTGTTATGTAGGCATTTCATGGTTACACCTAAGCATCTTTCTGATGAAGTTTAGTTGTATTTGAGTACAACCAGGTTGTTTTCTCCTTTTTACGACTTTGTTTTTTATAGACCAAATTCAAGTGTAACAGAAAGGTGTGTTGGGGGAGGGGAGGGGTGCTTATTTCCTGGTTCGACTAAAGAGGTGTGCACATACTTTTGAATGCGGATGCTATTTGTTAGTAATGGTTATGTTGTGGAAATGAGGTAAGCTTTAAAGTTAATTTGGACACCATGAAAAAAATTTTAAAGCACATGTATTTGTTTTGTGCAAATGTGAACTTTTTAGCCAACATTCTTGTCATTTTTAGAATTAGAGTGATAAATAAAAAGCCCAGTTTGTTACTTGTATACCATAACTACTGTCTCTCTGAGTGTTTCAATTTCTTTAAAGCGTATATTGCAGAGGCCGAGTCATCGAAACAAAGAGTTCAGGATGAAAAGGAGGTAGGTAGACTTTTATTGGATGTTTTGGCTTACATGTCCAAAATGTAAAACATTACAAGTCATGTAAGGGTGTATTAGCATTATGTGGTCAGTGGAAGTTCAAAATGGCTATAATGTTTTCAAGTTGAGATTCATTGTACAGAATTGCACTTGTCTACTTCTAATTTTTGCTAAAATGCCCGTAAGGTAAAATGTCCACAATCTGTTTTGTGATTGGTTACATTAAGGGTGTTAGTTTCTTTGTTTCTTTCTTCATAGTTACACAAATTTTTGAGGTGGAAAGTAAGGCAAAATTTGTGTACACCAGGACCTTGCTCTGTGGATAATTTAATAATAATTATTACATTTTCGGTTAATAGTTATCTACTGAATAGAGATATATCCATCGAATAGCGCTATCCAACTTCTGAACAGCTTAGGCTAGCTCTATAATTGCTTGTTATAATTGGTAAACTGAGTTAAATGGCCCACAGTATTTTTTGTAAGTCTCACTATAGCTTAGTGGCAAGAGCATTGCTTTTGCCATTAACATACATTTTGTTACTAAGTGTGGAATATCATATTTATCAATAATTTTTAGGCTGTTGATGTAGCAGGTCAAGGGAATGGAGATTTAATACGAGACTCTATCAACAGACTGCAGAAAGCCAGTCTTGTTACTTCCCAGTACTCTGAGGCTACAAGGAGATTGGTCAGAGTTCTTGATAATAGTAGGTGTAATTTGTATTTGGGACATGACTGATTTGTGTAAAATATGTTGATATAATTGAACAGGTCTCACACATAAGAATTTTTTCCTTTAAATTAATTCAACACTTGGAAAGAACCTCCTTGTAAAACATGATAAACAGTAACACAGGAAAATACTTATCTGCAGTACCTTTCATTTGAATGGTGTACTTGATGATTTCATCCACAGATTTGAAAGTTTCAAATACCTTCTACAGATAAATAAATTGTGCCAGTGGAAAGAACTGCTCAGTTAAGCTTTCATTTTAGTGGTCACACATTAGCATTTCATCTACAAGTTAAGATGTTAGCACCACCTTTTACAATGGAAGGAACAAGCTTAAAGGTTTATTGGTGGAGTTAATATTATGTTACAACCCTCTTTTCAGCTTTTCGCCATTCTTATTGCAACTTTATTATCCCATTATAGATGCAAACAAAACCTTGTTTCGATGCTATGGGGGCTTCCAGATTACTGAGTTCAATAAGATTTTTAGAAAGTAAGTATTAATCCTGCAAATTACACTGTAGCAACTATCTTTTCTGTTATCGTACATGTAGACGTTTTTGTAATAGTGAAATTCAACTTGGATTAAAATTGTTTGAGACAAATAATTTATAGTTGACCTGTGCTTAATTTTGACCTGTGCTTTGACCTGTAACAGATATATTAGGTAATTATTATTTAGAGAAACCTTGTTACTTTGGGAAATTTTTTTAGAGTTTTGGTACATTGCGGTCTGTAATATTCATGTGAAAATCAACATTATTGTATAATATTGTTATCATTAGAACTGCATGTTATCAGAATTTGAATACGGTATCCCCTGTCATTTGTAGATATTGGGAAGGGACTGATGTATGTATCATGTTGGAAGATATTGACTTTGTTTGTGAAGTTGTACGGATTCTGATGCAAGCCTGCACTGACAATGGTAATTCTTTTGTTGCATCTGAAAGCCATGTTCCCATTTTCATTTCTTTTTTTCAAGTTTATCTCAGTTGGAATGAAACTGTGATTCATGACGGCCAGAGTTATGAGTAAAATTATTGTCATGATTTTCTAACTTAAAAGACAGTCTGTTGCATTGCCATTTTGTAGTTTCAAGAATAAACAAAAAACTTTGAAAATACCGTGACATATATATTCCATGTCTGCTGTTAAGGGCCAGGAGTCACAGATTTCCCTTGGTGACTATGAGCATGAATCCTGGCTACTTCATGGGAAACAAAAGGAAAATATAACCAAGAGAACCTACCAGTTGTTCAGTCCCCTGCCTACTAATACATACACGTGGCAACTTGACACTAGCCCTGCTAAGCCCCATAACAAATCTTCTGATCTCTCACACACATTTGTCCAGTTAATCATTTTTGCTGAAACTAGTCAGTCACAAAATATCATGAAATAATTATTATGAGTGTTGAAAAGAACTGTTTTCTCTTGTTTCGTTGTAGATTATAATGTTGAAGAATTTCTGAAAAAAGACCACTCTTCCTGTTTCAATCACCTTCTGAGAGATCCCACCTCTACAGTGATAAGAACAGCGGTAACATCATTCCTGCATCAGCTTTCACAAACAGAAAAGGGAAGACTAGGTCTAACAAAATGTAGAGATATTAAATGGTGAGGCTTATTGCTGCTATTATAATTCCTGCATTTGTTAATCAGCATGAATGTTGTCTGATTTGATCTCATTGTTGATTGTTTAGGGTCTTACAGACTTTTTCTTTTGACATGTCAAAACTAGTATTGTGGTATTAAAGTGTAAGCTTACTGCTAGGCAGTAACAGCTAGTGGCTTTTATTTGATTTTGTAGGGTATCAGAAGCCCTGTTTTTACTTGTACAAAGAGGAACCAATACTGCAGTTGTAGCAATGTCAACCATTAATAATTTAGCTCTAGAACAAGGGTAAGTATTTTCGTGTTCATTGCATACACCAAATATCCTTTTTAAAGCACTGTTACGTAATATCACTGGTAAACGGTCTTTTTCTGTTATTGACCAAATTACATGCAGATTGTGCCAACTGAACATCTTTTTTTCAGATTTTGTGAAAGAATCAGGGACTTAGTTGACAAAGACTTCCTGAGCATTTCTCATAAGTTTGTGGTAAGGAAGACTCGCATAGTGCACTTATATATTCTGTTAGACATGTTAAGATCTACAGGTAATGGCTTTATTTTAAAACTGGGGCTGGTGAAAGTGAACAGTTGTCATGGTCCCAGCCAGTTACAGACACTTGATTTTTACACTCCATAAGGTGATGTTACACGAGGCGATTCACAACAACGATTTTTGGCGCAACAAAGTATCACAGCATTGTTGCGATGTTGTTTTGAATAGTTGCAACATGGTTGCAACATTGCAACGCAGAGTTGAGCTAATAATCATCGTTACCTTATCACCTTTAGCAGACACCTCTCCTAAGCAGACTTTTAGTCGTGGTACCAGTAACAACTTTAAAAATTTCTTTCTCCTTTTTCTGTAGTTAAAGCTTTGTGAAGGAAGCTCAAAGGCTGCCCATGAACCAACAGACAACTGGTCTTTAGTTTCGTCTGGTCTGTCGGCATTGGCCAATATGGCAAGAGACACCTACATTAGAAACAAGATTGCTGAAGAACAGCAATGGTGGCAAACTAGTGTCAAATTCCTGGTTGGTAGATTTTTTTGTTGTTATTCTCATTCTTCTACAGTGGAATCTTGATTTTTCATCCCTCCATGTTGAACCTGTGGATTATTTGAACAAATTTCCATTTCCCATTTGATTTCTTACCCCCCTACCCCCATCCCCCACCCCCAAGCCAGTTTTTCAGGGCCTCGAATGATCCCTTGAGGCAGTATTTTTGCCCGTGGTCAGTATTTTAAGAAATCTTGTTTACTTGTATATGTGATGTAAAAATGAAAAATGTGGATGTAGCATCTTTTAACAACAAAAATCGTCAATCAAGAACCTTTTGTCTCTTCAAGTTTGAACTGGGATTTGAAAATGTTAGTTTTTGAGAGAGGGAATAACTGAAGTGCTGGGAGCAGACCTTTTTTATACAAGGAAGAAGGCCAGCAACAATCGCAACCTCGCACATATGAACACAACTGCTTGAAGAATTTGCTTACGCAGGTACAGACGTTACATTTTCAAATCTGCTTTTTTTTTTAAGGATTCCCATATTCGTGGAATTAAAGATCAAAAAGTGAGGTGCTCTGTATTTTCGCTACTGGCTCTGCTGGCAAACATTTCAACGCAACCGAACCAATATCAAAAGGTTAGTATTAAGTTACGCAAGAATTTCTCATAGTGCTTGAGTGGTTGTTCAGGAAATCATGTTTTATGCATTATGTTTCTTGCATTTAAAAATATAAACGGACTGACATGCACTTGCATGACAAAGTAAAATTATTTTTGTCTAGCTTTAAAACAGACCTTTTGTTTTATTTTTGATTGGTTTTAGGACGTAGCAACTAAGTTGATTCCATCACTTATTGAGATGCTCAACACTGGATATGATGAAATTTGTGATGTATGTAAAATTATACCAAACCATGCTGACCAATAGTGGGCTTAGGCAACAGGAAGGCAGAAAGGAGAGGGGCGACAAATGTGATATTGCATGTTTTGTCACGATTTTCAGTTAACATTACTGTGTTCTGGTCTTTTACAAAAAGATCAAGTTTGGTGGAATTTTTCTTCAAACATAATATTATTGTCATGTATGTTGTCTTCCATCTTCAATCCTGTTGCACAAGTTCAGTAATTGCTTTGCTGGCCTGTATATTATGCAGTACAAGTTGGTTCTAGTTGTTTAGTCTCTGGATAAAATCCTGGCATGTTATTATTCAAATGAAAGGTAACTAGTAAATCTTCTTTGCAGTGTTTGTAATTTAGAAAAAAATTAGTAAACTTTTCAAGGTTTTGCCAACGTGATAGGCATGTTTAAGTTGATGTCTTTCCGTTAACATCTGCAAGTTCTTTATAGAAGATTCTGTCTCTTTTTGAAGGATAGTTTAATATGTACAGACAATTTTGGTAACTTATCTCTTTTTATAAATGTTTCAGCGCAGCCTTGGAACTCTGAGACATTTGCTGGCTCATTCAACGGAAGCTTTAAATTCAGCTTGTGATCAGAAAATTCATATCCATGTCATAAGAATCCTCAAGGTAAGTTTTTAATACATTTCAGGGAAATGCAAAAGCTGAATTATAGATGTAGAAATAAGCTTGTTGCGGCATGAGATGTCATTGTCATGATTTGATTTGCACCCTAGCGATAAAGTCGTGATGTTGCTCTAGGGGCTGCCAAATAAGACAAAGGGTTGTCAAGGGGTAAATGGATGGCTGCTGAACTGTCGTTTCTGCTTTACTTCTTAGCTACATACCTCCAAACTGACCATGGATTGTTTGTATTTATATCATTCCACAGCTAGTTATTCTAAGCAGTCATTTCCAAGTAGGATGGGGAGCAAGCACTCGAGAAACTGTGAAAAAATATTCCATTAAGATTCTTGCACTTTGTACTATGGAGAGAAAAGATGCAAGAGATGGAATTATGAGTGAGAAATGTGAGTACACCTGATAATCCTAATTTTCGTGTGCCTGTATTCTGCAAGGGATATTGTCATCGTATAAGCATCACTCATGTGTTTTCTTTTGGCTCTTTTCACAGCCCTGGATTTTTTAGTTCAGTTACTCCACCATGAGGACGAAGTCATAATCGGAAATACAGCTTTGTGCCTTAGTCACTGTGTAGACATGAGTAAGTAAAATAAATGAATAAGTCACCGTGACGGAAGCAGTTCACTTACAGTTGAGGCGGTGCACAGTAGGGCACTCTTACCTTCTGACGTCATAGTTTTGGCAATGCTGCGCGCTAAGAGACTTTTGGCGGGAAACAGTTATATTGCTGCCTCGTACCCAGGCGCGTTGTAGCGGATTCGTAATCGAGAGTGAACGGAGCGATTATGGTCAGCGTCTTTTGCACCATCGCTCAAAATTCACGAGGTTCCATTGCGCGATACTCCTTGATCGCTGGCAGTCGCGTTTTTTTTTTTATCAAACACTTGAGACACCTAGGAAGGAGGCAGGTTCCATGGTTAAAAGTCATGTGACCAATGTGACCACATAATTGCCAATGACAGCATGCACGGTTTGTAACAACTCCAATTAGTTGACCAATTAGGTCGATGCTATCATGTCGACTTTGACTCTGGTAATAACTTCACCAGCAATCCTACTGAGGGCTGTACTCAGCTATACTCAACCATGCTATCACATTCAACTGAACATAGTTATGGTTACTCTTTTACAACAGAGGAAGTGAGTGATCATCTCGCTGGAGTCAACGGCGTGGTGGAAATTCTACTGAAACATGCTACAAACGAGAAATTAAGCAATGAGGTCAAGCAGAATGCTGCCATTTGTTTAGCAAAACTTGCTACAGCGGATGAAAGGTAAATTGGAGATCATCAATAACTCATTAACAAAATAAAACTTTTATGTCCTATTCAAAAAACGAGCAGGAGTGTTTTTATCAGGTTTAAAAACTCTTGGCTTCCACTCGAGTTTTTACACGTGATAATACAAGACTGCGGGTTTTTTGACGGGCTTCAAAATCTCTGATATAGATCCACTCATTCTTGCACTAATATTCAGATTTGGGGTTATTTTGGTCTAAAAATTGGACGTAAAGTTTAGCTGTGTCTTTATCAGATATAGACGCTAATAATTTCTTTTGTTTAGTTGCGAGTTTTATTTTCCTTAGCCTCTTTAGTACACTATTTTTAATGATAAAGTGTTTTCACTTGAATCGAATGTACTTTATCAGTATTTCATTAACGATGTACGTAGTAAAAAAAAATTCTTATAAAATGAACGTTATAAATGATTGAATACTATATAATACTAGATTGCTGGAATAAATCTTGTTCTATTTCATACAAATTTTCCAGGCATCTTGAAAAACTGCGAGAGATGCACGGACTGGAGGTTCTTCACTCAGTGATTCAAGAAACTAACCTCAGATGACACAAAATGCCGGCAGCTCCTTTTAAAGACCAGTTCTGCTGGAATATTTGTTTATTTATAATAGCCTTGCTGCAGAACAGGCGCTTCTCTTCGCGTTTCTCAGGCGAAACAAAGCGGGTGTGGAACGCAAGACTCGCACGTCTTGCGCTCCACGCCCGCTTCGCGCTTGCTTTCGCTCGTCAGGAAAACGCGAAAAAATAACGCCTGTGCTGCAGACTAGTTTATGAAATAACGGGGACAGAGATTTGTACGTTATTAACACTGTGGTCCATCCCTGTTGGTGTCCATATTTTAAGGAAGTGTCATAACCATCAAGGAGTTTTAGCAACTACGACGCCGACAGCAGCGAGACGCAACACATTCCTTTGCGTATGCGTTCAAAATTCATATTTAAAGTTTTTTACCAAACGTGACCGCCCAACGGTTGATTCCCCTTTCTTTTTCAAAAGTTGACAATCATTGGCATGTTGAGCACGTAAAAGGTGTTAATCAGTTTACGAATTGAATTTTCAAGTAGTTTTTCTCGGCGTTGCATGCCGTCGTGGTGGCCTAACGACTTGAATTCACTGTTATTATTGCTCTTAACTTCAATATTTATAAAACCATGTTTTTACCTTTTAAGTTATTCTATATCTGTTATTCTGTATTCAGGTTTTAAGAGCAGTTTTTTGTATTGCTTTTTCTGTGATTTTTGGAAAAGTTTCATTTGGTGTTATTACAGCCCCGGCTGTTCAAACGTTGGACAGCGCTCTCCACCGCGCTATCCAGTGGATAACGCAACTGGTTTCCTAATACTTATCCGCTGGATAGTGATTTATCCGGTGGATAATCGTATCCAACGTTTTAACAACCGGGGCATATGTTTAGTCAATAATATTAGCAGTATACGGTCCTAATCAGTAGTAGTTCGTCGCGAGTGTCAGAAAACTGAGTTATTTCCTGCTGATATTTCCTGTTTGGTAATAACACACACTTTTATCAGTCTCGACAAGTTATCAGACAAGTTGGTAACAAGCGTTATTGTGCATGCGGGCATTCTCCGTGTTGCAACGCATGTAAAACCACAAGATTTATTAATGTGAATTTTTTTTTTTGGCAAATACCGCTGCATCTGTCTCCTCCTTAGGCGCTTTGTTTTTTGCGAATAAGGGCGAGCGCGAAGCGCAAGTGACTGGTGACGAAGCGCAGGGGACCATGGATAGGAGAAAGAAGAGAGGCACACTAAGACGAAGAACGCATAAGTTTCTTAACCTACAGGCACACTCTTACTTACCTGACGTGTTATTACTCATTTTGGTCCCCACACCCAGGTTTTGTTGGCCGTGAGAGACCTGGACCCGGTTCCTGAAATCCAATAAGCGCTTATCTTAGTCTGTCCACAGACGTTTTTTTTTTTTTTCTCTTCAACGAATTTTGAGTGGTGCGCGCGAGAGAAAAAAAGCACCCGCACCCCGTTGCCCTTGCGGTCAATAAGTCCCCGGCAGTTTTCATTTTCTTGCACGCACCCGATCCGAATGATCTCCAAAGAGAAAATACAAGGTCTCTGATCAGGCTACGCAAAGCCAGAGTTAACATTTTAGTCCATGATTTTGCTTACCTTCCTAAGTATATTGTTCAGCTTATCGTTTTGTGTAAAAAGCCTGGATTTCAAAGTACAGTGGAACCTCGATTTAACGACGCTCTTTATAACGAATTCCTCAGTAAAAAGAAACGATTTTCTTTACTCCTTTAATAGTAAAATACATTAAAAAGAACCTCGATATAACGAAGCCTCGTTAGAACGAACATATTTTGCTAGCCGTTCGGTCCTTCGTTATATCGAGGTTACACTGTATATATCAACAATATTATAAGCTCCAGTTACATTTTCTTAAACTTAAACAACTTTCGAGGAATCGGGTTCTAGGAGGTCTGGAGTTGAAAGTGAGTTTTAACTACATTGCACCACATAGTATATCTTGTATTTAAAACTGTCTGTATCAAGTTTTTGCCTGTAGTAAAATTTGTACTTAGAGTACGTGAGTGAAGTTAAGGATAAAAGTGATAGGGATAGTAGACTTTCTAAAACTCCGCGTTTTTATTCTTCTGTACTGCTACACTCTGTGACTGGTTAAATAACTGATCGAGTTATTTCTTTGAACCAATCGGAGCAACGTCAAGCTGCCAGTAAAACATGCTGTTGTGTGTGGACAGCTTGCTTTTATTAAGTACTATTCTATGTACATTTATTTATTTTGTAGAGTTTTATAAGTAAAGCAAAGCATTTAACAGCAGTATGTCGATGGTGTTTTTCTCACTTCGGCCAGAAGAAGTGTTAAGAAAACCTTGGCCTCTTTTTTTGTTTTAATTGACCTTAACTTCGTTTCGGTCCGCAAAAAAGCAAAATAGCCATTTTGACCTTGACGCCAATATAGAAAGGTGGATTTAATAATCTCGATTTTTGTTTCGGTGTGATTTTTTGGATCATGTAGCAGTTGCCAATTGCTACCCAAACCGGAATACGTTGGAAAACAATGACCTTACGAGCAGCTCCTACATTAAAGGATTTTTTTTGACATATAAGTAAATGCTCACAAACTTTTTAAAATTTGCAGAAGCCAAGCAACTTTCATGTTTTTGAATGTTCACTCTTCAGAGTTATTTCTTCCTCCTTTTCCTGTTTTTAGTGCCCGCAGAAGTGTTTTTCACACTGATTAACTTAATAGTTTGAATTTAAGTCACTTTTGTAGTCAATGATCTTTTTTTTTTGCTTCCAAAAGCAACTTTTTACTCAAAGTTAAAAAATCAACACGGGGACAATGTAACACTGTTTATACCGTAAAATTCTGAAAATAAGCCCCGAGGCTTTTATTTTTCAAAGGCCCTTTTTGAGGGGCTTATTTTTGGAGGGGCTTATCTACGGAGGGAAATTTGCGTTTCAAAATCGATTGGGCTAGCCTTATAGTTGGAAGGAAATGTACCGTTTTTGCTTTGTTTCACTTTGTATTTGAGGGCAATTTCCAAGTACAACCCCCCCCCCCGGGGGGGGGGCTTATATTTGGAGGGGCGATTTAACGGAGGGTTTTTTGTGTTATGAGTTTGGAGGGCTTATATTTGGAGTGGCTTATACATGGAGGGACTTATTTTCGGAATTTTACGGTTACTTAAGTTCTTCTTGAAAGAGTTTGGTTACCATGGCGCCTGAATAATCAATTTTCAGCTCATTTATTGTTCATAGATTCACATTTGAATCGCATCTTCATCGACGAAGTTTTTACCAAAAATGGGAAAACAACGCGTCGTTACTTTGGTTCTTTATGGAATAATTCTGTTTAATTCTGCTACGATTTTAAAGAGTAAGTAAACTGGGCCGCTTTGTTTCTTGCTTTGCGAGCTTCCCTTTTCGAGCGATTTAGACAGTTCATCAATATTTCTGCAACGTTCTGCAATTGTTAGCGCAAATAGGAAACTGTCAATCGTAAGAACATTTTTCTCGCATTCTATAGATTTTTCCACTACAGTCGAACCTCGGCTAACAGCCACCGCTCTACAACGGCCATTTTCTTCTGTCCCCAACGTGGCCGTTGTATAGAGAGGTTTAAAAGAAATGCACGGTAAGTCACTTTTACATATATTTTCGAAATGTGTAATCAAAAACAAATTCCCAAATTTGATCGTAGTAGCACTTTAAGCTTGGACGAGAGAGCAAACAATATTCACCCTAATATAATTAATGTCAGAAAGACATTTTTGCATATTTAACTCATATATTTTGGTTTCACAGACATTTATACCAAGCACGTTGCATCTTCGCTCACATGCGGTAATCTGAAGAATGTTGGGTACCCTGCGACGGAGTGTTCTTCTGAGATAATTTCGGCTCATTGCGCAAGAGTACTTGATCAGGTGGACACAAGTAAAGGACTTGTTCTTGGAAGGAAAAGAAACGAAAAAGGTGCTTGGTTTAAAGTATCAAACGTTTCATCGCATATCAAACGAAACGAGATGTTATGCTGTTTCGTTTGTTCAGTTAGTACTTTCAGAGTAGTCTGTGTAAAACCAAGCGAAAACTGGTCGTGAGGGGAATTGGGGTCTATTGAAAACCGCGACAATAAAATAGTGAAAAATCATGTTACGACCGTGAAAGTAATTGCCGTAATTAATTTTACTGGGGAAAACTGGTCTGGAACGCAGGCTATGAAAATTGACGATCAATAATGGTCGATCCACAAATATTTTAAAAAAGAGGAACTCCCTTTACCGATTTAAAACTCTACAATAAATAATTCTTTTTCACATGAATCAGGTAACAACAAAACTAGAAACAAAAGAAATTATGAAAGTCTCCGCAAATGAAATGCTTTTGTTTCCGATTAGAGAGAACTAAAAAAGCCTCTTTTTATCAAAACAATTAATTTTTAACGTACACACTTCTCAAAGCATGATCTTTGGAGTGTTATTTTTCAAACTTAACTGTGTTTTTTTTCCTTTATCCACAGTTTATCTCAGTATTGGTATTGTAAGCATGGATGGTGAAGATGACAATTTGCTGCAAACACTTCAATCCTTGACAACGCACATGTCACCAACGGAAAAAACCGAAATCATCATAGTGATAGCACTTGATAGAGAATCACAAGCAGGAATCTCACAAAACATAGAAAAGAATTTTCAGAACGAGCTCGACATTGGGCTGATTCAAGTCATACACCCAACACAAGAGTTTCTTGGGAGGGTCAATGCAAAAAGCACAAGATGGAAACCATGGTCTTTTACGGAAAATTTTAAGAAGAAAACAGTAGATTTCAACAAGAGACTTATTTTTCTTTTGGAATATTGTTTTCGAATGTCTAAAAATGTTTTACTTTTGACAGGCCAAGCGCGTGCTGTCAGGCCCTACTTTCCAGTTATTAAACAGCAAATTGACAATTTCGAAACTCTAAGTTTATCTTCCTATGAACACAACTTTGGGATGAATGGACTTCCCGGTTTAGGACGGCTTTATTCCGCACATCTGGCCGCGGATGTCGCCGAATTTGGCGCAATGTTCCCAGATGGCCACCTACCAAGGCAAATTATAGACATGTACACATTTCTTAGACGTTCTATAAAAATCTCCAGCCAGAAGCGTGAAGAAGTCATCTTCACATTTGGCAAGGAACTTCGCGGTGGTAATCTTGAAATAGAATTTCAGACAACTTGCAGTTTTCGAGTGGGTCACGAAATGGAGAAAGCTTTGTATGACAAAAACGGATTTGCCTGGCTGAAGACGCCTAAAAAAGATGACAGCATCGTAATGGTGTTTATAGAACCCCTTCAAATCTCGCGCGTGCGTGTAGTCAGTGGACGTCCGTTGCTCAGGGATACGATGAGTGACAGCGTGCTCATGGTGTGTGAAAATAACGCGGAGACTGGAGGTTGCGATGATTCAAAATGTACAGAAGTCGGCAATTTTAGAGATCCGATCTTAGATGTAAAGCAACTTGAGAATTCCTTAACTTTCCCCGTAAAATGCCTAAAAATTGTTTTCATAGGAGAAGTAAAGCATTGTATTATTATTAGAGAGATCTCAATATGGCCAAAAGCCTAGCAAAAGGCTAACATTTTCATACTAACTTCTACTTTCGGACTAAGTGATTGTCTATTACCAGGAGGGGAGGGGAGTGGAGGGTAATATTCCTATTGTGGCATACACTGCCCTTCTTATCATCCGTCTCCTTACACCTACTACAGGTACCGCACCTGCTACAGACACTACACTTACTACAGATACTACACCTACTACACATACTACAGATAGTACAAGTACTACAGCTAATAAGACTACTACAGCTACTACAGATACTACAGATGCTACAGGTACTACACCTATTACAGGTACTACACCTACTACACATACTACAGATACTACACCTACTAAAGATACTACAAGTACTACACCTACTACAGCTACTAAGGCTACTGCAGCTACTACAGATGCGACAGATGCTACAGGTACTACACCTACTACACATACTACAGATACTACAAGTACTACACCTACTACAGCTACTAAGGTTGTTACAGCTTCTACAGATACTACACCTACTAGAGGTACTACAGATACTACACCTACTACAGGTACTACAGGTACTTCACTTACTACAGGTACTACAGATAGTACAGCTACTACACCTACTACAGGTACTAGAGCTACTAGAGCTACTACACTTACTACAGGTACTACAGATAGTACAGCTACTACAGGTACTACAGATACTACACCTACTACAGGTACTACAGCTACTACACTTACTACAAGTACTACAGATAGTACAGCTACTACACTTACTACAGACACTACAGATACACAATCTACTACGGTTACTGTTCGATCACAGTAGTGTTTATATATAGTAGTGGGCAGTGGCTCGGGACGTTTTGGGCAGCAACTAACTGGCGTCCATGGTCAATTTCTCTTGATCAAAAATTGTTATTTTGATCATATTTTAGAGTAATTGAAGATTGCTTTTTAAAGAATGCACGGCGAAGCTCGAAGAGGCGCCGAAACTGGGGCAGGCAATGCCTCTATGGGTTATTTGTTAACTGCAGGAGTTATGGAAGAAGTCTTGGAAAAACTCTTTATCATAACGAATTCCTCAGTATAAAGAAACGATTTTCTTTACCCCGTTAATAGTAAAACATATTAAAAAGAACCTTGATATAACCAAGACTCGTTAGAACGAACATATTTTGCTAGCCGTTCGGCCCTTCGTTATATCGAGGTTACACTCATATATCAACAATATTATAAGCTCCAGTTACATTTTCTTAAACTTAAACAACTTTCGAGGAACCGGGTTCTAGGAGGTCTGGAGTTGAAAGTGGGTTTTAACTACATTGCACCACATAGTATATCTTGTATATAAAATTGTGTGTATCAAGTTTTTGCCTGTAGTAAACTTTTTTCTTAAAGTATGTCAGTTAAGTTCAAGATAAAAGTAATAGGGACAGTAGACTTGCTAAAAGTCATTCTTCTGGCCCGGGTTGCTCGAAGCATGGTTAGTGCTAACCAGCGTTAAATACCATGGAAACCTATACATTTTGATACCTCTTAACCAACGGTTAGCGCTAACCAGGCTTCGAGCAACCGGCCCCTGTACTGCAACACTCTGTAACTGCATGGTTAAATAACTGATGGAGTTTATTTCTTTTAACCGATCGGAGCGACGTCAAGCGTGTTTTACGTCGTTTTAAGCTGCGATTGGTTTATTTGAACAGTATTTGATTGCCGGCGCCATTCTGATTGGCCAGGATATTAGGCTGGTTTGGGTTAAAAACAGTTCCCAGTAAAACATGCTATTGTGTGTGTGGACAGCTTGCTTTTGTTAGGTACTATTCTGTGTACATTTATTTATTTTGTAGGGTTGTATAAGTAAAGCCAAGCATTTAACAGCAGTATGTCGATGATGTTTTTCTCACTTCGGCCAGAGGAAGTATTAAGAAAACAGAATATTGGCCTTTTTTTTTGTTTTAATTGACCTTAACTTCGTTTCGGTCCGCAAAAAAGCAAAATGGCCATTTTGACCTTAGCACCAATATAGAAAGGTGGACTTAATAATCTCCATTTTTGTCTCGGTGTGATTTTTTGGATCATGTAGCAGCTGCCAATTGCTACCCAAACCGGAATACGATGAAAAACAATGAATTACCATTGTTTAAAAGCACGAATCAGGGAAGACCTTACGAGCAGCTCCTACTTTACCGGATTTTTTTTTCACATATAAGTAAATGCTCACAAACTTTTTTAAATTTGCAGAAGCCAAGCAAATTTCATGTTTTTTTTGTTGCTGAGAGAAATCTATCAATTTAATATTTTTAGCTTGCAACAATCGTGAAAGTTTTTTGGGCAAATAGCGTGGCCAGCATTCTTCCTGAAGTTCACTCTTCAGAGTTATTTCTTCCTCCTTTCTTTGCTTCAAAAAGCACCTTTTTACTCAATGATTATAGCCCAGTTACGACGAAAAATTTTATTTTTGAAAAATCAACACGGTGACAATGTAACGCTGTTTATAACTAAAGTTCTTCTGGAAAGAGTTTGGTTACCACGGCGCCTGAATAATCAATTTTCAGTTCCTTTATTATTGTTCATAGCTTCACATTTGAATCGCATCTTCGTCGACGAAGTTTTTACCAAAAATGGGAAAACAACGCGTCATTACTTTGGTTCTTTATGGAATAATTCTGTTTAATTCTGCTACGATTCTGAAGAGTAAGTAAACTGGGCCACTTTGTTTCTTGCTTTGCGAGATTCCCTTTTCGAGCAATTTAAACTGTTCATCAATATTTCTGCAACGTTCTGCAATTGTTAGCGGAAATAGGAAACTGTCAACTCTATCGTAAGAACATTTTTCTCGCATTCTATAGATTTTTCCACTACAGTCGAACCTCGGCTAACAGCCACCGCTCTACAACGGCCATTTTCTTCTGTCCCCAACCTGGCCGTTGTAGAGAGGCAGGGGCATCAACGGCCAAAATATCTTTCTTTTTCGGAGCTTGTCCCATCTACAAAATGGTATAATTACCCATTTTTAACGGGCCCTTGTGGCTGAAATTTTCGAGAAGGTCCCTATAATTTTCGGATCACTAGACTTTCAGCTAGGAAATCCGAACAGATGAAAAGTTTTTAGGGGATAAAAATATGCCTATATCTACCGTTTGAATACTAAAATACGTTCAACAATGCTTTGTTAAGTGGTTTTGAACTATATCCTCGTTGGGTGCCCCTGGAGAGGTTCAAAAGAAATGTAAACTGTGACATTAAGCTTGGACGAGAGAGCAAACAATACTCACCCTAACATAATTCAAGTCAGAAAGACATTTTCGCATATTTAACTCTTCAGGGGCACCCAACGGCAATTTTCGGGAAAATATCTGTTCGGAAGACGATTTGAGAACTAGAATTTTCGCAACATTTGTTGTAAAATTTCTTGCTTGCCTGCCTCTCCTAGGATTTTCGAACATCTTCAAAATGGTATAATTACCCATTTTAAACGGATATTTACCCTAAAAAAGGCCACCTAGAATTTTCGGGAGCCTTTTCCTGGCTGAAATTTTCGAAAAGGTAAGTTTTGATCCCTATAATTTTCGGATCACTAGACTTTCAGCTAGGATATCCGAACAGATGAAAAGTTTTTAGGGGATAAAAATATGCCTATATCTACCGTATAAATACTAAAATACGTTCAACAATGCTATATTAAGTGGTTTTGAACTATATCCTCGTTGGGTGCCCCTGACTCTTATATATTTTGGTTTCACAGACATTTATACCAAGCACGTGGCATCTTCGTTCACATGCGCTAATCTGAAGAATGTTGGGGATCCTGTGACGGAGTGTTCTTCTGAGATAATTTCGGCTCATTGCGCAAGAGTACTTGATCAGGTGGACACAAGTAAAGGACTTGTTCTTGGAAGGAAAAGAAACGAAAAAGGTGCTTGGTTTAAAGTATCAAACGTTTCATCGCATATCAAACGAAACGAGATGTTATGCTGTTTCCTTTGTTCAGTTAGTACTTTCAGAGTAGTCTGTGTAAAACCAAGCGAAAACTGGTCGAGAGGGGAATTGGGGTTTATTGAAAACCGCGACAATAAAATAGTGAAAAATCATGTTACGACAGTGAAAGTTAAGGCTTTGCCGTAATTAATTATACTGGGGAAAACTGGTCTGGAACGCAGGCTATGAAAATTGACGATCAATAATGGTCGATCTACAAATATTCAACAAAAGAGGAACTCCCTTTACCGATTTAAACTCTACAATAAATAATTCCTTTTCACATTTGAATCAGGTAACAACAAAACTGCAAACAAAAGAAATTATGAAAGTTTCCGCAAATGAAATGCTTTTGTTTCCGATTAGAGAGAACTAAAAAAGCCTCTTTTTATCAAAACAATTAATTTTTAACGTACATACTTCTCAAAGCATAATCTTTGGAGGGTTATTTTTCAAACTTAACTGTGTTTTTTTTCCTTTATCCGTAGTTTATCTCAGTATTGGTATTGTAAGCATGGATGGTGAAGATGACAATTTGCTGCAAACACTTCAATCCTTGAAAACGCACATGTCACCAACGGAAAAAACCGAAATCATCATAGTGATAGCACTTGATAGAGAATCACAAGCAGGAATCTCACAAAACATAGAAAAGAATTTTCAGAACGAGCTCGACATTGGGCTGATTCAAGTCATACACCCAACACAAGAGTTTCTTGGGAGGGTCAATGCAGAAAGCACAAGATGGAAACCATGGTCCTTTACGGAAAATCTTAAGAAGAAAACAGAAGATTTTAGCCAGAGACTTATTTTTCTTTTCGAATATTGCTTTCGAATGTCTAAAAATGTTTTACTTTTGACAGGCCAAGCGCGTGCTGTCAGGCCCTACTTTCCAGTTATTAAACAGCAAATTGACAATTTCGAAAATCTAAATTTATCTTCCTATGAACACGACTTTGGGATGAATGGACTTCCCGGTTTAGGACGTCTTTATTCCGCACATCTGGCCGCGGATGTCGCCGAATTTGGCGCAATGTTCCCACAGGGCCAAACTCCAAGCCAAATTATAGATATGCACAGTCGTATTAGAAGTTCTATAAAAAACTCCGACCAGAAGAGTGAAGAAGTCATCTTTACGTTTCATGGCAAGGAACTTCGTGGTGGTAATCTTGAAATAGAATTTCAGACAACTTGTAGTTTTCCAGTGGGTCACGAAGTGGAGAAAGCTTTGTATTACAAGAACGGATTTGCCTGGCTGAAGACGCCCAAAAAAGATGACAGCATCGTAATGGTGTTTATAGAACCCCTTCAAATCTCGCGCGTGCGTGTAGTCAGTGGAAGTCCGTTGCTCAGGGATACGATGAGTGACAGCGTGCTCAAGGTGTGTGAAAATAACGCGGAGACTGGAATTTGCGATGATTCAAAATGTACAGAAGTCGGCAATTTTAGAGATCCGATCTTAGATGTAAAGCAACTTGAGAATTCCTTACCTTTCCCCGTAAAATGCTTAAAAATTGTTTTCATAGGAGAAGTAAAGCATTGGATTATTATTAGAGAGATCTCAATATGGCCAAAAGCCTAGCAAAAGGCTGCTAACGTTTTCATACTAACTTCGACTTTCCGACTAAGTGATTGTTTATTACCAGGAGGGGAGGGGAGGGGAGGGTAGTATTCCTATTGTGGCATACACTGCCATTCTTATCATCCGTCTCCTCAATTTCCCTTCCATACACACTCGACGTTTTGTTTTCTATGTTTTTCAACAAAAAGAGGAAAATCCATGTAATCTTTTATTAGACACTTTTTTTTTTCTTTTTTTTTTTGTATTTTTGTATTTTTTATTTTTGTATGTGTGGTTATGTTTTTGTTTTTATTTCAGAGCGTACTGTAAATATTAAGTGTTAATCTCTCTTTTATCTACATAATTAAGTATTAATTAATTCTTTGTAAAATAAGCCTCATTCGGCAATTGCGCGGCTGTTTTGTGGCTGTAATGTATATAATTGTGAAATGTAGATAATTGTAAGTATGTCTGTTATTGCGGTTGTTTAGAACTTTGTAATTATTTTCTTTTTAAGTAGTTCTTTGTGATTATAGTAATAAATGTCTTGAATAAAAAAAAATAATAAAAATAAAAAAATAAAATAAAATAATAATAAAAAAAAAATACACTGCCATTCTTATCATCCCTCTCCTCAATTTCCCTTCCATACACACTCGACGTTTTGTTTTCTATGTTTTTCAACAAAAAAAATCCAAAAATCAAAATCCATATCAGACTAAAATGGAAAACATACCCTTCTAAAATCTAATAACAGCCCACATAAGTCACAATGGGCATACAGTAGAGCAGAAAACAAATTGCCTAAGTTTATGTTACATTTCAATGATATTTTTTTACTGTGACTTGTTTATTAATAAGTAAAATAAAAGGAAATGTTCAGGGTAACTCTCTGGCATGTTTAAATAGTTCTATGCTAACAATGCCTATATTTGACAAGATTACATGCATGGAATGGTCACACAGCTGTAGATCATCATAAATGTGTTGCAGAAGCTCATCTCTTACTTGACAGGAACAATATGGCAGCTAGAAAAGAATATTAAAAGTTTACAGATTTCAATCTAAAGGAAACAAAATTTTTTGCACACCCCAATCATAAAAGCTGATCACTGGAGTCAATCTCAGGAAAATAAGACCGTCTAAGTTACAATTAAAACACAAAATGATTATTCTGTGTGTTACCCTGCAAGCAGAGGTTTTCTCTTGCATGGCTTTTAGCATCGACGAAGTCGTTTGTGTGGCTTGCCAGTTGCATAACTGGTTTATTTTCTCATGGGACGTGTAAACTACCTACGCGATAGACTTTGTAAATGCTAAAAGCCATGCAAGAGATGAACCTCTGCTCACAGAGTATCTGAGTGTAGGTTGAGCACCATATTAAAATGGGTTGCAGAACCACTGCATGTATAGGCTGTGAGCAATAATTTTGAAGCAAAGTCAAAACCTTTAGTGCTTTAATATTACAGGAATGTAAGACTAGAGTTATTCTAGAAATATTTAACTCTAAGGTAAAGAATGAGCATTTACAGTGAATACCATAACTAATTCTGGCAGTAAGAGCAAAAATAAATAAATGAATAAATAAATAAAATAACCAGACAAGCATACCCTAAGAGTCCTCTGCCACTCCATGTGTTTGGTGTAAGCGATAATGTGTGTCTTCTTCCTTCTCTGTCAACAATAATGCTTAGTGGTGACTGGTACAAAGTAAAAATAAAGATATGAAGTATTAAAGGATTAAAAACTAGTTTATATCTTAAAATGATAAAACAAAACAAGTTTTTTACTTGTATATTCTGTATTTTTACCCCTTTACTGTGCTGCACAACAGAAGCGATGTCATGAAGGCCTTGAGAATTTTCGCCAGTGATGGAACCAAATCTTAAGATCTGGTCACCAGTTTTCAAACCCTGTAAAATAGCGAGTCTTTTAGTAAATTGAACCTATTGAAGATGTAAAGATACTTGAGTCATAAATAAAACATATTCAGAAAACTGAATGTGTGAATCATGGATTGTCATTTACAAGAGTACACTGTGGACCTTCTCTTTCCAATAAATTCCAGTGTAATTTATAAGCAACAAGTATCTGGCAAAAGAAAGCTGAAATTCCCTATAAAAATTCCACTTACTGCTTGTGATGATGGAGAACCTTCTGCTACTGAATCTACTCTGAGGAAGGCTTTTAATCTCAATGTAACATCTGAAAAACACCAGGTAAGTAATAACATTTTTAATAATTATAAGTCTTTGCATTTGATGATGATGATGGTGCCGCAGGGAGGTGATGATGATGACAATAACAATGTTTTTTTTAATGATGATACAAGGCCAATTTACATATTTACATATTTTTACATATTTAACGTTTACATATGTAAACGTTACATAGATTTTTTCTGACATATACAGACCATCCATTGACTTTTTATCTTGATCCTCTTTTTCCTTCTCCTTCTGTTCTCTTGCTTTGGCATGGATTTCATGGATACCCTGTTCTATTTCTTTCATCAATGCTTTATGATCATTTTGAAGACCTGATGTTACCAGGAAAAATAACAAAGAAATCGAAACATGAGTCAGCAATCTGTGTAAAAATTTAACCAACATTCAACATCACGTCTGCATGTATTGATATGTTCAGCTGTGACCACGAAAAAAACTTTCATAAAGGAATGAAATAGTTCTTACAGATAATCCGATTTCTTGCAACACGGACTGTATAAACATCAATATCTGAGCGAGGGTAATTTTCGTCGTCTATCAACTTTTCATGCATCCCGACTCCCTTTTGCTGTAAACAAACAAGATTATATCACGTCTTTGAAAAATTTAGTGCAAAAAGAAACTTTAAAATACTCGAAGACAGGCTTACAGAATCTAGCACTTCTTGAAACTCCTTAATTTCCTTCTCAATGGCATCTTTCTTTGCCATTAAATCTTTTACTTTCTTCATGGAAACGTCCGCCATCTTGAAAGTGGATAGGTCAGCTGATATTTTTGCGGGCTCGACTAATCCCAGTCTTTTCCGTGGTTTTGAAAGCGAGGGCATTTCTTCGAGACGAAAAATAACATGACAACTAACTGGCGTCTATGGTCAATTTCTCTTGATCAAAAATTGTTATTTTGATCATATTTTAGAGTAATTGAAGCTTGCCTTTTAAAGAATGGAAGGCGAAGCTCGAAGAGGCGCCGAAACTGGGGCAGACAATGCCTCTATGGGTTATATGTTAACTGTAGGAGTTATGGAAGAAGTCTTGGAAAAACTCAAATTGCTTGACTACGAGACGGATTTCTGTAAGCAGTGGGGATTTAGGCCTTTGTCAAGGTGAGATTTTGTCAATGTACCCTATAACGTGAATGATAATCTTCGCTAGAACAAATTAGATAACATCGTCTACGATCGACCAGTTTCTTTTTCTGTAAATTGTTTAATTTGACATCCCGTTTTACTTACTTAATGTTCAAAGTAAGCTTGATCGGGGTGCAATATAAAGTTCTTTTACACAGTTATCTTAATCATACTGTGGTTATCTGTTAGATGTAAGCTTAGTGATTTCGCTGCAAAAGCGACAAAAGGACTGCTTACTTAAACCTACATGAACGTGCAGCCTGCATCACCATATATAAACGATAACTAATGTAATTATTGTAATGAAATTATCCCCCCGAAAAAAAAGAAAAAAAATCAGGTCAATTAAGCCACAAATGTATTGGCTGTTTGTCATAGCCAGTAACATCACAGTTTAACAGACAGATGATCAACACAAGTGCGACTTAAATGACCAATCAGGTCAATGTAGACCTAGAGTTTAGTACCATCAAGTAATGTGATACAACTCACTTTGACTCTGAAGGTGACTTCCACTGTCAGCTGTTGTCAAAATGTCAGTCACTGTCTTTAACAGTCCTATTCAGGAATACACTCACCCAGGTGATCATATTCCATTTACTTACAACATGACTCCTGGGTTCGCACCTGTCACTGTGTAATAAGTAAACTGAATACATATTGTCTTCATTGTTCATCCATCAGGCACTTCTTTGCTCTGCCAACGAACCCAGGAGAGCAGTTCTTTACTTTTACATCTCTAGCTGCATGGCTGCTTACGTGTTGTGGAAGGAACTTTGAACAGCCACAGGAGGTGAATTTTCTGTTTAACACAATTTCAAGATACGTGATGATTTTATTGGCCTTAGCTCCCACAGGTCTCCTGTAGCTTAGTGGTAGAGCATCTGGACTGGTTACCAGATGGTCATAGGTTCAACTATTGGGCTTGGTTCAGACGCCAAACTTTTCATGAGCTTAACCTAATTTGAATTAAGGCCGACTAAAATTATTTAGGCCGCCTGAATTGATTCAGAGGCCGATCTTAATTCCAGCCGAATTTATTCAAAAGGAGAAAAAGGTCCATTTTCGGAGTCAAACAGCTTACAAAATAGGTTATAATTTAAGCATTAGGTTTGGTACATGATAAGTTCTGCATCTGAATCAAAGCCATTCCAAAGTCGATCCATAGTCGAAATTCTTGGCCAGGCTAAACAGAAAGAACGGCTGAGTCATTCCAAATCATGTACGTAATTCATTGTATTAGGTTTGGCTCATGAAAAGTTAGTGTGAGTACTTGGATTTTTGCTTCCAAGCTGCCTGTATCACTGACTGAATAAACAGATTAATAATTTTTGTTATTATATCTAGGCAAGACAATTCAAGTAACTTTTGAAGTCATTTGGAGACAGGGCACTTGTTTGTTTTCCTTGATGCTTTATGCACAGTTTTACCTTTTAGGATAACAATAATACTATTATAATTTGTTATTGTTTTTCATTGTAGTTATTGTTTAGCACTTTCATCAATACAGTGCAAAAACTTATTATTCAGACAAGCTGCAATTTTTATATTGTCAAATATCGAAAAAATAGCTAGTTAAAGAACTGCTGCATAAATCGTCACACTAGGATTGCCTAGCTGAAACAAAACACAACGTGACTCCAGCCCATAATATTTTTTATTGACTCTGCCTGTCTCTGAGTCAATGTCTATCATAATGATGGAATCATTTTTAACTGTACTTTAAAGGTTATTCCTAACTGAACTGAATTTTGTCTTTCAGTATGATGACCCAAATGCTACTGTGTCAAATATTTTGGATGAGTTAAAAAAATTGGTGAGATGACTTGATTATCTTTCCTTGATGGGCTGACTTGTTGGTACATTTTTTAATGTTGGGTTTGTTTCCTTGTAAAATTTAGGGAGCCTTAGCTGATTTTCCTCCAGCAAAACTGAAAACAGGCTCTGGGGAGCAGGTACAAACTGTTTTACTATTCACTGTGTTCAAATTCACCGTTAAAATAATTATTGATCTTATCATAAAATATTTAATTCTATATCCTTCAACCAACAAATTTAGAGAGGCAATTTTGAGCTTATGGTGCATGTATTAACCATTTTCCTGAAAATAATCTCAATACCTTCTCTCTAAAAATTTTTAGGTTTGTTATGTTATTGATAAACTTGCTGATGAAGCCCTAAAAGCCAAGAAATTTGCTTGGCAAAAGTAAGTCTTGTTTTCAGTGATATGGATATAGTCATTACTGTTAACATTAAGTAAATGTTGTCAGCTTTGTGGCACAGAATTTTTGTCCGAGTTTAATTTTGTGGATTGGTGACTTTTTGTATTTTGAGTGATTGTGAAGGACTGCTTGAGTTTTGCGTGGGCTTGATTTATTTTTCAAATTTCCAGGAAGTTGCATTTAATTTGCTTTGGACTTTTTATGTTACTCAAGACCTTCAGCAACCACTGTTGAACCAGTCAATTTAGAGAAAAGTGTCCATTTGTTTTGCCTGTTTGGTTCTTCATGTTATTTTGCTGTGTCATGTTGTTTTACTCAGTTGTAATGATAAATTTATACTTGTTCTCCTCTCAAGGCCTCAACATGCTCAAGAAGACTTTGAAGAGGAAACCATGGAGGACGATGAGGCTGAACTAACATTGAACAAAGTAGAGGAAGAGATGATGGTGAGATTAGTTCTAACTGATCAAATTCCTGGTTGCTGTTTCTTGCCCCTGGGAACTTACTATTGCATTTAGACAACAAGGATATCTTAAAAAACCCAGCTGCTGAGCTGCCTTGATATTTATTGTATTCATTAAGAACTTTTGTGCTCCCTATCATACAGTTTTCTCTAATGTGTATTAACCCTTTAAGTCCCAATAGTGACCAAGATTAATTTTCTCCTAACAATATCCATACATTGTCAACAGATAAGTTATGAGAATTAATAAAACAATCACCCAAGTGAAAATGCCTTGATCTTTTATCAAATTCTCTCAACTCATTCTTTAAGGAAATGTATGGAGATCAGTTTGGAGAATTTGTATGTAGATACTGTGGCTTAAAGGGTATCAGTGTACTGGCATAAGTTGATGGGGGATCCAGGGGAGGATCCCCCCTTATTTTTAGACCAAACTGAGGCCCAAAGGCCGAAAAAAATTTTTTTTCAAGACCACCCCCCCCCCCCCCCAGGGGGTCTGGATGATGGCTTCCCCCCACTTCCCCCCTCGCCCCCTTATCTGAAGGTCTCGATCCACCACTGCAAGTTTAACATATTTTGTTTTTGATTAGTTTTGTTGTATTTTCCCTTCAAGGATGAAGCAGATGAAGAAATTGAAGAAGATGACAATTATCTTGATCTCGCTGGAATGAAACAACAGTCTCAGATGAATGTAAATAATATTTGATAGTAAAGACAAAAATGAAGGAAAATTAAGCTCTGCGTCAGCCAGCCTTTGTGATTTGCTGGTGTTATCTATATATACAAGATTTCTTAAACTCTAGACCTTAGTACTGTATGAATAATAATTCCTTTGCCATAATGTTAGGCCTGTTGACAATAAACATCACTAAAGAGGAAGAATTACATGTCCTGACGAAAGAATTGTCTTAAACAGTGATTTTGAATGTTTGTTTAGGATATTGCTGATTCATCAAAGCCTGATTCTGTTATGGAGTCAACTACAGATGCCGCAGAATGGAAGCTTGAAGTGGAAAGAGTTTTACCACTATTAAAAGTTCACATAAGAACTGATAACAAGGTAGGAATACTAGTTTTTACACATTTTGTCTGTGTAGTTTTGATTGTGTATAGTCGTTGGAGTTGACTGTTTGTTTTACATTTGAAAGGACTGGAGGACACATTATGAGCAGATGCAACAACACAGTGAAGGAATCAAGTCATCTCTAACAGAAACAAAGGTACATGAGAGCTAAAAATAACAGTTATTTCATAGGACAATGTCTGCTTAAAATATGCGCAATATTGACCGGCTGATTATTATATTTTACGTTTCAGGGACATTTAGACAAGCTCCACCATGAAATAAGTAGAACTCTTGAAAAAATAGGCAGTCGTGAAAAATACATCAATAACCAGGTAACTGAATTGAAAGTTATATATTAATTTGATGTATTTAATTTTTATTTACAATGTTAATTTTTATGAACTTACCAGTCACTGACTTATGCCTTGTGTACAGCACACAGTTAAAATCTATACTTGCACCTGTGATCTTATTAACTCCATATCTGGTATCCATAAACATGTAAATTATATATTTTTTCATCATTGCCTGATATTTTGATTGAAGTTCATATTAATAACTGCCATAGGTCACAAAATAACATAACACAACAGATTGAAAAGAAACTGAACAATGCCCAGACCTGAATACAACGCCCAATGAAATTACCTCTAACAGCCTCTAACATGGCACACACATACCTTACATGTGCAGGGTACCTATAATTGTTCAGTATTTTCCAAAATAGAATGTTGAGGTTTTCTTCATGTAATGGAGTCAAAGGTCACAGTTTTGAACTTTTTTCTATCACAGCTTGAACACTTGCTGCAAGAATTTCGAAGTTTACAAGACACCCTAGCTGAGGTAGGGAATATTAAATACTCTTGGCATGAAACTTTATGTATGAAATTTTCGTACAGAAAGTTTTATGCCAAGAAATGTTTTCTTCAACTTCCCACATGCATACAACACTGACAAGACAGCTGCATTGTATTGTTTGCCTCTCAAATAAACTACTTGTTAAACTCCCTTCGAATTCAAAGTCCTTTGAAGATTACATGTGATCTTCTTTGCAGACAAAAGAGCGTTACAAACAAGGATCTGGTGGAGTAACAGAACTAACAAAGACATTGGCTCAGGTTAGTTAATGTTACTTAGTAACCACAGGTCTCAAGTGACCTGCTTAGGACATACATTTTCCTGCACTTTGCACCAGTTAATCATTCTGTGAATTATTGACTAAGGATGAGTTTAAGATGGCTGGATTTTGGTCACATTCTGTTCTTGGACCAAAACAATGAAGGTCAATTAAAAAGCGAAAAGTGGAAAGAACAAGGCTTGTGTATATCCAGCAATCTTAAAATAAAAGAGCTTGGTCAATAAAGGATGTGTCATATGCAGGGTTCGCACACACCTTGAAACTCCTTGAATTTCAATGCTAACTTTATAGTTTAAGAAGAACTGCAAAGGATAAGGAGCAAACACAGTAAAACTTTTAGGGTAAAATTACTCAACGCTCTTTTTTACACTAAAAAGTCCCTGATGTTTTGTTGAAAAAAGGGTATGAACCCTGCATATGGTCAAGAAAACTTTTTCTCCTTGTCGGACCAAAGCAGGCAGTTGTGCTCACAAAGCCAATCAGAATACACGATTTGCTTTATCTTGCCCACTCACAGATTCAACCATATGATAAATTTGCTGTCAAGCTCTGATTGGTTGCCCACGCTATTGGAACTTTTCAGTGTCTGTATGTCTTGTGATTGGCCAGAGAAATCTCTTTGTTTTCATTTCTTCTTTTGTGGCACTAACAAGGAAACTCACAAAAAGTGCGGTTGAATTTTTAGATCACTGAAGAACTTGAAACTGTAAAAGCTCAGATGGATGAAAGAGGAACAAACATGACAGATGCAGGTAGGTGTATGATAAATCAGCGGTTAAGAAGTACAAGTAGAATATTGAACAGGTAGGAAAAAAGATCTTTAAATCACAGTCATCTAAAGGTTCCACTTTGATCATATGGGAAGAGCTACATGTAAAGTTTGAAAAAATCTTTTTTTGTTTGTCTTTTGACAGGTCCTTTGGTAAGAATAAAACAAGCTTTAACAAGACTTAAACAAGAGGTTACTCAGATGGATGTTCGGATTGGAGTGGTACGTGTAGTATCATTAAACATTTATCAACATCTAATGTTAAATGTTAAATTCTAAGTCAGGATGTTGCCACACTAAAGAATTGGCTGTAGCAATAATGTTTGCTAACATCAAGTACTGGTAATAGCTCCAAACATTTTTTGGAATAATGAGTTCCAAAGTATTCAAAAGATATCTAAGTGTTTTCAGATAATGCAAACCGAAGATTTCCCAAGTTCATGATTAAACTAGATAAATAAGACAGGGGTATGGAATTATTTCCTTTCCAGCTGCCTTGCCTATTTTTAGACCTATTTTACCTGCACCTTACGGTTGACTTGATTTTCAAGGTTTTCTCATCTTGGTTTTCAGGTGGAGCATTCTTTACTACTAGCCAGAATCCGTGACCGCAGTGCCATCAGAGAAGACATGCATGCTCCTGTTACAGATGCAACATTTGGTGATTTTAAGGCATTTTAAATGCATGATCTTTTGCTAATATATTCAGTATTTAAATGCACTGTAAACCATGAGCTTTTCTGTCTTTGCTTGTGCACAGGCTACCCAGACTTGTAGTCTGTAAGTTACTGGCCTACTCCTGAGAAGCCTGTGCACTGGCCTCCTGGTTGGATAGCCTGTAAACCTGCTGCACAACTGTATTTGGGAAGTGACATACATAGTGCTCTTCAGTAAAGAACCATTTTATGTACTTTCTGTCAAGACTGTTGCAGCAGGCAGTCTTCCTCTTATTTTGTCTCTATGGGCTATTGAAAGCTAGATGCAGCCAAATCCTGTCATTTGGCAGATTTAGCAAAGACAACTTGACAGTAGTGACAACGGCACATGCAAATAAAAAAACTTAGCTTCACAAATCAAGGAGCAACAAATTGAGCACTGAAAGTCGTGTTGAGTCCTTTCTGCGTGGGGGAATGTCCTGAAGTGACATTCCCCATGATGTTAACACCTTTGGGACCTGCAACAGGTTAGTGTCGTTGTCGTTGGCATGACATCTCAATAACAAGCTACCTACAGTTGATTAGACTCCCCTTACATTCCACTCTACTGAATGCACACAGGAAAACAAAAAATAATGGCTTGAGTGAATCTTCAAACAAATCACTGCACTTTTTAACCCAATGCTGGAAAGATCTACTCTATATATTTACTGTTACTATTCATTTTTTGTCTCTTCAGTGTGACTTGTAAATCTTTTAGAAATTGTAAATAAATAGAAATTAAATTATCTGCCATTGTGCATTGCAACCTTCTGTCGATTTTGTTCACCCTAGTATTATGTAGGATGGTGTCATGGCTTTGCCTGCCAAATTTTGAATTCTCAGCACCGGTAGTTTGCATCTCAAATATCGAAATTCCAACATTCTGCATGTCAAATATTCTCCATGCCAAATCTTGAAATTCCTATTTTTGTTTTCACATCAATGTCACCAAAATTCACACCAAAGAATAAGTTTGAAAGTTTTTACTTTCAAGAAGTATTAAAGCACTGAATTTCTAGCAACTTCATAAGTGAATGGAACAGTATTATCTTAAATTTCCAAAGGACAACCTCACGAGATATACCCAAATTCAACAGTTCTCAAACTTTCTGGAAACTTTCCTGGAAAAACTCTGTACCATATGCCACTGTTTCTAAATCTTCAGAAGTTTGGTCTCATGGCAGTCAAGGATTAGAAAAGTTCATTTGACAAATAAGAAGGCACGATTTGGGTCATGTTACCCCTTCTCCCAACCACCTCTCTACACTATGTCTTTGGTGACCAAGCTTAGGTTTACTTGAAAACACAATAATATTATTGCTTTGCTAAAATAATCAGTGCTAAGTTATTATTCATTTGATCTGACCAGTCAAGTGATTTTGCATCAATCACATGATCCTTATTTGTCATCCAGTATCCGAGCATTACATACATGTAGATAATTTCAATAATAGATAACCCAGGAAAAAAATTGAATAATGAAGTTTAATTTCAATGATTATAACATGAGAGTCAAACACTCAGTGCTTCTAACTACAACATACCACTACATTACAGGCCCCCATAACCAACTGTAAAAAAGACTTAGCACCAAAAGGGTTTCTTTTTTTTCCTTTTTGTCCCGATTAACCATTAATGAAAAAATTCAAGTATTTATACATAGAAAGTGTAAATTGTTGAAGTTGTAAATTGTCTAACATTACAACCATGTCATGTAACTACAGGTTACATGTATTTAAACAAAGGAGTTTCCAACATAACGTTTTACCCTGAGAGAGAAAAACTAGGCTCACTTGTGGGGTATAGGGTGAAGAGAAACGTACATGTAATATGAGCAGAAGGGGAGGGTGGAGTCCCATGTCTCTTACTACATTCCTGCAGGAGCCAGTTCCCAGGTTACTGCTTGAAGCAGGTGGTTGTTTATGAGAGATTCAAATTTTGACTGGGGAAAATTGGACATTTTGGAAAGGTGGTCGGTGAATGCACTGTAACAGTTGTTACAAGAGGTAGTCATCAAATTGGTTTGTATGTGAACCAGTTTGATGTATATGAACCAGTTTACCGCTCGCAGTTGGCTTGCTAGTTCTATTGACTAGAGCACTGCACTGGTAATGCAGAGGTCAGGGTCAGAATCCTGGAAGGCTTTTTATTCCCACTGCTTAAGTGGAGCTTTGAACTGCAATGATCCCTCTACCCACATGCCTCTCACTCTTTGGTAGATTTGCCATTGTCTGTACAGCTAAGTGATGAAATTTCTTTGAGCCACATTTTAAGTCACATTTACATTTACCTTAAGCAAGTTTCCTCGGTACAGGAGATAAGGGAAAAAATAATCAAATTTTTGACAATGAAAAAAATTGTCAAACATGTATTTTTTTTTTCAATCAGCGACTGCAATACTTGAGAAAAACTTGTCAGGGACTCAGGAAACTTGCTAGAGTAATCTTGTTCTAAATGGACCTCAGATGAAACATACACTCTAGGACAACAAATTTTCCCTTTTTGAACTTGGATTCATGTCATTGGTGAGAATTCTTTTTCAGTTAAAAAACTTTAAACTTGACAAACTGCAGATGATCTGGCCAAGCTGAAGTTTGAGAGAACCAGTTTCACCTTATAAAAAGTTAGATGTTTTCCTTTCATTGGAATGGAACAGAATTGTTAAATCTCATTTGAAAGCCGCCGCATAGGAACTTTGCTACCAGCTGGAGTAAGGTGAACTGGAAACCGAAGACCACTTCCACGCTTCCTGTAACAGTAGAATGCGAAACCAAGGCCTACTAACAGGAGTAGAAGCACTGGGATAACAATGACCACTACTTTCACAGATACAGGCATCTGCTTTTTGTATGATTTGCTGCCTCCTAATAATGTAAAAATTATGAGACATATTATGTTCATGCTAAAAACGGGACAATCAACAATAACATAAAAATCGTAAAAAACAGCTGCCAAACTGACATCCAAAGACTCTGGGAAGCTGGATTAACACAAATATGCACCCTTCCCCACCCCCACCCCAATCGGATCTTGGTCATTGTCTAACCAGGGCAAAAGTATAATGCCTCTAATTTAAGTGAACGGGTTTTAGCAAAAAAAACAACTCCCTCTTTTTACAATGTTTCAAAATGGTCCTCTCCTTTCTACCTCCCAAAAAACCGTCTTTATTAGGTTGTTATCAATGAACAAAACAGACCATTTTGGACGAAAACGTGTATTAAACAATTCGTTGCCGATTGTAATTTTGTAACAGTTCTTCTCAACATACCACATTTAGGGAGAGGTAACTTAGTAGACAGAACAGTTGTGTTCATTGTAATTCTATTGGATCCTTGCTCTTCAATCTCCAACATCAACTGGAACAAAAAAACTATTGTAAATAATTGTAAATATCTTATTATCCACTCCCCTCAGGGCTTTTCAGGGATAATTTACAACACTGGTTGGGGGACTTTGCCAGACTGCTTAAGGTGCAGTTTACAAGTAGTGAAGGAATGAGTAATGATGCCCCCATACATGAGTGTGAAAGTGAGATAGGCCACTACACCGGGCACTACGTCCCTACTCTTTACGAAGAGTGTGTGGGTTCTTTAACGTCCCACAGATTTAATACATGTGCAAGGGCTTGTGAGACGGGGCCTACGGTTTATCGTCCTTATCCGAGAAGACTAGAAAGTCTAGCCGTTTGCAGATATTATTACAAAGGCAGCACTTTCTCCTCAGTTATTTAAAGACCCTGAGTGTTGGTCCGGCCGGGGTTTGAACCCGCGACCTCCCGCTCAGTAGACCGGCGCTCTCCCAACTGAGCTAACCAGGCGGCGGTAATTTACAATACCAACAAGTAAAGTAATTGTGGGGCATAAATCACTTTGATATTGACAGAATTAGGGGCATGGCGATTCAGCTGTTTCAACACCGCAGAGCTAGAGAAGATGGGTGGATCTCACATGATATGCGAAGACAACGTAGCAGTACTACTGCCACAAAAGCATAGCAAGAATAGCAAAGAAAAAATGTTTCAGATGGATGGTGACCTGCTTTATGAGGTATGTTTGCTAAGAAAAAATATCCTTTAAATCAGAAAGTGAAACTTTCAAGGAACAGACAAATGTTTTGAAGATGAGAACTTAACACACAGAACAGTATTGGATTCAGCTTTTAAGTGATATGAGGAATGTGCTGATCTCGCAGGATGATACTCACTGGGCCCTCAGCCTCAGCAGATAACACCCTTCTTGACCAACATTATAAATTCTTGATATCATTTTCAGCCCCATCCAGTAATTTTTTGCTAGTTATTTAAATTAAATAACTATTTACATTTTAGGCATTTATGAGTGGAGCTTTTAACCATAGTTCTTCATTACAGGCCCACTTGTTACCTTGAACATGATGCTGGCCTTTGCTTTAACCAATTCAACCTTCAAGTATGGCCGTACTTTGACACCAACTCCTGAAGACATGGGAGCAACTGCTCGATCACCATTTTTAAATGTATGTGACCATGTTGCGACAGGTTTAGAAGATTGTATGGTAACAGTTGCTGTTTGCACATCTCTGCATCCATTAAGTTCTATGGTCAGTTTTTTCATTCCAGGCCCTTTGTCTTCTGGTGGTGCTGTGCAAGTTATTTTACTACAATGGTTGGTAACTGGACATAGGGTTCCACCAGTTAAGCAGACAGGAGGGCATGTTCCTTCCTTAACGTTTGGCTTTGTCTTATCCGGTTGACATGACTTTGTAACATTTTGATGTTCCTCTTGACGCTCACTGTGATCTTCTCCATGTACTACTTCGACAGCATCTGCAACATTATTAACAGCAAAAGTAATTCCTGGCTGAAAAAAGGACCCGCAACTTATTCTCCTCATGAGCCAGCAACTCCCATACTAACTATTTATAACAAGAACTACCTATAAAAATGCAAAGAAGATGAGTTTTGGTGGGTGATTACAACAGTTGGCCTGGGACAGTTGGACCAAAGCTGGACTCTACAAGGTGACTGTCTGATCATTGTCATCATAAAAAGTGCCTGACATAACTTGAGTTGCATATTATATTTATCAGATGTCATGGAAAGAACAAGTTAACAATGTATTTATAATTGGCAGTGTATATAATATTCAAAAAGACAATACCCCATTACATTAACAAGCTTACCACAAATGGTCATCCCCAAAGGAGCACTTCCACTCAGTAATGTCACATTCACTGGTATTACAACATCAGACATTTTCAAGTTACGAAGTATTTCCACCTAAAAGAGAAAAGAGACAAATGTTGCATGTGCCAAAAGAGCCACTGAAAGAAATACTCATTAAAAGAAATTATTTGTTGTAAGAGAAGGTAAATGTTGAAATTTGATTCACTCTTGCTGAGACATGAACACCAAATTTGATTGATATGGACATCATGTTGTTTGACAAAGCCACTGCAGCTAATAGTTGTCTTTAAAAGCCACACGCCAACAATAATATTTTGTGGGAATAGACCTTATTCGCAATACCCGCCATCTTTGCATGCACTTGAGAAATTATGATGGGAAAAACAAAGTCAAATGGTTTCTCAGGGGGCAAACAAGTGAAAACATTGGCCAATGTAAGAAATACTGGTCGAGTTTGTTTATTCTAGACAAGTTTCATCTTAAAGACAATAAAGGAAAGTTATGGGTGGAAGTGACCATTGCTACTTTTTTGGATGTAGTAGTAACCATAGATGTCCTTACAGCAAACGGTAATGATGTAAATCTTGTCAAGACTTGAACTATGCATTTTGCATGACTATTTATTTTTTGTCTTGGTTTGCAAAAAACAAACTCAACCGAGGTCGCTCATTTTGGCAAATTTTTTTCACTTGTTTTTCCCCTGAAGTAATTGATCTTAATGCACCTACAAAGATGGCGGGTATTGTGAGTACACAGAATGTATATTTGACTTTTTGCCAGAAACATAAAAAATTTTGCCTCTCTGAGAGAGGGTTTTGTGGGAAGAGAAAAAAATTAAATCTAACTTGATTAATGAGTCTGAGACTGGGGTGATAACTCAGTACGTCATAAAAGAGAATAAAAATAACAAGCTGGAATTTTTTCATCCATAAATGCATTATTTTTGGTCTAAATAAAGGAGTAACATTAAATTACAACTAACAATTTTACTGTCATGGGATAGAAATTATTTTGAGGTCTTTACTGTGTAATCCAAGAGCTGCTCTCCATGTTTCCTGAGGCCAACACGCACAAAAAAGGAATCATTAGAAACTGGTATTCCCCCTGTTAACATACTCGGTATCACATCCAGCTTAGCTTTTTCTCCATCTTTCAAAGTTGCTGACCAAGTTAAATTGCTCTCTGGCTGTTTCAATGTGACTGTGGCATTCCATGGCACTTTGCATGTATTCAACTTGAGAATGACTCTTAGCTTTTGAGGGTCTTGCCTTACAACACAGTCTATTTTGCTGCAGTCTCTGCTGTAATCGCAGTGCTTAGCTTCAGGAGCAGGGATGCTTGGAAGAAAGTTAGTTTGAGGGCAATAGCTTGTTGATCCATAATTTCTTCTTTCATTACCTGAAAAATATATAATTTCAATAATTCAGTCCTTGTACTCAGAACAAACAATGGAAGGATTAATGCAAGTAAGGTCAATGAAGAAAAAAAGTAACCTTAGTACATTTTCCTTGTTTTCTCAAAAAAGGAATGAAACATAGTGAATAATTTGCAATGTTTCTACAGACAAATGTGACAAACAGCAACCCTAAACCCTTTAGATTTCAGGCAAGGTGTTCATAATTCTCTTAGAAACATTTTTGAGCAATAATATAAAAAACAATACTGGTGATTTTTTTATTTGATTAAACCAGATAACACTATAATATAATATGCTCTAATGACATCACAAATACTAAAACCCAAGGGGCACTCCCTAATTTGGCCTAACACGTAAGTGCCACTGAAGAGGCCTTCCAAGGGGTAAAAGCGACATGCGACACGGCCCTGAAAACTGGCGACATGGGAATTTTTAAAAAGCGAGAAGTGACATGCCTACGCTGCTAAAATGCGACAGCGACATACTAAACAGTGAAAAACGACGGTGACGTTGGAAAGTTGTGCATTTTATCAATAAAAGTGACTCAGAATACAGGAAATTGCATTTCTGAGGGTTCAGATTTTCCAAATTTTTCTGCAGGAGCCTACCCTTAAAGAACAAGAAGAAGCGTTCATCCTTCGCCGCTCACAAAGTTTTGCCAACTGACCACCATGAAAATCCTGTTATAGCCCTGTTGCGAAACAGTTTCTCGCAAAACAAAAATTACTGGTACAGTTATGTACACTTCAAAAAACGACAGCGACATTTGCAGCTGTAGATTAGGCGACAACGGTCTCCTAAAGCAAGCGACATTGCGACACAGCTACCCCCCTTGGAAGGCCTCACTGAATAGAGTGCGGTTGTTCAGGGTCTTGAGTCTTTTCATATTAAGCGTCTTTAACTGAACAGGGTGCCTTTTTGGCAATGGATGGTGTACATTTTTGGTACAAACGATTCAGTGATGTTAGTTTGCAAAATTGCTTAATTTCTGTATGCAAAAGAAAATTAATTAGGGGCATAATGAAATAAGGTCTCTGGCTTTAAACAGAGGAAGGAGATAAACGATTTTTGTCTTTAACTACCCATACAAACATTTCACTAGAACGATTGAACAGCAAAGTCAACTTTTTGTGTTATGTAAACTAAACTATATACATCTTAGCTTTCTATAATATCTAGATGTAGGAAAAAAAGACTTTAAGAGTATCTTCTTTCGTTGCACCAAACATTACGCTCTGATAACGTCATATTTAAACCACACATTTTTAATTGCAAATTTAATTTAACATTTCTGAAAAGTACGCAATATCCATTCTAACGTTATATAACACCCTGAACTAAAAAGAAGTTACTATAAGGAAATTTTGCCAGAATAAGGAACCGTAACCAAATTATTTAGGTTCACAGAACAATTCAATGCCTCAGTGACATTCAATTGCGTGTGCATGGGGAAAACAAAAAATCATACACGCACGAAAAAATTCCTCATAAATCTGTAAACGAGGTGTAAGCGAGTATCCATTAATTTGAAAAAGAAAAGTAAACCTTACCTTGACCTCTGCCTTGAGAGGCTAGAAAAACGGTTGAAAAAAGGGCAAACCACGCCGCACCTTCCATCGCCATCGGACCATAAAAACCAAGCTCACCAGCGCGAGTGTAATTTGCATCGATTTGCATCAATTTGCATTTGGCGGCGAGCAAAAAACCGCTGGCCCATTTTCTAGCTGGCAAGCAGCCAAAGCTGAATGTAGGTGGGTACCGACCCCCTGGTGGGTACCTGCTAGCTTCTGCGAGCCCAGGCTCCAAGATAGTGGGAAAAAGTCGTTCAGTAGAAATGCGAAAAACGCGCGGTGGCTGGAGAGAGAGAGAGCGCGGTATTGCTTAGTCTCCCACGCAGGCGTTTTTAGGGGAGCTCGTTTTTCATCCCTCCCACCCCTGCTCAACCGAAAACAACATTCCTTTCCCATTGTTTTATTTGCGTGGTAAGTGACTAATCAACAGTTGTGCAATAAAGTGTTGACAGGCTAAACGCGACTAAAACGTAACTCTAGACTACGAGCAGTCTCTCTTTTTTCTGTAGTCCGTCGAGCAAAACGCGAGACACGCAAATGGCCACGCGCGAGACTGATGGCGCGAGATGGGAGAGGCACGAAAAAAGGGACACTACCCGCAAAGCCAGGGAGAATGGTCTTTCACGGTCTAGTGTTTTTTTTAGCGTGAAAACTGAAATCTCCGTATCCAATGAAATTCCGTCTCTCGACGTCCTGTCATTTTACCCTGTCATCGCAACGGTGACCGATTCAATCGGGAAATATGATATTGTTTGACATAAACTCACGCTAAATCACGCCAAATCGAAAACGTATTCGAAGAGGTTTTAGATTGTTATGAGCTAAACTCCAAAGTAAAAACTTCCCGGTAAAGGGAGACCGTCAAAGCAGCCTTCGTGTAACGATTTCGTTTAACGATAAAGTTACTGTTTTCCTTCCTTTCTTTCCTTCGCTAAGGTTATGCAGTGCATGGAGTATTCTAAAATTTGACTAAATCTTATTTTTGCTGCTCTGAATCTAACATTTATAAAAGATGTCAGAAAGCTTTCCCAGTGTTTCTTGCAGATCGAGTAATTATCAGATTACCTTTCGGTCAAGGTCAACTTTCCAGAATTTGGAAAGTACAATGTGATTGGCTAAACATGGGAAAGGAATGTTGTTTTCGGTTGAGCAGGCATTTGTGGGGAGGGATGAAAAACGAGCTCCCCTAAAAACGCCTGCGTGGGAGGCTAATTTTCGCTCTGCTCGTTTTAATACGTCCCCACTATACTATCTGAGAGCCTGGCATAGGCTAGGTACCTGCCGCCGCTGGCACATAGCCGCAACATTTTCAATCTTGATGTAACAGGGAACACAGGGGAAAGAGTTTCATGGGCTCTTGGTCTTGGGTCAGTACATTGTTGGGATTGAAGCTCGATCAAACTGCTGCTTGCAACAAGCTAAAAGGTACTTGAGTGAGGGGAAGGGGGGAAGGTGAATTCCGGGGGTGAATCTCGTAGGCAACTGACGAAAATGCTCGTAGGAAATGGAATTTAGCCCCTCTGGGCGTGGCTTTGCCTTCACTTGACTCCACTGAGCTAAACATGGTATCATCAGTTACCAGAGCTTTATGTGATATGTACCAAAGATGTGGAATGAATTGCGTGATTGCCCAACACAGTATGACAACTGGTATACAGCTATTTTGAGAAAGGTTGTCGGATAAAGTGCACGCGACAACCCCGAAAGGTATTGTGGGCTGTTTTTGAGTTCACTGTTTTTCAAGGAAATTTGAAAGAATGGCACGAGAGGCAACGGACATATGTCTGTGGGTGCTAAAGGAGAGCAACAAAAGTAGGTTCGACAGCTACAGTGTCAGGAACAGTGTATTGATCATATCCCATATTACCTTTCGGGATTGACGCGTGCACACTTTTTACGACAACCTTTCTCGAAATAGCTGTATTCAAAACAACCCCAAGCGATATCTCTAAGGGTAAAAATACAACAGCTTTCCGCCCTGAATACCCTAAGCGAGACCAAATTCTGCAAGCATTCCACGGCTGTTTCATACAAGAATCCTCCCAGGAGAGGTCAGGACCGAGACCCCTAAAACGACAAGAAAAAAGTCCAGTTAATTTTTGATGAAAAAAAGACGAGGGTTTGACGGATGAGATGGAAATCCCGAGTAAAGGTCTCCCCTTTATACCCCGTACGAAAAAGGAGGAAATGCTCGTCGTCTCGCGTAGGAAGAAAAAATTTAAAATTTTGGCCTCACGCGTTAAATCACTACTGACAGCTTTTAATCGTTTCTTTTGTTGTTGTTGTTCTTTTTATTTTTAGGGAATCGTGGTCTTATTTTAGACGGCATTATTTCTAATTTTCTGAGGAGTATTCCCGTACCAGTCGTATCTTCCATATGGCAGTCATTTTCCCCCGGGGGGTTGGGAGGGGGGTCACCGTATAGGAGATATGTACACTCCCTTATTTAAAGAATATTACACTTGTCTAGTCCCTGTAAGTCAATGTACGGTGTGTTTCCATGCCTTCTCGGTAATTTTTTTTTCGATGACGCACCCAAGGCCGAGAAAATCACGTGATCCTAAAGAACAAATGAGGCCTAGATTGACCTGGAGAAGAACTACACATAAAACCAAGACTGGCGAAAACATCTTTCTGTTTGCATATGCTAACGGTACGGTAGTCGAGACATGCGTTTCAGAGGGGTTTCGTCAGATAGGCGGTTTAAAAGTCTCCGGGTACAGTGCTCGGGCGGAGCGTTTCTTTGCAAACTGCAGTGGTTTTGAGATTAACCTGAGATCAATTTTCGTTTCGCTTTGGAAATTTACATTCGGCAGGCGAGCAAACCAAAATAGATTTTGGCGGTAGCGTAAGAGGAAAGTATGAGAACCGCTGGCCTGATCTCAGGTTATCTTGAGATAGACTTAGTAGCGATCTTCCTACAACATAAGTTATGTTATAAAGAGACAATATCGTGAAAAATTATTTCGATTATGTACAGGAGTTTTAATTATTCCACACTGGAATAACAAATACTACAAAAATTACTATATTAACTTTTACAAAATGATAATTTCATAAGGAAAGATTACAAAACAATCAATAACGCATATTTATGATATATTAATTATCATATTAATTGAGCTCAACTTTTTTTTGCCAAGTCAGATAGATAATGAATACAAAGTGACTGTTGACTGGTGATGAGTGCCGTTTGGAAGATAAAATGACCGTTGAATAAGGTAGGAACATTAAAATACGATTATAGATTTCATCCTTACCACTTGCAGTTGGGACCAATGTAGGAATAAAACAAGAATAAAGCAGGAAATTTTTCAATACTTTTTCAACGGACCAATTTTAAAATTTTACAGTTTAGGACCGATAAGAATCCATCATCATCATCATCATCAACATCATCATCACCATCATCATCATCATCATCATCATTATTATTATTATTATTTTTTAATTAACAATAGAGAATGGGTTTGCTCATTCTTCTTGCTATTAATAATAATATAACCTTATCTTGTGCATTATAATTTACACAGGCGTCAGTGTATCAATTGCATCACGTATTCACTGTTATTCTCAGTTCCTTCATGTTGTCTCCGGCCGCAGTCTAGGTGCCTGTTCGCTTTGCATGTGGATGCGCTTTCATTTGTGCATGATTTCACGTGATGCGCATCGTTGTCGTTCTATGGTTCTTATGATTAAATTGACAGGCTTACCGACTCTCGCCGTGTCCCTCGTGACACCTTAGGTTTACCTGACTTTTCTTGTCAGGAGAGGTGCAAATGGATGCTATTCTCCTCTGTAACCCTTCCTTTCTCTTTGAATGATAATAAAGCTTAGTGAGTTGAAATCTAATAAAAACTGAGTATAATTAGATGCTGGAAATAAACATTGCTAAATATTTCACTGAAGTTCTTTCAGGGTACATATCTTCTCAAAAAGTGCAAAAATAATTATAGCTCGTTTTTTACATGCGATAAGATAACAGATAGCTTTATACAGTTAGTATTTTGTACTTATCTTTAAAGTAAAGTGAACCATCCGTAATATAATAAGGAACTTTAAAAATTAATTATTTTCTATTTTTGTAAGTTAAAAACTCCTCTAATGTCGTCAGTTGATATATGTACGCACATCTCCTGCCAGGGGTCCATGCCTCTCTGTTTCCTGTTTAGCTCGAAAATTAAAAATGAGGATGAAATCAAATTTGAAAGGCGATTATTTCCTTCGTTAACTTTGTAACAAAAATCTGATTTCCTTCTCCAAAAGAAAGACCATTTTGACGACATCTTTCGCATCTAACTATTCTCTCTTCTATGAGTCCAATACTTAATAAAAATTAAAGATATAGGGCATGTGGGTGAAGCAGACAATGTGGGTGGCAGCAGGTCCTCGAACTTATGCCTCGTTGACCAGCTGTTGCATTGGCACCTTACTTTGAGTTGAGAGGATCTGGGGGCTTATGAGTTGGCAGGTTAACCTGAAATGCGCAGGCGCACGGCGCTTACAATTCACATTCCATGTTGTGTTAGCAAGAATGAACAAAAAGATGAAGCCCAGGATTGGACCAGCGATCGTCAGCATCTTAATGTAACGTGGCTGTCTGTTGTACCAAGCGCTGAAACCTAAAAAAGGCATATTGAAAAGTTGGTTTCGTTTTTCATGTTGTTGAAATCAAAGTGCCTTGTTATTATTTCTGAAACATTCACCTTCGATGCCTATGCTGTTTAGAGGGTTCTCCCTTTCCTTTCTCTACCATTTTTTTTTTTGGGGGAGAGATTTAATGAACTTTTTTACGACCGGACTTGCTAATATGATCACATTGGTTCTGGTTAGAGACATGCTATTTCATTCCTTACCGCAATATTTGGAAGAAAGTGGAATTTCTCCTTCCAGAAGGTTAGCATCGAATGGATGATCCTTTGAGTGCAGCAGGGGTATATTGGCATTGCCCATCAACTCCAGCTAAAATGAATATATCCTCAGAGGTTAATATGTGCTCAGGTAGATTCTGATAATAAAACGTCTTCAAATTGTCTCTCTCTCTCTACCCAGTTTGTTATATGGATACTAACGCGGACATACTGCTAAGCGATCCCCGGCCTGGGGTGAGGGGTTGAAGGTTTTTTAAGTTGCTTCGTGCTTTGGAAATGGACACTCCACCCGCCGCCATGTTTGTTTCACTTCGTGGGGCTAAAATATTGAAAAAAATGGTTTATACCATCTTTTTATTCAGTTATTATTTTGATTCATTATATCGTTATATCGTTTAATGAGGCACAGCACGTAGGGCATTCATTGAAGAAACGCACTGGCCTGGTTTTAGTTGTATACGGACGTAGATGAGCCAATAAGACGAGAAAAATACCTTGAAGTGCAGTTTTTCTCCATTTCTCTTCAGTCCAACTGAGGCAAACAGAAACTTTGTATGAGTTTAATCCTTCAGTGATGGTATGGTCTTCTGGGAGTTTTATTACTTCACCATCCTGAAAGTGTGCGACCAATCAACGACAAACCCCGGGTGATTAAATGTCACTGTAGCGGTCAGCGATCCTTGCATCTGTTCGCTGAAAACGATCGTGGCATGCCTTCCTTGCACCTTCATCGCACGTGATTTTGCTGCAGAGATCGCTGACATCACATCTGCCACCGAGTCCGGGAGGAAGATCTATTATTGGGCATTTATTGCCACTATCACCACTCTCATCATTACCGTAATCTTCTTCGTAATCGTACGGGTCTTGGTAATCGTGGTCTTTCTTTGCAACTAACGTTGGAAGAAAGAGACAGTGGGATTTTCAACTGTGTAGGTGTGTGTAAGACACATAAAAAAATCAGTTTTATCAAGACATCGGGCTATGTTGCGTCAAGGTCCTACAATTCGTTTCATAATTTGGACGGTAAATGGCAAATCTAATCAAATATATAGTTAGTTCAATTGCTGGTTTGCACATGTCGTCACGGCAGCCGTGTTGATAGACAAAAATAAAAGCATTTCTCTTATCTGGGAACTAAACTCTATTTTCATGTATATTTCTATTGTATTGAACCCCAACATGTCTGAGTGTTATAGGGGTCCAAAAGAAAAGCAAAACAAAACAAAAAACACTATACTGTATTGAACATCGGAGGTGAAGGATTCACTTATCCTCTCTTGGTTTCAGTGTTCGGGACTACCATAAATCAATCTTGGTTCGTCATAACTCGCTTGATGAATTTTGGCGGAAAGGATAGCGGGACACATTTTGTCCGCCATTCTTCTCGTTCCCATAATGCCTTGCCTTTGCTTGCTCCATAATAATTAATAGGCCATTTCCGAGTTGCGGCCAGCCTCTGTCTGAAATGCGAGGTTAAGTGCGAATCTACTGATATGAAAATGATATTTTTATTTACAACTTATTTTAACAAAAAAAGGTTTTGCAGTTGGCCTTGGTTTGAAAAAGAGGGTTTCTGGAACTCGGAAATGGCCCTTTATCGCTGGTCTCACGCGATATCTCGAACCTACTGTAAAATGAGCTGGACTCCTTCGTAATGAAAGAGCACATGCATGATCTGCTTTACTGAACTTGAAGTAACAAGCATGCGAGCCGATACGTAACTGTTTGCTAGACGTTCTACTATAGCAACACGTACCGCAAGTAACTTTAGGTATTTTATTATTGCTGGTCGTTTTATGGAGCTTTAGAACGCGTAGTTGTAGCAGCAACAACAACAAATAACAACAAGGCAGCAACAACGAAACTAAAGGGTGGAATAATGCGCTCGTCACACATCAGCAAAAAAGCGACCAGGCACATGTACAGATCCCAGCTTTGTTCAATATATTTGCTGCTGGAGAATACTTGTAGCAGGCTAAGCTTGGTATGCAACGTACAGCTAATGCGTACAGCAGGTTACCACTATTCACAAAAACTAACATGTGAGAAGCGTAATCACCTGTTCACATGTTAGACTTAATTTACATTTCAAAGTTAATCTCGGGAGGCCTCCTTCTTTATGCAGTTGTTTCTTCAAATCCTGAATTGTAATTTATTATTTTTGTGAAAAGTGTAATATTTTATAAGGACAGCATCATTCATACGATGTTACAACATAAGAGGATGAATATTTCATGAAAAACAAACTTTTGTTTAAATATTTGCTGGCGCAATTCAAAAGCTCGTAAAATATAAGTTCTGCTCGAACTTTCGCATATAGAATAATACATGTAACACCTTCCAAATAATGCAAAAAATTCCATTTAACACCAAGATTTTGAGAAATACAGGCCCTCAAGTTTCAAAAAAAGGCGCGAGCAAGTAGCTTTGGAAAAACATAGGCAGAGTCATTTAAAATTTATGTCCTCACAAAAGACAATAAATTTTAAACGAGAAGAAATTTTCGTTTGGCGCTGTACAGTGGATATGGTTTCAAATCAAATGACTTTTCAATGATTGTTTGAAACCTAAACAATAAAATTTCAGGCGCCATGGAAGTTTTAGAGTTTTTTCGTCCGTGATTTTACAGGAAAACGTTCAATATTTCCCCAATATCAGCTCGCAGCCCGCATCACATATTATTCAAGAGTGCCTTTCATAAATACTACTTGCGTCGTTGAAATTGGGTGTAGTCAGTGATCTAAATAACAAACCTCAAAGCCTTAGTTTACAATGAATCCCTCCTCCGAAAAGGAAAACATACTTCTAGGTACCAGAGTAAAACAGAACTCATTGCTAAAATCCGACAAAGCCTGTCGCCTTCCACATTTGCGAGCCACAGTTCAATGACAAACGTGAATAAATTTCTAGTACCATAAGAGGCCATGTTCTTATAGAGCTTACATCCAATTAATTATATAATTAAAACTCGGTTTTTGACTGAAAAACGTACCTATAACAGAGGAAAGAATGCAGAAGACCGCAAAACCAATCGACAACTTGGGCGACATTGTGCCAAACTTACACAGCAAACCCATCGAGATTGCTTTGCTTAAATATTCAGATCCGAGAAATTTGAATATTCATGCAATTGATATTACATGCGGTCATGTTTATTTTTGAAATTCGTTATGGTTACTGATTACATAAAAATGCGTTTTGTGATCTGATGAGAGATTTTCTTATAATGCACAAAATATTCTTATATAGCCAACACTTTGCTTAACGAACGATATTTTTGTTATATTCCCTGATACAGTGTACACTTTTCAGTTGCGGGGTTGTACACATGTACATGGAATTTAGAGTAAAACTTTCGATTGGATTTTTGTTTGTTATTTAATTTGTTTTGTCTTTTTCGCAAAGTATAGTTAAATATTTCGTCTTGTTTTGAATATTAAGGCCTGTCTTTTTAACGGAGATACCAGGATATCACAAGGTTAGGTCATCATAATATCATTCAAGATTTGCTTGTTTTTGTTAAGTCTCTTCACCATAAAGGGATTGAGCGCTAAAAGAATTTTATTACACTGTGCTTTCGTACATTGCTTCAATAAACTTTATTCACTTCATAGACAAAAAAATACTAATACCGACAACACTGGATTAAATAATCATACTATCATTTACACATGTCGTGATTAATTCCCCTAAATAATTAGTTTTTAAAAACTAAGCGGATAAATATCATTGTCGAAAAAACAAATTATGCTTACAAGTAGTGACACTGATCCTTGGACGACGATGATGTCACCAGTAGTCACCAAGCCACTAGTGACAACACAGGCAGCCCAAGCTCGAAATATGAGCATCGGCGAGCATCGGCATTGTTGCGTAACATTCAAAATATAAGGATTTGTATGGAAAAAAAACCTATCGTTTCCGTAACCTACGAAAATGAAAGGATTTCCAGCTTATCTTACTTAAAATGTGTGTTACGTCTCTCCTGTGTGGTCCACGGGCCGATTTATGGCCGTTTTATGGGTTTTTATGTAAACGGTTTGAACCACACAGGAGAGACGTAACGCACAGTTTAAGTGAGGTAAGCTGTTTTTTTATTGAAATCCTTTCATTTTCGTAGGTTTCAGAAACGATAGGTTTTTTTTCCCATACAAATCCTTATATTTTGAATGTTACGCAACAATTTCGAGCTTGGGCTACCTGTGGTGACAATCACGGATTAAGTTTCCCCATGCTGCTTAGTTAACAGAAGCCATATGAATTTTTTCAACCGCCGAATTAATTACTTTAAATATCAGAAATTATGGGCGTATGAATGTACATAGGAACGATCCGTATTTTTCTCCTTTAAATGATGATCAGCGACCTGCGAAAGAGTGAAAAGCAGTTAGTCAATTAGAATAGACAAAAGGAGTGATCGACTCTTTAGAGGCGAAATACTGGCCACATTCCTTACTAACTACCATTTACAGTTCAGGATGACTCCAGCCTTATGTTGATCACTGCTAAACTGCTTGTTGCGGTAAGATAATCTACTGTACCACAAATATCGGCAAACCTCAAGTCGCTTTCCTCTTTGCTGTTTTGTTATTTATGTCTATATTACTGTACCACAACCTAACGGCATGCACGACAAGCGCATTTTCAAGGGTACAATATTTAACGCATTGCATTTACTTTGGACTGTTCTCGTAACTAATACACCTTTCTAGTTTAGTAACTGTGCTGACATTGTGGGTGGCTTCTTCAATCGGTTGTGGTAATGCGCATTAGATCATATATTTGAATGCTATTTTGCGCCTAATAAATAATAAATTATCATGATGAAAACACTGATTTTAGGCATCCTTCGCAGTGATACACAGTTGCGACTTAAAGATATTCAGTCCAGCAACAACAACTTGCCGTCTGTCGTCTTTGAATTAAACTGAGATCAAGCCCGTCCCGTGAGGAATTGTGGGAAAGATGCCCTCCTCAACCTTTGTGCATCCTCCTTTTTCTTCGCGGGGTGGGGTGAGGGGTTTTTCGGTAGGGAAGTGTCGGGGGGTGAAAAAAACCTTAACATCGGTGATTATAAAATGAATCTTAACCTTTTTCTGCGGCAGGGTCTACAGCAGCAACAACAACAACAACAGCAGTTAAACCCTGTGATGATTGACAGCACCAGCAACAGGAACACCAACACTAGCACTATGCGCACAGCGGTGTTACGCGCTTCCCACCAGCGAACAAATCCTACCGACAAAAAAAAAAAGAAAAAATGTGAAATGGGTCAAAATGATAAGGCGAAGATTTGTTAGCCTGGGAAAACAGCCGACATTTTGCGACGCCACCCGCCACTAGTTTCCCCTGGGAAAACGACGTCTGAGGAACGACTGCAGAAATTCCATACTGATGACGCGTCACTACCCAGATCTGGGTAGTGCTTCTGATTGGTTGTGCTGCGTGGGAAAATTGCTTCAGCCAATCAGGAGCACTACCCAGATCTAAGTAGCGACGAGTCATCTCTGCGCTCGTTTCTCAAAATGTCTTCTGTTTACTCACGCCAGGATTTGTGGCTGGGTTTTGTCTCCCCCCACCTGCCTTAGCTATACGCCTTTCAAGTAAGCTAAATGGTGAGATGTCAAAATCGTACGGAATCTTACATCGCTGGAAGTATGTATTTCTTTACCACTTGCTACATAAACAAGACTGAATCATTGTATGAAGTCACTTATTTTCCACGCAAAGTTTCTGCTCCAAACAAACCTCGTTCCCAGTATGTCGTTTCCTCCGGTCCGTTCGCGCTCTCACTCCTCTCAGAAGAGAGATACTGGAAACGAGGTTTGTTGGCTTGAGTGATGAGCCATTAGTACATTACAACGCGAAAAAGACAAAATTTAAGGATGTAACAATTTCTGCGGGTATTTTTACTTACCACAGTAGGCTGTGGAAATGGGCAGCTTTTGAGTCACAATGGTCATCTTCAAAGGAAAGAATGTTACTGAACCGACTTTAGTTCCTCCTTCTAGAATAACCTGGATAATAAGATTAGGAAAACATAGACATCTACAGCAGTTAGCACCGCTAAATGTACTTTCGGTCACGTCCATCAAGTGTTTACCAACGCCCTCTCTTTCTCACACTATGAACATGGACTAAAGTTACAACACGTGTCTTGTGGATGTAAAAGGGACAGATGGCGTTGAAGAAACGTAAAACTCATTCAAGTTAGCTGTGTAATGTCAAACTTAGAAAAACTATAGCGTAGCTGCAACGCAATTTTGAAACCTTCTTCCACATTGGATGCTTTATGATGGAATAACGGCTATGTAAAGTGTAGGGAATGCAAATCCAGGAGCTGTGAACGCAGATTTCGACAGATTATCTCGCTCAAACAGATTTTCCGTATCTCTCGTTCAGTAAGTCAAAAATACATATTCCAGATTTCCAGCGCATTTGAAATGTTTGCAGGTAACTGCTACCTGGAATACTTATTGGTGTGTTTCTTAAAAGCCGATTTTGATGAACTTTTCAGTTTCTGCCCCTTCCCTCTAACCCCTTCGACACGGCTACATCATAATAGGGCCATTTATACGAGGAAAAATAAGACGCGAACTGTACCATTTATACGAGCATGTCTTATCTGATAAGACGCGTCTTAGCTAAGCCGCGTCTTATTTTAGACGAAAGGTGCCGTTTATACGGAAAGTTCGTGTCTTATTTAAGACGCGTCTTATTTTTCCTCGTATAAATGGCCCTAATAAGTAACCAATCACAAACCTTTACTGTCAGTATGTTATCATCAGGTTCCAGCTTCACTCTAATAAACAAACCAGCCTTAGCGACTCCTTTCACATCTATGCCCAGTCCCGGCACGGCCAGCTCGTCCCCGGATGTAAACACGTGTGTCCAATCCACGTCATCTCCTTTCACTTTCACATTTATCGTCACGGTGACCGGTTCATCACACCTAGAGTGTCAATAACGCATGCGCAAAACTTGGTTTTGATATAAACTTCCGGTATAGCAGGCAATTAGACCCATTATTACACGAGTGCCTAATAGGAAAATATAGTTAAGACTGTGAAAACATAAATACTTCATGGACATGCCATTTTATACTAGAAGTAAGTATCTCAAAATTATTTTTAATCTGTCCAAAAAAATCAAATCAACCTATCCTGCAGTGCAAGCGTTTCCCTCGGGCGCGCGAGTGTTTTGCTCGCAAAAGCGCCACGTTGAAACTCGAAGAGAGAGGACAAAATGGGGCGAGTCAAAAGGAGAGGGGTTGGGGGCGGGAAGAGAGAAGAGATTGGGGTTGGGGTTGGCTTCCCTCCCCCTCCCCCTTTTCTTCTTTCACCCTAACACCTACACTAAGGGTTACTATTTTTACTCTCCCTCTCCCTTCCTACGTCATAACATCAAAGATTTCGGCGGTTTCAACAGTGCGACCATAAACAACCAGCTTTCGCCGGCCCAAATTACGCCTGCACTGCAAACTAAAAACTACTATATTTCATTACCTGTTGACCTTTACTGTCAAAGTTATGGTTTTCCCGCCAAAGTGCGCGTTACATGTGATCTTGAGGCAGTCGGAAGTGATGGTGCAGTCGCCTGGTAAATCCGTATCTTGACATTTGTCATTTCCCGCCAAAGAGTTCGAGATAATCTCAAAAAGTTCATCTAACTTTTTGGTAGCAGAGTCTGTTAGATCATAAAAGCTCAAAGTTAAGTAGCCTGCGTTAGAGTTGATTTCCACTGTCACGTAATTTTTACGTGCGTACGTGCGCAAAAGTTACGTTCGCAAATAAAATAAAGGCATTATATGAAAGGTCGCAAGTAAGCGTAAAAGTAGAACCTCCCTCAACTTCAATCGCAACACTTACGGTAATATCTTGCCTCTATTTTACTTACGTGATTAAAATTTACGTGCGTTAACGTGCGTAGCCAAAAATGCGTCAGTGCAAATCCTTTTGATAGATTTGACCTCACCCCCCCCCCTTCTATCCCGATAAATGTGAGCCACTGAAACGGAACTTTTTCACAAAACACTGCAAAGCCTGAATTTCAGCCGTCTCACAACCCTTTGTGTGACTTAAAAAAACGCATTAAGGGAGCTGTTAAAATTCATAGCTTAATCTGCAGGCGGATAAGGCGAAGCGGATCCTGTGTTCTGATTGGCTACCCAAGCTGGCTTGTTCTCGCTAGTCATTCGCGTTTCGAGTATTAGTAATCCAAGTAGGCGAGGAGCTTCTGAGTTTACGTCTTTAAGAAGTGCGTGTTGATCACACACCTCAAAAAATACCTTGTTCCAAGCCCATAGTTTTGAAGATAGAGACAACATGAAAAGGTGCAGAAGAAATGTCCCGCTGGAAATTTGTTTTGTTGAAACTCTTGTAGTTTCTGGTTTTAATTATTTTCGCATGAGGTCGTTCATTCAATACACGTATGAGGGGAAACAAGACTTTTCTGGCTTTTCTGGCTTTTCTGCTTCGTGCCCGGGGGCTAAACAACCAGTGACGGATCCAGAGGCGTTCACAGATAGAAAAACTCGTGGTCGTCTGCGTGAGAAGTAATTTGCCACAAAAAAGTTCAACACTCATTTCTGAACCAAAGTTTGGACTTCCCCAATCAATATTTCCGGGACTGATCCGCCGCTGACAACTAATAATTTATATGCAGACTAAACTACAAGTGGCTATCCTTTCCCCCAAATGAAAGATCCCTTGACAAAAAGGCAAGCAAGCTTTTCACGCAAATACGCGCTTTGGACTCGCTATTTGTAACAACAATGTTTGCGAGCCGGCTGGGGTCTTGAAGGGTGCTAATAATGAATCACGTTTTGACTTTCAAACGCCAAACGTTTCGCAAACTGCGCTATCTTTCCGTCCGCCAAGCCACGAAATTTAATTAAAAGCAGAGTTACTTAACGTTATTTTGAAATCTAAAAATTTACCTTCATCGTGAGAGGCGCTGCTTCTCCAAGCAAGACATCCTAAGACAAAAATCACTCCGACTAAATGTTTCACGGCCATTATTTTTTATAGCTCTCTTCAACTTTCATGTGACAGCGATCAAATTTCTGACTTTGGTCTGTAGTGTTACTGGTAAATTTTTAACTCTATGAAACCACAGGTAGCCCAAGCTCGAAATATGAGCATCGGCGAGCATCGGCATTGTTGCGTAACATTCAAAATATAATGATTTGTATGGGAAAAAAACCTATCGTTTCTGTAACCTACGAAAATGAAAGGATTTCAAAAAAAAACAGCTTACCTTACTTAAAATGTGTGTTACGTCTCTCCTGTGTGGTCAATGGGCCGATTTATGGCCGTTTTAAGGTTTTTATGTAAACGATTTTCTCTCTGTTTACAGAGAGACGTAGCACACATTTTAAGTAAGGTAAGCTGTTTTTTATTGAAATCCTTCCATTTTCGTAGGTTACAGAAACGATAGGTTTTTTTTCCCATACAAATCCTTATATTTTGAATGCTACGCAACAATGCCGATGCTCGCCGATGCTTATATTTCGAGCTTGGGCTACCTGTGATGAAACTTTCCGCTATAAAAGAAAAAGCTATTTTTCTTGACCGCCGCCTGAGACAGGTTATTTATCCACAAAAAATACATCTGATTTGACCCTGGAAGTGTTCGGGTCAGGGAAATAAATAAGAATGGTAAATAAGTGAAATGGAATAATAATTTGAGATACAGAGTGAAGTCAGTTAATGTTTTTGCATTTACAAACAAATTAAAGTTGGTAATGAAAAGTCATGAACTTGAACTCTGGATAGCTTCTTTTAACAACATGCAACTTGATCACAGTACAGAGTTACCGCTGAATGTTGATCGTTAACAAAAATTGCGCAATTTTCACACCCTCTATTTAGCGGAATTGGGAAGGTCCCAAAGGTGTCCGCCTTTAATAGAGGTTTCATTGTATTTCAAATACACCAGGAGCCGCGTACAAAACAAGGAAAAAACTTTGGAAATCTTGCAGCGGTGAAGAATAAGAAAGCACTTTGGTTTGAAGCCTGTGCGTTCAAACTTCGTTTGTGAAAAGGCATTGGGGGAGAAGCCCGAATAAAAAGAAAAAAGAAGAAGAAAAGAACACGATGGCGCCCTTCACCTTTAAAAAACAGCTAAAACCACGGGACAATTTGACACTGTAGGATGGTGGGATACTGATTGGTTTACATGACGGACAGTTTGCTTTGACCCTGGGGAAAGCCCTTCCTTACATTTTCTCTAAAGACCTTTAAAGCTTAATACGGACACCCAGTTAATAAGGACACTTTTTACGGCCCCATCAGTGTCCGTATTAACAGGGTTTCATTGTGGTTCATTTATTTTTGCAAGCGCAAGTTACACTGTCAGGCGCGGATCTAGGATAAATACTGACTGATTTCCTAAACGAGCGCCGAAGACGCAAGCTTCTAGAGGGTCCAGTGGCAGGCTCCCCAGGGGAGTTTTTGGATTTTTAACTCCTTTAAGTCCTCTTTCCTGCATCGGTTTCCGAGTCATTTAGACAGGATATTGGCCAGAGTTCATTTTGGAAAGTGTTTTATTTAATTTTTGTTGAAAATATATTTATTATGAAAAATCTGACCGATTTCCGTAAAACGCTCAAAATTCCTTCCAGTCTAGAAACTCTTTAAAATTTCCTACATTTGACGAAGAATGAAGAATACACTGTAATTTGCTATTCTCATGCAGGATCCTCGTTAACACGCAGGAGGGTGTAATAAGGAGCGTTCAATTTTAACTCAACGACTCCATGACGCCGTCTTATTATCCAAAAATACTTTTGCGTTAAAAAAATGTATAAATCGAAAATAAGTTGATCATGCGAAGTCAGCCGACCGTCTTAATGCATCATTAGTTAATATGCATGGGTATAAACAACACCTTTCTGACGGCACTTAATGGTAAAAGAAAACGTATTTTTTTGTTTTGTCCGTCATTGTTACTCCAAGTAAAGGAGCCTGTCTAGAAATATCGTCTGGAATTGTCTATTACTAACATTTATTGCAGGAAATGAATTGATTAATCACTAGAATCAATGAAACTTGTCATCAGCTTAAAAACCCTGGCAGCTAGATAAATACATTAAAATTGACCTCAAACGATCCAGACCACACTGTCCACACTTTCTCACTGCAGTCAGCTGAACTGTCATCCCGCAATTTCACCAAAGCAATTCAGAACTGCTGCGGGCGATAAGATGATTAGCTTAACAGCAGCGGTCTTTACCTTCATTATTTTCAGCTGTTCCTCTGCCACAGATCCAGGGATTCAACTTAATATTTATTCCCAGGAAGAAGTCAGTGGGTGTTATGTTTATAATCAGACACTGGGCGTCTGCTTTGATGTAAAGAACGGTTCAATAAAACTGACGCGGAAAAGCACTGGAACTGTACTAGCCATCTTTCAAGATCTGGGCCAAAATATTACTTTGTATCAAGTTTTGGACAAGCCTTTCATCAGGTACGTCACGTACTAAACATGGTTAAGTTCAGTTGCAGGTTCGGCCACTGACTTCAACGATTTCCTCATTCCGCGAATCCAACATGACTCTTAAGTTCAAATTTGATCAGGGATCCGAGGTTCAGAGGTTTGTTAGACCGGGAGGACTGCTTTTTTTACCGTTGTAAAAGAAAACTAATTTACTTTAATTTTGTGGGAAAAGTTTGGCGCGATGGTACATTGAAACCACCACCCATATGACCTAATGGTAATGCCACATGTGTGTTTGTTCTCCCCCTTTCCCCTCTCCTTGAAAGCCAGTATTTCTTAAATCAATTTTATACGCAGAACATGGTCGACGAAGAGCCACCTTGTGGATGTGTTACCACTAAAATGATTTCTTTATGTTCATCAGTGGTTAACGTATAGCAATCTTGTAATCTGGGCGTCGAATCATTGCCGTTTCACGACATTTCTTCACAAGCCTTGCTTCGCTTTGTCTCAGTGAGTCACCAACTCAGAGGCGAATAAAGATGAAGTGCTGGCGGCAGGTAGCGTCCAGAGAGGCGAAACAACACTATCAGATTTATATACACCTTGGATAAGTTCCGCTGTTTGGGGGCTTGTGTTCGCACTAAATCCCGTTGTTCAGCAGTGGCGCTTCTTTTCTCACAAATCAGTTTGAAATGCAATGGGCTTGACGTTGTGGCTACACAGGGTGATTTATTCAAAATTCAAGACTTAGAAAAAGAAAAAGCCAAGAAGAGCGTCGAAAAGATAGATAGATAGAGTTCAAAAGAGACATACACAAATATAACAACATTCAACGTACAAAAAACTTACAGAACTTCAATTAGGGAATAAACAATCACTCAAGCAAAGTGCAAAGTTCTTGGCGCCCTTATTATTTTCTGATTAAAAGACATGAATGCCAGTGCAATTAGCTCTCCCTAGATATTTTAACACGTCTCTTTCATTTTCGACGACATGTTCAAGATGTAGCGATGGTTACCATAGGTTTCGAATTAAGAAACAGAATGGGTTGGTTCTCAGACCCAGGGTGGTACGATTCAAGCTCAATATACAGAAAAGAGAGGCAATGATTTAGCATTAAGTGAAATATTTAGACGAGAAAAACAGGTACACTTTAGCAAAATTATATTTTTTTTTTTAGTTTTTCTCTTCTAAAATAAACAATGAGCCATAATGGGAGAGAATCGGAAAGCTAATTATAAGAATCCCTAGGAATTCCAGCTTGAAATCAATGGACATTTAAACATGCATGTTTGTCTGGTTTAAAACATCCTGCAGCTAAAATCAATTATGACTAAGTTACTGGGGTTTATCTTTCCACAGATCAGGTCCCTTAATGGTTTATCTGCCTGATTATGTCCTGAGGGAATCGGATCACATGAGAGATTTCGCACAGGGGATCACTTCCCAGAGTGCAAATGGGCCAGACCCGTTGTTCTGGAGCCAATACAAGGAAGCCTTGCGCGCTCTTCGCAAGATCCCGGAGCTCTTGCTGATTGACCGGGCAGCCACAGCGTTGAGAGACAACAGCAGATTGCTGGAGATTCTCTCGCCTTTTTATGGCCTTCTTTACAACCTGCTGATGACGTCAGGGGTAGAGATACCACCAGAGCTTCAAGCGCCTGACATGGCAGATGAGACTGCTGACCAGTATGGAGCAAAAGAGACGCGCTGCTCGCAACCCACGGAGCATGACTGCCGTGGTATGTGCGGTGCAGGATGCAACTGTTGGAAGTGGGTCTGTGGCGATTGCTGTTTCCACCAATCCTGTTACGAGCATGACCTGTGCTGTAAGCATGCACCCTGGAGTTCGTATTGCCTCCTACCTTTTGGCATATTTGACGGGCTTCGCATATCATGTGAAAGATTCAACGATTACGAAGCATGCCTCAAGACCACTTCATCATTTTCCTCGTGGTTTCAGGGATGGAAATAATCCGCCAATGTTAAGGCAACCAGTCGACAGTAGACAAGAAAAATTGATCTTTCACTCCTAAATAGCCACAGTTAAGTTGACTTAAAATACCAAATGCCATTTTGCAAAATACTGTAGAACCCAAAGGGCTGCTGAAGAGGTTTTATTTAAACGATCACAAATTAAGAAAAATTTTTGTTTGTGGAACCCGAAATCCTGAGCTTTGAAGTCCTGAATACAGCAGAGCTCAAGGAATCCGGAATTCCACTAACGATTGCAATCCGAAATCAAGTACCTGGATTCCGGAATCCAAGACTGTCTTGGATTTATTTTACATGGGGCGACAAAAAAAAGAGACTTAAGGAGTGTGAAGGTGAATTCTTCTGTTAGGGTTTTTCGAAACTGTAAGAATTACTTTATTCAAGATAAGGTTTGTTCCTTACGATCAGACCAAAGACACTTTCCTTTAATATTAGCTCATGGGTCTCAATGTAATTTTACCACGGCGGGAAGAGTTTTGTTTAAAATGAATCACTCTACATGTACAAGAGCAATAATGGCATAATGACATGTACCGTGTTTAGTAACAAAGAAGGGAAATAAAGTTTCAGGTTAATGCTTGCTATGGGAATAACATCAACGTCTTTTTTAAAAGCTTGTAACGCCTAGAAAAAGATCGAATGTCGAGTGCACACAGTTAATTTCTATGTTGTCTAATTTATTGTATTTGATAGTTGCTAATTTACCTTCGAATTCGTACTACATATGTACAAAAATTTTCGTATAATAAGCAATGTAGGACCCCCCCAAAAGAATAAGTTGCAATCGTTACAACATAGGGCTACAGGCCGCCAAAATTTAATGCAGGTGCATGTAGGTAGAGACGGTTCGTTCAACCAAGACAGAAAGTTAAAACTTTCTGCAAGGAGAATGGGAGTGGATCTTTCAAAGACGCAAACGACATGACGACATGACTGCTTCAAAAGTGGATTGACGTAATCCCGGTGCACCCCCACCCCAACCCCCACCCTCTCCAAAAATTAAATATCTCGGGGTTGAAGTCCGGCTTTGACCGCTACTGCAGTAGTCATAGTTACACAAGATTTGAGTTCATGGCTCTGACCCTTGGCCATACAGCCATATGATCTGCCTTCCGACAGCTAGGGTTTCCCATTTAATTTGCTCAATTTCCAATTCGTTTTCTAATTTGACCGGGGATAGCCGTGATTTTGCTGGATAACTAAGCGACAACTCCTTGATATCTAACTGCTCGTCCACTGTCAAACAAATTCATCTCATTTAACGCATCCAGTCTAGATAAATGTCGTCTTCTCGCTAACAAGATCATCATCGAAGTCTGAATCATTCGCTTGGAACACATCATCATTCCAATCAACTGCGCCACGTGTGTACTGTTCCATTTCTAGTCGCTCATATGACATGCCTTCCACGCCCTCGAACCCAGTCTCCTCTAAGCTCTCTGGCAGTGGTTTATTCAGGGTCTCTGGTAAAATCAGGCTGAGTAACCCAGCAGAAAATGAACACATCCCGAATATCATCATGGGAAGGGGGCGTGTGTAGATTCCCTAAAATGCGACAAAAAATTTTATATTACATGGTACTGTAAAATTCCGAAAATAAGCCCCTCCATGTATAAGCCCTCCAATCCGGTAACGCAAAAAAGCCTCCGTTAAATCGACCCTCCAAATATAAGCCCCCCGAGGACTTGTACTTGGAAAATTGCCCTCAAATACAAAGCAAAACAAAGCAAAAACGGAAAATTTCCTTCCAATTATAAGGCTAGCCCAATCGATTTTGAAACGCAAATTATAAGCCCCTCAAAAAGGGCCTTTGAAAAATATAAGCCCTGGGGCTTATTTTCAGAATTTTCCGGTAATTAAAAGATGAAAAAGGAAGTAAGTGGAACTGACAAACCAGAAAAAAAATTCAAAACTTTGGTAAACAATTGCAAAAATTTTGAATAAGAAAACTTACCAAGAAAACAACAAAAGGAGAGCAAATGCCACCGATTCTGGAAGCCATGGAGCACACACCCATTCCAACATTCCTATAAAATAGTATGAACTATGAATAATATAAATTTTAATTAAAAAGCTTTTTTCTAACACTTCCTCCAATGGCTTGTGATTGGGCTTTAACTGATTCACCCGGGGGGGGGGGGGACTCCCATATGAAACAGACGGGGATGCTCGTCGTCTCGCTTAGGGGTGTAAACTTTGGATTTTGGTCTCGCTTAGGGTGTTCCGGGCAAAGCGCCAATATTTTAAGCCGCCAAGGTCTCGTTTAGGGTTCCGCGAAGAACTTGAGATTTATGACAATGCTTTTAAAAACTACTTTTAGATAAAAGCATTCGATGATTATGTCTTTATATCATTAAAACTCTGATTCATGTCAGGAGCCGATTACTTATCGGCCCCAGTTCATATACAGGACTCTGGGGTGTCTTTTTCAAGAGCAGAAACTCTAAGAATTTAGACTCTTCAAGAAAACACCTGAAATTCAGCGTAGTTTTGACAGAACGCCTTTTAAGGAGAGCTAATAAGCTGATTTAAGGACCTTAGGTTGATTTCCTATTACTGAGTATTATGTTCAGTACTCTTTTCTTTCAAATTTTAAAAGCCATGTTAAAACATATCTTTTTAAACAAGCTTTTAATTTGTAGTAGAGTATGTATTTCGTTTACTTTAATAAAAACCTTTAAAAACCTTTACCTGCTCATAAATTTTTATATATTTTTAGTCTTTTCAATTTCCTGTAAAGCGCAGTGGAGTAGCAGGGTATTTATTTCATTTATTTTATTGTTAATACTTTTTTAAAAAAACTTGGTACCTGCTTGTAAATTTTAGTCATTTTTAGTCTTTTTAACTCATTGTAAAGTGCATTTGATCAAGCCCCATGAAAAATGCACTATATAAGTTTTAATTAATTATTGTAAGATTCTAATTAATTGTTTAAGACAGTAACGTACATTACCTAACTACTGTGGGAAGAAGTTCTGCAGAATAAATATAAATGACAGCAAATGAAGCAGAGATTCCAAACTTGCCAATCATGGCAAAGATGGTTGTTAGAATCCTGTACACTGGCTTGGTACCTGAAAAGAGCAGAAGAGTGAAAAGAAATCGATGCCTTCAGGTTATGTCTAATCCTTTAAATATTCATCACTTATTAGCAAGAGTTGGAACCTCTGTTAAAAGCAAAAACTGTTATTAGGTGGCCATCCTGTATCTAGCATGCAGTGTGTTACAAGAGACACAGGGAGCAAAACTGTCAGTAATCACTGTAAAAGGAACTTCTCTTAAAGGGCCACTTGCCCCTTCCCTGTAGGTCACGACTGCTTCATAGAATTTTGACTGTACCATCAATTAAGGATAATGGACCAGACATATTTTACTTAAAGACTTTTATTGTGATTCAATTTAAAATCTTTAGTCCTAGTTATTGCACCAGCCTAAGACACTTTTTGGAAGAATGACATTTCATTTTGTTTCTGGCAAAACAAAGCAAAAGGTAAAATTGTTTACAGGATAAGGAAGTGGTAAGGAGGAGACTTTCACAGACCTGTTTGAAAAAATAAACAGACGAGACATGCTGTTCCCCCTATGGTCATGTAGTAACACAGACTACGGCGACGTCCAATCCTAAAAAAAGGACAATCACTGTATCAAATTTCAGTTTATGCTGATTATACTCATAAATTAAAAACCACCTAAGCATTAAGATCCAGATCTGGGTGGTGATACATCACCAGTATGGAATTTCTGCACACATTTCTCAGAAGTTATTTCACAGAGAAACCAGTGGTGGCATCATGAAATTTCAGTGGTTTTTTCACGCCAATGCACTCCCAGAACCCAAAATCTCAGAGTAATCTAGGTAACCACTAAGAGTCAGACAATTACACATTCAAATACTACATTGCGTAACTACAATACCTCTACTTACCAATTGATCAAACAAACACTGGTAAGGTAGGCAGGAAGCTCCATTAGGCTTGATAGAAAGAAGTTTTTATAGATATCGCCACCCAAATGCTTGGTGTTCAACGATAAACCATAATACACTAGTGTGTTAACAAACCTGAAGGAAAAGAACAAAATTAAACAAATCAACAAACTGTACAATGTCATGAATGTAGTTGATTGCAGTCTTGTGTGTGTAAACCCATGATTATTATTTTCAATAAATCAAAACAATTTATTAAAAAATGAATTAAAGGATAAAACAATGAATGAATGAATGATCCACCAACGGAGAACTACTTTTTCAAAAAATTCATTTTTATTGCCACTTTTTAATAAAACTGGAAAGGGGATAACAATGAATTTATTGAAAAAGTAGTTTTCTGTCTGTGGATCAATCATTCATTCATTTTTTTTTTATCATTTAATTCATTAGGTAGTACTAAGGGGTCACAAAGTTATCAGTGATATAACCTGTCATATATGTGTAAATATCCTAGTTAAGATATTATTTCATATATTATAGATTGACTGGCAGACATACCACAAATAAAACAATACTATAGTAACTTTGGCAATCTTCAAATTGGAGAACAGGTCTAAACATCCATATTTGTTTCCAACAACAGAAAGTGGACGGTGTACTTGTAGAAGAATCTTGGGTACAGCTATACCATTTTTTCTTGCAATGCTAGACAAGATGTCTTCAGCTTCAGCTAAACGACCA